AGAGAGATAAACGTCTTTTCAAGCTGTCTCTCCATAAACTTGGTACAATAGAATAGCGTTTCCGTATTGCGCGATAAACAGGAATCAACTGAGAAGAAACTTTTAAGAGTTAGGCTCTTAGCGGTATCCAAAGACAATCAATAGATCGATAGATAGATTCGTAGAAGTCATGACGCTAAGAGTTATGGTGATAACTTGGCCAAGTATCCTTTTTTACCTCTTTTATCTTTGTCTCTCAATCTGTCTGTCTGTCTGTTTTACTTGAGGTTATTTAACTCTTCATGAGTAGCATCTGGCAATTTTGACACGTCGTTTTAATTACGTAAATATATAAACATGACAGCTTGTTACACTAAATATTCGTTTGTATATTATATAAATAACCTATTCGCTTTCATTTAGAAATTTTTTTTTTATTCACAATAGCACGTCATCAAGATTAAATCATTATGTACATTTTGTACCATTATTTACTCCGTTTAAAATCAATAAAATTTATCAATTATTTAAACTTTAAAATAATCATCAATGACAAGAATTAAAATCGTTTTTAAATAATAATTTGAAAAAAAAATATTATGTAAAATTTATTTGTTTATTTTAGTTTTTTACAGGGTTATTTATTTAATTTGATTTTTTAATTAATTATGATGATGGATCAAAACATTTGAAAACTTTTCATAATAACAAAAAAAAATTAATCCATTTATTATATCGTTATTATTATTATTGTAAGAAGCAAGAGGGACTATAAGACAAACAATATCTCAGATGACTCGTGAAATTAACATAAAAAATTTGAGAAAATGTCTCAAGCTTCGAGCCGCAAAAGGAACATCAGAAAGATCAAAGGGACAAGGTAGAAGTACATGGCTTGAGGCTGTTAACGGTACCTTCACATAACGTGGTATAACGTACACATAACGTGGAACCCAATCTCATAAACATGCGGCACCATTACCAATTATACATCGATTTACTCACTCACATTCATTATACCAAGTAAAAATGATTCCTAACCAATAATTAATCATTTTTATTGAATTAATCGAACCAGAAATGAAAAAATAATCAAGTAAATGTCATTGAATAATTCATTTTAAATTTATTGACCAGTTCAAATTTTTTTTTTTACTTCTCTCCAATCCAGTTGAATTGTCTCGCGAAATATAAATTCATAAATATTTTAAAATATCTGTCAGCATCTATCTACTTTCCATTCATTATGGTCATCAAATTTAGGTGAATTATTTTCTCCATTTTCTGTACATTAAATTTGCATGTAACATTAAAAAATCACTCGTAAGCCGTTAGGTTAATCGAATATTGTATGAAGAATTTCATGAGTTCCGGATTAGGATTTTTCGCTAGTTATGTGTATCATAAATATAACGGTTCAATCGGATTCGATGCATATTTTGCTCATAAGATTATGAAGCCATTGATTTCGATTAAATCGATTGAATTCCTTCAAAAAAAAAAAAACTTATCTCACAAATAATCTTATTAATATTCTTACTCATCATCAGTCTATTAATATAATCATGATGATAAAATTAATTGAATTAATCATTCAAGTCAATTAATTTTAATATTTTAATTAATTGCTGATAATTAAACTTTACATAAGTACAGTAAAAATTATTAGTTCATTAGAAAAATAGTTGTAAAGAAAGTTACATCATGCAATAAGTTTTCTCAATCATGATCAAGATCATGATGAAGAATCAAGTTACATTATGACGTCAGAGATTAAGAGATGTGATACCCTTGGCTTAAGGCAACAATGCTTATGTTAGATAGGATGTTGAAGTAATATATATGTATACAGAGTTTAAATGAAACATTTATTACCTTGATCAGGTATGCCATGTAGCGGTACAGTAAATTTGAGAGAGACTTCGATTGGTTAAGTTTTGTGATCCTGTTACTCGACTGTCGAACCAAAGTGTCATCAATGTTTCTTTCACCATTTTAGTTTTATAACATTTTTTTATTTTATAGAAAACGTGTCCAAAGTATAGATGTCGTATCAAAGCACTTCAAATGGCTTTTTATAGCTGAAAAAGTACTTGATACGTGGAAAAAATAACATAAAATGTAAGGAAACTTGTAAATACATGGATATAAAAAGTATTGGTATGAATACAGCTTGAAATTTATGAATTTTATAATACTCGAGCAAATATAAATTTTTCATGATAAGAATCTGTAATAATGATGATGATGATGATACTATCATGCAAACAATGTAATGCAGATTAAACATTAGATGAACATCAAAATACATACTGAGTAATAACATGAGCAAAATTGATGCTTGGTTGAGCATAAAGTGAATTGAAATTTAACTTACAATTAGTTATTTAGATGTTAATTTAACATCAAGATCTTGTAGTGTTAGGGATGAATAATGGGTATCGAAAAATACTTGTCAATTACAGACAATTATTCCTCGATTATTTACATTAATATAATTGTTGCTAATGACAACTGATATTACTTAATATGTTTCATTTTACAGCTGTATTTCCTTTGAATACCAAAGTATGACCTGACCGCATGTAGCTGTGCAGTCAGGGGTATGACCTGCATATGTAATTTTCTACTTTTCAGCTATAAAGTATAATTTTCTTAAGAATTCGTTTTTCAAGTGAAGCATTTATTTATTGAATTTTCTGATAAGAATAAAGAACATTTTTTTAAAGTATTTCCATTAAAAAAAAAAAAAAAAACATTAATTTTTTTTTAAATGCTCAATAATTATATGATTTAATATTTTTATTTATTAAAATAATATTGGACTATTTAAACAATTTAAAAATATTTTGAAATAGCTTTTGTACAAAGTAATTCCATCTGTGAGGTGACTCGTGATTTTTCAAAGCAGCTGCCCTACTTTCTCTTCACCACGAGCTATTCCTACTTTGCCCAACGTCAGTAATATTGAGTGAGATTCAAAAAGAAAACCACCAACATGATTTTATTACTTAAACCTTTTCCAATTGTTCAATTATTATTGATAAAAATATTATTTATCTTCAAAATTGCCATATTTGTTTTTTTAAATAATGAAATGCTTTCGAGTGTCATTTTGATAAATATAAAAATTTTTCATTTCCTTTTAATGGCGCAGATGTTAGGATTTTTTAACTCATTATAATTAAACAGCAATCTCACGGATTCATCAAGGAAATGATAATACAAAAAAGTAAGAAGAAATGATGTTTATAGAGACAACAGTAGTCACAAAAATACTTAGAACAAACTGATTTGTTCCAATTGAATTGTCGTAACTATTGTTGTCGAAGGATATAAAGTAAATCTTAGTGTCTGTCTAAAGACAAGTAAGATTGAGAAAAATAATGCGATTCCCAAAGGATCATAAAGTGTTTCCAGAATATATTCCTGAGGACGCGCTTGCGCGATATCTTTTCCAAGTATCTCCTTCGGGGGTTCCTATATAAAACCCGCCACTTGTTGAGCAATGTTCATACCTTCAGAATACTGTAGGTATCATCTGTAATCACCGTCCAACATTCGAACGTCCAATTAATTCAAAAGATTCGTAAATATCCGGCATAAGGTAAATACACGAATTCTTTTAATCATCAATTCTTTATTTTCAATTTAAAAAAATATATTCTTATTAATTTCTCTTGAGACTTTTTGTTTTATTTAAAATTATTCCAATGAGTGTTTTTTTATTTAAAAAAAAAAAGAATTTTTAATTTCCCTGTCAATGTAAAATTTTTTTTCCTCAAAAGACAGTTGATATTTTTTTTTTGCTTTTCTCTCTAATAAAAATCAAGTAAGCGAATTTTCCATGACAGTAGGAAAATTTCTCGTCTCATTTGATATGAAAGCTCTGAGGGAAATGAGAAAAGTCGGAAGTGCCGGACGGCCACCAGGCTTTTAATAATATCGACTGTCTTTTTCCTCATTTATAAGCTGGATCATGATGATCGTCACGTGAAAAAAAATCAGTGCTCATTCTTTCTTATATATTCTTCGTCACTTTACATAAATGTTCACTCCTGGAATCATCCAATAACATTATAATACAAATACATATAACGAAAAAAATTAAAATAATTGTTCGAGACATTTATCCCTTTAAGTTAATGTTTTTGAACACGTGGATGTCCTTAGTGGATTTCCTTGTTACTGAAATGTACTTATCAAACTTCGCAGTCAGCCCCTCTCATATGCTAACGTTCATTTTGTATAGATTTTTTGAGTGAAAGTGGTTTTGGTGGAAAAATTTTACAGCATAGAAAACCAGTTAACTTCTAATAAAAGATCAATAGGTAATTTTCCATTTTAATGATGTAATAATAATATCTGAGTGATTAGACGTTAAATCGGATCGCTGAAGTAAGTCATGTAATAGATAAATTAACACTTTTACGTCTTCTTTCACTTTTATATTTCACTCTTTTAAGTGAATACCAAAAATAATCACGAAAATGTGTCATTTAACGAAAGCTTATTTCTATTGTGTTTAATTTGATTTAAATCATTGATTTTATCTATTTTTAATTTAAATATTTATTTTTATCACTATTTTAAAACCTTTATTCATCAAATATTAATGCAAACTGTCAATTTTTTAAAATCATTTCTCCATAATTCGCCCAATTTGAATTAATAAAATAAAATAATAAAATATTATTTAAATAAATTATTAAAATTTTAAAAAAGTAATCTTTAGGACTGATAAAAATTAAATTGTGATTGAATACTTTTTTGATTAGTCTTCATGGTTGATGATAGCCAGTGCTACTGGTTACACTAGAAGATTTGAATACTTTAATTAATCCGAATGATGTTAATGATGCAAAAATGAATAGAGAAAGAAAAAATTAAGTTCGAGGTTACTCTGAGCTTTGTCACACTAGCCTAATAAGCTTGACGAGTGATAGGTCATTGGATCGATGATGAAACCGTAGAAAATCATTAACTCTAAAAGCTCAAGTCACTTCAGATCTTCTTTCGTTCATAGAATTTATTTAACAGTCATTTGATCGAGTATTGACGTGATGACTCCACGTTGCATGCAACTCACCAACTCACCTTGAATTTCATCAAAATAAGTGGTTAAAATCTTCAAGTCAGACAAATGCGTGTAAAACGGTGTGATAGAAACTTTGAGATTTGGGTATTGTGAGAAGAGTAATCATTCATTGATCCGTTTGTTCGAGAGAACGCGGTTCAGATCTTGGAATAAATGTTATTTTGAAAGGCTGACAAAGAATGTAAAATAGTAGCAGGAAGAAAGAATATTTTTTGATCAAGTGAATTTAATAATAATGAAAATTTCTTTACAGCAAACATGAATTTGGAGGAATATCGTAAGCATGGTAAGTGAACAACTATTTGCATATACTTTATGTTTATTATCTTCAATAGATAAATTTTATCTGAATAAAAAATTGCATTCACTTACTACTGAATTACTGATTGAAATTAGTTTAACTTAAAATTTTCCCATCTTAGACAGAACATTTTCGTTATTGTTAATTCTTGTGATATTTCCATACAGATGTACAGTTGTGTAGATTGTAAGATGTTGTTTTTTAAATAAATAAAATCAATTCAAAAGAAAAATGTCTATGTAGGAACATCTAGAAGCAATAAAAATCAAATAAAATAAAGCTTAGAATCGAATAGATTGGCTTGTAAAGTTTATGTAGGGAATAATACAGTCCTGTGACATTTATGCCTTTCGTTTTCTCCTCTTTACGATTTCGAATGAATTTAAACTAACTTTTACTATTTATCAAGTAAGCTTTTTTCAATTTTACATAGTAATACCTTTTATACACAACGTAAAACTGTCTTGAATCATACAGACGTTATAAACTTCCAAGATATCAAAAATACTTAAAAGTATAATCGTTTACTTTATCACTTGACCCATCTTCTGATTAATTACTTTCTTGATTAATGTCTTTGTCTGTTTACTGAAAACAAGGTAAAGAAATGGTGGATTATATTGCGGATTATCTTGAGACAATTCGAACCAGAAGAGTTTATCCGGCAGTTTCTCCAGGATATTTGAGAAATATACTACCATTATCAGCTCCAGTTGAAGGCGAGCCATGGGAAAATATCTTCCAGGATATTGAAAGGTGTATTATGCCAGGAGTAACACATTGGCAAAGTCCTCATATGCATGCATATTTTCCTGCACTTAATTGTCCTGCTAGTCTTCTAGCAGACATGTTAGCTGATGCAATCAATTGCCTTGGATTCACTTGGGTAATAATCTATGTTTAAGATTTTTTTATTTATTTCTACAACACTCATTTGCATGAGTTAAACTTTAGCTATAACTAAATGTAATGATTAAAGGCTGTCAATCATTAATTTTATTTTTCTAAGTAATTATTGATTTTTTTGTGGGAAGACAGTTCTTGATTGATAAGGACATTTTTTTTCTAGGCATCAAGTCCAGCATGTACTGAATTGGAAACAATTGTGATGAACTGGCTAGGAAAAATGATAGGACTGCCTGATGAATTTTTGCATCGACCTGGTGGATCAGGAGGTGGAGTTATTCAAACTACTGCTTCAGAGTCAACTTTGGTGTGTCTTTTGGCAGCAAGAACTAGAGCCATTCGTGCAATCCAAGAAAATGAGCCTGAACGAGCACCAGGAGAAATAAACTCCCATCTTGTTGCCTATTGCTCTGATCAAGTAATTATTTTTCTTGATTATTTAAAATGCTTATATGAGTTATAAATAATTGAGAGAACGATTAATTACTGCTATAATAAATCGTGGATGTTTTATTGAATTTTAGGCTCATTCAAGCGTAGAGAAAGCAGGACTCATTGGTCTAGTGCAAATGCGGTACATTGAATCGGATGAAAAATTAAGCATGAGAGGAGATATGCTAGTTCAAGCAATAGCTCGAGATCGAGAAGCTGGTCTCGTTCCATTTTTTGTAAGTAAAAATACATTGACTGACTATGAATTTATATTTTAATAACAATTTTTAAAATTAGTAGAGACTGTTTGATTTATGAAATTCATTATTAAAACTGGAGAAAGTAAATGTATCTTCATGATAAAGTAAAAGAAAATGCAAGAAAAAGACACATGAACAGACAATCTTCTTAGTTCTACTTATTTATACATTGATTGACTTGTTTCTCTAATTATTTCTATGTTGGATCAAAAGCAGCTTAAGTGACTCGAGACCACCAATTTGTCTAGAGATGATTAAATTTCAACTAGTAAATCTATGGTAGTTTAAAAGTAGGGGTTTTATAAATAAATAAATTTTTTATTCCGGAACCTCCGGACTTGCTCTTGGAGGTCATATCCGTCAAATACTTCCAATCATACGACTTTAAGAAATTATTGATGTTGAATATATTTATCTTTCGCGAGTATTAAACTCAATCATTTTCACTAATTATTTAATTTACCGTTTAATTAATCATGAATGTCAATCTTGTTCTCAGGTTTGTGCTACTTTGGGAACAACAGGTGCTTGTTCATTTGATAATTTGAAGGAAATTGGTCCAATATGTAAGTCATACTGCTTAAATAAACCAATTAATAAATAGTTTAAATTTGAAAAAGAATTTATTTATTAATTTCTACCAATAAAGTTAAAATATTCCACTAATATTAATCCAATTATCCATCCGTTAAGGTGAGAAGAACTGTATGTGGTTACATATTGATGCTGCATATGCCGGAAGTGCTTTTGTCTGTCCGGAATTCCGTGGTTGGCTCCAAGGAATCGAATATGCTGATTCAATAGCATTCAATCCAAGCAAGTGGTTAATGGTTCATTTTGATTGTACTGCCATGTGGTTAGTATATTCTTGTTCTCACTCGATGTATTTTTTAACAATCCTTACAGTTATTTTTTCACTTATTCATTCAAGTACACAATTTCCGGAAATTTTATTTGAAGTCAATTTATCATTTCCTATTCCAAGACATATTTCAAACTTCGTGGAACTATAGGGAACGTTTGGGGAATAAAATTATTTTTTTTTTGCAAATTTTTCCTCTCTACACCAAACGTACTTTGAATGTTTTCTACTTGCAATTAAATTGGAGCAATTTCCGGTTTTACTCCATTTTAGGTGTGAAAGAATCAATTTTTTGAAAGTTTGACCGGATTCCGCATTTCTACGCATTGAGACGAAGAGAATGAGTGGTCAAACTTGAAAATCGGACAACTTTGATTTTTCGACCCCAAAAAATGGCAAGTGGTACCCCTTTCCATTTTTTTTGGCCAAAAAATAAAAGTACTTCGATTTTCAAGTTTGACCACTCATTCTCTTCGTCTTGATACGTAGAAATGCGGAATCAGGGCACCGGTCAAGCAAAATTCACTTTAACACCCTCAAAGAGGGGTAAAACTAGATACACATTAAAAGTCATCATCCCCTTGACTTTAAACCCTTATAACTCATAAACGGACGTCCAATAACTATTTTTAGGGACGTTTTAGAAACTATAAAATCCAAGCTACATATGGATATCCATAAAGTAGGTTAAAAAAATTTCCTTCACCCTTAAAATCGCTAAAATATAGAAGAAAATCACATTTTTTTGGGAGTTTGCTAACTATTGTGGCAATTTTGAGGGTGAAATAAATTTTTTTAACGTTTATCATGAATATGTATATTTAGATTAGATTCTAAAGTTTCTAAATAACTCTTAAAAATGATAATCTGTTCATTATTTCACGAGTTATAAAGATCCGAAGTCAAAGAGTAGATGATTTTCTGACCGTTACTCGACTTTGGACCTCAATAACTCTCATACAAGTTACCTAATAACGATTGTGAGGAGGTCTTTGAAAACTTCAGAGTCTAAGCTAAACAAACATATCCATAAAAAACGTTAAAAAAATTTATTTCACCCTCAAAATGGCCAAAATAGTTGGCAAACTTCTAAAAAAATGTAATTTTTTTTAACTTTTTAGCGATTTTAAGGGTGAAGGAAATTTTTTAACCTACTTTTATGGATATCCATATGTAGCTTGGATTTTATAGTTTCTAAAACGTCCTCAAAATTAGTTATTGGACTGTCCGTTTATGAGTTATAAGGGTTTAAAGTCAAAGGGATGATGACTTTTAATGTGTATCTAGTTTTACCCCTCTTTGAGGGTGTTAAAGTGAATTTTCTTGATCGGTGCCCCGATTCCGCATTTCTACGCATCAAGACGAAGAGAATGAGCCCTCAATCATTGAAAATCGGAGTACCTTTATTTTTTGGCCTAAAAAAAATGGAAAGGGGTACCACTTGCCCATTTTTTGGGGGTCGAAAAATCAAAGTTGTCCGATTTTCAAGTTCGACCACTCATTCTCTTCGTCTCAATGTGTAGAAATGCGGAATCCGGTCAAACTTTTAAAAAATTAATTATTTCACACCTAAAATGGGGTAAAACCGGAAATTGCTCCAATTTTAGCATGAATTATGGTCCAATTATGATTTTAACAATGTTGACTCTTTTCCTTTCGTCCAGACCTTCCATTTGAGCCCTCGATCACCCTCGTACCATCATTTGCATAGAAGTTATGTACATTTTCATACCTTGCATTTGTTCTCCTAATATTCTCTATAGTCCCACGAGGATAACGTCGTGGAACCTTTGGGGAACAAAATTTTTTTCTCCGGGTAAATATTTCCAATTTGTATACTATTAATAACTTTATTTTTTCCAGGGTCAAGAATAGTCAAGCTCTTCATCGGACTTTTAATGTTGATCCCCTTTATCTAAAGCACGAAAATTCAGGTGAAATTTTTTTTCTATCGCTTTATTGCTTTATTATATCCGACATTCCAAAATAAATGGTGTTGTATATATTCAGTTTATACAGTTTTAGAGTAAAAAATATTATAAACAGTTATACCGTCTTTCTTTGGCTCACGAGATAGTACAAATAAGATTCTTTATATTACCGTAATACCAGTTACTCTTAACTAACTGTAATAAATAGTATTGCTTCTATATATAGCTTTAAACCTCAATTAATCAGAACTCTGTTATTTTTTCAACTTTAATTTTTCTCACTTGATTCTTTAAATTATTAATCGAATTAATTTCAGGACTTGCAATTGATTATATGGTAAAAATTCATAATTTAATTAATATACATTTATAAACAATAAAATTCGATTTTTTAAATATTTATTTTAATTGTTCTTTTTTTTTAGCATTGGCAAATTCCTTTGTCTAAAAGATTTCGAGCATTAAAGCTGTGGTTTGTGATAAGAAACTATGGAATAACTGGACTTCAGAAACATATTCGTGAGGTGAGTATTAAAGTATTGTAAAAATTTTAAAATAAAATATTATAATGATTTTCACATTTTTATTCATTTAGGGTGTTCGATTAGCTAAAAAATTTGAAGCTTTAGTATCAGGTGATGCAAGATTTGAAATTCCAGCAATAAGACACTTAGGAATGGTTGTATTTCGTCTGCGAGGAGAGAATTCTTTAACAGAAAAGTTACTGAAAAAAATGAACACAAGAGGAAGAGTTCATTGTGTTCCTGCTGCATTGCATGGAAAATATGTTATTAGATTTACAGTCACCTCCACTAAGTATGTTTTCCATTTTTTATACATTAAATAATGATCTCACTATTATTTTATACGTAACAAAAATATTACAATTCTTGATCATACTTTTTAAATGATATTATTTTAAATTGTTCTAGTTAAATTTTCATTTTGTTATTCTGACAAGCCAACAGTTAAAGTGGTAAAATCACATGAAGATGGTAAACGTTTTTTTTATTTGTATTTATATCGGTCATAAAACTAACGGCAAAGAACAGTGGAATGGAATAATAAATAGAGTGAATAAAGAAATGAATTGTAATAAAATGTAAAATAGTAATTACGGTAAAATTGATGCGAGATTGTGACCTTAGATTGATTTTTGTTAGAAATAAAGTGGGTCATAATTTGTTCTTGATCGCGATTTAATTAAAATTACAAATGTGAAGAATTGATCTTTAGATCATAACTCATATACTCTTAATTACATTAAATTAAAATTTTTCTAACTATTAATTTTAATATTATTCTGTTCAAGTACTACAAATGAAGATATCTTGCGAGATTGGGCAGAAATAAAAAGTACAGCTACGGAGATTTTAAATTCAACACCTGGATCACCAGCTAGAGTTAAAGTTCCACTTGCAGGTATTTCTGTTATAAATTTTCCAGATGATGTTTTTAAAAAATAAAACTTTATATGTGATAATTTACATGGAATATTTATAATTTTAGAAACGCGTCAAAAGAATGAAAACTTTGGATCAAGTTTATTATTGGCTAACTCGCCAATGTCGCCTAAAATAGTGAATGGAAGTTTTGCGGCAATATATGATACAGCAGATGTTTTTAATGAGTGTATGAAGGCATTTGGTCAAATTCGCTTAGAAGCTCATGACAGTCCAGGTAAACTTATCAGAAAATTTGAAGACTTACATTCTATCTAATAATAAATATAAGTAATAACTAAATAATTCCTTACATATTTTCATTTTTATTTAATTTTAGCCATGAGACGACGTATACGTGGGATATTGATGTCTGGCAAACAGTTCTCTTTGGATTCACGCATGGATTTAGTTCAAGTTAGTAAAGTGGTCTATTCATTTTATCTAATTAATAACCATCTACCTTCATTACAATTATTTATATTTTCAACAGTTGTTGTATTAAGTAATACTCAATGAATTGATTTTTGTAAAGTTTATTTAACATCTATCGGTACCTGATCATTGATTTTATATTAATAATGAATATTTTCCAGGGCTATGTATCATGTGGACGTCCTTTATCAGAACCTGGAACTAATCTTCCACTGATGAAAGAGGACGAAGATTTAGCAAGAACTGATTCAGACTTTAGTCTTGATACAGCTGAACAAACCAGTGGTAAGGAGGTTAAAATAAACAGCAATAATTACCAAAAGTAATCAGAAAAATAATGAATCATGTTTTAGTTTTGGTAGAGTTATACTTAAAACAATTGAACATTTTTTTAAATTAATTCCTCATTTAAAATGTATCGAATCCTGTAGAAAATGTTAAAACTTTGGAATCAGTAGATAAAATAATTGTGACAACCTTGTTTAATTTTAAAAATACATTAACTTATTAGCTTGTCGACATCGTAGTTATTCAAATAAATTAATAAAATAAAAAAATTTTGTTGTATTTAGTCTGTATCACATCAGTAGCTGATTGACTAAATAAAAATAAATTAGATGACAGTGGATAAATTATTAAATAATATCGAAAAATTTAGGCATTTCTAACGATAACTTAACATCGAAATCGAACTCTTCAGACTCAATCAACATGCATTTCCAAAAGAATGAACAAAAATCTGTGGTTGGTAATAAAGAAGATACTGAAGATGAAAAATTGAACAAAATCAATGGAATTGGTAATAATTATGAATTCCAAATTAATAAAGGAATATTCAAGAGTGAAACTATTGGTGGAATCAGTCAATTAATTAACACCATCACAATCCAATCAAAATCTGATAATGAACCTGAAAAAGAAGATTCTATATGTGCTAAATGTGGTCATTTAAAAAACAAATAAGTAAATATAAAATTATCCAAGAATGTTATTTATTAATCTGTGAGTAATTAGTTTTAATTTTCATGCTTTCATCAATATATTTTAATTATTTCCATACATTAATTTATTGTAAAATTCCATTGAAATGATTAAATTTAATTCAATAAAAAAAATGATTTAAAAAATCTACTTTTCTTCATCTTCTAAAATACTTTAATAAATAAATACATTAAGTTGAATTGTTAATTTATTTATCAGTTAAATTTATTTCTAACAACTTTATTAATAAAAGGAACAAATAATACACGTATTTTGTTTAGACATAAATTTTAATGCGAGAGATGATATGACATGATAGATCACTACAATTTAATTGTATTATTTCTATTTTCTTACATTTTCAACATTTTCGCTTTAAAATTAATAATTTCACAAATTAACAATTAAAATTTATTGCATCAATATTATCTGGATTTTTTTTTAGCATAATCACTCATTCTTACATACTAATGATATCTTTTAGAATAAAACTAATGTTTTATTCGACAATAATACTCTTATTTGGAAAACTCTTATCTGAGCACATTATCTCTATTACTCTATGATATCTTTGCAGTGCATCGCAATTGTTAAAAGCTATAGATACTTTTAATTGACAATAATAAATAAAATTAACATTAATTATATATAATAACTTGTTAGATTGATTTTCACGAATCATTTATAGAATTTAATCGTTCAATAGCATATTTTTGTAATATTTGCAATAAACAATTTTGTATAAAAATAAAAATATAAGTTGTAAGCATTAAAATGATATAATTTGTAAGCATTAAAAATTACATATTTACTGAAGCGATCTTAAAAATAAAGTTCAAATTAATTTGATGATTTTTTTGGTCATAAATATAATCAAATTTTCTTAGTTTCTATATATTTTAACCAAAAAATAAACTCTAATATTTGTAACAACATTATACATATATTCTCTGGTGATAAATATTTTTAGTTTTCTATTGGTTGATTATAACATAATTAAACATAGTAATTAGTTGGTCTAGAAAAGTATAGATGTTGTCATCTGATAACTAGTTTCATTAGAATTTATCTCTTATTTTTTGTTTAATTTATCCAAACTGTTTATAAAACAAGGTGTAATATTCAATAACTAATCGGCTTCTTCGGAGCAAGATATTTGTACAATCTACGTCGTGCATATCGATCGTAATTATTCTTCTAATTCCATATAATCCCAAAAGATTAAAACTTTTATTCGACAAGTTTATTAATAAAAAATTGTCAATGAAATGACCCAGCTCTATTGATCAAAGTGCACGATATCTTACTGGATTTTGCAACGAGGATAATTAATTATTGTTGAAATAATTATGTCTAACATAAATGTATGGATTAAAGTGCTGCGTCCAACGTTTCGACACTCAATATGGGTGCAACATAAATTATATGTTATACATTAAAAATTTAAAGGTAAAAACATGTCATTTATAATTACATAATGCTTTTACGTTATTGATAATTGATGGCTTATCGATATATATGCAAGGTATATATATATATTGATAATGCTGTCTAATCATAATGATGTCATAAATATGTATAATGTTAATATAAAAAGCTTCTTTACTTGACTGCCAACATCCAAGAAAATTTGACAATCGCGAGAATCTTGTTATTCTTAATTTCATTCACCTCACATGGCACGTGGATTTGAATCGACTGCGAGGCCAAATAACTACTAAATATCATCTATTTAATAACTCATTTTTGAAATAAAGTTCTCAAATCATTCGCACTTCAATTTGGCATCTATAAATAATTTTTAAGTCATAGCTTGAAAATTATTCACACGAATCTAACGATAGAGACTAAGGCACTTTTATTTCGCGTGATTATAAAATAAAGTATTGGTACTTATGGTAGTTTTACTATAATTTTTTGGCAATAATATAAGAAATAATTAAGTTAACATTAGTAAATAAGTCATTTCTGAGTTGTAAATAAGATGATTTTTACATGAGTTAATGGTTTGAATTACAGAATAAATCTATTTACAACGATGTTAAGAAAAATGTTAATGGACGCTTTTAGTTGTTAGCAAATAATGTAGCAAATGGCCTCGCCGACGTGCGTGCGAAAATGAACAAATGACGCGACACGAGCCGCATGGCTTGCCAAATAAACCTCTCGAATCTATTATTTGGGAATCGTGAAGTTTGTTTGGCAAAAGGCTCCGTTATAAAGCCTTTCTGTGAGGACATGCGCGTTCAACTCAAGCTTGATCTCTATTTTTCACCTTCATCATTATACATTTAAAAATAATTATTAATTTAACATTATAATGATAATTGTTAATTCAGTGAATCGTGAAATTTGAGACAAAAATCAAGAGCTGAAGGCCCACGTAGTGCTTTCGTTAATTTTTTATTTTAGGGTGGTAGGTGGGTTAATTAATTGTTCATTCAAAAAGACATTATTTATATCACCATTATAGTATGCAAAAAAAAAAAGAATTTTGCATGAGAATAAAAAATTATTATCAAATTTACTTAATCTTAAATAAATGAATTTAATTCATTAATATCACAAAAATTTCTGATTAACTAATAAGTTAATTAAATGTCACATTTGAACAAACAATTCTAGACAATGGAAGAAATATTTACATTAATATATCAGGGAAAAATTATTCAAAATATCTCATGCAATCATGCATAATTAGCATTCGTAAATTTATCACATAAAGAATCACATTAAATAGAAAGAATATTTTAAAAATAATGAAATAATATTTTCGATTGAGTGAATTTTAAAAAGAGCATGTTTAAAATAGTTCACAAACCTTATGACTACATTCTTTCATCCATTATCATGCTGAAGTAATATCGAAATTAAATTGAAATAACTAATTTAATTATTTGAAAACATACTTATATAAAATAACAAATATAACATATAAATATAAATAAAATACAATGTTCAGTTCTCGTGTTGAACATTTGATTTTTCAAGAGAAATAAAATATAAAACTAAAAGCATACTGAAGATTAATTTAATAAGCTTACTAATTATATATAATATAAATAATTATAAATAGCATATAAAAATATTTAAAATCATCAGAGATAGACTTTTTAAAAATATTAACTAGAAATTCGTCACTTTGATACATCTTCCAATTTTAGAGACTCCATTCCATACTCGTCATATCTACCTAAATATTCATCTATCTACATTCAATTAAATTTGAAAGCTCCAACCGGAAATCACCTTCTAATTATATTTCACATAAATGAACATGTTTGATTTAATTTTATATATTTTAACAAATCATCATTAACCATTTTTCATTTTAATTAGAAAAAAAAAAGAAAAACCTTGACACTGATATGATTTTTTTTTTGCAACATAAATACTACTAAAGTCGCATTTTAAATTAATACATGTCCTTATAAATCATTTCCAGTTGGAAGTTTCTAATGTAACACAGCTAATTGGTGGGCATGCTATAAACACGCCGTGAAAGACGCTCTCTAAGCGTATCTAATTAGTTTTTTCTTGTTCTGAGAGTAGATTTGAGGATTCAGAATTGTAAGAAAAGGTTGGATTTTATGATTCCTTGTGGAAAGGCAGGAAAATATTTTTTGTTTGTCATTTAAGTATATGTTAATATATAACAAGAAATATTACTTTTCTTACGCAAATTTCAATAATTAATTATTTACTTCTATTCAATCCAATCGCTCTTTTTTTTTAAAAATTAATTATTATCTTTTTTTTTTAATTAGATACTTTTATCTTTCTAAACTCTATATGATAATGATATCGATTTGCATTGATCGTTAAAATGACGATAAATCTTTTATAGACGAGAAAAATGTAAAATTTAAAATGTAATCTTTATCTATATTGTCAAGCTTCAATTTGTCTGAATGATAAGCGCAAGTTAAAATATTTATTAATACGATAAATTATTGAAATGTAGCTTAAATTTATAACCGGTATTTTTGGAAAAATGTTAAATTTATATGAAATTATTAAATGAATAATATTTGAAATATTTTTGAATCAAAAATCGAATTGTTGACGGTATATATAGATTGAGAGTGTATGAAAAAATTTGTAATGCCAATCGAAAGTGACACATTATGTGTACTCATCTATGAGGACTTCTACAGGAGAAGAACGAGCAGTGTAGTTACAACGGTGATGATCACAGCGACCTACAAAGCAAGCCGGGGCTCCTTAGGAGCGAACTAAGAATTAGGAAAAATGATAGGATTAAAAGGAAATCTGTTTTTGAACATGAGGATGGAGGTACGCGATTGCACATATCTTCCTCACAGAAGCACATGTGACCAGTGCCGGTACTTTCCATCATGCACACGTGGTCCACCATGAATAAGTTTATTTGTAGTTGTGAAGTGCACGTTCTCCGTACACTTTCGTAAGCTGCAAAAATAGTTGATTTATTAATCTAAAAGCTTCAATGATTACTTTAAAAACATAATATTTAAATATCAATAGAACTATCGAGTATAAGAAAATTTCATTCCCCGACGTTCTCCTGGTGGGACTATGGGGAACAAACGGAAAGCATAGAAATGTGCATAACTTCCATGCAAATGATGGTACAGGGGTGATCGAGGGCTCAAATGGAAGATCTGGACGAGAGGAAATAAGTCGTTATAGTTAAGATCATCATTGAAGCCTAATTAATGCTAAAATTAAAGCAATTTCCGGTTTTACCCCATTTTATGTGTGAAATAATTAATTTTTTAAAAGTTTGACCGGATTCCGCATTTCTACGCATTAAGACGAAGAGAATGAGTGGTCAAACTTGAAAATCGGACAACTTTGATTTTTCGACCCCAAAAAATGGCAAGTGGTACCCTTTCCATTTTTTTTGGCCAAAAAATAAAAGTACTCCGATTTTCAAGTTTGACCACTCATTCTCTTCGTCTTGATACGTAGAAATGCGGAATCGGGGCACCGGTCGAGAAAATTAACTTTAACACCCTCAAAGAGGGGTAAAACTAGATACACATTAAAAGTCATCATCCCTTTGACTTTAAACCCTTATAACTCATAAACGGACAGTCCAATAACTATTTTTAGGGACGTTTTAGAAACTATAAAATCCAAGCTACATATGGATATCCATAAAGTAGGTTAAAAAAATTTCCTCCTCCCTTAAAATTGCTAAAATATAGAAGAAAATCACATTTTTCTAGGAGTTTGCCAACTATTTTGGCCATTTTGAGGGTGAAATAAATTTTTGTAACATTTTTTATGAATATGTATGTTTAGCTTAGATTCTGAAGTTTTTAAAGACGTCCTCACAATCGTTATATGGTGACTTATATGAGAGTTATTGAGGTCCAAAGTCGAGTAACGGTCAAAAAATCAACTACTCTTTGACTTTGGATGTTTATAACTCGTGAAATAATGAACAGATCATCATTTTTAAGAGCTGCTTAGAAACTCCTGAATCTAAGCTAAACATACATATTCATAAAAAACGTTACAAAAATTTATTTCACACTCAAAATGGCCAAAATAGTTGGCCGACTCCAAAAAAAATGTGATTTTTTTTTAACTTTTTAGCGATTTTAAGGGTGAAGGAAATTTTTTTAACCTACTTTATGGATATCCATATGTAGCTTGGATTTTATAGTTTCTAAAACGTCCCTAAAAATAGTTATTGGACTGTCCGTTTATGAGTTATAAGGGTTTAAAGTCAAAGGGATGATGACTTTTAATGTGTATCTAGTTTTACCCCTTTTTAAGGGTGTTAAAGTGAATTTTCTTGACCGGTGCCTCGATTCCGCATTTCTACGTATCAAGACGAAGAGAATGAGTGGTCAAACTTGAAAATCGAAGTACTTTTATTTTTTGGCCAAAAAAAATGGAAAGGGGTACCACTTGCCATTTTTTGGGGTCGAAAAATCAAAGTTGTCCGATTTTCAAGTTTGACCACTCATTCTCTTCGTCTTAATGCGTAGAAATGCGGAATCCGGTCAAACTTTTAAAAAATTAATTATTTCACACATAAAATGGGGTAAAACCGGAAATTGCTTTAATTTTAGCATTAATTAGGCTTCAATGATGATCTTAACTATATCGACTTATTTCCTCTCGTCCAGATCTTCCATTTGAGCCCTCGATCACCCCTGTACCATCATTTGCATGGAAGTTATGCACATTTCTATGCTTTCCGTTTGTTCCCCATAGTCCCACCAGGAAAACGTCGGGGAACTTTCCCCCACTGAGGAACATTCCGGAACCTTTAGGGAACGATATTTTTTTATACACGATTTTCCAAATTTACATTAATTAAAATAATTTTGTTTGTTGAAAACATATTTAATCAATAGTTATAAATATTAATACCTTATTTGCATGTGATATTTAATTAAAGAGATTATTTAAATTCAAGTGGAATGTATTCATTGAAAAAGATAGATAAAATTTTATCTTTATCATATTTACTGGAGCTTCAATAATTGTAACTTTAGTTGAAATAGTTTTATCAATATTTTAGTTATGGACTATATTCCATATCTCATGTTGAAACACTTTTTCAATACCGTTCATGTTGATATAGAATGAATTCACAATAGAGACAGAATAGAATAGAATTGGTGTGAGTCGTTTTCAATGAGGAGTTTGAAAGCTTTTATAACTTTAAAATTCGATTTTTAAGAAATATGTTGGTTTTTATATTGTATTAAAATTATTATAATTACATTAAAAAATATTTGAATACAACATGAACATTTATATTCAATTTACTTCGAATAATTCTTGGAAAAATATAATGACAAGTTGAAACTTTTAAATTGAATTTCAAAGAATTAAGTATAATTTTCTTAATAGTTACGATGGTATAATTGGAAGAACTTGGAGTTCACATTGATTTTTTAAAAAATAATGTAACTCAGAGAAAAGGTAAAATATATTCAGATTATTATTTTTTTATTTATAACTATGTGAATGATTAAAATAAAAAAACATAATGAAGAGTTTTAAAGTATACTTATGAAGAGCTCAAGCTTTTGAGAGATATTTTTTTAATGTCAATAAAACCATTTCAAAGAGATTTACAATTCCATAATTATAATTCTAAAGAAAAATTTTCTCACAGTGAAATAATTTTAATAAAAGTTTTCAAACTATGGAAATAGTTTAAAATCATCAGCTGAATATTTTCCCAATGTTATGTAGAAAATTGCTAAAAATACTGATAGCTATTAATATTGATAGGAAATGAATGATTGATTGTCACTCACGTGATTTGGCATTTCGGACCATTTTAACGCAGCATCCATTGCAAGTCATGAGTGGTGGTTGGTCTCTTGGTAGTGCAGTGTAATTGAATGGATCTTTGCATCTCAAATCTGTCCATGAATCACATTCATAGCAATAAATGGAGCGTGCTGTTGAATTCATAGGAACCACAAAAGTTTAATTAAAATTTATTTCTACATGATAATTAACTTAATTTTATCATTACTCATATTCAAACGCATATCACTTATTCTCAACCTAATCCTATTAATCACTCACTTTGACATTCAGCATGACAGACGTTTGCGACCGCAAGTAAAATTGACACTGAAAAATATCCAATGGTATTTTAAAAAAGTTTCTCTAATATTTTACTCAAAAAAAAATCTTTCAATTTATAAAAAAAAAAAATTTCCATCATAAATCTATGTTACAATCATCAAATAAACATCACTACTAGTCTACTAGTTCAATTAACTATATTCTACCTGTTCTACATTGAAACCAATTGTTGTTTACTCAAAAAAATAGTTTATTTACATTTGATTTTCTCTTGTATTTACTTTTTCTACTACCGACTTACCCTCAGCTGATATATCACCGTATGAAAGCTCATTATTTCCACTAATGTCATTAATTAATATTATACGCAGTCTTAAAGACTAAATACAAATCTAATTTTCTGTGTTGATTATTTTTATCTTGACTATTTAATGTTATAATATAGATACACACGTTAAAATACAAATATTTTTTCCTTTTATAGACACAATAATAAAAATGAAATTTAATTGTTTATAAAATTAACGAACCTGCTATTAAATAGTCAAACTCCATCGTTGACACTTTTTTTAATTTTCTATTCAAAATAAAAGTAATTCTTATGAAGCTCACAGCAACATTTCCAATGTGCTATTTTATGTGCTGAATGCTTGTTATATGCCACGTGAACTCGACCTGAAAAATAGGATTATCATTAAATGACCTTTTAAAAATAAAACCTTGAAATGATTTGATAGGATAAAATGTAGATTAAACATGACATGTTTTATTCACTAAAAATAATCCATCTTATCAACACCAAAGAAGACTTTTTCAGTCTTTTAAATATTCTAAAAAAAACAACTAATCACAATAATGATAAAAACATAATCAATTAAATCACAACAATTAAATTTCATTGATTCATCTCAACTAGTGTGTGAAAATGTTTTTATTTCAAAATTAACATATTTAAGTTCCATGCTTTTGTTGAATATTCATTACTCCATGAATACAAAGAACGTTTCTGTAGCAATTGAAAATGTGGGTCAAAATTTTTAAAAATTAAATGGATCTTTTTTTTACAATGGCTCTCATTTGTTCAAATAATTGTCAATGAAAAAGATTGATTCTTTACACAATTGTTGAAAAATTTAAAAGTTACTGAATAATTAATAAACTCCATATTATATAAGAAATTTTGGATCATGGTAACTTTGAAATGTCAACCAATATCATTGATGTAGATAAAAGGATGTAGGTGTAAGAAAAGATATAGTTAACATTCTTTAATTAATTACCTGGTGTAGTTTGTACTATCCCAACTAAACTGAAGTTAATAAGATCTCACGATTATTTGCTTCAAAACGAATTTACTCGTTGTGGCACTCGTCCAAGGCCATAAGAATTTTATTGTTAACTGCATAGGTGAGAAGAGTAAAAATATAGAAGAGTTTCAGGGTTTATAAATGATATGAATACCATGATGCTGCTTTGAAACCCATTCTTCAAATTTTTTCGTGCAACAGGAGTATCATGTACAATAGCTGTTCATTGAATAAAGAAAAACTGTATTTCTTATTTTTATTATTTTAAAATATTAATTTACACATCTGTATGTCAATCACAGTTTCTGTGGATTTCTTTCTTTATACTATTAACCACTAAGTGTAAAATAATTTCATTCAATGATATTTTTTGTCATTTAAATACCTTAAAAGCTTTCAGTAGAAAAATAAATTTGGAATAATAACAATAATTAAGAAGTTAAAAGTGTATATTGCACTAAATGATTATTGATGGAATGTCACGATGAATTCATTGTTGAAATCAGTTTAGGAAAATAGTACTCATTTGAACAGCTCAGTGATGCTATTCATTGACTTATCAATCCAGGTATCTGAAGCCTAAATTTCAAATCAAAAATGTTAACATAAAATGTTGATAGAAAAATACGATTGTTATCATGAAAATAATGCACGTGATCGCAAGTATTTTTAGTTCATAAAAGTAAACAAGTAAATTACATTAGAGGTTTTTAAAAAATTTTCTTGAACGAAATGTTACGTTATTTCATTTATCTTTAACTTAGAATTAAGAGAAAACATAATACTAAATTATAAGAAAGATTTCAAAAGTATCAAATTAATCATAAAATAAGATTCATTCTATCTGTTAACTAAGACAAATCACGTGCAATACAACTTGAGAATTATTTTCCTATCTTTCACCCACGAGAATTGAGGTGACAGTTTCGAGGCGAATTCACTCACTGCACTAGTATTGCGGATTTACATAGACTATGGCAAAAGCATTCAAGTGGCGCTGGTGAGCTTTCTCACAGAGCTTGCAAAAGCTTCGTGCGATTGCGCATTGCAAAATCATAAAATCCACCAAGTACAAGTGAACGAGATCAATATTATAAGGATTACTGCAGCGGCGTCGTTTTCAGATAGGGGTAAAAGTACATGCATACTTGCGCAAGCGTTTTATTGACTTTGTAATGTATAATAGCACCAAGATGATCAACTGAAAAACTTCACGTGTACGAGAACCGCGTTAATGTCATTATCTTTATTTCCTGTCACTTTGTTCTATTTTGTTATTTTTAGAGTAATCAATTTTTATTTTTTAACTATTCATCATATCATAGATAAAAATAAATATTTCTGATTGTTTTCCAGGAAATCTGATTTTGCATAATGACTAAATCATTGCAGTCTATCATTTTCATGATTTCAAATATAATAATCCAGTATTTATAATTAATTAATAAATATTTATTAAATATGAGATACAAGAAAATGAATTAAGCTTAGTTAAGGGGTTTTTTAAAAGCATACTTGTGCTAATTAATTTTAAATTAGAATAATAGCTTGCTCTTAAATGGTAAAATTTATAATATAGCTCTTCTGCAGTGCATTTTAGGTATGTGACTAATTTATTGTTCAGTTCAATATCGATAAATTTTATTAGAATATTTAATAATACTTTTAAGGGTATCTATGAGAAAATTCCCACATGATTCATCTATTATTAAAAAAAAAAGTCATTTGCATTCCAGTTAATAAAAGTACGTCCATACTTGCTAAAATAAACTTCAACTATCTATAAAAAGTGTAGAAGAGTAAAAAAAAATTGCTCCTTTTTTTATCTCAATGGACTCGTTTAAAAATTCATTTATTGGTTTGCTGGTTCTGCTTTTTCTTGAAGAAAAAAATTATATGCGCAATCAAACACTAATTTTCAGATTATTTTTATTGCTACTAATGCTCATGATAAATTGAAAATAAATAAAACATATAATTTATGAAATTTTGGTGTATATAAAATGATTGATCCATTTATTGTACAATTAATCAGATATGATGAATGGATCATATAGATATTATAAGAGTATTTGGTGTTATAAATCACTCCTTGATGTGATAATTTGATTTCTCTCCCTACACAATGAATAAAATGTTTACCAAAACAACAATACCTTTTAGACATAATTCTAAAGACATTTATATGATCATGTTCTAAATAAAGAAATAAATGAGATAAGTAGTAGTGAAGACCTTCTTAATTGGCTTTATTAGTTTGCTTTCATCAGTTAATAAATTTGATCCATTAATTCAATTAAAATTTTATCATTACATCCTTGGATACTAAATCAGGTTCAATTTATAGCTTGAAATAAATCTTGCTATCTTGATACCTTGTCGTTGAAACCATTAGATTTTAGTGCCTGCTACCACTACCTTGTTATTTTAGAAAGACAGAGTAACTTGAAAGTTTGTTCAAGTGGTTTAGTAGATATGACTAAGTTATATCCCAACTTTGAAAATAAATAAAAAAAAACCAATCAGTGAAAAAATTGGAATATGATCCCAGAAGTGTATTTGCCAATATTATTAGCATTAGGAATTTCTCATCAAGTTGAAGAAATTTGTAAGTCACTTCAGTTTTTTTGCATAAAAAAAAAATTATTTTTTTTAATGAAATAAAAAATTGTCAGCCAAGATTTTTTATTATTTCTTCATTCAGAAATATTTGACCAATAATATAATAATAGTACGGTCCTGAATAATTGGAAATGTCTTGAAGAATGATGTTTCATTACCAATTCTCTTCAGTAGGAATTAATAAATTTATCACATGTCCAAAGAACAATCAAATTCATGTTACACTCATTGGGAAAATCATTACATTTTAGTTTAGTATTTCAAACACTCTCAAAACTAAAATATCTTTTAATTTAATTACATGATAAGCTACGGAAGTGTATTCGTTGATCTGAATCATTAATTCATATTGCAAATGAGAGAATCAGCGTAATGGTAATGTTACTCGTCAATTATAGCTCATGAGTACTTGCAAAAACAGATATATTTATTTCAATTTTTATTCTCTGTTAAAATGAGGTGGTCGAATTATCTTTTAGTTTTGCTATTTATTTCGATTTCTGCAAAAAAACCTACACCTATATATATTTATGATCATTACAAAATTCCTAATGTAGTAGATCAGGAAGAGTCAGGTATGATAACATATATTGTCGAGAATTTTTTAATATATATATATATTTAAAGTTCAACATAACAGAATTTTATCAAAACAATTTAATTTGATAAATTAAAATCGATGTGCTGTCATTATTGATGTTTCCATTTTTAGAGTCTGATACACAGGAAGAGCCATTCGATCCAGAAGTAAGTTCTCGAATATTTTTTGGCGATGAATTCAAAAACATGAAAAAAGAAATGCAAACAATTAAGTCTCAAATTTCCGAGCTGTCTACAAATGTGACAGAAATATTCGACTCAGTTGATACAATACTATTAAATGTCTCGGACATATATAATGTCATTCAAGCAGATTATTCTGGATTGTTGAATAACTATCAAACATTACAATGGAACGTAAGCAACTTTGCTGAAAGATTTGAAATAATATCTGCCATGTGGAAAGATAATGCAATTCAAATGAATGATACACTTGCCCACCTTAGTTCAATATCTTCTGATTGTGAAAGAGTCATTACTCGACTAGATGATCAAGACGTCACAATGAAATCTCATTTTCTACGCATCGATAAGAAACTCGACCATGTGGTGATCAGCATTAATACAGAAATAGCAAGAGTTCACAGTGATATGATAACCTACTTCTTAAATTTTGCTAATCGGTTTTCAAATTTGGAAAGTTATCTAGGAAACTGCACATTTTGGAAGAACTGCGCATCTGTGCCTGGTAAAAAGATTGCTGGTACGCCTTTACCCTTCCAACAGCTGTCAAGTCCACCTACTTCATCATTTACTATGTATCCAACTTCAAATCAATCTTCAAATCTTGTCTCCGATACTATGCTTCCAATCAGTCCATCTCCTACTAAAGAACCTCCAACTCTTGTTTCCACTACTATATCTCCAGCAATTCAACCTTCTAGTATAAAACCTACGATTCCTATTTCCAGCACTTTATTTTCAACAAGCCAATATTTTAGTAAAGAAACTTCAGTTTTTGTTTTCAATACATCCACCACTCCAAATAAATCTTCGACGAAACAACCTCTAATTCTTATTTCTAGCACTACACCTCAAATAACTCAACCTTCCTCTAAACAATCACCAATTTTTATTTCTATCACTACACCTCTAATAAGTCAACCTCTTTCTAAGCAACCTTCAATTTTCATTCCTACCACTACTCCCCTAACAATTCAGCCTCCTTCCAAACAACCTCCGGTTCTTATTTTCAACACATCCACCACTCCAAATACAAATTTTGTCATAAATATTCCTTTTTTCAACACCAAACCAATCATTTCTATCAATGGCATTAATAATCAATTGTTTAATCAACAAGGCAACAAATTGGGAATATTTGGAGGTCTTGGAGGGTTCATATTTTTTTCAAATCTACCTGTTTCTATAACAGGTAACCTAACAAATGGTCCACAGCTTTCAGCAATAGTTCAATCCCCAATAACCCCAAATGTTGAATGTAATCATAGCGATACAGGGCATCTTTTATTACCTGGCTCTCCAGTAACAGCTTGTGAAATTACTCCTACCACTTCTCCTTCTCCTATTACTACAATAAGTACAGTTTCTACAACTCCAACATCAACTTCAACCACAATAATAACTACTTCATATCTTGAATATCCTTTCATCAATTTATCGACTTTATTAACACATCCTGAGACTCAAAAACCTTCATCTCTGCCTTCAACCTTTATTGAAGACCTTTCAACTTTAATTACAACTATTTCTTTTTCAGAAACACCTTCGCGTTATCCATCACATCCTGAAGATCCCACTATCCCGACTGATTCTACTTTTGCTCCTCAACCAAGCCTTGTACCTAACAGCACTACTCCTTCATCAACAACTCCTACAACTACGACAACGGCAAAAACAACATCTACAACTACAACTACAACAACTACTACTACTACCACCACCACTACTACTACTACAAAAATACCAACAACTATAACATCAACAACAACACTATCACCGCCAGTAACATCTACTCCATCCCCCACTGTTATTGTACCACCTATGCCTCTGGATAAAGCAGGTTTCAAGGGGCAATGTCTCTGCATTTGTGGTTGTCATTGTCGCTGTCCAATAGTCTCTTCTAGCATACCTCGTGGTCGAACTCCAAAGAAAACAACGTGGCCTAAAGTTTACACAGCAGTTGATGCACCACTTTGCAGTTGCCTTTGTCCATGTCCTTGTGAACATAGTACAATTACTACGCAATTAGTAACCACTTCAACAGTCAGTTTTGTTACTACTCCGATCATAACTACAACTACTCCAATACCAACGCCTGAATTAACTTTTCCTGGAATTGAACCAGTTACTCCAACAGAACCATCTTTAGATTATGGTAAACCACAAGAAGAAAATTGTGTTCTAGATTTATGTGCAAAAGTTGATAGAATTGAAGAAAATATGTACAGAATAAAAGGAGTACTTTTGGATCAAATGACAGTTATGAAGACAGGACTTAAAGGATTGATCAATAATAAGATTGATGAAGTTAATTATTATATATCTCAATCGTATCATTCCAATTTTGCTCTTCATTATGACACTAGAAATATCACAGAAAATTTAGGCCGTGAAATTACTACAAAATTCAATGAGGTTGTTCATTTCTTTTACAGTATTTCTAATATTTTATCTGAAATACATACAAATACTGATACCCTAGGTAAATAAAAAATCATGATTTTTAATGATAAAGAAAAAGATCACAATCATTCTCCGTAGTTTTTTAAAATAACATTAAATATTTTCAGTGCATAAAATTAATGAACAAGAAACTCATTATGACAATGACATATATTATCCTGAGTCTGAAAATAAACCTATAAGTGGTGCTAGTGGAAATAGTCCAGACTATTACGAGCAATACAAGTCTCCAAATACAAAAGAAACTGAAAAAAAACCAAAAACTCCATAAATAATTTTTAAGTATAAAGGTAAAACAAATTTAATTGAGTGAACATATTGTTGAAGTAATAAAAATTATTTTCTATTAACATCATTTACTAAAATCTATCTTGGCTGACATTTTTATCAATGCTAAAAACATTCGTTTCTGACATTTTATAATTAAAAAGTTTTCTATCTGTAGCATTTATTTATTTTCCAAATACTATTTTTTCAGACAATGATCGTATAGAAGTAATGGATTTGATTGATAACAGTAACAGCTTGAGGGTAGAATACATTCATCCGACAACTTTCAGACCAATTGACATCATACACAGAAGAAAATATAGCAAAATATCAACTGGATATATAAATCATCATTTTAAAAAAAATCGTTACGGTAAAGATTGTTTTTGTTCTATTTTAGTTTTGTTTTTTATAAATAAGTGATATTTAAACAATAAAATAGTTTGTTTTTTCAGGTCAACAGTCAAGAAATATGAAACACAACTCCTTAAAAAGTCCTTCTCTCCGTAATCGTATGTCTTCAAATGGACTTATGAGACATATTTTTCCTTTCAATGTTTATGTCCCTCAACTAAAGTTACCAATGATCATTCGTCGACCAAATAAACCACTTCTAACACCTATTAAAATTCACTCATTCACAACAAAACATATTTTAAGTAAATTACCTTCTATTCCACCTAAAATTATTGTGGCTGCAAATCAGGGTAAACCTTACAGTTTATCATACAGTGATGGAAGAGGAACTAACGTGAATGTTCATGTTAACCGTCGAAATAAAAATTTTATCGACGATAGTAATAGTGATGATTATTCTGAGGAACAGAAAAGTGATGATAATGGAAATTTAAGTGACGATAAAACTGGAAAAACTTACAATAAAAATCAAGAAGACGAGACCTGAATGTAGTTAAGAGATCATGTTTATCCTGCAATGATCAAAACAAGTAGAATAAGCTTTTAAATAAATGTAAGATGGTAGAAATTGGGTCTAAGTGAAAGTGACAAATTGTTCAATAAAGCCTTGACATTAAACATTTATTCAACATGTAAATTGTTAAGCGGAATTTGTAAATCCAATAGAAAGTTACTGACTTCATGAGAAATTAAATTTATTTCAACACCAAAGCTCTAATTAAAAATACAAGCATCAAATAATTTTATCAACTAAATTAGCTAAGTAATCATTATATAACATACGCAAGCAAAATAGTTATATATATATACTTTTAATTAATAATTTTAATTAATTAATAGATTTCACGTTAGGATATAACTTCCATGAATTTTTAGACTTCATAGATGTCTTCATGGGAACCCATTTAACTTTTTCTTTAGCTTTAGATTTCCATTTTTTCACATCAGGTTTTGGAATATGAGCTTTTGTCGATTTTTTTAATAAAACATTGTCATTAACTGACCTTCGAATTCTTATTTCAAAATTTTCATTATCAATATTAACATGTGCATTATCAGGTTTTGTTTTCTGAATTTTTTGCATACCATTATGATAAGAAATCCTCTCAGAAGCAATAGCCACTGGTTCTTGATCTTCAATTACATTACGATTTTTATCAACATATTCATACAGAGAGTTTGTAAGACCTTTGGAATTATCCATATTACTTGAATGTTTATTTTCTCGATTGATTGAAGTCAATAAAGCAGCATTCTGTAAATTATCATTTATTGCAACATAAGTATTTGTATTATCCTCACCATCTATTTTTATATCGTTATCAGTGTCAGTTGAATTAAAACGATCTATTATGTCTTCTGGGTTTTGTATTATCTGTTCTACCTCTTTAAAGTCTTCAACTTGAATATTTATTGGAAATATTTCTTGCTTAACTTTATCGTCATCATTATTATTCATTGTTTCATTAACATTTCCGTTATTTATTATTTCATAATTTTTATCTTTGCTTCCATAATTAATCTCTTCTTTATTGGAACTCTTAGTAGGTTCTACATAATTTACAATGCTGTCATTATAGCAAGATGAAATCACTTGACCATCAACATCGATTTCTTCAGTACAATCATTGGTAACAGCACCATTCTTTTCAAATTCATTTGCAGTGACGTCTCTTGTATTTCCCACTCTATTCGCTTTATTTACTACCGAGCAAGATGACTCAACACGTGGTTCACTCAATTGAATCACTCGTTGTTCAGTATTTTTATAAGTATCTGAAGGAACTTCAACTTGATTTATTTTATTTATAGAGTTTTCAACAGCTTCTTCTGGATTCCAATCTTTGGAGATATTTTTATCATCTCCAGAGGATTTTTCTTGATAGTTGTCATCATCTACAGCATTATCAAATTTATGGAATTGATAAAAATCACGACGGATCGGATTAGTTTGAGAATTTTTTCCATGCTTTTCATGTTTTATTCGTTGATCTCTGTTAATTATTGCGTTATTATAATGTTCTAACTTCTTCTTTTGATCATAAGATAATGGATACCTTCTATAACCTCGAAATTTTTTTTTCAAATTACGTAGATTAGTTTTAGATCTAAACTTTTGTGGTAAATAATAATTAATTTTACCTTGATATGTTTTTGTTAAAAAACCTTTTTGATCTCTGTTGTTAGAGATATCAGACAATTTATTTTTTAAAGAAACTGATTTATAATCTGATTTGAGTAGTTGATTTTGCTTAATTCGTTCAAGTTGTCGCCTGAAGTCCAAAGTTAATTGGTCTACATTTATATTTGTTGGAGAATTCTCAGGTATGACTACAGATATTATATTGCCAACGTCCAAAGAGGCGTGCGTCATCACTGAATGTGATTCTACAAGTTTTAATTATTTGATTGTCAATCAGAAGCTAGTAATTGAAAAAAAAAAAATTTTGAAATGAATTCATCAAGTAAATATAAATTGAACTTCAATGTATATTTATCAATCATAATTATTCCAATAATAAATAATTTTAATAATTTAAAAGTGCAAATAAATAATAGAACAGTGAAAAAATTAGTATAATTTGTCATGTCTGTTTTTTATTACCAACAACACCAGTCGTGCACCAAATGAATAAAAATACAAACGAAATGGATGCAAATCTCATGACCTTTTGATTCTTATATTCTTTATTCAATCCAATTCACCAACTAGCCAAACTCTATCAGCTATAAAAAACGACATTGCAAAATGAATGTGCACAATAATTTAAACCAACAATACCATGTTTATAAAACTAAATGAACAATACCACTATAATTAGATCCTTTTATAGTCGATTGAAAGTACAAGTGACATTTTTTTAAAATATGAATATCAACATTAGAGTAATTACGTATATTTTGGAGCGTAATTATTCAGTATTCTAATGCTAATTATGCAATGCTCTGAATATTTCATTTCCATTGATTTCACATAAGCTGAATTGAAGAATAATAGCAATATAAATTCAACGAATCGTAATAAACTACTAATGTTAAATTACTATTATGTAATATAAGTTAGGAGACTATTATTTTGGTAAACTACAAAGCGGCTTTTGAATGTAAACATAATTATGTCCATGAAATTAAGTGTGGCAAATTACAGTTATTCGTCATAATTTGTATAATTTTTAAAACATTAAAATAACTCAGAAATCATTAATGTCATTATTTTTTATTCAAATCAGTAACATTTGTATCTCATCATTGAGGTTCGATGATACACTTTATAATTATCTGAAATAAAATAAATAATTGTGATGATTTATAACAATAACAATTTATTAATAAAAATCGATTTTTTAAAAGTTTTCCTTAAGAAAATCAAAACCTTTAGTCACATAGTCAAAGTCGATGACTATTTTCTCTTGGTGCTCATGAATTAAGTTTTGTTTCCATTGTTTAGAAGTGCGATATTGTTATGCAATAATTTTATTAATTTCACCTGACGATTTTTATCATCTAGTTTTAATTCAACTATAAAGTTTTTATAATTCTAATCAGACTGTAAAATAAAATATTAATCGTAAATGATAAAATCTGTATCAGAAGACTGTAAAAAATAGGAAAACTTACTTGATTGTAAATAAATATGACTTGTTTTCAATGTAACTACTTTTATTGCTATTTAAATTCAAGAGGTCATTTAATATTCACTAGACATCATTTTTCCATAATTTTGCTTTTGTATAAATTGAATAAGTGTATAAAATAAAAAATCATGTATTTCCGCTTACGTAAAATACAAAAGTCCGAGGACATATTATTAGTGGAAATAATTCAATGGAGGGGGAATAATTGCTATCTGAATGCTAAAAGTTGAACGGCCATCCATATACCCTACTAGTCTGCAAAGCAAACGTACATATAACCGGCTGAACGAACCAGTCGTCAAAACAACAAGTTATACACAAATATTTACGTCACCAGGTACGCCAGTTGCTTCGGATTCTAATTTTTACTCGAAATTTGGAGTGATCTTACGCCTTTGGTCGATCACATCACTAATATAACCCATACAACATCAGTCCCACATGATTCCAAGAACACATTTACACACAAAAACAAGCATCGAGTCTGCTTCATTCCATACACTAAACCTAAAGAAGCCTTGCATCTTCTCTTTTTCCATAACGGCCAGTCTGGTTCAAACTCGTGTCGAGCCTCCTTCGTGTTACATATGTTGATGTGTGTATTTACTATACCATATCGATTAATATTTCACTACACGCGACTGCTTTAAAAAAGTCCAATAAAAATAGATAAAGATTGTGATAAAGTTTCTAGTGTTTCTACATCAGAAAATGTATAGACTGTTTTCTAAAAGAAAAACATCTCAAACTGGTTCAAGAAAATTTCATCTCATTATATGGAGCATACTTTTATGGAACTGAGACGTAGTTTTTACAAAAAACTATTAATAAACAAGTTTTTTCATGTTATGTAAAGGTTTTTTTTGCATATTAATTCCACATTGTTTATCAGAATATAAATAAAGCGTATGATAAAAGGAAATTGTAAAATATTAAATAATCATTTACTTTTGTTTAAATGTTGATAAATGTTAAGTGAAGTAGACACTTTTTTTATGAATTGTCTGAGTAAAAATTCTTATCAATCAACAAAGTGAATATGATAGAGATGAGATAACAGACATAAAAAAAATATTAAAAACTGATTATGATTGTTATTTATAACGTTGATGTATGGAATACTGGACTTTGATTCAGATGAATTATTAATTTTGCACAGTCATTAAGATTTGGTACTTGTTTCATTGATAATACAGTGTAAAGTGATATCATAATGATATACTGTTATGAATAGTATAGTTAAAATTATATTTAAATGTAAGTTACGTGAAATATTTTATCATTATGAATGTATTCGTGCAACTTGGACTTTGAACCGGACCATGCGAAACTGATAGATTCCAAATGTTTTTATCATTTGGGGGATTGACTTTTTATCACTGATAATTTATTTGTATGCATTTTTAAATCTATGTTTTATAATTATTGATAAAATTAAAACAGTCCTTTTAGATTAGAGACTGATAAATACTCGTCTTCTGATTATTAGTGAGACGTGCCCCTAATTTTTTTATTACTCATTTTTGATTTGCTCAAATCAGTCTACCCAAAGTCCAGCCACAATTTTTTTTTAATAAATATTAATTGTATTAGTTAAAAAAAATTATTTGCAGTATTCTTTTATAATAATTTTTTGGTTTTTTTTTTGGTATTTATTTTTAATATTATTTGAAAACATTGACATTTTCAGAAATTAAAATCATTTTATTAATTAACAGGAAATATGGAGTCACTCAGACGCGGAGTACAACGTTTAGGATTAGTTTTAAAGAATGGTCAGAGGATTGCTAATAAAGCAGCTGTACGACAATCATCAACTTTGCCTAGATGTAAAGAAATTATTGGTAACAACGGCGAACGAATTATTTCCTCATTCTATGAAGACGTAGAAATTCCTTCTGTCACAATACCTGAATACATTTGGCAGAATGTAAACAAATGGGCGAAGAGAACTGCAGTGGTACGCACAATAATTACATTAATTACCTAACTATTACATAATTATAAAATTAACATAATAATCTAATGTTAAAAATAGCAAACTAATTATTAAAGAAACAATTACTTCTTTTAAAAATAAAGTTACCAGCAATTAAGACATAATTTTTTCTTTGTAGGAATGTGGAATTACAGGGAGAAAATATACATATGCACAAGCAAGAGACAATGCTAATTATATTGCAAGAAGTCTGAGAAAAATGGGATTGAGAGAAGGTGATGTTGTGGCTCTCATTCTCCCTAATTTACCAGAAAGTCCAATATCATTTCTTGGGATCTTAGAAGCTGGTTGCATCGTAACTACAGTTAATCCAATGTACACAGTTGGTGAGTGGATTAACTCCATCAGTTTACTTCTGATAATTATTTTCTTGGCCTTAAACCTTCATCAGTAAGGTCAAGTGCATTTGTGTTTATGACCTATCAACACATTAAATTTTTTGTATTTACTTATATTATATAAATCTTTGAAAACTATAAATTAAAAAACTAAGCATCCAATTTAATGAAGAAAGTCACTTATCTGATTTAATTCTTGATTAGATTTGCTTCGAGATTCTTAGATATATTTTTATTCTTAGTTAATTTGTACTTAATATTATTTCCATAACAAATTAAAATCAAATAGTTAATAATATTAGGTCAGTGATGTATTTAGATAAGTTTGACCTACACCACTTACATGTTGATTAGCAACTAAGTAAAAAGTCTGTAATACTTTTTATGAAAATATGAGCAAAGTCTAGAAGTAGCCTTATGTTTTTTTTATCATAAACTTCAACATTGTTGATAGCAATAAAGAAAACATGCTATGGAAATCATTATGTAAAATAAGAATTAAATTAAAACTTAGTATAATGCGCATTTCTTATCCTATTCAGAAGTCAGTCATGTATTATATGTTTAGATGTAGTCTGTAATATTAATAGTAATGTTAAGATTGAAATTATAATATACTTTTTTTATAATTAAGGAGTTGTCAACAATAAATATGATCAAAGTTTCCCACCATTTTATTTTATAGATGAAGTTTCAAGACAATTACATGCTTCAGCAGCTAAAGCAGTTATTACATCAGCAGAGATTGCAGAAAATGTTTTAAAAGCTGCAAAAGCGACCCTTCCACCAAATTCACCAGTTATTGTTGTTGATGACGGGTTTCAATCAGCGCCGGACGGCACGATTCGTTTCCAAGTAATGAGAAATATTCCAAAATAAATATTAGAGTTCATTAAATTCAATTCAAAATATTTTATATTAAATGAGATATTGTTCACTCGATAATAGGATATTCTAACAAAAGGAAAAACACTGCCACAAGTTCCTGAAAAATGTAGACAATCACAAGATATAGCTGTGTTACCATTTTCGAGTGGAACTACTGGCCTTCCAAAAGGAGTGATGTTAACCCACTATAATCTAATTTCGAACATTGCTATGACTGAAGGCAGCTGTGATGTTCTATCGGTACCAGGTAATTTGACATGAAAATTCTTAAAACTCACTGAAATAATATTTTTAACTTAAATATATATTTTTAGATGGTTTTCAAGACGTTGTACCTATTGTTCTACCTCTTTTTCATATTTATGGAATGAATGGAGTAATGTTACCGAGATTAACGGCTGGTTCTAAACTAATTACATTGCCAAAATTTACTCCCGAGTCCTATATAAAGACATTAGCAAATAATAAGGTATTTGTGATTTTTTATAATAACAAAAGTACATTTTTTAATTTATTTGAAAAAGTACCAATTGTTGATTGCTCTTGTGAATAGTGTACTTTGCTGTATTGTGTGCCACCAATTGTGCTATTTTTTGGAGCACATCCTTTAGTCAAAACAGAATACTTTGAAAATGTAAGATGTCTTATCAGTGGTGCAGCACCTTTGGCTGCTTCAGACGTTGAAAGAGTACAAGAAAAATTTAAAACAGCCGAAACACTGAGATTCCTTCAAGGTAAAACTCTGTAATATTTGAAAATATTTTTAAAATACTTACCATTTCAATCTTTAACTAATTAATGATATTTCTAACAGGATATGGATTAACAGAATGCTCTCCAGTGTCATTCTTTGAGATGTCAAATAAAAAGTTTTCGAGCATTGGCCATCCAATAAGCAGATGTGACGTACGCTTAGTTGATCCAATAACCGGGAGTGATGTTTTAACTCCAGGCCAAACTGGAGAAATCTGGATCAAAGGTCCTCATGTGATGTTAGGATACTTAAATAATGAAGAAGCTACAAGAGAAGTACTTCAAAATGGATGGTTAAAGACAGGCGATATTGCCTACTTTGATGATGATTTTTCCTTTTTTATTACTGATAGACTGAAAGAGCTCATTAAAGTGAAAGGATTTCAAGTAAATAACTCATAATAGAATTTATGAATTATAAGTGACATTTCCTAGTGAAGGAATATTTCTTATTATTTTTATGAATATAATCTGCAGGTACCCCCAGCGGAACTGGAAGCTGTATTAAGAACCCATCCTGCCATAGCTGATGCAGCAGTAATTGGAGTTCCGGATCCAAGATCGGGAGAAGTTCCTAAAGCTTTCGTGACCCTTAAGAAAAATCAAACGTCTACTGCTGAAGAAATTCAGAACTTTGTAATAGGAAAAGTATCTGAATATAAAGAACTTAAGGGTAAATAAGAATTTTTTCATGAGTACGCGATGAAGATGTTTTTATATTCATTTTATCACGAGCTCAAACTTTTTTTTTATGTAGGAGGTGTTGCTTTTGTCGAATCAATTCCCCGAAATCCTAGTGGAAAAATATTAAGGATGCAGCTGAAGAATCTCAGTTAGAGATTAAAAATATTTTTTATAATTGTTTATAAACAGTGAAACTCTGTTTAATTAATAATTTACAATATAAAACAAATGCACTGTGCCTCAATTAATTTGTAAAAATATGAAAATGAAGGTGAATGAAAGATAATATCAATTTTAAAGAGAATTACACGACAAAAAATATAAGATGATTCAAGACCTCTTGTGCCTGTAAACTATTAAATAACATATTTATTACTAATAAGAACTTGTGATTTCTGATGAGAACTATCTTAGCAGCAATTAAGTGATGTGATTTTATAATTTTCTGTAATATAATGAAGTTAATACTTTATTTTTATTTTGTATTTAAGAAATTTTCTAACTGATTGTAATTAATGTAAATAAAAGAAAATTTTAAGGGTTACAAGTAATTTTATTTCTTCACAGAATCATTTTGTTGTTTTTTTTCTCAACAAATAGTACAGTTTTATAAACTTTAGTCATTGCAATGTAATTAGTTACAAATATTTTTTTAAAATAATTTTATAATGCTCCACGGCCGGATCTGTAAAAAAAAATAAATTAATTAATTAAGAAGTAACTGAGTAACTGTGAAAATAATGGAAAATTGAAGGTTAATTTGATAAATTTACTTATACTTTAATTAATAAATCAAGGATTTTAGTTTAATTTAGATAATATAACATCAATATAATCATAATATCGAATATTACCATTAAACATTAATTATTTAACGATTTATTGAAAAATTTTGTCGTACACTATTCTTATACTGACTTCGCGTGGATTTAACGTCGATTTAGCGTCGTTAAATTCTCAATAGTATCCGGATAACATAAAGAGGGTGAAGCTCTTACGAATTTCCGCTTATGTCGGTAATAGAAGAAAAAGTGAAGAGGTATTTTATTTTTTAATATGTTTGATCACCGACAGATGTCATTATCGGTATATTTTGCCAATTATGAATAGACCAATCACAATGCATGAATTCAAATTTTTTTTTAAATATTCGAAAACTACCGAAGTTGTACGAAAATTACCGAAGTTATACGAAAACTAGTAAGACCTCTTCGTCGATCATGTTGCTCGGATAATAACGAGAATTTTTCGAGCGGTAATAGTCGCAAAATAGTGGTTAAAGCCGGTATAAAGTCGGTGTAAACATTTTATAAGCGTAGCATATGGCTATAAGTTCTTTAATAAATCAATAAATAATGTATGTTTAATAGATAATGTTTCATAATGTGATTATATTGATCTTCAACCTATTGAATTGAATTTTAAACAATAAATTTATTGATAAAAATATAAATAAATGAATTAAATTAATCCTTGATTGTTAATTTTTTTCATACTCATTCAGGTACGCGAACTCGTTTTTCAAAACAAACTTATTAATACAATTAAATCAATAATAAATTTTGTATTTATATACTAAATAATTAAATGATCAATAAATTAATAAATATTACGAAAAAAATCAAATTATTATAAAAAATAGAGAAATTGTTAACGCTTGTAATTAAACACTTATAGACTGGTGTGAATAAAAATTGTATCAAAAATTCATTCATTGACTTAATTGTGTATTGAATATTATTATAATTATGCAGTTACCATGACAAAAATACTTACATTCAACCAAACGAATTAAAAACATGTCGTTATCCTCCATATATTCTACAAATTCATTATTTACAAGGATATGAATTCCATAAGGCCCTTCTATCCAAAGTGAATGTTTACGTGTTGATAACTTGAATCGTGCAACAATTTCTGCATTAAAGTCGATAGCACTCAAACAATGAAGATAAACTGGTTGCCATATCATTTTATTGTTATCTATTGGTTCCAAAGCACAATAAACAGTCCTTAAAGGTCGAACTGGTTTCATTTGTACCGCATTGAATATTTGAATTCCTTTTACTGTTCCACACATTTCAATAAAATCATTTCGATTCAAGCGTCGCAAATCATAATAGTTGAATCCATTGAAAATATCGATTAAGTCTCCAAAGTTATTATATCTTAACCATGCAGTAATATCTTCCTGGGTTGATGATGGTCCTAAATGGAAGAATTGTAACAACGTACTTCCATCATCAGATCCAACGTTATCATCCTCAGTACAATTTACATTATTACACTCGGTTGAAATAGATTCTTCTGTTTCTTGAATTTCCTCTTCACTTTCTTTCGAATTGAAACTTTTATTTAAAAATTCATCATCTGGTGAATTTGTTCTCATTAATATAATTTTTTCACGTAGTCTATCAATAATGGAAGCTGTGTAATCCTTAGAAGATAATGATATTTGTGTATTCACATCATTCATTGAGGGTTTCATATTTTTACTAACAATACTGGAACTGCTTGAGTTTGAACTACTTGAACTACTTGAAGATGAATCATCAGATCTAGAAAATTCAGAAAATATTTGCACAAATTTATTTCTACAATTATTAGAAACCCAACGATTAGTAATTAATATTTTTATGAATAAGCTATCTTTGAATGTTTATACAATTATTTATTATATAAAAGAAATGAATTTACGTGTCATCGTCTGGAAATTTGTATGCCAATACTCCACTCGTTTCCATTTTCAATAGAAATTAACAAAAATAAAATCAGGGTTAAAATTAATCAACTTAGTCTTCACTTTCTACACTAACGACTAAACTCAAGAACCAAGTGATCCTCGTTTGAAGCGTGGGTCCCCACTTATTTTCGTACAAAAACTTTTCTTCGTTCTCACTAACAATATTAACTGATTGCTTTGAATTTGAATTTCTATTCAAATTTATATCTATACACCTATATTTATTTATACTGATTTCAAATTTAATTATACAGTAATTTTAATGTATAGGGAAAATGAATGGATAATAAACTTAGATACCATTTGAATTTTAGAACATTTATTCGTACTCGAATAAAGCTTCGAAATAACTGTAAAAATTTTCTGCTATTTATAATTATAAAATATATCATTTAATTAATACATTTGAATAACAAATCTATAAAGTTTTCTTTAAAAAAATAGTATGACTGTAGTCAATTTTCATTAAATTTATTTGAAACTAAAGATTTACTATTAGCTACCCACATGCTGAAAAATATTTCCAATCATTTCGTTTCTCATTCAAAAACTTTTTCTTTCTGCTAATAAAAGTAATATATAAGAATAAAAATAAAATTACTTGTATTATTAATGAATTAAATGAAAATTCGGAAAATCTAATACTAAACAATTCATCATAGATAAGATATGTAATTATAAATTTACAATTAATCGTACAGTACAATAATTATTTTAAATGAATCTCTTATTGGCTCAAGGTCATTCTAAAACTATTAACAACGTAAATCTGTAAATAGACATTACATTATAATAACAACAATACAATTATTGCTATTGTTATCAATAGCAATAAAAATATTGGTGATTTCCATAATTCTAGCAATTACAATTACAGTTATAATTAAAGAAATAATAATGATAATTAGTAAACTCTTATTATTCTAAAAATATTTTGATTACTTGCGATCCAAAGAATCAATAAAAATAACAAGAAATTAAAATTAATAATATTCATTCGAATGCATATCTAGATTTGTTTTTCTGCCTTTAAAACAATTACAAAGTAATCATTTTTTTTCATTACATTCTATTTAGTTGTCAATTAAAATTCATCAATCTACGTATTGACTGTAAAATCTTCATGATAAAAATACAGTACAACTGTCAACCGATATTGAGTTAAACCGTGATAGAAAAATAGTTGATAATACAATATTGACAGATGTTGTTATATAAAAATATCAGAAGAATAGTTGATGTAAATTATTCCTGAATATCTACTCAATCACGTCCTTTTTGATTAATCTCCTTTCATTCTTTAGCCCATTTTGAAATTTATCCATGAGAAAATGGTTTTAGAAGAAGTTTATAACGATCATTCGGCGAATCTGTAATGTTAAAAAAATTTCTATTAACAACAAATACTAAAAAGTTTAATAACATCCAATAAATGTTTATTTTTAGAATACCTATTGATTAATAAATAAAAAATATAAATGGTAATAAATTAATTATCTGAAGAGAAATTAAAAATATGTAGGCCATCAATAAAAAACACTTGTGAAATTACCTTTAATAATTTCAATTAAATACAAGTTTTCTTCCTTCATGTTTTCCACAATCTCATTGCAAATCAGAATGCGAATACTCCGAGGTCCTTGAACCCAAATGGAATGTAAACGGTCTTGAGGAAGATTAAATTTGCTGAGTAGTTCAGTTGTAAGAGCTTCACTTGTTAGATTGTGAAGATATACAATTTTCCATACTGGAGAGTCATTATTCTCAACAGCAAAATACAATGTTCGTAGAGGTGCCAAAGGTCTTGATTTTATTCTATTGTACAGCTGAATACCTTTTACTAAACCACAAATTTCAATCAAATCATTTCGTGTAAGATGACGAAAATCACTTGCAGAATAATCTCTAAAAGTTGCTTCTAAACTTTGGAAGCCATTAGCACGTAACCAAGCACTTGTTTGAATTGGATTGGCGTTTTCTGGAAGTTCAAATAAACCTCCAGTAATATTGACATCAAGATTAGATGTCTGATCTGGAAGAACAGCTTGAGGAGATTGTAATCTCGGCATTTGAGGTGATCCTTCACTGGTATCTTCTTGTCCAGAATCTGAAGGAGATCCACCACCACCAGGGTTTCTAATATTCTGGGTTAAACTGCAAAAATAAAAAAATGCAATACATGTAATTATAATTTTTATGGAACGTTTTGTATATTATTATTACTGTTGTATGTAATGATTATGTTTACACCGAATAATACTATCTAAAAATAAACATCTCCCAGTTAATACAATTCGTCAAATCGTCATGATTATCTTTATGACTGATTTTTATTGAAGATTGGGAGTGATCTCTGACAATCAGTGAGCTATTTTAAGAAGATTAAATTAAAAAAATATAATTGGAAATACTTTAAGACTTAAAAGATAAAATAAAGTGAGCATTTATTATTTAGTTAATTAACAAATGAAAATGAAAAAATAAAATTGAATAAAAACAAATAATAATGATCACATTCTTACATTAAATTTTTTTTTATCATCTGAATTCTGTTCACAAGGTTCTTTTGATTTTCTCGTCTTCGATTTCCATTATTACTTGAGATGTTTGTAATTCTCTTTAACATATGTCGTTTTCTTGATAATAAATTCATTAAAGAATTACGAACAGAAATGTTTATCGGTGTATTATTACAAAATAGGGTATGTAATAATTTTGCTACTATTTTGATTTTTACTCCACCACTCTGGCCAACTTTTGTCTCTTGCTCAAGAATATATACCAAAATCATAGGAACTGAACGTCCCTCAACGAATATCCAAATTGGCAAATTCTGAGGCATTTTATAAAATGCTAATTTGAAATGAAGCTCAATTTATTGATTATTACGATAAATAACAAATTTTTTGTTTTATATCGAATTATCTTTTGAGTTTTTGTTTCTTCTTTAATGATGATTAACACAAATTTTTAACATCGGGACACCGATGATCAGGCTGCTCGTCATCTTAAAAAACGAGCCTTTCCTGGAATTAATTTATTTGTTTCTAACATCATGTTGAAGTTACCCAAATTATATTGACAGTAACTAATAACAAACATTTCCATGGATAACTGAATTTTCATCAACTTTTGCAAAATAATGATTAAATTATGAAATACGCTGCTTGACAATGTAAGGAGCTTGTATTTTTTCTGCTCCAAAAGATAAAACACAGGTACAATAAAAGTGATCATTCCAATTACAATCCAATTAGTATTACGTCAATGTTTATAGTCGGATCTCTGTATCACAATATATAAATATATGTATATATATATATATATATATATATATATATATAAATTCAATAGCGAATAAATACTTGAAACAATTATAATCACTGTATTATTTATGAACAAAAACACTGTAACATTGATTCACAGGAATCAACAAAGAATATTCTAACGATAAATCATGACTGCGTTTTTTAATCGTTCTATTACAATGCCAAATTATTACAATTTAGTGAAAAATATAAATGGAAAAATCTTCAGGTGTTCTTTAAAACAAATTTACAGTAAAAGATCAATGTTCAGCTTTGATAGATGCGTGAGTACTGATGAACTTCTTTTTTGAAACTTCGAATGTCTTATTCGTTTGCTCTCTTACTCGTGCTGCCTCTCTACAATCAACTTAAGTTTCTATCAATGTCTGTTCCGTTAACGACAACGAAATAAATTATTGCGTAAGCTTTGGATTTAGCTAGTTAGTTCCAGTTGATGGTCGTATGAATAAACTCAAAATAACGATAGGTTCAATTGTCCACTCTAAGTTAAGTCCCCGGGCGTTGGCCAGAGGCTTCAAAATGATTCCGACACGAAGCCACACTATGGTCAGATTGTAGATTCTGGATTGTGCCAGTTTTAGCCGGTTCAGAGGCTCGGCTAAAGCGTTTGCGAATCAACGAGAAATGTTAGTCGTCCTCTACTACTCCACATTCGCCTTCTGTGAATTCTGGTTGGTTCTTCATGTTATTACGTCAATTTTCCCTCTCTTCGTCAACTCTCTTGCCCCTCTTCTACTTTGTTAATCAACGGAACTACGCTGGATATTTGCAATTTAACCGACTAAAATCAACCCAACGAAAACTTGAATGCTAGGACAATATGTGGATTCAATTGCCAACATTCTCAAGTGATAATATGACTATATTATTTGTTAATATTACTAATTTAACTCTTTCCATAGTACAACTTCAAAATATTCTCATTAGAACTAATTGAAATAAATTAGTAAAACTAGGTCTGAATTTTAAATACTTTCGCTCTTTTCTTCATTTTAATTCTTGACAATTATACCACAATTATACATTTACATAATTTATTGGTATTTTCAGTACGCAATTTGAAACTGAAGTTTTATAATAAAATTAACAAAATATTTTGACTTACATTATGTCACTAGCGATGAATGGACTTTGGGAATTCCGTAATTTTGGACTGGACGGTGGTAATAAATTTAATGGAACCTAGAAAATGAATAAAAATAATTTTTTATTGAGCTTTGATGATAAAAATAACTGATGATTCATTGAATAATAAATATAAGTTGTATTGTGCTTGAAAAATTGAAATAATTCAAAAAAACACAATTGACCTACCACTAAAAATAAAATTTTAGAAATCGTCTAATTGTATGATTAGAAAAATATATTAATATTATCATTTCAGGTGGAACGTTCACGATGAAATCTGATAAGAATGAATTCTCTATTGTTTAATTTCGTTCTTCATTGATTTAAAACAGCTTTTTTGGTATATTAAGAAAAATATTTTTATCAATTATACTTAACTATGAACATTAGTATTCATTTAATATCTAGATAACACAGTATGCCTACTAAAAATTTTGTAGAACTAAATTAAATATTGTAATTTTCTATGAAAAGGATAGCAAAACTAGAAGTTTATTATTTTACTTACATCAGTAAGAACTGTACATTCACAACTTGATTGATACAACTCCTGTTTTTCGAGTGGCTTTCGACGTATCTTTTCTTGATCTTGTTTATGTTTACGATCAGCACCTTTCAATTTGAAAACCTTTATTTGACAAGAAGCAGCATGGAGACGTAGGCCACTACACAAACGTGTTTCTACTTGTATTCTAAATGGAACACCTTTTTCTCCACCATGTTTTTTTGCTGTAAATTCAGTACTGATACAATTGATCTGAAAATAATTTTTTTTTCCATGAAAATATATTATAAAAACCGAAAAAAATAAATGTAATATCATTGATGTGATTAATAAAAAAAATAATCTTAACCTTGATATAAACATTGGCTTCTTTGGTTGGATCCCACGTAATTTCAACAGTATTTTTTGGTAAAGAATTTTGACTAACTTCCAACATTCCATAACTCAAAGGCACATCAACTTCTAACAATCGCTCACCAGGTCGTGCACGTTGCCAAGCCATCATTTGCTCACGTTCTGTGTATTGCAGTCTTCTTTCATGGAAGCATATTTTTATGGTAGACTAAAAAAAAAATATACATATATGGCTCTATTATTATAATATTATTTAATTCTTAATGAATTTATAAAATGAAACGCACTTCAAACTAGTTAGTTCTCATTCTATGATCTTAATTTTAACAATAGAATGATAATAATACTAACTAGTTGAAGAAGCAAATATTTTGTCATATAAATATGCTTATAAAGCAAATAGATTATTTCACCTTGAGTATTCTTCCTCTGTATGCAGACAAATCTCCAAGCTTTTTTAATTTTAATTCATAAGGCTGGCCCTGATTTAAATATGTTAAAGTTTCTTCAGTCAATTTTATCGCCATACTTGTCGCTGCGCCGAGGACATATTGAAATCTATAAAAAACAATTTTTCATTTAAACAAATCATTTAATTTTAACTGTTTGAGAAAATATAATTATTAAAACATACCGTGTATCTCCATTGAATTCAGATTCTTGTTGAGATGATGAAACGTGATTGCCCGAGGATGAAGAAGAAAATTCTTCATTATTTGAATATAATAATTGATGAAAATTATATGGTGTCATCTGCCCTTTTCCATTGTTGCTAATATTTCGAGAATTTAGTCCTGAAGCTGTGGTATGATGATTCTCTCTGTCAATATTGTTTGTAGAAGCTGTTGTTGTTGAAACATTATTACCAGTTGTGTTGTTATTATTGTTACTATCAGGTTCAACTAAAAGACCAATGTTCCCACCATTTTGAAATGAACCATTTATATTTCTTTGAGATACATGATTTAAACTGAAAAAGAAAACAATAAATCATAAATATATAAATAATTAATTTTTAGAAAAAAACATTAACAAGAAAATATATTAAGAACAGAAAAAATTTGATTCTTCTAAACAAAATTAGTAGTTTTGCTATAATTATTGACTGTATGAATTAATACAAACTTTGTTAAGATAAAGTGAATAAACATAAAAGAAAAATATAAATAATGAGTATCTAAAAATTATCAGCATTGATTTATTATAATATATGCTGCAGAAAAGATTCTTAGATTATAAATTCTAAATTAGTAATAGATTATTTCCACTCTAATAGTAAATTTTTTATTGAATACTAATATATTATTTTTTAACTGAATAATTATTGTTTAGTCTCATCTTATGTACTTACTACTAGGCTTTAACGAAAATATTATGGTACATAAAAACATTTAATACACAAATACGTCATATGGAAATGAAGAACTTGTTATAAACTACTACTAGTGTAATTCCACATTCATCAATATTTACAGCAAAACTAGAAATTATATTAATATAAATGATAAGAAAAAAACAGAATAAAAAGTATAAGTGTAATACAGGAAACTAAATAATGAACCCAAAGAAGTTGGTGTATTCTCTGCTGAGTTTCTCATTTTCAATTAATGAAATGATAGCACAAAGTAACGGCGTTAACTCTGTACGAGTATATTCATAACTAATATGTAAGTTTCGGAAGTTGAAGAAACATCAGAATTCAAAGAGCCATGACATACGCATAAAACAAGGCAATGAGATAACGTTTTTATCATGATAAACGCTACGAACATGTTGGGTTGAGACCGGTTTCATGCAGAATCTTGATATATAAACTACACTAATAATCCATTCCGTAAAAGAAGATTGTTCCAAGCTCTTTAGTATGTTCTTCATTCTCATTATATTTTATTACTTTACTATTATGACTAAAGTAGAGAAAATCAAGTGAGGTAAGACCGATGCGAAGATTATGCACTCACTTTGAATTGTTGATTTGATTTTCTGGCGACGGAGCTTCCTGTTTGAAGACAGTCAGTGAGGGCAACGCCAGTAAAGCTTCGCTGAAACAACCCTGAATTTAGCGAACAAATGCGACAAAGCTATCTATATCTGCTGATAATGATTTTTTACGATTACCTAGCTTTCGCGTGCATTTTTAGTTATGTTATTTAAAAATTCTGTTGATTAACACTGAAATACTTACATTTCATTTAATAGTTCAGATAAACAGTCTAAAAATGTGGAGCAATTGACTGTACCTAATGGTTACAATTCGATTTAACTATTTTTCATAATATTGAGTTTATGAGAACACGATTAAATAATGATAATTAAATTTATCTTTTCAAATTGAAAACCGTGATTTATTAACAACAATATATAGCGGTGTAAATTTAACATACAGATGGTTAAATGGTTTCAACTCTTCTCAAGAAGAATATAATATCATCCTACATGGAATACATGAGTATAAGAGCAGCATAACCGAACTAAACGAGATATGAATTTTTGTATGGAGAGTAATCTACACTTAATAATGATTAATTCATCATTTTACGTTATCCGCATCTATCATTACGTAATTGAATTTAACTTGTAGTTAATTTTTTTCAATCTTTAATGTCGAAAGCGCATGCTTATTTTATCCAGCCTGAAATTTGACATACTTACTAATATTTCATTAATTTTTTTACAATCAAACTTCAATTAAATATATATACTCAATTGCTTATGTGTTTTTTATCACTTCCATATTATTTATTTGTTTGTAAACATTCTTTACGAGTATTTTGGTGGCTACTGTTGCATCAATGTAACTAATCAAATCCAATCTGTAATAAATTTTTTACTGTATTAGAAATCTCATCCTTACCTCATATTATAAGATGCAACAGCATTGACAAGGTCATTTGCTGCTATTGCAGATAACGATCCATCAAAATCTGCTACCAAATGTTCAGCAAATTCCTCCACTTGTTTTGAAGACCATCCTTGAGATGAAACATTACTGCCAACTGAACCTAAAAATATACATTTAAATGTAGTTTCAAGACTCATTTAATTTTAACGTAAATCACTATAATTAATTAAGTGTTCATAAAGTATAAGATGGGTATTTCTCTAGTAAATTTTCTTTTGAAAACAGGATATATCTATAAAAAATTCGTTAAACTCTACTACTCAATGTAACACATGATTCACTTTTTTTATGCTATATTCGATTTTGTAGAATTTTAAGATAATTATTTTTTAACTAAATGGCTTATTTCCAACTTGATGATTTAATTTTCATAGTAAATTGTTTTAGTACACTGAAATTGATCCAAAAATTTGTAGACGATTTTGCATGCTATAAACTAGAATGAAAGTTTAAAATGGTCCATCATTTTATTTTATCAATAATATTTTTACATCAGTAAGTAATATTTTCATATCGTTATTGATAAAATGAAAGTTTATACACAGAAAAATTATTGCTAAAAAAAGATTTGTAGTACTAGCAGACTATTTTCAAAGTTCCAGTAAATTTGATAAAAAAGAAGTTACAAAACTCTTTGGTCATTATAAAATTCTGCTACGGACTATAGTAAATTCTGTTTTGGGCTTGTTGTACAAGAGAGAAAAAATTTCTCATTGATCTGGACCTGAAAATACAATAAACCACAGTAGAAAGTTTTATTTTTCTTTATGCATTTTCATTTTTCTTAAAAATGTTTTGAACGTGGATTAAATATTCATAATTAATTTTAAAAAAAATAATTGACTTAAAAACTTATAATCGAATTCAAGTTCGAACTAGTTCGATATTGGACTTTCTACTGTAAAGTTTTTTACAGTGGTTTGTAGTATTTTCAAGCCCAGATCAAGGGAAAAGTTTTCTCTTAAGACATTCTACTATAATCCATAATATAAAGGATTACAAGTTTGATCTAGACCGACATCATTACATCCTATAATAAAATTTCATTTAAATCTGTAGAAAAAAATAATGTAATGTGTACTAATAATCTTGGCTAATATAATTTTGTTACTATTTCACATTGATTTTATTTTTAGATTCCAGTCCTCGTTTACATTTTACATGGTAAAGCATAGGAAAGTAAACATTTGATTTTATGTCAAGTTTTTATCAGTTTTATGTTTTACCAAAGTTAAATATTTTCAAACAGTTATCTATTACTATTTTTTAAGTATTAGTTACATGACAATCTAAATTTCAATATCATGTAACTTGTGGGGTTTAAATAACCTAAAATATAAATACAATACTTCCTCTTATTACAACATGTTTTAGTTAAATAGAAGATAGTTTTTTTTTATTAGCCAAGATAAAACGTAAGAAATGAGTATTAAAAAAAACTATTATTTACGAAGATAAATCGAAACCACACATCAACAAGGTCATCCAGTGGTTCATAAATGTGGCTCCAATTCTTTGTCTTGAAATTCTATGATACGACACATAATATTATATGAATAGGAAGACAACAATTTTCATTAAGCAAAATAAGACAAGAAGGCAGGGTCGTGGTTGATGCTGTTGATATCCCTACTCTAATACTGAAATCTACACAATAACAGCTGATGAAGATATGTGTCTGTGTATAACAACGAATGAATTTAGTTGTCGCACAAATTTGCGTCGGGACTACGATCTCTGATGGTGGAAACACGTGATCGTCTCGAGGAAATTAACAATTGACCCGACATTTGAAGCTTCACAATGTGTTTCATCTTTTTCTGCTGTTGTCCTTGCTTACTACTATCTTCAGAATCAATCGAACAAAATTATAATCATAAACTTATAAGGACATTCTAATATAAACAATTTACCATCTCTTTTGATGTATTTTCTATCCAAATCATTAATTTGATTATTCTCATTGGATCGTCGTTTACGATTATTTAAATATTGATGATATGATGTTGATGGCTCCCCTCCAGACGGAGAATTTTCACGAGTATCAGCATTAGCTTGTAAAGGATCATTAGAGTCGGGTGAATTTCTTGGCGATTCATGTTTTTCATGCCACAAAATTGCTCCATCTGGTATTTGATAACCCATAGATATCTGAAAATTTTTATCATTAATTAAAATACAGAATGGATTTAAGTTTTAATCGAGCAGTTTTATATATTATGACGCATTTATATCTCTCATTCAGCTTAGAAATGTCTGCTTGAAAACAATTCAGTGTGAATTTTAAGTTAAACTAATTTGACTGATTTTTTAAATTGATCCATGGGCCATCCATAAGCCGTGGATGTAATTTGATATTTTCAAGATAAATTGACTGTTGCTTATAAATTTTGAGGTGAGGAATCCAAATTCATTGGTTATTTTTTTCTAAAGTTACCAATTTTTTTATTATAATCAATTTAAACGGTTGAATGCGATTTACGACTCATCTATGAGAAATTGCATTTAATAATTTAAATTGTTTATAATAAAAAAATTGGTAACTTTAGAAATAAATAACCAATGAATTTGGATTCTTCACCTCACAATCTATAAGAAACATTTAACTTATTTCGGGGACATCAAATTGCATCCACGGCTTATGGATATCTTATAGATCAAACAGAATATGAAAACACAATTAATAATAAATTGTTCAGCTTAAATGAGTATTTTCCAGCTCTCAATCATTTTTAATAAAAGTATGATGAATAAAAGATATGAAATGGTGATAAGTTGCTTGGATTATTACAATATTTCGGTACCAAAATGGTTTAATTTGATTTTTAATTAGTTTTTAGTGAAATAAGTTGAAAGAACTATAAAATTCCATTGACATATTGATGAACATAAATCATAATATTAAACATACTTGTTGAGTAGCAACGACGTTGCGTCCGCCCTGTTGAACAGGCGGTGATAATTGTTGATACGATGGTGATGGTGACTGATCAAGCCACATCGTTTCGTTCAGTGTGTCTGTGCCGGTCTCTTGTAACTCCATTCTAACAAATTCAGGACAATGACACTCCTCCTTAACAATACTTTTATTTTTTAAACCTTTCTCTCTTAATCAATAATTGCTATGAATTTCAAACTAATAAAGCAAAATAAAATTTACTGACAATTCGATCAAAATGCATAAGAGAAAACAGTTTCAATATCAGCCAGAATCCAAAGTTCATAATCCCAAGTATCTTGAATGTTTCCTTTATTGCATTTTACTCCAATAGTTTGTTGTTTTCTTTACAATTTGGCTGCTTTAACTTATCATTTTAAACTCATTCAAGTCTGTAATCTTGTTTTTTTCTATTTAATGATTTCTAGAAAATATTATTTTTGTCACTTTTAAGTTGTAAATAGCACAGTTAACTGAACGTGTAACCCTTTAAAAATTTTCTTCTCTACAAAGATATATTCTGAAATGATATACTTCTCGACTCATCACACACTAATTGCAATGTGGATGCTAATTATTTTCTTCAACTAGGAAAATGTCAATTAAAATTCAAATGACAGCTACGAGTTTTTTAAAAGTTAACTCGTCTTTAAAACATGACAAAGAAACTATTGTACAATTTCTTAATACCAGTCGTTTCACGCTGTCGGTGTGTTTCCAATAGTGCACATCCCCGTGATTTCAGCGATAGGAAACGTGAAAAAACAACAAATGCATCTTGAAACATCATTGTAGAACCTCGGTTGTATCGCATTTTGTGTTTCTTTTGATCAAATATTATTTATAATTAATTGAAGTTAATTTTTTCTTTTATTTTTCAATCACTTTCTTCGAAAATGGAAATTTTTCTATCTTTCACTTTCTTACGATACCCAATTGTATATTATTTGTAACAGACTTTTTTGAAGCCTTTATATATCGAACAATTATTTTTTCTTCAATTAATATAACTCCAACTATTCCACAAATTTTAATTATCAACAGTGACTAATGATTGAAATAAACACTCCCTTTGTAATTCACAAGCACCAAATGATTTCTTGGAAATTCAACAAGTTAGCAGCTTGTATATTGTTTATATTTAACGTCAATTTTTCTTATGAACTTGTTTATTTTACCTTTTTTATATTTCTTTTTATACGACCATTCACACACTTGATAGTGTCTTGGTTGGCGACGAAGGCCTTGGTGCTTGCCACGTAGTCACAACATTTTCAAAATTCTTCTCTCCATAGTGATAAAATAACTGATATTATTTTCAAAAAAATGTTCACTTATGTTGCAACCACCCAATAAATTTATTTGTTTCGAAACTTCACCGATAAATTATCCTTTCAATCGTTCCGTTATTTACTGCAGTAGAGCTTCAATGTGTCTTTTCAGAAGAAAATATTGGAAATGACTTTGTATATGGTTCGATTTATGAAAACTGGCTTTCCAAGACAATCTATTGAGCCACGTCTTAATTCTAAGTGAGTATGATAACTATCACCGTTAGTTCTAAAGACTCACTCGGGGCTAATTTGATGTTTCAAAATGGATAGCTTTAGCGTTATCTGATAAATGGTGAGTATTTTTTGATTTCAAATAGACTTTCACTTCTTGAATTTTAACTATGAAAATGAGAGATCGGAACTGAGATATCCGATCTTTTGAAGCTTATACTATCAACTGTTTTTAAGTGAATAACTCGGTGGAGTATTAGAGTTAACGATGTAACGTTAACAGTGTTGGTGATGAAGAGACACACAGAGAATAGCTGTGATGAAGGAGGCGATCGTCTAAATGACGACAAGAATGACGGAAACTCGTTGTAGTGGTGCAGCGTTTGGATCTTAGAAGTCAGGGGATTAACCGTCTGGCCAATAAGAAATCACTCGGAATCTTTGCGTCAATTAATTTCACTCAGGATTCATTGTTTTTTTCAAAATCTATATCTTCTTCAAGGAATACCACACGAGGATGCTCAATTTTCAATTATTTGATAGCCAAGTTAATCTGAAAAATAAAAAAATTATTCTGAAAACTTATTAACGACGAATTTTATGAGGTTTTTTGGTTTTATCATAACCAAAATTCAACATACAATAAAACTTTTCTAAATCCTAAACTAACGTAAGAAAAATGTAAACGATTAAATTCCCTGTATTTTTTGAAAGATGGAAAGATTTTTTGAAGAAATAAATGATATCAACTTCAATTTATGACGATAACTAAAAAAAAATTATTTTTCTATATAAAAGATCAGTTTTTATCAAAATATTAAATTATTTCTCATAATTCATGAAGTATTTAACTTATTGTATATTTTATAAAATAATTTAATTAGTTTTTTAACATTTATTTCACTATTATATAACATAGATTTATGAACAGAAATTATTTAAGTACAAAAAAATTATATAAACTGTTGAAATGATTTTTATTGAATAAAATGCTTGGATGTCAATTGAAGACACTAAAATAAAATGATCAATTTAAGAAAAAACTTCCAACGTTTGTTTGAACTTTAACTAACATTAAAATATCGTTTAAATAAAAAACTAACCATTTTTTCCCTTAAATAGAATTTATCCTTGAATGATTTATTTCAGTTGACAAGCATGATACCAGTGTTAATGAAAAAATCGACATGTTATATATAATCATGTATTAAATCTACCAAAAACTAACATTGCCATTTAAACGTAAATAATTCTGATACAATTTAATCGGTTACACAGGAAGTAGATGCTGAATAGATGAGGTTTGCCATTAGAATTGATCAGATACATCATAGGCTTGGCGTTCAATTTTTTTTACTCTGAACAATAATTTTAATTTGAATTTATATAAATAGAGGTTTTATAAAATATTGTAATGTGCCTCAAAAAAATTTAATCATCAAATATATTGTAAAACGTTTTTCAACATATTAACATTCATTCAAATTAAATAGTTTTTTAAACATTTCCTACCTCACGTATTTTTATCATTATAATCATTGACCAAATTTACTAATTGATGAATAATTGTTGAAAATGATAATCCGCAGGTATTACTTACTTTGTTTTATTATTAGAAAAAATAATAAAATAATGGAATCTAGTTCGTTGAAGGAATTTATCAGATAAAATGATAAAAGTTTTTAAAACCAATTCAAAATTCTATTGTAATTAAAAAAATATTTAATTTTTTTTAACCTTTTATTCGTGACACATATGCTTAATAATATCAAAATAACATTATCTCCAGAAAGAATCAACAACGTAATAAAAATATGATAAAGATTATTCAGTCCCTGCGTAGAACATCATCGTTCTTAATATTTAGATCAGTTAACTACAATTTTAGCTAACATTGAATCATTTATGTGATTTGTACTGTACATTCATAACTACCATTCATTCTGGACACCACACAAATTTTTCTAAATAATTTTATTGCTGCGTTGAGAAATTTCGAGTACAATTCTCATACAATCATCCTCGAGGACACTAGACCAGACTTTATAACGATGATTTAATCCAGCCAATGTATGAAGCAAAGACTTGCTCCCTAGAACTCCACGAGATTTATTTGAAGCTCCATAAAAAATCATTGAAACTCTTGAATGCAATAAAGCCATTGCACATAAAGGACACGGTTCTTGTAATAAAAATGCCCAATAACTTGTACACAAATAGGAGCAATCTGTATCGTTGTTATCATTATTATATTTGATTGATGACTTAATGTCAGCAGTTTGTGTGAAAATAGGAATATCTATTGAGTTTAAGCATTCAGGATAACATAAAGGATTTTGTTGACACTCTAATTTTCTCTTGTGATAATCAACAGATAAATTTTGAGAAAAATCATCAGAATTATCTTTTGTAATTAGTTTCCATGCTCCTCTACCTCGCATTTTAGCTACAAGATCCACTGCAAGCATTGCTGAGTGCCATAAAGGATGTTCGTTTAATCTTGAAGCAGCTACTGCAATAATTCGACCAACGCTACCGTCATTAGGATTGAATATCACCGTACTTCCATTACAATTATCATTCCCAATAGATTCTCGTCTTGCTGATTCAATGCAAACTTTCATACATGCTTCAATAATTTCAAGTTGAGCTGAATTAAAAAAATCTCCACTTAACAATTCCTCTATATGAAGATCAGGATGAAAATTAACTGGCCAATAGTGTGATGCCTTTTTAGCTTGAATCTTTGTTTTTGGTGCATTTTTAGGCACAGTCACAATTAAAAAATCATGTTTTAATAGTTCTAGGTTAAATTCATGATCAATTAAATATTTTTTCAAATCTTCTTGTGAAGTGAATGATAAATAATGACCTTTGTCTTGATTTGATTGGTCATTAAAAAAGGTGAGAAGTAATTTACCATTAGAACATCGTTTGAAGTATCCAGGTAATGGTAAAATAGTTGTTAAACTCTTGATTGCAGTAGCTGTATTTTTTTTATCTTTCAAAATTCCTGCAAAAGCTTTAGTAATATTTATATTGTCTGAGAATTCATCTCCCACAACTGGTTTTAAAACAATTTTTGGCTTATCAAGGGTTGCTTCAGCATTTTCAGACATCAATCGTCGCTTCTTTTCTTTAACTGATGTCATCTTTATTGTGTCACTGCATTTGAGTCCTCAATTAGCCTGAAAAATGCTGCCTTCATTTGACTCTTATCATTTTAATTTCTTAGCTTACTTATTGTGCATTATTATAACAAAATTATTTTAAATCCTATTTTAATTGTTAGTAACATCAATTTATTCTGATTGAATACTTTCAAGATACTATTAAAATTGATATTATCAAGAAAATAGATATTTATTGAAAAAAGATTTATCTTCAAAGATATACACGTCATTACCTATTACGAATCTTTATTACGATTAAGTTGGGCCACGGTCAAATCATTTGTCAGAGTTAGGCGCAATTGTTAAGCGGCAATCTTAAGAATATACCATAATATAAGGATTATTTCATACAAAAGAAAATCTAAATGGTTGGTAGTTATTTCATTGATGTAAAATGGCTGATTAATGAGAGATTTAACTAATAAATTGTAATTGAAGCTTATCATTCTAATATTTTAATGCATTAATAATCAATTAATATCAAAGTAAGAAAAAATCAACTCAAATGGTGATGCTTCATGATGCAAATGAGTCATGAAAAAAATCAAAAATAAATTTTCAAGTTAAAAATAGTAAAAAGCAATGCTTCAATATATAAAACAGTAGTCATAACTTTATTCTAATTTTTCTAGCATTGAAAACATAAAAAATAAAATACCAGGTTTTTTTTTTAATTGTTTAACTTCACTTTAGCATGAAAATTCCTAAATCGTTAATCAAGAAAATTGAAAATTATTTGAATAAATATCTATGAATATCTAAATGATATTTCATTCAGTAAATATATAATTTTAATCATTTCATTTTCCTCTTCTACTCCTTTACTCTAATGTCGTCAATGTATGTCATTCCAAACGCACGTGATTTAAAAAGCGCGCGCAGTAATTCATCATAAAACACACATGAAGAGTGTAAATTCGAGACTTATGATTGTGAGAGTAATATCTTATATAACGTTAACTATATTTTAGAAAATTTCAAGTAAAAACGTAGAATATTATAATCAAGTAATCAAAGTAATCGAAAAGCAAAGATACTACATACTTGTATTTTTCTTACTTATAACCCACGTGTTAATCTAGAACAAACACATATGAATACTGCATGGTTGCACGAATGTATGCTTATCCTTTATGATATTTCCTCAGTTCTAGAAAATTATATGATGAAATCGAACAATTATGACCTTGTATATTAATTTTTTTTGTAAGTATTAAGAAGTTCGTATTGCTAAAGAAGCTCACTGTCAATTACATTACAGAAAAATCTATCGAAAAACAATTTAGGTATTCCACTAATTCTTGACAACTAACCTCGAAAAATTTCTTGATAGCTTGATTTTTCAATAAACTATGCTATTGACCTTATATTCGAGTTTAATTATTAATTTTTTTCTTATTAATTGTTATCGTTTCGATACCAGACTTTCCATTGGAAGCAAAAGCGTCGACGTCAGGTGGCAGCGCGTTCGTCATGTGTTTGTTGTAACCTTTCCTATCGTGTGATAAACCATTTAATCTTTTATGTAGGTCACATTGGTACAATTTTTTATTGACGAATAATTCATTAGATTAATGTTTACCTTATAAAGTTTCCACCAAATACTTGATGACAATTTAATCCAATTATCTATCAAATATTTGTGATTAATCTAAGGCACTTTGTATAACAATTCGCACTCCGCAAGACGTTCGTAAACACTATGGTAACGGCACGAAGCTAGAAAGGAAAAACGATAAGAAAAAATTAAATTGACGTCATTATATTGATTTAGCACATCAATTATGATGTTTTTAAATAGTAAAGAACGTACTAAGTATAATTATCTAAAACTTTAGAAACGGAGTTATCGTCTTACGAGATAACGGTGGTAGCTGAAGCTGTAAGGTAACGAATAGGAAATGGTGGGGTGAACAAGATGTGTAGTTGTAATGTTACTTGTGTTATTTGTATATATGTATTTAATGAGTATATCAAGTTTTATTCACACTGTTATGTAGTAATTTTGCCGTGCAGATACTTTACATATTTACAAATGACAGAAAATGTCATTCGATGCCAATACATTCATTAAATATCTTCTGCTGGTAATGGAATTTCGCAATTATTTATTTCTTATCAATTTATATTGCACACAAAAAATTAATAAATATAATAAATATTCATTATAAGTATTTATAAATTTTCAACTGCTAATTCATCTTGTGAATTTAATTAATTGATTTTTTAAGATACATTGTTTTGATTATTCAAAAAGACAAAAAATTGTTTTCGTAAATATAACTTTACATTTATCAACACCCTTTAATTGGCTCATTGTTTTGTAATGATATGTTTTTTTCTGAATAAAAAATATTATGTTGAGATATTCGATTTAATAAAGGATTTCTTATTTAGTAATCGCCAATAATAAAACATTCAAGATTAATATTTTATTGATAACAATTTGTATAGAATAAGAGAGGCTTATTAAATTAAAAGTTGTTTCTTAATAATTTCATATTTTAATTATTATCACGTATTAAAGACAAGAACAAAATTTACATGTATAATTAAATTCGTAAAAAATAATGAATGAAAAATATTGTTAAATCGTTCTAAGAATTTATAATCACATCATAATTTTTTTTTTTTCAAAGTAATAATAATTGAAATTATTATTATCACATTTTAATTGTAGAAAATTGTTTATTGAGCATTGTTACATATAATTATGGTAATAATAGTGACGATGACATCGATAATGTAATATAATAATAATAATTAATAACAATTGATATTTCAACAAATAATAATTGATATTGCAGTAAAAAAATTTTTTAGTTCTCTCATCTCCACCTGTTTGACTAGCATGTTAAAAGCAAAAAATCAATGCAGCAAATAATTTTCTTATATTTTAGTGTAAATAAAAATAATTGTTCACTCAATTTAACAATGAAATTTTACAAACAAAATACGAAATAATAATTAATAAACATAATAGATGAATTATTAATTCGGTAAAATCACAAATCAACTAAACTAACGCTGCTTAGTTGGATTACATATTATAAATCTTATAAAATCATTCGTCACATACAATTGTACAATTGGTATAGAGAAATATATTTGTATAAGTTTGTAAACTCCACTAAATATTGTTATTTCACCTGGAAAAAGTTTTGCTTACTCGTTACGTCATTAATGATTCTTTTAATATATATAAATTAATAAAATAGATCCTAATATTTATGTTTTAAGTTTCTTATTGGAAAAATTATCTCAAATTTTTCTAAATACATAGTACGACTGATTGTATAAAATGAGCAAAGTTACATTTTCACATTTTAATATTTTTTTAAATTAATACTTAAATAACTTTGCTTTTTTATCCATATAAATAATTAATAATTGATAATTACACAATTTTTAATGGTGTAATAAATAATATTAACCAGATATAAAATGATAGTCATTTTTCATTACTCTGATTAAGTAATAAAATGAGAAATAAATACTTAGAGAATATAATATAAAAAACTGCAATTAAATTGCATATCGTTTGGTTTTTTAAAAAATTTAATAGATATTTAAATAAAATTATTTAAATTGATTTCAACTTGTAAGTAGCATTTTTAATTGTATAAAAAATTACTGAATGATTTTTGATTATCAAGTTATTGCGTATCGCATAATTTGAAAATTTATATTTTCTAATCTTTTATCAATTTGATTTTTAAATGATTGCTTATAGTTATTTATTTTTCAGTTCGATTATATTATTATTAGTGCGTAATTATCAAATATATTGTTTGAAAGTTTTAAAAATTTTAACTGTCAATTTTTGAGATTTATTAATTGCTTTTACTTACTCCTTGATATATGTTCTAAACTTCGGTATTAAATACCTTCAAAGTTTGTTTTGTCATAGAACACAAATTTTTTCGTCTTAAGACGTAGTTTTTGGCCAGGCAATCTTGGCGTCAATCCGTTTGTAAGCAAAAAGGCAGTGAGATAGCTCTTGCGGACATTCATGATCACCCAATAATGTTTCTAATAAGAAAAGAATATTTAATTGAAAATTTGAATCACCTAATATTTGATTTTACAATGTAAATAGAAGTTAATGTTTACCTTCGCCTTGAACGAGCTTGAATAGACCATAGTCTTGTGGATTTGTGCATCGAGTTTTGTGTGCAAGAATACGGCAAATTTCTCTAGTATTCATATTTGGCCTGACTGGGAGAGTTCTGGTATTTAACGATCCATGAATTTCGTCTGGTACGAGAACTCGAAGTACAGAAGAGCAGCAATCTGGTGTTCCACAACCCTTAACATTGTTTAATACAAGCAATTTATTATTACCTATTGAACTTAATCAAATATTTTATCATTATAATTCATTCTTCTTCATGCAAATCAACTTACATTCGACGTAGACATAGTTCCCTGACTATTTTTAAATGTTTTTAACACATGAACTGCGCTGGACAACGTTGTTAAGTAATATCCGCCCTCTCCGGTAAGTAAAGACGGATGAAGAAGACCCCACATAAATTCAGCTTCAATTTCAGCATCTACAACTTTTCCTCGGACTAAAACCCACACCAACAATGGTAATAAGTCATCAGCGCCGAGAGTTACATGTTTTTCACAATTAGAATGCTTGACAGAATTAAAAATGGTTGATATGGCAGCTAAAAGATGCTCCAATTTTTCCAGAGGTGAATCAGCCTTTTGTAAACGTTCAATATGTTTAAGAATTAAATTTAAGTAAGCATCAGTAGGTGGAATAATTGTAGCACGAACTCCTAATTCTTGAATATGTTTTCCATATGCATACTGAATACTGTCTGCAAGTGTTTTGAGTGATCCTGTGGTACCGTAGTGTTCAACAAATAATTTGTACACGTGTTCCCTTAATGGACGAACGACAAGTTTCATCATTACACCCTCTAATATAGCGTCTAGATTAAGAAACTCATTAGGTTTCAATTTAAGTCTCTCTTTCTCTACTTCCTTCTCAAATTCTCGTTCTCCATGTTTAACCAAATAATTTTTCATTCCAGACATAAATTGTCTGATATTCCTCATAACAACATGAGGACTTGCTTCCTTTCCTTCCATAGTACATTGAATAAAGTTATCAATATTCTGTGAAAATGTTGTAGTCTTATCAGCAGCAAGTAGTAATGCATATGTTCTTATACTCGATCCTGTTCCACCAGCGTCACGATTTTTCAAGGCTTGCAATCTTGGAGGAGCTAAAAGGAATAGAAATATATGAATTAATCAAAATTGTTTGAGAAACTTTAATTAAATTTTATCAAATATTATCGATTAAATATTTTTATCAAAAGAATTTTTACATTTGAAAAATATTCTACTACGCTGTAATTTCTGACAGAAGCATCGAAACCAATAGCGCAGCTTTTTAAACATTTTCGAACTATAAAATGCCTTTTTCACACTAACCACTTGTTCAGTTGTTATTAAGTTGGCTTCACTTTAATTATAATTCATTGATGAGTATAAGTTACTTGAGTTGATTAATAATTTAAGAATATCTTGATATTCGTTCAAGTTGATTAGTTTACTGGAATCACGCAAGCACTGGACATTTCTAGCACACAATACTTTGATAGAGCAAGATAGAGTAAGACAAAGAGAGGGAAAGCAATGAAAGATAAGACTCGTGTCAAGCAGATCAGTAAAGCAGACAAGCTTTACTTATACAAGAAGACTGAATGACAAACGTTGATAATCTTATAAATAAATCATTGTCTTGTGAGGTCGATACCTATAGATATGATGAACTTTTTTGTGGATTGTAATGTGCACTATTTTTAGTATTATCCAAAAGTAATCGTATTATTTTATTTTATTTTAAAACTGATAAGCTACTATCATTTTCAAATCCTTAAATTAGAACTACCGATATCAATTTGTTTCAATAAATGAAATACGGTCAAACCGATTGATATTTCAACATCATCATCAATCATTTTCTATAATAATATTCGAGTAAATTTTTTATGAAACTAAAGTGTTATCTAAACACGGGTACTTGAAGTATTAATTTAAACACTTTTTAATGTTAATTATAAATCTATGTACGATATCTCTATATCAAGTTAGATTGTAAATGAAAGTCATCCACTTAAATATGTTTTAATCGTCGATCGAAGGAAAAAAAATATATTTTTAAAAAAAGAGAAAAATTTATAACACTATTTAATGATATAAACTTTCCAGTTTCTATTTTTAAAACCCGCATAAAAGCTTACGTTACGCTAATTAGCTCAATTATATACCTACTAGTAAGCCGTCTAGTTTTGACAACGACTGCATTTTACCGGTATAATTTTTTATTTTCTATTTATCTTGAATAATCGTATCTATTATTGGCTTGAACTACATTATATTTTATAATCTTTTAATCATTACTAATATCTCGAGTATTGCTTTTGTGTTACCAATCTTTTCTTCCGGATATCTATTCTGATGCTTATTAAGTAGACAATAGTAACTTACACAAAAGTGGATCCAAGCGTTCTTTAAAACTAGCTTTTCGTTTAATTCTCTCATGATCACTATCATCAGTATCTACTGTAGTTTCCCATTCAGACTGTTCAAATGTTGTCTGATCACCATCCCAATCTGATGGCGTTGTTTCTCGGTCTTTTTTCTTCTCTACATTGTCATATGATGAATTTCGATCACTGTGAAGAGTTCCTGTTATTTCCGTTGTTTTCACCAACTCTGGATATCTATAATAGAAATTTATATATCAACTTATTACGAATAAATGTTATAAATTTTTTATATTTAATTTATATTCTAAAAGTTATCAATGAATTAAAAATCTTTAAAATGGATTTAAATATTGATACTTTTACAAAACAGGTAGGATAAAAAAAAATATTTAGAAATGATTTGATTGAGTATTCTAAAACAATATTTAAGAATGAAAAATACGATTGTCTTATATAAATATTTATCCAAGATTTAATAAAGAAAAAAGAAGAAAAAGTACCGTTGAAGGATAATACTTTGAACAGTGAGACAATTTCCTCCATCATCTTTATTACTTTCATCTCTAGGAAATTGTCGCAATAAAATATCACCCACAAACTCGGGGCCATCTTCAAAATCCGTTTCATTTTCTGTCTTAACGTCGCTAACATTATCATTTCCGTTCTCGTTTCCATTCTGCTTCGGACTTTTCTGTTTACTTTGACTACGCTCACTTTCACTTCCATACTTGTCCTTGTTTTCATCCTCATTCTCATTTTCGCCTCTACGATCAACGTCAACAGCCGTTTCATCTCCTTCATTCCCTAAGTATAATAAAACAATAAAAATGAAAAGTCATTTAAAAGTGTTATAAACATTAAAAAAAATCATATCTTAATAATAAAAAAAAATTACCAATAAATTCCCAACTTGAATCAACAGTCCAGGAAGTATCAGAAACTTTCGGTTTAACTTTGGGTGGTTGTACAGGTTTGGCTCTCGGGTAAATTTTTTTATTTTCTTTACCAGCAAGTCTTTTAGTTAAATTATCAACGGAAGACGAAATAAGTGGAATTTTATCCTCAGTTTCTTCAGATTCATTCCAATCGATAGGATGAACTTGATTAAAGTGATTATTTCCTGGCATTTGAAACCATCCGGGTTCACTGTGTCGATATTTACTCGTGATTCCTACATTTTTATGTCTTCTTCGAGGTACCAGAGGTTGAAGTTGTTGAATGGCATCAGCAGGCTCAGCGTAAAAAGGGCTACTTTGCTTAGATTCGGGAGTTAAGGGACTATTGCTTTCAGACTTTGTAAACATCATGGCTAATTTATTTTTAACGGGAGTAATGGCAGTAACAGTTGGGCTATTTAAAGAATTTGCGCTACAAACTCTCAACAATAGATCTGGTCTTCGAGGAATGCCAATCTCTTCGGGAGAAGTTGACCCTCTAGGACTTTTAGCGCACGATTCTGCTATTGGTTTAAAGCTACTAAATTCAGGGCTTGCAATCTCCATATAACTCAGCTTCTCTCGAGATCTTGAAGACCGATCATTCCTTAAAAGCATAACTCGATCAACTCCGAAAGGATCTTTAGCTGCAACTTGGCTTGGACTTAACGCTTGTGAATCACTTCGGTCGTGTGGAGACCAACTAGCATTAGATCTATCAGTTGTATTCCAAATATCCTCGTAATCAGAAACTTTATCTGCTGGTGAACTTCTACAGTAAGACTCCAGGATATCTGATTCTTGATAATGTTGAGAATTCTTTCTTGCTTCACGTTCTTTGCGTCTCCGTGATTTATTTGTACTTAACGGAGTCGTCGGAGATAACATATTTGGTGTTTTAGATCCATTAAAGATCATTTTCGATGTCGGAGACAGCAATGGTGTGCTCGGTGATAGTGTAGATCTACTAGTAAAATTGGAAGAAAATGATTTTGTTGATGTAACACTTTGAGGGCTTAACATAGAGCTTCTATCAGAAATTGTTTGTTGAAAACTATCACTCTGATTTACATTCAATGATATCACTGTTGTCGTTGTTACTGTTACGTTGCTTTGACTTTGATTGCCGGGTTTGGCCCACCGTGGTGGTGGAGTTGGTGGTGTTTTAATATTTGTTCCTTGTTCTTGATTATAGACAACTATATTTCGTACTTCAGATAAGCTGCTAGGCGATGCAGTGCTCTCACTTAGATTACTTTGACCTGCTCTATGAAAGTTAGTCTCAAAATTAAATTTTGAGTCGGTGGGAATAAGTACGTTGTTTTCAACATTGTGAACTACGGGAGAACGACATCGAATACTTTGCACAAGATTTGGTGATACAAGTTTTTGACTTGGTTTTTCACATGGCAAGATTACTTCAAGTCGTTCTTTTTTGTCATCTAAAGGCTCGTTGAACCTCTTTAAATTCAATGTATTTGGAGGTGTAGGTCGGGGCAATCTTGGTTGAGGAACGACAGTAGTTGTGGTAGCTGGTTTATGAATTGGAGCTGCTGAATTTGGTGTTGAAACAGGGCTTAAATTTAAAACAATACTTTTGTCTCTTGGTATTTCAACATTATTGTCATCATTATGAATATCGTTGTTGGTATGAAAGCTGCCGAGACTCGAAGTATTACTACTGCTTCCCGCACTTTCTGGCTGCTTCGGATTCGCCATCGGATATCTCCAAAATTCTTGACCTAAAAGTGCAAGTGAAGACAGCTGTTGTCTATTTTTAGCCTCACGCATGGCTCGTGGCAATGTCAATTGTACAGGTAACTCGTCACTGCTTGACAGAAGAAAGTAATTATTTATATAGAATAATTTTTGTTAATCATGGTAGTTAAATAAACTCCACTTAAAGTAAAAGTGTGATTTATTTTATGATTAATCATCTGACCGGTTTATGAGTTAAAAATAAAATTTCGAAAATATCTTCAAGAGAAGAATAAATAATTAAATTTTAAAATTAATTATGTTGATAAATTCATTATTTAATAGATATTTTATTGCTTTTAATTTTGCATACTCACCAACATTGTGAATAGTGTGCTATTAGAGAAGGAATGTTATCAAATAAATTGTCACTGGTCTCTAAACTTAATTTTCCGTTATTAGCTTGAATTAGATAGTGTTCGATGTATGGTCCTTTGCCTGCGGGCAGTCTTACTGATAGCGCCATCGTATCGCTTTGACTCGATTGTCGTACGACAAAATTCTACACAGAAAATAAATACAATTACTGTACCAATCTATCGAAACTTTTTATTCATTTAATCATATTATTCATGCACTCGTTCACTTCATTTTTTTACGAATAATTAATGCAAAATTAAACTCTTTTATTTAAATCAATTCAATTATTAGAATTCTTTTGAAAATTTAAATATGTAAATTGTGAATCCACCAGCAATGTGAAAAGCGGATAAATTCCTTTGAAAGCACACGCATGCTTTGATCAAATTCGTATCTTTTATTGTTTTCCTGGCTTTTAGAGCCTTTTATCTCTATTGATAGAGAAAATTCTTGACATAAAAGAAATCTTCAATCTCATATTTTGTAGCTACTTTAAAACTTACTCCTTCTTCTTTTCCCTGCAATAAATGAAATGCGCCGGCTCTTTGAATACCAGGAAGAAACCAGATTGGATGAGAACGTATTAGTCTTTCTATGAGTGTAATATCGCATGCAACTTCACTTCCTGAGTCTGAAGGAGAGCCTGAAGAGTCTGCAGCTGATGTACCTTGGACTGAAGACTCTCCCTCAGAAGAGAGTGATTCCGAGCTCTGAAATTATTTTTTGTTCATTGGAATCATCATCACGTTCATTTATTAAATATAAAATTAATAAAAGAATAATAAAAAAATAAGTAGATGAAGATATAAAAATATTGCGGCTCTGAAAAGAATTACCTGAACATGATGAAGGTGCGCAAGTTGATGCTGCATAAGTGGATTAGGCGGGGGTGTGTCAGGCGAACCATCAACTTCCGAAACAGTTCCATGCTGCTGTAAATAAGGTTCAAGGAAGACGTCGTTCCTGAAATTTTTCGATATTATTAACATCATAATTCTTGGTATTTGAAAAGCATTATAGTCATATAAAAGGTCGTGATATCCTGTGGTTATCATAAAAGCAGTGAAAGAAAAAAAAGAGAAAAAGCCAGAGAGAGAGAGAGAAAGAGTATGGATGGCTTCCCTGTCTTTGTACGGGGGTTGCCATGGCAATTGGAGGTTCTCAACACGTGCTCGATATTTTCTCATTTCTCTGGCTTCTATTCACCACCTTTTTGTATGCTTTTTTACACATTTTTTATGCTTTTTAAATGAAGTAGCTCGTCTTTTAACGAGCTACAATTTTCGGAAATGAATTTACGCATGAGATATACTGGTAAACTAAAGAGATCCCTGTTACTGGAGCAAAAAGAAACGAGTAGCGAAATCGAAGCCGAATAACGTCGCTTGGATTTCACGTTGGGAGTCAGAGCGAAACGAGATTGAGTTACCATTTCATAGTGTGGATTGGCAGTCCACAAGACGTTGTAATTTTTCAGTTAATCATTTTATAAGGAAAACAACATTGTACATCTTTGTTTTATTTACGTATAAATTAATATTCATTGGTTTGTGGTTTCAAAACCAATATGAGTATTCAATAATTGAAAAAAACTGACTTTTCATGTTTGTTATCATAATAAATTTATTGCTCTCTTTTAATAATTAATTAACAATGATATAAGTTTTTTAGTATTTTTCTTTAATAATTATTATTAAAAGTTTTAAATTTTTCCATGAAACCTATTAGTAATTATATGAGGTTATTTTATCAAGAACTACTAATAAATTTATGATTCAATGGAGACATGAACTCTCTTTATTGATTAATAAATATTAAATATTAAATATTGATGTTTTATGCAGTTATTCAAGTTTTTTGGCTTGAATAAAAAAGATGAATCAGCCAAATCAGTTACTAATTATTTGAAAAATCCATTTTTTTATTTACCTTCGGATAGAAATTTCTGCATAACGACCTCTTGTTGCTGGACTTCTAGCTTGTCTGTCGTGTGATGGACTTGCATAGAAAGCCATGAAACCACCATTGATATGGCTTAAAAATGGTGGTAACATTTTCTGCCCTTTTTTAAATTAACACACTATTTATTATATTATTTCACATTATTTCAATATTTATTTTTTAATACTGGGTGCAGCTTAAATGTTCGGAAATGATTATCAGTCTTTCATACATGATTGTTTCTTTGGTCTCGTGCACAGGCAAAGAGCAACATTACGCAATTTTATCGTATTTTGATGAGTATTCAAGCATGACAGTGAACTTAACATAATTGTTTAAATAAATAACCGGACATACTGACTAAATGCACTTCTGAATAGGCTATAAATTGGATCAGTAGTAATAATAATGAATCAAATAATTCTATGTTAAATGGACTTGACAACGGATATTGAGAGAGTAAAATCCCTAGCAACGGCTAAAGACAACAAATCAGCTTGCAGACTAGAATCTTTGATAAACCTTTGACACAGTTCTTTTTATAACATTAAAGAGTTAATTGAAGTCTTAAGAAAACCCACTGACACACTTGTTCACTCTCTAATGCAAGAAATCACGATGATTCTTCACTAATACCAGGACGTTGATAAAAATAAATTAATGAATAACAAATACGAAGTTCAATTTGATGAATGTAGCATATTAACAACAATATTTCTGTGATGGCTTCTTTCTCTTGGCACGTTTATTTACTTTAATATATTATTGAAAACCTTTGTTCTGTTTTATGTAGGAAAATTTATCAAGGTGGAGCATAGACGAGAGAACAATTTCAGACACCGGTCGACGTCGCACTGACTAGCGTCCGAGACGTCAGTGGTGATGGTGACGTAGAGGGGCGTCGCGACGCTCTCTATATACCCACCTACACATAACGTCGCCATGTATATGCTTTCATACCCAGCAATGGCATTTTTAATCTCTCATCTTAGCGCTACGTTTAAAGTATCAACGAATCTGCGGCTTGCAATTATTAGTCAAGGTCTGGGGTCAAAGTCTCCTATTACTTGACAGCTTTTGTCCTGCCATTTTTTCACCAGTTTTTCAACTACCTTTTTTATTTCAATATTTCAAGTGAATGTGTTTTTAAAGTGTTCGAACATATGGCTGCTCTTGACGGTTTGATCGACTGAATAATCCCATGACTTATCTCTTGCTTTTAGGTTTAGGGCTGCGGTTTGGTTGTCACTGATCTTCGAGATAGAATTTTTTAGTAATCCGGTGATCACTATAATTAACTGGGAGATAGTTTTAAATCAGGTTCTTTTTGTTGATGCTTGACTTTTTAATATTTCATTTATAGCAGTTGAAAGAAAAAAAAATGGCTTTTATTCCAGGTCTTTAGGAGTTATCAATAATTTTATACAATATAGTCTGGTTGTTTGTACAGAAAATTGAATTTATGAATATTTAAAGTAATTATTATAATTAATCTCATTGAAAAGAATTTCTTTGAAACTAAATAATTAAATTCTCATGGAAATGAAAAATTTAAGTCTTTTCACAACTTCATTAATTCTTTGCAATATGAACCATATTTCAGGTGGTACTAGATACTAATTATAGCTAGAAAAGTATTCATCATTCATACAACACACAATGTAACTAGAATTTTTTTTTCTGTAATAAAAAATTTATCAAGAAAGTGTTTGATGCAAATTAAGTTAAAACATTTCATGAGAGTATATATAATAGTAAAAGTTAAAAAAAATATATATATATATATAATTTTTAATCAAATTAAACTCTTTTCTCGCCACTCTTTTTCTGTATTTTATTATCACATGGAAACAAGAATTTCCTTATGAAAACAAGTCTAAATTGTAAATAAAATGAGATAAAAGTTTCTCGTGGTATCATTTGTTTGTACTATTTGGAAGTAAATATTGTGAACAAACATTCTTTCTCACTAATTAAAATGTGAAAAATGAGTTATTACAAAGAATTTTATAGATCATTCCTTTTAGAACCAATTTCTTTCAATATTTTTACTCTTCTTGTTCTATTTCGAATGTTAGAGACAAATAACCTTAGAGATGAAGGTTTTTTCATTTAATCTTCTTTCGTAGTATACCGAGATTGATTTAATTTGTAGCTTTTGGCTGAGTCTAGCAATAAAAATCCCACAATTCAGAAGATCATCTTCATCAAAACCTTAAATTATTAACCGCCAGAAACATGATCAAATGTTTTAAATAATATTTCTAATATTGTAATGGACGTGGCGAAAGTTCGAGGGGGCGAGAGACGACATTTTAGCAACGGTTTTGATCTCATCGGAGATGCTGGCAAGAAAATTCTTGTTCTTGCTATATTTAGAGCTCATATTTCGTTTCATGGCACTCTAGCGAGGGCAAACTCATACAGAAGCAAGAAAAAGGGGAACCAAATAAAATGTTGAACCCAATCTCCTTGACAATACAAACTATGAGTTCTTTCCTTTTTTTTTTCATTTCAAATAAAAAATAGTGACAAATGTTTACTCAAGCATACAGGATTGATGACAGTAAGTATAATAAATATAGTCTGCTAAAGTTAGAAAAATAGATAATAGGAAAAACAAAAGTTGATTATATTGATTATGAATAATCATAAAATACATCAAATAAAAAATAAATTGTCTACAATTATTCTCAATTAATGGTTTAGAGAACTAAGTTATATAAATCGTGTAACATAATAAATAGAAAATTAAGAGAAAGTTAGATACATCAATGATACCTAATAGAAAACGTTCACCTGATTCTATGATTATTTAAATAACAATCTACTCATTTCTTATAATGAAATTCATTTTTCAAACATTTTTTTTTCATTATTATTATAACAACACTAAATTATCCTTCATTTAAAATAAAAAAATTCCAGAGAAAATTCATCGAGGTATTTTATGTAGTAAAGTCTACAATTACTTTTATTACATTGTAAAAATGAAGTAGAGTAATTTCACGTCACTGCTTGGTTTCTTAAAAAGAGCAAAAGTAACAAAATTTTATAAGTTTAATTTTTCGCATGATCAAATGTCGATAGCAGCATCTATTCAAGCAAGAGTATGTGAACAGTATGACTATAACGGGGTAGGACTTGACCCTCGGCGTTTTAGAGGGATACACCCCTCTTGCTACTGCTAGCGGCCATTGTCTGCCACCCGCTTTCACCTCATCCTCTTAGTGATATTGTAGTCTGTCAGCGGGTAGGCTTTTATCTCTTCCCAAGCTTTGCCATAATATCTCGCTTTATGTATCCACGGAAACACATATACACTTGAAAATGGTACAGTGCAACAGTCAGATAGATTGTGAAAAAATGTATGACAATCTGCTAGTGCACCTGGCACTCGTTTTAAAAAATAGCTTGAAGCTAAGGAGAAAACCAAGCGAATCAATTCAATTTTTTAAAGGATCACGACCCTTGGAGTTTGTATCTATATTTCACGACGTTGCTTCCCTTTTTTCATTTAATTCATCCATTTATTTAATTTAATAATTTAAGGAACAAATTTATTGATATACGTGTTATGAATGCATGTTCTTTTACTGGCTTATTTATGCATAACCGTTAACATCGTATCTGCGTGACTCGCAACGACAGCTGCTCTTGTAATCATTTGTTGCTTGTTTAATAAAACTATATTTTTGCTTGTATTTTTTATCTCACTTCCTTTTATGATACTTAATCACAGATTTAATTGTCAGTTAGATAGATTAATAATAAGTATTTAACCTTACCTCTGATACCGATCAGGTGGACTACACAATTCACTCAACATGCAGTCCAAATCGTTGGCAAGTGAATTAAGTAACTGAAACATCCATCATTATTATGTTTAATTGATATAATTATTCTTTACTATTGGATAAATTAATCATTTTTTTTTATTGAAAGAATCTTTATCAACATTTGAATGTAATCATTTAAATCTTTATAATTAATACTTGATTTATTTCATAGTTGAGCTTTTTAAAGTATAATTTCTTAAATCAAAATTTCCATCAATTAAGCTAAATCTGATAAAAATGATGCAATTCATCTAATGAGTAAGAAGAATTTTTTTGCAAGTCAGAGTTATTAAATTTATTAAATTAGAAAACAACACTACTATTGACCCAATGAAGATTTCTATATTAGAAAATAAGTTTTTTTATGATCAAGTGTAAAAAGAAGATAAAAATATATAATTAAAATAAATGTTATGATTAATCTATCCAACAATTAAAAATTTGTAAATTAATAACTGTTACAGGTATGATGGATGTATTTAATAATCGCTCTATGTTAATCTGTTGCATGAATCATAGTTATTTATCAGGCGATAAACCACATTTTTTAAACGAACAAAACTCAATAAATGAAAATGAATTTTTTAGTTAAATAATATTCTAGATTAAATTGAAAAATTTATCGATGATAATTAAATTGTTTCCAACTCAATTAATTTATCTTTACTCGTTTGGATTCATCATCAACTTCCTGTTTAATTCGTTTCAGTTCATCAAAAAATTGAATAGGTTCCAACTCATGATTAAATAATTAGTTAATATTAAATAATTCACAAAAAAGTTTTTAATTAACAGTAGAAAGAGAAATAATATATGAAAGAGTTATTTTACCTAAAAGATTATTTATAACGATTGAAAACTTCCATTAGAATGTAGTTGTGGCCTCAATAACTCAATTCACAACTTTTTATGAGTTAAAACTATTTTGCAAAACACTGTTCAATTATTCAAACAAAAAAGTGTCTTAATTGCGGTGAATTTTTTTTTAAAGTGGTGAACAATCATCTTTTTCTTAGTATTTAACAGGCTCTTAATAAATGATGTTTCTTACTAGTAAATAGCTGGACGCATTACTGCTAGTTGATTCTCTCTTCTTCTGATTATGAGACCCAGTGTCCCTACTAAGAAGTGACATCATCCAGTTCTCATGTTAGTCACCGCATCCCAAGCTCTAGCAAATATCGACATCCCTCTTAGCCATCCGCTTCAACAACTTCTGCAATCACATACAAACTTATTTAATACATTATGGTTTCGATTTCAGTTGATACAAACATCAGACAAACAATGTAATCCTGATAATCTTTTATTACTCTACAAAAGTTTCCGTCAGCAAAACCCAGAATCTTACGACTAAATTTATTATTTACCATAAATTAGACATTACTCCAAAAAGCAGTAACAAGGATTACGTTTTTATTTATGGTTTGAAAAATTACTCAAGACTTATTTGTATATTCAAATCACTTTTATCCTATCTATTACCTAATTTTATTAATGGAAATTATGTTAATACTCAGCAAATAAATATTTTATACTTTTGATATGAATTGTAAGTAAAAATATTTTTATTTTATCAAAGATTTTAGGAATTGTTTATTCAGATGAATGGAATGGAGTGAAAAATGTATGGAATTCATAACGAGAATTAATATTGATTTGTAAGGAATGAGTGACATTGATATAATGAAAAAATCCTCTTAAAGTTGAAGATGTTTTCTATGAGCAAGGATGAAATTTTTCTAAGAAACTTCTCGAGTTAAACATCATTTCTTTGACAGATGCTGACTATTTAAACCACTTCCTTACTCTAACTATTTATAATTGAGTTATGTAATTTGGATCTTACTATATAACATTTGCATTGTATCCAATTAATTTAACACTATCAAAACTGTGTAAAGTATAAAAAATGTCTCATTAAAAAACTATAAATAGTATTCATTATAAAATTAATTTACTTTTTTGTAATTATACAAAAAAAAATTCTTACTTTTATCTATCAAAACATGACTAAAAATTGCTAGCATCTTATGTCAGTAATGCTACATGAAAATCATCTTTCATTCACTATTTCGACTTCCGTAGCTTCTTCTATCAACACTTTAATTGCACATCAAGCGATCGTTGGCCAGTGGAATATTATTTGTCCTGTATTTTAAAGCTTACGTAAATGTATATTATTCGCTAGTTGTAGTAGTCATATACAACTTGAAATACCTATTTGATACACTAATTACTCTATAATTTGAATAATGGAAACCAGAGTAGAGGATGAAATAGCAAACTATAAAAGCGAGCTACTATTTTTCTTCGAAGATTCTTTATTTAATAAGGCAGTTGAATAAGTGAACCAGTGTACTGTCGATTTAATTATCCGATAAAAATGAAAAGAAACGGAATAAGTCATATTTTTGTCCTCACATTCGTTATTTCTATTCTTGTGGCGATCAATATCCACGATGTCGATGCTGTAAGTGCTGATTTTTTGCCCTAATAAATAATAATTGGTCTAAAAATAAATATTCCTTTTATAAGTATATTCTTTGTTTTATTTTTAGAAAATGAATCCAGATCAGCTCAGAAATATGTTGAAACCTATGGCTAAAACTTGCATTCAAAAAACAGGAGTGGACAAAGGTAAAAACTGATTCATTTTATTATTTTAGTTAAATTTTTTCAATTATTAATAAAAAAAAATTTAACATTACTCTAGATCTTGTTGCTGCCACGAAAGACGGCGTTTATGCAGATGATCCGAAACTTAAATGTTACGAGACTTGTCTTATGAGAATGATGAAATCTGTGAGTATTAAAAAGTAGTTTTTTATTTGAATATAATTTAGAAACAATTTAAAAACTTTTAATTATTTCTTTTAGATGACAAAAGACAATAAACTCGCTGTTGATTCTATGATAAAACAAATTGAAATGATGGTTGAAGATGAATGGGTTGAAAAAATGAAAACAGCGACAATAACGTGTGCCGAAAAATGTATAAAAATTTACATTAATTGTCATTTTTAGAATTTTAGTAAATTAAACATAAATTTTTTTTTACAGCATCAAGTACTGATCCATGTGAAATTGGCTGGGAGTTTGTGAAATGTTACGATGAATTTGATCATTCGGTAATTAAAATTATATTATCATTATCTTGATTATTAAGAACAATGATTAATAATTGAAAAATTATTTGTTTTAGCTGACATTCTTTCCATAATTTTATGCAACAAGAATCAAAATATTTAATCGAATGAGGAACTAATAAATATTTATGATAAAAATATTATAAAAAAAAAAAATTCTGATTCAATAAAGAATTACTATCATTATTAATATAATGGATAATAAAAAAATAATTTCTTCCTGTTGTATCATGTTTTTTCCGAGAAAAAGAATTATTTTATTCTTATTTTACTTTTTCAATTTTATGATTAGTAAAAATTAGTAAATATCAGATCAGCAATTTTTTTATCAAAACCAATTGAACACATTGTTGTATTGTCAGTGTTACGTAATTAAACAGAATCAGTCGGTCAAAAGGAAGTATAAATTATTATGAAACAATGTTTTGAGGTAGCTAAAATAGTTATACAATTAAGAACACATATTCGCTTATAAAAAAAAAAATAATAAAACCTACAGTGATAAGATAAAATTTATTTCAAAAACTATCAATAAAACATTTTTTTTCATACGTGAGATTATCATCATTGATTTCTTCGGCTTATATATAAACGCTTGCCATGATTATATTTATTGTAACCAGTTCTGTGATTGAGATTGTAAAAAACCTCATTTTGCACAATGTCTAAATTTGTCGTACTTGCTTTATGCGGTGTTTATCTTACAATTTTTGCTGCAGTAAGTATTAATTACTTATAGAAATTTTTTTTTTTATAATAAAGATGTTTCTTTTTTTTATGAGTAAAAAATTAATTTTTCGTTTGATAATTAAAGATAAATGATCGAATAATGAACTATGACATTAATTGTTTTCTATTCCACAATCAACTTCAGTAATTAAAAAATATATTTATTTGCATTGAAATATTGCGTGTTTTTCCGAATATTAATAATATTAATAATGTATGAGTTTTTATTTATTAGATTAAAAAATAGCTTTATTTAGTGTAAAATGCCAGGTTTATTATTTTAGATTCTAATTATTTTTTAACCGATAATCATTATTACTGAATTTCATTACTGAAGAATTAGAGAGACTCTGTTCGTATAAATTAATAAAATGCTCAGCGACATACGGATTCTTATTACTACTTTTTTAGAGTTTACAATTTTTATTACAATTACTCCGAAAATTTCATTTAAATAACAATATTAAGAAAATTTATTTTATTCTTATCATGGTAATTTATTAAAATTTTTAATCAGGTATCAGCTCAAGAAGAGAGTAATAATACCGGCGACATGTTTTTTTCAGGTAAATATCGAAAAATCATTATTATTCATATTATTATCATTAATTTTATTCTAATTACATTCTTTATATAAAATTTATGTTTCCAAAAACTGTCCAAACAGTCAATTTTATTGATGAATGTACGCGCATGGTATTCGATATAATTTCACGATTCGTAAGAAACCACAGTCATATTAAATATTCTATTCACAATTCAAGAATCTTCATCACTTAATCTATGTGCTTTTCACAGGTCAACGAAAGACAGCTTGATATCAGAAATTTGGTGGCAGAAATTACTGTAAGGATTAAGGATGCTAATCGGGCTCAAATAATCATAGAAATCATTAGAAGATGTGCTGTGTCAGGTAAAGAAATACAAGTATCATATTATTGGTTCTAATATTTAGAAAAAAATTCACCAAGATTCATGCTTGAAGATAAACTTCAGCTCGATATTTTTCTAAATTCATATTAAAAATATTCTTAAACTAATTCAAATTTTTATTTTATAATTGAAGGAATAATAACAACTGATCTCGAAATTCAAAATTTACAAAATTGCATCAAGAAGGAATTGCAACAACGATCAACTTAATTTCACCATGTGATGAATGGAATTGAATTATACTTCGAATAATACACAAAAATGCACTAAATAATAAAGATTCACTGACTGCAAAGAAATTTTGAAATGGAATTAAAAATTTCTGCACAAAAATAAGAGAACTTAAAAATAAATAATATTTAAATATATACCTATATAAAAGCATAAAGTTTTTCTTGTACTTCACATAAACAAGCTAAACTTGCATAAAGTTTACTTTAAAATTTATTATCCTTCATTATTTCTATGCCGTTAAGACTCTAGACTTTAGAGCTTCAAAGAGAATTACGACCTTTATATGTTTAAATAAAGAAGAGCGTTGCTCTTACAAGCAATAGTGATGTATGTACAGCATGCAGCTAGGTCTCGTCCATATCTCAACTACCGTCGAATCGATTTTAAGCTCATGGGACACCATAGGCGTGGACCAACCGGTGTCGCTGTGAGCTTTAGTACTCTCATATATCTATCCCCTCAAGCTTCGTTTAATTTATTAGCAATTCATACTACGAATTAATGTAATTCACCTGTTTTAGTAACAGTTGTTCCAAATAAACGATCAAACAGTATGTGATTTAACAAAATTACATTTAAGTTGATTAATTAAATAATTGGTATTTAATTAAATAGGAAATAAATGGATAAAGCAATGCTATAAATTGAATCTCAATGTATATTATCGGCTGAGAAAATATTCAAAGAAAAAGGAATGAAATCCATGGTCAATCGACTTACGGGCCAAATACGTAATTCGCGTGGGTTTTAAATTTTTCACTGCACCTACTCGAATCAGATGAAAACGGGTTTCGAGAGAGCCGAGCCCACTTGATGAACCTAAAGAATCGGTCCAGCAAAATATATCCATTACATACACATTCACTTTTGCTTAACAAAGAATTTAATTAGGAAGTTTCATTTCAAGAATTTTTACCAACTTTATTTTATATTCTATTGATATTAAAATAGGAGGTATTAAATATCTTTAATTAATCTTTAGCTGTTTCTTTTCTCTTATAGTAATTTTAATTATGTAATACTATCAATTATACATATGCATGAGAATAAAGCCTTTAAAATAATTATATCTGTATTTAATAAAATTTATTTAACCTTAAGAATAACATTTTCTGATATATTTAGCTTGTTTTTGCAGTAAAAATTTATTGATAATTTTTTATGAATAGATATGGAAAAGATAAAGATTAAATTTTTCATTTAGAAAATATATTTTAAAAATTATTCTTTAATGTTAGTCATGCTTTTAAAATTGTAGATTAGTTATTAATATGGTATATTTAATAATCCATATTTAGACGTCCTCATTCTGAAACACTCACAGTGTTTAATTCATTCAATTGTCATTTACTCGTCGACAATTATTAACATTTAAAAAAAAACTTGTTAAAATTTGAAGATAATTTATCTGAACATGACACAAAAGTATGAAAATGATAGAATTGATTTATTTATAAATGTTTCGGCAAAATATTAATGAATTGCATTGAAAAAAAAAATAGGTAGACATAGGTTGATATTTAATGGTGATACTAAATAATTACAACACCTGTAATTAACCCTGATGATTATCTAAGCAATGATGGACGTATACTAAAGTCAATATGTACTTATTGATAATTAGATTAACCAGAATATAGACTGATAATATTAAGGCATACTTTTTTTTTACAAGGTATTGTATTTTATTTAGCTCATTTGACAAATTTACATTTCAACAATAAAAGCTAAATCAAATGTTTATTTTTACTCCAAAACTTTTATATTCTAGAGTTATCTATGATTTACATAATTTCCCTGAGGTGAAATTTATGCAGACCATTTTTGACTTTTTATTCTTTTGCTCCATTGTGTCTAAGTTTCATTCTTACGATTCCCCAGGCCATACTCAGTTCATTCTTCCTTCAATGATCCTTATTATTTTTAATAATTCCAGCTTGCGTGCGCAGAGTCAACATGGCGTACTTAGTCAAGGATATATGTATAACAAGTATATATTCAGTCTCGTATTGACTGTAATCATATCAACTATAATATATTTGCCAATTGTTATTTCCATTGAGAAAAAATAATTATACTTGATACTTTCCATTGCAATGTTTTATTGGTTTAAAACTAAGAATTGGCTTTGATCAAGTTAATAAAAAAGAATGGTGGCAATTGCTCAAGTAAAGGAGTTTACAGATATTGTATATGATATATCATGCTGACTCAGACTTATCTGACAAGCTGCACATGGTTTAGAGTAGCTTCTTAATAAAACGTGTGAATCAACACTGCGATTTTAATAGTTACAAAATGCAATTTTATTATTACCCTTTTTCAACATATTTTCATTTGTCAAAAAACCAAAATGACTCTTGACAACTGTAATAATGACTATTAAATAAACTATAAATAGAAATAATGATTACTATAAACATAATGATAAAAATTACGGTTTGTTTATTTTTTTCATCCATGAAAATAAGGTTGACTGTATAAGAAAAAAAATAAACATACCTTTGAAAGACATTTATTTTAAGATGAAATAAAGAGTTACTCACACTCTCGATGATCTCCTGACGTTAGATTGAAAGTTTTCGCTTTTGTTTGTTAATCACATTTCTTATGAACACACATACATACTGCCACTTACTGGAGAATAATTAGATAGTTTGAAAAAACAGTAGTAGACATTAAACTACTCAAATTCGTCACGGTTTCAGTCCGTTACAATCGACAGGAAGACAAATTTCCGGCTCGAAAAACAAAAATAAAGACTACTCACAAAAGACGCACACTGCACTTGGTAGCTCTCTTTATCACGTATAAAATGTAAGGTAAACGTGGGAAAAGAAAAAACATGAGACACATAGCACATCACCTGTTGCGTTTCTAAATGCGACGGAGGGAGACAACAAGAGGAGTAGAGGGAATACAGTCAAGTGGAAGTATCAAATGAAATGGAATAAACGAAGAACTAAACAAGCAAATGTGTGTGCGAAGTACCGCCTCCATGCCGCCATTTTAAATGCCATCTGATGGTGAAATTCTAAAAATAGACGCGCCAATATTCAAAACAAACCTTTAACTTATTTAAAGAGACTACGGTTTCTGTGACACCGCGCTTTTTTTTAACAGGTAAAATTTTATTCATCATTTTATTCTTATTTTAGTCCGTTTTATCGGAATTTATCATTATTTTGCGACGCCACGGAAATTATAGTCGTGGAAAAAAATAATTATTAAAATAAAAGTATGTCTAGAAATAAAAATTTTTATTCAAACCTTGATACAAAATATAAGCTTTAAGAAACTATCTTATGCTGTTATTTTGACTGATTAAAATTTTTCTGGTTACGACAAATTCTTGTTTTCAATTTTTTGTTTTATTCGTAAACACATCCAACTTTTTGGTAGTTCATTTTCAGAATTTTCAAGACTTTCACGGTATGGTATATGCCAACCTTTTTCATCTTTATGTAATGTTATAACATAAGGAGGGGGATAGATTATCTGCAAAACTGATACAGAACCGATCTGTTTATAATAGGGCATTATTTGATGAGTTAGTTGCCAATTTCGGAATATTCGCTTTATTTTGAGATCTGTTAAGATGAATTTATGATCACGTAGAAAATCTCGAGACATTATATATGTATCGCTGCCACTAACTAAAGCTGCATAGATGGTAAATAAATCGTCTTCAGACCTGTATTTTTATTTTCAAAAAACACAATATATCAATTGAACCGTATGGTTAGTATAAAAAATTCAGTATTATATAAATTAATTTCAAATATTAAGCTACTTACGTATTGTTAGTTAAAAATAAAAAGCTATTGTTTTCTATAATATTCATTTCTTTTCTTGACCACTTTAACATATGTCTCTTTCCCAATATAAAAATTCGTTTTTTTTGTTCACGCAAGAGAGTAACTATTTTTCTCAGCTAAAAAATAAGTATTCTAGTAAACTTTTGATTATTTCTATCTATGATAAATTTGAAGAATTTAGTAATAATTTTAATATAAATATTAATATTATACCTCTTTTGCTCGTTCAGTAGGCATTTTAGATTTACGATTCAAAGAGTAAGCAGCATTTAATCCATCAATAACCACATCATAAGGCTTAGTCTCGTCGATGTATTTTAAAAATTTATTCAATTCTGTTGGTGTAGTATTTTGAAAAACATCTTTTCCTACAATTGCATTATTTAGGATATATTTTATTAATGCCTTATGATCTTCTTCACTCATTTCAAAACGAGGCATAGAAGTATGGCAACATCCACACGCACCGCTATAAAATAAAATTACAAGGTAATAATTTGATGAAGTTTTTACATACTATGAAGATTTGGAAGAAAAAGTGGAAAGTACGAAAACTTACTCCTTATCAACAGTTGTAGATGCATAATTCCAGTTCCCAGTATTACTAAGATATTGCATAAATGCCATAATAATGGTTACGTGAGGATATATATCATGTCTTACCCAAAAATCAAACATTTTTTCTATAGCTTCTTTCGATTCATCGAAAGTATGATAATGTCTTTGACAGAACTGTATATAAGCTACGTAAACCTTTTTCTGTGGTCTTTGATCAGGTCTTGTTTGTTCCAAATATCTCCAGGCAATTTCTGGTTCATTATTGTTAAAAGCTGCTGTTATAATTGATGTATAAGCAATAGTTGAAAAATTACCAAGTTTTCTGCTCTCTTCAAATATATTGATAGCTTCTTTCCATCTATTTGTTAATGATAAAGCAAGAATGCACCCTTCAGCAGTTTTAGAATCAAGAACATCATATTTTTTTCTAATGTCATCATAAAATTGAAAAATTCGCTTTACATCTTCAGAATCTAGAGTTTGTTTATAATTGCTTAATAATATAAAATATTTTACAATTGAAGCAATATTCAAATCTTGCTTCCTTTCATCTACTAAATAACTGATATAATTTAATGCTAAAAATTGTTTGTTAGCTTCACAACATCGATTAATAATAATATTATCAACATTGAATTCATTAACAGTGCTGACAGTAGTTAATACTTCTTCACGAACGGTTGACCATTTTTTACCATCTATTTGCTCATTATTTTCAAGTAATCGATTTAATGTTAATTGATTTGTACGTTTTATTATGGACTGCAAATCAATTTGCCTTGAAAAAAATGATTGTTGTGATTTGGGTAGCCGTAACAGTAATAAATTACTCCCAAGAAGTTTGCGTACAGCCATTCTGTAAAAAATAAGGATTTATTTATTTTTTTATAAAATTACATTTAATTTCTTGATAATTTTTTATAAATATATTTGTTTACTGTTATTGTATTAATTATCTTCTATCTCTAATAAAGTATTCAAACGAGATTTAAGCATAACCTAGAATCTAACATGCCACATAATCACATGTTTCACATTAAGAATACAATGATTTATTAACTTAAAAAATGTAACTGATTTTTTAACAATCCATCGTTATTATTATATCAATTTCGCTTGATAGTAATATCAATTATCTGTTAAAATAAACAAAAATATTATAAAGTAATTTACATAAGTACTTAACTTGGATTGTGTATTAAAAAGCTTTCTATTGACTAGTTGAGTTAATATACTCGATAGGCGCGAATTTTTAGCAAACTTTGAAGTATAAAAAGATGTACGTCCATATTAATTGATAAGACTATGGTAGTAATGTTGCAATAAATCAATGAATAATTTTTATTAGAAAAAATTCTTTGCAATTTATTTGAAGTGAAGGTTTTTCATCATAAATATTCATTACTATAATTATTATTGGTATTATGATCACAGCTATTTTAATCAATTAAAATGTTTATTGTAAAATTTGACCTTTCAAATCGAGTGATCAAAAAACACCGTGAAGTTTTGATGAATAAAAGATAATAACGATAAGTTTACATATTTAGGTAACTATACTGTTAGTCGATTTTATAATAGGAATATATATTAAAAATACATTTTATTAATTATAAAGTTATAATTATATATTGCATTCATGATTATCCAGTAAAAAGTTGGATTTTTTTCTTAAAATAACTTCACATAACCTCAATTCAACGATGACGTTTTCATACTTATAAAGAAAAAAATGAAATAACGTTGAAATTGAAGTGATGTCGTTACTGCAAAGATTCTTATAATTGATAAGACGACTTGGATAAAAATAAAGCTCTCTGGCAATAGTCTTTTATTCAGTGAGACTTCGTGTTTGAGATATAATGTGGTTACATCAATTCAAAATTTATGGAGAGTTGTATATTTTATAAATAAATTGGTGATTTCCAGTTATTTAATGTTTATTGAAAAATTTTTATTAAGGAAAATTAAATGAAAAAAATTTCAAGATCAGGTAAATCATATTTTTTATCAAAAATGTTAAAATTTTCTTATTTTTGATTCAGGTTTTTTGATAACAACATTTTCTACAATGACTTTTCATTATTGCAGACAATAAAAATTTATCGATAAAAATTTTACAAGTCATAATTATATTTCATGTAAATTAGTATTTATATTATTTTATTCTAAATAAATTATTATTATATTTTTAGCTCAATAATATAGGACAATATTGTAAAAAATGGAAAATTATACATCAGACTCAAGTGATTCAGATTCTGGGTCAAAAACTCTAGATTTATCGTACTTGATGTTGGATTTAAAACTCTTGGATCAGCACCTGAACAAAGAAACAAAAGATGCTAAGAAGATAGAAATTATTTTAATTCATCAAAATCGGATTGAAAAAGTTCCACAAACTATAACGAAATTTACCAATCTTCATACATTAGATATCTCTCATTGTAATCTTACTTCTTTACCAGATTTCATTGGTGATTGTCCATTAACTTGTCTCATTGCAAAGCAAAATTGTTTAACCAATGAATCTTTACCAAAGACATTTGATAATTTTCCTATATTACGAGAATTAAATTTAAGTGGCAACAGATTGACAGAATTTCCCGAACAGATTGTTCCATTAAGTGAATTGAAATATTTGTATCTTGGTGGAAATAGTATTACAGAAATAAGCAAAGACATATGGAAAATGCACAAATTAAAAATACTTTCAATGGGTGGAAATAAATTGACTGAAGTTCCTGCTAGTCTTGGAGGATTAACATCTTTAAGTGCTTTAATATTATGTGATAATATGTTAGAAAATTTGCCTTCTTCTATAGCAAATTTGAAAAACCTCAAATCCTTGTTGCTTCATAAAAATCGCTTAAGAACTTTACCCACAGAAATTATCACATTGAAAGGCTTAACAGAAGTAAATAATTTTTTTTTATTTCATATAATTAATGCACAAAACTTAAAAAAGAAACATTACAGAGTAATGATATCTATTGTTGCAGCTTTCGTTACGTGACAATCCATTAGTTGTAAGATTTGTAACAGATATGACCCATAATCCACCTTCGTTACTTGAAATTTCGGCACGTGTGATAAAAACTATTAATATTAGTTACGAGAATGGAAATTTACCGAGAACTCTAATTGATTATCTCAACAGTGGACACCGTTGTGTCAATCCAAAATGTCAAGGTAATATTTTGAAAAATATAATAACCACTTTCTTCTTGTGTATTATGTAGCGAGATAATTAACTCTATGGAATTTATTTTTTTTAGGAGTTTTTTTTGATAACAGAGTTGAGCATATTAAATTTGTTGACTTTTGTGGAAAATATCGTTTACCTCTTCTTGAATATTTATGCAGTAGTAAATGTATTGGACCTTCTGACACTGAAGAAGAGGTTGTCAGTGGTGCAATGATTCGAAAAGTCCTCCTAGGATAAAAGTTTTTATAATTTTATTAATTATTACTTCAATCATGATTAGATAATGATACTACTTAACTCCTACATAAAAAATACTTTATGTAAGAGTTTAATAATATTCTGAGTGAAATCGAGTTGAATAGAATTATTAAACGGTATTATAAGAGTTTCATTTTTACAAAACAAAAATATAAAGTAATTATTTTGATTTTGTTATATAATATATAAAAATATATCAATATTTTTCTAAAACATAAAAATATTTCTCAAGTTGTTGGATACAAAAAATCCTTCTTAGTAAAAAATTTATTATTATGTAAGAAAATTTGAATCATTTAAATTAAAATGAACGTACGCGCGCTTTTTGATGACTCAATTCCTCTTCCGGGAATATGACGTGTACAAAAAACATATGGATGTAGGAGAAAGACAACACACAAGACATTTAATACACATAAAGTGTAACAGCTGTAGGTTAGCTCCAATAATCAAAAAATAATACATAAGAAAAATAAAACGAATTAAAAACATTTTAATAGAAGATTAAAAATTTATTGTTATCATAATGTTAGATTTATTTACTATATTTAGTAAAGGTGGGATTGTTTTGTGGTGTTTTCAAAGTACTTCACAAGTATTTACACCTAGTGTAAATGCACTTATTAGAAGTGTCATACTGCAGGTAATAAATTATTTGATATTTATACCATATTTTTTTAGTATAAAAATCTTATAACTTTATTACAGATTTACATAAGGTATTATTTGTATGTTACTATGAATTCATAAGAGTTTTTAGGTTAGACAGCACGTTAATTTGATTAAACATATGTGTAGAGTAGGTTTGGATGACTTGAAATTTGCTTGTCATTTGAATTATTAAATATTTATAAGGATACTGATTATTGAATACATTGGAAAAATTTTTTTCAAGTATATGTAAATATTTTTAGAATTACTTAATACCATCTTAACTAAGAACACAATTTTTTTTATAATTTACAGGAACGTACAGGGGTTAATTCTTTTGAATATGAATCACTTCGTCTGCAATATAAGCTCGACAATGAGTTTGAACTTGTTTTTGTTGTGGCTTATCAAAAAATACTACAATTATCCTACGTAGATAAATTTTTAAATGATATTCATTTAGAATTCAGAGATAAATTTAAGAATCAATTAGAAAAAGCTCAATTATGCTTTAATTATAGCTTTGATGATAATTTTAAATGTACTTTAGCTGCTGCTGAACAATGGGGTAAACAGCAAGCTAAATTACCAAAACGAATGCGAACATTCGATGAGAGTATGAAGTCAAAAAAGACTGTTGCTAGCATGATTGAAAGAAAAGATGATAAAGATAATAAAAAACAACAACAGCAGTCAAACAAAAAGAAAAAAGGAGTTACTGATAACGGCGACATTGAATGTAAGTAATAATTGTATCTAATATTTTTTCAAATGATTAAGTAGTAATAAATAGATAAGAGTAATGAATATGGTTCGTGACTGATTTCAGTGGAATTTCAAGAACACCAAACAAGTAATGGAATAGACGGTATGGTAAATAATGAAAAAGAAAATGATAATTCTGATACTTTGATTGTAAACCGTATGAAGCTCGCGCAGAAATTGAATACTATCAAGAAAAAATCTGAAAAACAAAAAAGTCCTAAAGAAGAGAAAGCTGGAAAGAAGCCGCGAGTTTGGGAACTTGGTGGTACAAACAAAGATTTACCCAATTTAGAACGAACAAAAGACAAGCCTTCAGAGTCTAATGAGCAAATACAAGCTAATACTGCTCTTATTGGACAAATGAAAGGAGCCATTCGTGATATAGAAGTTGAAAGCGACTCAGAAGATGAAATAGAACAGGCTCCTGTAAAAAATAAAACTCAAGCTAATAAATCAGCTGGAGGAATGTTTTCAATGTTGAAAGGTTTGGTTGGTAATAAACAATTAAAATCAGAAGATTTGAATCCCATTCTTGATAAGATGAAAGATCATTTAATTTCAAAAAATGTTGCTGCTGAAATTGCAATTAACCTTTGTAATTCAGTACGTACCAAACTTGAAGGAAAAGTTCTTGGTACATTTGAAAGTGTGGCAAGCACTGTAAAATCTACTTTAACTGAATCATTAGTACAAATTTTATCACCGAAACGAAGAGTTGATATATTAAGAGATGCTTATGAAGCTAAAAAAAATAAAAGACCATACGTAATGTCTTTTTGTGGGGTTAATGGTGTTGGCAAATCAACCAATTTGGCTAAAATTTGCTTCTGGTTGATAGAAAATAATTTCCGTGTTTTAATTGCAGCTTGTGATACATTCCGGTTAGTATTTATTGTTGATTTTAATTTAAAAAATCTTATTAATACCAAATTTCTTGATAAACGTGAAGTAAAACACAGAAAGATTATTAAAGTCAATTAAAATTACAGAGCTGGTGCAGTCGAACAGCTGCGTACTCATATGCGTCATTTAAATGCATTACATCCACCAGAAAAACATGGAAACCTCACTATGGTTGAATTATATGAGAAGGGATACGGGAAAGATGCAGCTGGTATTGCTATGGAAGCAATTCGTTACGCAAGAGATTCAAGATTTGATATTGTTTTAATAGATACCGCTGGAAGAATGCAAGACAATGAACCTTTGATGCGTGCTCTTGCTAAGTTGATAAAAGTTAACGAACCAGACCTCGTTTTATTTGTGGGCGAGGCTTTAGTAGGGAATGAGGCTGTTGATCAGTTAGTGAAATTCAACCGAGCTTTAGAAGACTATAGCAACTCTGAAAATCCTCGAATTATCGACGGAATTGTTTTAACAAAGTTTGATACGATTGACGACAAGGTTAGTATTTAATTAAAAATTATTTCAAAACTTCAAAGTAAAACTAAACTTCTAGATGTTTTTATTCATTTTTTTTTCCTTGTATTAACGTAGGTTGGTGCAGCTATTTCCATGACTTACATCACAGGCCAGCCAATTGTCTTTGTCGGAACAGGTCAAACTTATACAGATTTAAAAACACTCAATGCTAAGGCTGTGGTTCATGCGCTCATGAAATAAATTTACAATTAAATCCATAAAATTTGTGGCAAAAAATTTTTGAATCATTAAATTTGAAACAAATAACCAAGCAATAGATTTGTTTGTAAATATTTATTGATATAACTATATTTATATAAGACTTCCGCAGTATCATAAATTGTAATTATTTCAACAAAACTGAACCAAAATTTCAATATACGAATTATTATTGAGAAGGGATAAATTTTACATATTACTCATTACAATTTGTTCAACTCTTGTTATATTACTTTCTCGAGGTTTATGGGAAATTTCTTGTTCAGCATCATCTTCAAGTTCCCAATGGAAATTATCGTTAAATTTTTCGTCTTCCGTTACAATTCCACAAATATCCATACGTAAAATTATTCCTATAAAAAATACTAATTAATATAAATTTTTTACGTACGTAGAAACAATTTGATTCAATTTCTCCATAGTTAATAAGTCAAAATCACTTTACCTGTAATTAAACCGGATACTATAGCATTTGCAAGAGTTACAGCAAGTGCAGCTAATTGATAAACAGCTTGTTGACCACCAGTTCGATCAAGACCAGCACATATTCCTAAATTATCTCTTAATTCAATCAGCCTTCCACCTGAACTGGGAGCTCGCGCAGGAAATATCTGTCAAATTAAGATTTTGATTTTTCCTTTTTAACTTTAAATATCAACTTATTGAAACTATTGTACTGTTAAACAAGATATTTATAATAACATATTTATATAACAAAAAAAAATTTTGAAAATATTAAAAATTTGAAAGTTTAAACCTGGTATATTGAATCATTGTACATGTCTTCAGTAGCTATGCCTGCCATCAAAGCACCAAAAATTCCAGCAATTACTCCCGGCATTCCATGCAAGTTATGTACTCCGCACGTGTCATGAATTCTTAGTCGTTTTTGGATTAGTGGCTAGAAAAGTCATCAATAAGAAATATCTTCCTTCATCTACTTTAATTAAATTTATGATTACTCAATAATAGTAACAACAATTTTAATCGATAGCTTACAGTGAGATATTTGTATCCAAGAACACTCAAAACACCGGCTAATCCACCTAAAACTAATGCTCCAATTGGTTGACACATCATTCCTAAAATTTAACAATAAACAATGATTAAAATAAGAAACATTGAATGTTAATAAACTTACTGATTGATGAATAAATTTTCAAAAGAGGATTATGTTCTAAATTCATCAATGGCAATTCAAAGAGAAACTTGAGTATTAAATTTATCGATTAATTAATCCTTGTCAGTATGAATTGTGTATTAACTTCTCTAAATAATTGATTATAGTTGAGTTTGAAAAATCATAAATTTCACCTGCAGCAGTCCCAATGGCCACACCGCCCGCCAGTGTTGAATTTTGAATGTGGACCATGTTGAATTTATTTTGATTAGATACGAGAGCTGAAATAGCAAAGGACATCACACAACTTGCAACTATTGCAAGTAATGTATTTATGATGGCTCGTTGTTGGTCATCGCCTTGAAGAGTGGCACTATTGAAGGAAGGCCAGAAGAGCCATAGAAAAATTGTTCCTGTCCATAAAAGATTTCATTCGTCGATTAAATATGGATTAAGATCATATTAGTTTGTTATTGAAGATGATGCAATGAATTATTCGTAAATATTGTTACCAATCATAGCAAAAATATCAGATTGATACGTAGACCCTTCTAGATGATGCGCTTTAGGTTTCTCTTTCATCCCAAAAGCAAAACTCACAGCCAATCCAAAATAAGCTCCAAAGACGTGAACGAACATGCTCCCTCCAGTATCAACTGCCTGTGAAATTTGAGAAAAATCAATAATAATAAGGGAGCGAATGACTATGACAGTTGTAAAGAAAACATACATACCATAAAATAATACTCGCCAATGTATTTATTGACCGTGTACATTGCAAGTTCGACGATACCCATAAAGATAAGTTGCATATAGGTAGTTTTACCCAGAACCGCCCCCATAGAAATTAAAGGGGCTGCAACTGCTACATCAGCATTCAAAAGTCTACATAAAGAAGAATTATTTATTAAACTGCTAACGTTTCTGTTCTTGAGTTTTATTTGTCTGTTTAATTATCGATTAATACATCATTCTTGTCTCTTAATAATTTATTATAAGGATTTAGTTTTATTTATGTTTAAAGAAATTTACCCTATTAAAGATAGGGGAGCCTTCCCGTTCTTGCTAACATTGACGACTCCATCAAAGAGCAAAGCTACTTGAACGAGTATGGCGCCAACCAGAAATGTTAATCCAACTGCGCTCTGCCCATATCGTTTAGGAAAAGTCATTAGGAAGCCGAATCCAATCCATATCATGACGTGGATGTCTTGATACACTTAATTAAGATATACAATAGTAGATTAATCATAAGCTCATTCATAAAGGTCTGGATGTCAGAAGTTTTTTTTATAAGCAAAGAAAAAAACAGATTAAAAATTTTTTAATGAATAAATATTTTAATTAAATTTTAGAATATTCTCTGAATAAGTTATTTTTGTTATTTAATTATTAAAATGAATTTTGTGTTGGTTTTATAATGTTATTATTATTCACAATAAATTCTTCTTTACAAAGTTTTTTTAAACTCTAATGACCTTTCATTTCGAGTTCATTGTTGACAAAAGAAATACCACATCTCGTTAATGTAGACTATATAGACATAAGTAACTAGTACCTATAATAGACGTTATGATATTGGGTCGAATAAGATCTAACTAAATGAGTCATTATGATCTCGTCACTAACATGCCACCAATTTACACCAACTAAGCTACTATTTTTACAAGTGAAGTTTTATTTAACTCTAGTAGTTTATTGATTCACTCAACAAAACCTGAAACTTACTTTTAAAGATGTGAATTTTTCATCAGCTTTTTAACTATATAACTAAGTTATTAAATCAAAAATTACAAAAAAAAGTGTTATAATAAATGTTGTCAATTTTTATCCAATTGAATAATATTTTCATTCATTCAACAATTTGTATTCACTATTAATGGAAGAAAAAATATAAGTAACTCACGTGGATAATTGAGTGGCAATGAAACAATTTTTCCATTTAAATGCGCCGAAAAACTATTCTCACTACGGGAAGCATTTGCTTCGGGTGCATAATCAAAGGTTGCTAAAAAGCCACAGACTAGAAACCCTTGAAGGAAACAAAGGATTATCCCAAGAGCAAGGCTAGTCGTCATATTGCAAACTCAAGTATCTCTACAATACTCTCGGCCTTTTATTATAGGAGACTGAATAAATTTTTACTACTTCTCTTCAACAAATAACTCAAGACCTCAAGATCTCTCAAGACAATTTGCATTCGTTTTCATATCTGATCCAACAATCGAGTGAACACTTTTTAACTCATCTTACTCTCATTCAAAGTCTATAAAATGATTTTTAAAAATATCTCGGTTAGTAGTGGTACTATACTTACTTGGATAGACAGATGTGTCTTTTTGAATTTTATTTGATGCTTCAGAAGTAGCCTTGACCGTCACATTTCGTGGTGACACCTCGGGTCCATAGGCTGTGAATAATCCCATCAGTACCATCAGAATGACTTCAATAGCGATAAGACGCAGCACCTGGCTCTTTTCTGACCATCCGAACATAATTGTTTCCTAATGTTATCCACTTTCAATAATTTACTTTTTGTGACTGTTAAAAAGGAAGACACACTTATACAAATAATAGTTACTTTTTGATGATTTATCACTGAAGAAGACAATCAGAATCTATTTCAATCGTGTAAACCCACTTCTAAATCAGCTTTGATATCGTATCATCATCTGTACTAGACAGCTCTTTGAGAAAATTACTCAAGCGGATATACGCGATCCTCTTAATACCGATACTTCCGATGCACGATCAAGCTCGTTGTCCCTCACTAATGCACTTTGCTTGCTCGACGTCATGTATTCATAACTACTTATCCATATTTATTTTGTCCTTGTCATAAAAAATATTTTATATTTAAAAATTTTATTGAGTAATGACAAAATATCTTTTGAATTTTAACAGAATCTCTTTATTGATATAATATTAAATGATTTATAGATATGACAAATGGAATTTTATATTCAGTTTTATTGGCTGTGAACTAATTTTGATTCATTCCAAGTGGTCCTGATGAGAACTTGTCTATGACACGCGAACATTGATCACTGAACATGGATGTCTTTTGTGCAGGATATTTCAAAGAGAAATATCGACATCTGCTACTACTCTAACGATCGATTTATTTTATAATTCATCATCTTAGACATTTATAACTAATTTAATTATAAATTTATGAAAGGAGAAACTTTTCATTCTTCTTTAACTTATTTAATTTAAATGAATAATTTTGACATACCTTCTAAATTGTAATCAAATTTGAAGATTTGTTTCTTTTAACAATTTTTTATTTAATAAAAATTAATAGCTTATTGAAAAATCATTACACTTTTATCAATAGATACATTATTTTTTTTAAAAATTATAAGCTATTCTAATTCCGTTCAGTAATTCAAGGAGAATTATTAAATAATCTGTATTGATAGAATTTTTTACTACAGATAGGCACCAAAAGTGACTAGTCTCGATTCTACTGCATACAAGTAAGAATATTTCTGTGCATAAATAAAATTCAGCTCATCATAAATAAAGCATTCTTTCTTGGTATTTTTACAACATTCAAATGCAAATTAATATTTTATCAGTTAATTTTTTACTTATGATGAAAAAAATAGATATTTATTAGCAGAAAAATTCTGTTTATTAGATGTAAAATGAAGGCTAGTCTTTTTTCTAGCTAAAAAATTAACTCATTGTGAGGTTTATTTGAATAATTCATTTTTAAATAATTAATTTCTTTATTCTTAAATTACATAGTCAATTATAAATAAAATACTAAAAGTAATGAAAATTAAAAATTATTGAATGTACGATATTTAAATTAATTTATTTATTTATGTTACTTTAGATTAATCGTATAGAAAAATTATATATATATATGTATATATGTATATATATATATATTAGGTTGTGAAATATTACAATAATAACTATCATTTGATATTGAATACCTTAACGACATTTCGAGACAATTATTAGTCGCTAAGATTTGTTTAATAATTTTACATTTGACTCTAAAATAAATAAAAGAATTTAAATACAATTATTATTATTATTAAATAACAATTATTATAATGACTAAATATAGCGAAATTTATCTTGAAGCTACATTGTCAAGAAGCGACTGATAACAATTATCAAAGATTTCACCCGAAAGTCATTAGAGTATTCAAATTATTATATTATAATCATTTATATTAAAGTGAATATTGTACTTCAACATTCTTCAGTGATTTATCTAATAATAATTATAATGAATGATTTTAAATTACTATAAAATATTGATGTACAAATGGCAAAAAAGAGTTAATTGGCAATAGATTAACTATTAATTTCTTTAGTCTACCTTGGAGTCCAGGACAGATTGAATGAATGATCTTAATTATTAATATGGCACTGGCCAAGTGAAAATACTAAATGCACTGGTCGATACTTTACATTCATAATTCATTAAGATAATTTAATCAATAATGACAATCACTCAAGCACAGAAATGATATCAGATTGAGCAATGAAAATAAATTGCTCTTAGAAAATCAAGCAACTTTAATGATTATTATGTTCTCATTTTTTTCATCATTATTTTCCTTGATTATACTTTAAGTTTATTTGGCATTATTTGTGCAGAGATTGATGCACGATTGATGATTCATTGAAGATGAAAAAGCATATTTTACACAAGAAGCAACGGAGCAAAAAGAAGGAGCCATTGACCTATCGTGACTACGTGTTGTATATGGGTAGAAGCTTCTGAGGCGACAGCTGCATTTTCCCGACGATTCGAGGGTTGCTCAGAGGCCAATGGATCATCCCTCGATTGTTCCGGACACGGGAGTTTCTCTAGCTTCAGCTCAAAGAGATGTTTTATATATCCCATTCTTCCATCAACTAACTGGAGCTATGAATAGAAACAATTCAAGAATTTTTCGTTTATATTTTTTCTATAATACCGTTACCTATTGATGTTAACGAAAAAAGTAAAAAAAAAAAACATTCTTTTAGGTGAAAAGATGATTTCATTCAATGTCTTCAATAAATGTAACTTTTTTTGGATTATTTTTTAAATTAATCTTAATCTTGGGTAAAAAAACTTTCTTTCCAATTAAATTAATTTACTGAAGAGCTAAAAAAGTAAATATTAGCCAACGAGAAGTTAACGTTTGTTCTCCTTCTATCCATTTAGAGTATATTTCTCTTTTCTGTGTGGTTGGAGTGTGTTCATGAGTATATGTAAGAGAAAAATAATTGTTTATCAATACCTTGGCATTGTTTGTCTTCGATGGTGAGTCTGGGTAATCTTCGTAATAATCGTTGTCGCTTTTATTATTGTCGTCCATGTAGCTGGCTGTCTCATGCTGTACGTGATGTCTTTCCCTCGACTTATTGACGTCGAGAATTTCCCCTAGAATACACATGAATTATTCTCTCGTTAATCACTATCATATATAGTCTTGTTCGTATACGTATCTAAGTGTATAATTCTCACCAGTACTTCCTCCAGCCGTTCCAGTTTTAACTTCTTTAGCGTCAGTGTGAGTGCTTATATTTTTAGCTTCGCGGAAACATGTCAAGAAATCAAGAGAATCCTTTAATTTCTGGTTGATTGTTTCATTTTTCAATCCTTCTATCCATGCCAGGTTGCAATCGCAAATTAGTTTATTATCTGAAATGGAAATAATTCGATATTAATATCAAATAAATTTATGTATTACTCTCAGAGTTTTCCAGTTTTCATGCTAATATTAAACTATGAAAATTTTTATTTTACTTCAGGATATTTTTTATTTGTTTTTTTTTTGCTCTTTAAAGTTGCAACTTGTTGGCTGTATATGTGTACGAATGAAATTGCTTGTGTCAATTCATTATTCATCCAAATATGTCGAACCGTATGTGCTCTTATATTCATTGTGACTTCCAATACATGGAAAATTTTTGTCTTCTTAACTTAGGTCACAATTTTTTTATTTTTATTTCTATTATTAGACTAGTGAATAATATTGGAATTATATTTAGTTTAATTTTAAATTATTAATTTTAAATTAATTTGTTAATTTCAATTGAAAGTTTACTTCTAAATAATTATTCAAAAAATTAATTAATGAATCATTTCGACACGAATGTCAGATAATAAGTAAATATTAATTGTAATGAATAATGAATAAATTGATTAGCATTGCAAACTTGCATTTACTATTATACTGAATTGTACATATTGAAAGAATGAAAGGTTGAAAATTTTACGATCAATGTTTAAATTTTTTATCTACTGCGAACTGTATTTCATATTTAACAAAAAAAAAAATGTCTAAGCTCCAAAAAGTATCATATGGAATGAATGCACCATTTTTCGATATTTCCATTTATTATCTGATATGAAAAATGGTTTTTATTTCGAAGTAAGTAAAAAATAAGTATATTTACAAATGGCACCGTAAACTAGCTATTAATTTATGTTTTTTTTTGTTTGATATGAATTAAAGCAAATCAATATTTGAAAAAGCTGAAGTAGTACTCCATAAAAGTGAAGTGTACATAAGTGCGATCTCGAAGGTTTGAGGAGAAAAGTGGACAAGATTTTAGATTGGAGATGTTATTTTTTAAAGGGTGTTAGTGTGGTCGTAGTGGTCAACAGTATAGGGAGATGAGAATAAAACATGAAGATCTGTTGAAATTATTCCATTTTCACTCTGTGTACTTTACCATACACCGTGAGTTTCAGCGAAATAAATTTTTTTTAAATTAAATATAGAAATGCAAATTATAATATTTAAATATCTACTGAAAAATAATATACGAATTAATGTAAAATGGTGAAAAGTGGTATAGCTCTATCTACTTCATTTTTAGAATTGATTAAATATCCATGTCATGATATTCTGGTGATTATTGATATTTTATTATAGAAGAAATATAACAATACTGGTTAATAAATAAATTAAATTAAAAACAAATTTATTTATGAAATTGTTATTAAATCTTTTTAAAATAATTGATGAAAAAACAAATTTTAATGTCATTAATTTATCTAAAAACGAAACAAAATTTAAATATTATAAATTTAGAGGTTTTTTCACATAAATCATTCCTTCAAATAATATTTAGTAAACAAGAGAAAATAGATAGTAACATTTTTCCTGGAATATTTTATTTTCTTATGATAGAATTAATTTTCTTTCATCGCATCTATCTCCATAGCTACCTTGGAAACTGAATGAAAAGATACCGTCATTTCTGTGTCGAATTTTATTTAGATTTATTTTACTATTGAATCAAATAAAATAATTAAACAATAACTGGAAATATTAATGAAAATGAATAAAATAAAGAAAAATGTTGCGTATAATTGACAATTGGTTGAATGAATCCTATTTTATTATATATGTAAGCAATGCGTTGCACCCTTGCGGGCTAGATATTTCCTGCGTAAGCTTCCCTACGTAATACTGGCCTGAGGCTCTTAGAAATTTATATGGCGAATGGCAGTGAGGACGCATCAGAGCTCGGCAGTCTTTACGCCTTGCAGGCTATAGAAGCTACACGAGAGGTTCTTTTATACAGTATGTATGTAGAAATACAAGAAAAGAGGGAGAAATTGGAAAAAAAAATTGAGGAGAAACCTTTTTTCCTCGAATACTCATTCAGGTAAATAGCAAACGGCATCAGCACCGGACGTCATTGTGACCTCAGAACGAACAGCCAGGTGGTCTCCGGCTTTTTATTCAGATGGTTTGTTGTTGATGGTCAAAGTGGCACACATAAAAATATCTTGACAGTGGTGTCCACGTTTTTGCAACGCATTAGAAGCTTGTATGAGGAAAACGATTTGTTTGATTGTTTAATGAGAAAGATAAAATGAAATAGAATGCCTTTGGCGACTTAAAAGTGGCTATGGGGATTGGAAAAGATAGACAGACCAAGCAAAAGCAGACAGGAAGGGGTGTTCCCGGTAGGGAAGCAGACTACCACGCCTCCGACCCTGAAATTTCATCCCCTAAATGATTAAAACCTAATATAGGGGCACGCCTACTACGCGATGGAGCTTCGTGAAAGTTCACCCTCTCCTGTTGCAAACAAGTTCACTTTCTGTCAAATTATATCCTGCAGTACCAAGTGATGTAATTTTAGAAAAAATAATAAACTCTGAATAAAAAGAATTTTTAACCCTCTATTACGTTCCATTTTCTCTTTCGTTATTATGCATGGATTATATATATTTCCACAGGTTCATAATGCTTACTGTCCGCTGGATAACAGTGTAAGTAATGCACTTGAAGGGTAGAATTGGAAATTGTTTTAATCATAACATTTCAGTCATATAATTATAGATAATTGATCTACTTGGAGAGTCATGGAGACAATGTGGGACATTTTAACCCTTCATTTGAAGTATTAAGCATGCTTAATCGGAACATTATTTTCGTCAAAAATTTTTGGAGCAACTTTAATCACTTCTATCAATCGAAGTAGAATAAATATGCAATTTATAAATGAAAAATTCATATTTTAATTGATTGGAATATTTTTATGATATCATTACCTTAATTAAATTCTTGAAAGTAAATTATGCAAATAGTTAATTATTTTATCCATCTATCTCTAAATTTTTTGTTATTATTCATCCAAATGGATAATTTCAATATTTATGAATTCCAATAGAGAATTGTGAATATAATAAAGTATGAATTATTTTGAAATTTTTGAAAACTTTATGATACCATTGATAGAACAATTTAACTTGATTTTTTTCTTTATTAAACAGAAAATTATTTGTTTTAATCAAAATTAAATTATTGTACCGATCATATAACATGACAGTAAAATATTATCTTTTTTTTTGTAAAATAAAAAACAATAAACCTGAATCGATTGAAAAGTTAATCAACAGAAATTGGATTACATTTTGACAGCACAAAATGTGCATTGTTTTTCTTATCATTTTTTTTTAAAAAAAGTAAATAAAACATATTATTATTATCAATAACTTCTGACATTGTTCGACATTAAATATAAAATCTCAAATATTTTGATTCAGCCCCAACGAGATGTTTAGTAAAAAAAAATATACAAAAGGCAGAAGATCCAATTGTATTGAGAGATGCAAGGTTGAGTATATATAATATAGTAGCTTCTACATCCTACGAGAATGTGAATCAAAGTGAAAGGAATAGGAGTAGGGTGGGAGAAAAAATATGCGGAAAAGGGTTTGTGAATTCGATCCCTCTACGTAAATGTAAAATCAACGGGTTATTGTTCTCTGTTGGACTTGCTGCATCGTATGGGGTCCACTTTGGGGACTGGTTTACGTGCCGGTTCTATATGTACTCATGGTTATGAATAAAAACAGATGCAAGTAAGAATAAACATACAATTCATAATATCAAAATTATTGGGTAAAATAAACCTCAACAACTTACCTTCAAGATACAAGTAGCCGGTATCACCGTAAAAGTTTGTTACAATAGGTTTGATGTTGTCAAAGGTCATTGTGACCAAAGAATTATTTCGGAGATCCAGAAAATTGATGGCCGTAGCACCAGCAAAAACATCTGCCTCCAGCTGAGTCAGCTTATTGTCACTTAGTGACAATTTTCGTAGATTCCTCATCTTGTCAAAGGCATTTACCGAAATATATTCAATCATATTTCCATCCAGTTCCAACTCCCTCAACTCCGGCATCTCAACAAATGTGCTATCTCCTATCATAGAGATTTTATTCGACCTCAGTATCAATCTTATCAGTGATTTCAATCCATTGAAATTATCTGTAGTAATTACTGAGATGTTGTTGTCACTTAGCTCGAGTTCTTGAAGAGAAGTTAAATGCTTGAACGCTCGATCATGAAGGAACGTAATATTGTTACGGTTTATAAAGAGCTTCTTCAACACCGGAAGATGGACAAAGACCTCCCTAAAAAAAATTTATTGAAGCTTTAATCTCTAGTTTTTTTCACAGCTACTGAGGCGTTAATAGTAGTCATTTTTTTTTTTACAATTTATATGCTGTCATGGTTAAAATTATCCAAACTTCTTTGAAGGCTCATATAATATATACTGAACTATTCACCTTAGAAACATTTCAATGAATGCTCCCAAAAGAATACACCGAACGATTTCTAGAATTGACATATCGGAAGTTTCTATTCTCTCATTTGTATCGGATTCTGGTTAGTCAGTTACCGCTTACATAAATAAAAAAATCTGTTTTTTTGTTAAGATGAAAAAATAAGGGAATTTTATATTCATTTTTTGGTAGTTTTTTGTGATATTTTTGTAAAAGAACTTTTACGAGATATTTCATCAAGGTAGATGACCTCTTAGAATATTGAAATTATTTTAATTAAATTAATTCCAAAGTAAATTTATTCGAATATAAGATAGACATTTTGAAGAGTAAATTTGATGAAAGTATGTCTCCAATAATCAAATCATTTGTTTGATTGAATTGTCAATTAAAATTGGAAATTTTCTAATAATTTTTCAGCTGAAGATATCATAATTGAACATGTACGTAATTTTGACGAGATATTTATAAATGTGAACAAATATCATGTTATTTTATTTTTGTTATTTTTATTTTAAAAAGGCAAATGAAAGTTGATGATAGTAAATTGAAGTATCGAGAGCTTTTTTATAGACTGCCTGTTGAGGCCTCAACCGCAGCTCAATCGATGCATTAAACTTGATTACATTTAAGCTGAATCAATCAATTCGTGTTCATGAAAATAAACGTTAGTTTTTTTTATTGGAAACGAATCTATTGCTTTCAGTAGTCAAAATAATAATTAATAATAAATTAAAAATTTATAAAATAATCATAACCTTTGTTCCATTTAATTACAAATTTTTTAATGAAATTATATTTAGTCAAGCATATTATAAAAAAATGTATGACATTTATTTCAATTAAAAAATAATCTGATTAAAAGAATATATTTCCAGATCAAAGGCTTTGCTTATCAGACATATTCTTTACGATTCATTTTAAATTAATTTCTAAGAATCATATTTTTTTACAACATATTTACATAAATTTTATATACTATTTACATGAGAGTAAGTAATTAAATCAATTTATTTAATTTATATATTAAACTTAATTAATTGCAAATGATTGATTGAATTTTATTCATTTATCAATTTATTTTCATTTCAATTAATCTTTAATGGAACAGTTTTTTTGCTTTCAATTAAATAATTCATCAATTTATAAAAAATTATTGAATAAAATTGATGAATGTATGAAATAATTCCAAGTTACTGCATTTTATGTGCAATGGTTTTTGATAATTTAATAAAAAAATATTTCAGCTTAAATTTTCCCATTAATTTTTTTTTTTGTGCACATTCATCACAAAAAAATTTTTTAACTTATACTGATCAAAAAATAATAAATAAAAATAAATATTTTACCTGTTTATTTCTACGATGTGATTGTCATCAAGATTAATAACATCAACTTTACTAATATTGACGAAGGAATGTTTTTTGAGATTTATAATCCCACATCGAGCGATATTAATTACAGTAATGCTTGGTAAATCTGAGAATGCTTTCTCAGCAACTTCTTCAATATTCGCATACTGGATATTAATAACTTTCAAATTAGGTAATAATCTAATAGTTTTACTCGGTACATGGCTCATATTTCCTCCTACTCGTACTGTCAGTGATAATTTTTCAATAGCAGATTGACTATTAAAGTAACCCCATATCAAATCATCAGATTTTAACGTCTCCAAAATAAGGCAATTGGCATCTGTGGCAGTACCAATCTCATCATGATTACAGTAACAATACATGGGGGCTTGTCGTTGCTCCAAGTTACATATGTTAAGTTCAGAGGTTTTCTTCCCTTTGTGCTTCGGTGAAATATTACTAATCGTCTGTACAGACAACTGACTAGATGGAAATGAAAAGCTGCTATAAATACATAATTGCAGAGCAATTATCAGCTTGGCTAAGTTCCTCATTTTTTCTCAGAGTTGTTCTGAAAATAAAAGAAAAGAAATTATTGATTATCTCCATTGTGCTTTTATTTTTATTGCATGAAAAAAAAATATTAGACAAGTATTATTAATTATCGTGCGTGATGAAGTTTGCTTAATAATACTAAAATATTTTTTCATTTACTTAGGATGTAGATGTTGCGAGATAATTAATTAAAATTATAATGATAATAATTCAAGTAAAGTCATAGTCGGTTTTATTGTTATGATGTCTTATATTCGTGTAACAAATAATTCTTTTGTCAATTATTTTTTTAATTTTCAATAGAAGCTTTTAACGTTTCTGTTGTACTGCCAATATCCATTTAAATCAATGAATGTATGATGCGATAATCTAATGAAAAATGCTTTTGTTTTATATTTGGTCAAACTAACAACAAAAGTATTGTTTAACTTGACGTATTTACTTACCTACTTTCAATATAACTAAATTGATATCCTGATGGATGTTAAAAAAAAATTCTCTCATTTGTCATTCAATATTTTTCTAGAATGCTCTATTCAATTTATCAAAAAGTATTATTAAACTTTTTCTACAAAACATTTGCTATCATTTATCATTAATTTATTTATTATGTTCATAATTCATTAAGATAAAATTATTTAAAAAAATTTTGTCTGGATAAATTTTGAATATACATTTAATGATCTACTCATTGGAGTACATAATTCAAGCAAACTTCATTGAATAAATAAAGTTTTAAAAATTTTTTGTCAAGTACTTCCTTAGAATATTTTCAAGCGTATTTTTCTTTAATTTTTTTACAAAGTCGTCTGCAAGAGGCAAGAAAAAAAGTAAAAGAGACGTTTTTTTAACGCGGAATAACGTCAAGATAAAAACATATACTGAAGTTCATATAACCTTCGTGAGTCTCTTTGAAAAATTATCTACAAAGATGGATAACTCTAGAACTTGTTTCTCTCACAAAAGACAGACTAAGTGATATTTCAAGCAAGTTTAATATGCACTGTAGATCAATTCTATTGAATAATTAATCCTGAAAGTTCTGCCTGTACGTTCACAATTGATAAACCCTACAAATACATCATATCAAAAGTTTATATTCTTATAACTTTAATATGGTCACTTTGGAGAATTGTCTAGTAAAATCGACTGGAAAGATAAAAAATAGACAAGTGTCTCCAACCAACTGAATGAAAAATAACTGAGTTTAAAAACGTATCAAAAACTGTATAGAATTACAAAGAAATAAAACTAAAACATGAAAAATGAAAAAAATGATAAAAGCAACAATGAAAGATTATCGAGTAACATTTGTCGTTTACCCTAGTACATTTGTATTTATATATTTTTCCCTATTTCATCCAAATAACCAGACCGAAGAAATTTCATACCAGCTACCCTCTCACCCATCGATTCGTCATCCCGCATTAACCGTCTGACTAAAAGTGCATTCGAATAAAAATGATTCAAATGTCCCGCACGAGAGAAAATCTCCTCTCCCCTAGCAAAAATGCGTTGCACTTCCCACGATGTCACTATATTCTTATCCTGCACGTCTTTAATTCAAATCAAAAGCCGCTTTTATAATTTACCCCTCTTTCCCTAGCTTAACTCCCATTAGCATCCATCGTACACATACGATTTAAACCTTTCCACTGGTACATTACCTTCATCAATAATTAACAGCAAAGATTACACTTTTTTTTTAAACTTATATTCTTTCATTACGGCGGGATAACAGTGGTACATACGGTGGTGTATCGAGTCTAGTGGCTTGGATTTATCAGGAGGGTCACTCAGTGGGCTCATTCGATCAACTCAACGGGGTGCTTGACAAAAACCATTGTTGCTCCAACACAGCTGTCGAAATGAGCATGTAGAGGCTACCACCCCTGGCTCAAAAAACAGGGCGCCAGTACTCAAGTAAATATAATCTAAATTTAAAACATGCTAACTCATTTTTATTACATACTCTAGAGTGAAGCTTCATTTGGTTTGATAATCAATCAGCTACGATTTAGGGATGAACTATGATGCGAAGGAAAATATTATTCCATCTACCTGTTTAGTATCTCCAGGGGTTTTTTCTAATCCTAAACTGGACCTTTGAAACCAAAATAACCCATTTATATTTTTCTTTTAGGTTCACGTTGGAATGTGTCAGTTATATATTTTCATGTCAAAGTTTAGTGGACGTAAGACGTGACGCGATGACACGGTCTTAGCTAAATTGTAAAGATGCAGGTGCAAATCGGTCAGGTAGCCAATAGTTTTTGTTATACATCGTAGTATGTTTAGCCGTCAAATGAATCTGAATAACTGCGTACCGGTCGTTCTTTCTTAAAATTCAAGATTCTTCAGGTAGATTTTGTACCTGCGGTACTACTTATAATCCCTTACGTCCTTTCTGTTGCTTTTTCGCATCCATAGACCGTAAGAAAATTCTTAAGCGCTAAACTTTTTTATGCTCAGAATTTTCCGTTCTTAACTGGTCTTTTTTCTTTGTATTTTTATGGTATGAGAGAAAATGTTTATATCAAGTTGTTTTTTACTTTTAATAATTTAGAACTAGAACTCTTTTTTATGATGAAGTTTACATAAATAAAAAAAGGATAAATAAAGCTATTGCTTACCTTTTGTACTTAAGTTAACTCTAAAAATTTAGAAAATAAATAAAAACAAAATGTCACAATAATATTTTAGCACAATTCATGAAAACACAACAACTAATAAACACGCGTAATATTCGCTCCAAATATTGCGGAGAAAGTGCGTAATAAATACTTAAACGAACCTATACGGAAGGAAGCTTTGAGATACATGCGCAGCGCGTGGCTTCCAAGATGCAACTTAAACGTCAGCCCGCGCTTCTCACGAATGAACCCGAAAAGCTAAAAAAATTCCTGGCTTAGTTTGTAAAGATGCTACCTAGGGGGTGTAGTTGTTCGTGAAGCCAATTTTACGCAAGCAGTCACTGCTTGATAACATTGGAAATCTGTTACCGACAATTATCGACACAAAGTTAGTTAATGAAATTATTTATTTAACAATACTGTATAATAAAATAACATTTTAATATACTCAAAAATTAGTACAAAAATGTCATTCCGTCTTATTTTAAAATTATTATAATTTAAGAATTGAAAAAATATTTAAATAAAAAACTAATATTGAGTATTTGTTACAATGTTTAAAAAAATATAAGTTTATTATTGTGAAAATAATAAAAATATTTTCATTTTAAAGCATAATTTAATGCTAAAATTAGATATTGTATTTAAATTAAAAATTCAAATTTCGCGGGCAATGAGGAATTGACAACTACTGCTTCCTATCAGCCACTTATGAAACTAAACATTGAAGAGGGAAGCGTTGACGTCATGCTCGGGAAGATTCGTAACTGCTCGAGTGGCCCGATCTCGCCCGAACGGGTCAATGTCTGAGAAGGCTTCGAAAAATCTGTGGCTGGTGTGGTGTTTCCGTGGACAAGGATAAAGGCGGAAAAGAACGACGAGACCCAGTTCCGCGTTAAATCGCGCGAACACTTACGACTAAAAGTCGTAGTTAAAGGTAGTGATTAGTAGTTGATTAATCGTTGATGATAACGACAAAAACGGTCGTGACGCCGCCCACACTTGGTCGTCAACGCGAGCTTGGCTTTCGTCGCCCCCGCGCGAAAATGGTGTGCACCAAGACTTGTGTTTCATCTACTGCTAGTATATGATATAAAATGACAATAATGAACGACTCCTGAAGTCTATGGGTCGATTATTTAAACAATTATTGAAGACAAGTGAAGGAATCCTTGAAGAAAAGTGAGAATTAAGTGCAAATGGTGATCAGAAGAGCAAGTTATCATACTGTGTGAGCTAGTGATAGAGATAGACACTGACACGAAACGAAGAAGGACAAGAGAGAGAAATAGACGAAGAAGACAAAGTAAAAGGAGCAAGAAAAAAGTAAAAAACGTGAACGAAACCTCCGTAAAAGGAATGGTTATGACAATTTGTAATTAGTGGAGCAAAAAAAATGGTGTATTGAAGACAGAGACGTAATAAGTAACAGATAAAGGTGGACAGTGTAAATTAGGTGATTAAATTCTTTTCTTGATTTTAAATAAAATGAGCATAAAACATTAAACTAGGAAGTGATTCTCCGTGCTAGTTCCTAGAGTAAAAAAATTTTCAAAGTGGTGAGTGTGTGTGAGCAAGAGAGAGAGAGAGAGAGAACGAAAGAGAAAGATTGAGTGTGCTATATAATCGACGTGGTTTAGGCCGTGCTTGGCTATACACCGTTCCAAAAACGTAGAGTCACTGTGCTCTTCTTTTTCGTATCGCGGCACCCTCTTGTCCGCTCATACCTCGATTATTAGCAAGTGCGCCGTGCCGCTTCTTCTCATCGTTGTCAAGAGTTAGCGACGAAAACGGCAGAAAAGAGAAAAAAAATAGAAACGACCACGACGACGAGGAAAAAGCAGGCCACATTATTGCCCCGTCAACCCCGTGGGGCAGGATCATCAATAACCGGCAGGTATAACACGAAATCGGGGACCAGAAGCCATAATAACAACGGAAGTTGGCACTTTATTAGTGAAGAAGTGAAGATATATCTGAAATAATAAAAATAATTAGTTATTTCAAGTGCTAACGTGTGTTTGTCCATACGACATCCCCGTTATTGTCGTACGTCTGATTAATAATCGTGTCTGTTAATACCGATTGAGTTCATAGTGGTGAGAAAGAGCTATCAGTTATCATTCGTAATATAGCAGAACGGGTAACGCGATGTGATATTGGTTGTCATTGATGTTCGTGACGTTTAATACGAGTAGTTACGAGAAAAGTTCACGTGTTTCAATCCAAGCGGAAACGTAGTATTGCCATTGTCAAAAGGGGAGCAATCACAGGTCATAGGCATCTGATTTGGTCAAAGCGGAAGAGGCAAAGGTGGAGGTGACTGACGATTCAGAATGTTCGGCCGTCCAAGGACCACCTCTTTCGCTGAGGGTACCAAACTTCCCGCGAATCCGCCCCTGGGCGGCATGAAGATCAGCAGTGAGTAGTATATACCACGCCACTCCATAACCTAACCTTTCGCAACTTTTTTTTTACTTCTCATACATGTTAGCACTCTAATCTCTTTTTTTCTATTCCATTTTCCTTGCATTTTACTTCCGTTCATATCACATTACTTTGCATTTTTTTTTACCATATCTTTCTGCTCATTTCATTCTTTTATTTACGGTTAATTGATTGTAATTTACACCAAGATCAGATCTATGACAAAATAAAATTTATTACTAACGAATCGCTACGTTGTAAAATGAAATTGATGGCTTTCTATCGTGGAATTGGGTTAGCAAATAAAAAAACAGTGAATTATCCGACATACGTGCTTCTATATTGACTCTGATGTTATGGAAGACTGCATAGACTTTATTATTTATCACATCTTCAATTTTTCATCCATGAAGCACTAAGAACTTTTTTGTCATTTCCATTAACGGTTTTCAATGTAATCAAATTTATTGCTATTAGTGATGAACCATTTCCATTAATACAATTATAATAAATTCAATCTTAATGAAAATCTAATTCAATTCTAGATACTTTGAAGCCTTGAGAGGCTATCTAGATATTGTTTTATCATTTTAACTTGATATCATTTTCATTTTTATGATTAATTTATTTTAAACCATTCATTCTTTTTCTTCATGTTTTTTTTCTTACAAATTTAATATTGCTAGCACGTTCCTAACCTCTATTAAACTATTTATTTATTCATTAAAGATATTATATTAATTAAGTCTCGGTGATCTTTTATGTAACAAATGGTGTTAATTTCATGCAAAAAATTTTCTTAATTTCATGAAAATGCGTATTTTTCTGCCTTATTTAAGTGATAAGATTTCCAACTTCTTCGAACATTGAAAGCTAAATGAGATTAATTTTACCGTTATCTTGGTATAACGAGGGAATCTCTTGAGAAATATCATTGGATTTTACAGTTGAAAATATAAATCAATCAATTAATAAATCAACACCCCCAAAAATGCATACTTCATCCCGGCCCTGAACTGCTTTAACTTTAACGTCAGCAGAATTCGTTCTTGCGACACTTTATAAATAAATCTTTTATTTTTGCAAACCCATTGACGCATTTATTGGCTACTTATTTATTTTAATTATTAATTTCTACCGATCCAAAACTAGTTTTTTTTTACGTTTGTAATATCATCTCTATCATCATATTTCTTAGTTTATTTTAAATTGTTCCTTTGATTAATGTTACACATTGGTAGAATTTTCTATGTATTTTTGTTGATTAACATCTCAGATTTACAAGTCAATAATTTTTTCTAAAATATATTTATCAAAAGTTTAACCACTATTATGTTTAATTAATAAAATTTCCTATCATTTCTCGACTTGACGATAATGGATAATATGGTGCGCCCGCGCTTGCGCCAGCGCATTTGCAACTTGTATTCACCTGACGACTGGATTAAAATGAGACTAAAATTCATTTGATAAAAAAAAATATCCCTTAATTGAGTTAACACTATATCAAATTAAATATTTTTTATTTCACTTTTTTTATTTATTTTAATTTGTCAGGTTCTTTCTAGTTATTATTTTTTAGCAGAATATTTTTTTCATTCCATGACAGCAAGAGAATTTAATTTAAAATAACAAAAAATTTATTATTAAATTATTTTAATAAGTAAACAGCATAAGCTTTCTATTTTTAAGTCAAAAAGAATGGATGTTTTTTTTAAATAATCTACAGTTACTAAGGAGACTGGCGATAGTTTATTAAAATAATACATCTTTGCTATTTTTGTAGTTTACAGAATAACTATGAGCTTAATAATATTTATTAAATGTTGATTTATCGATTGTTTTTTTTTATGAAGATTAGGAAAATTCTTTTCTTTTCTGTTCAAATTCCTATTAATTCAGGTAATATATCCCCTCTATTTTTTGTTGCCCTCATGCCTCCACATAAGTTTTTCCGTTATGTCATGTTCAACTAATTATGATTCACAATATGGCATAAAAAATGGTGAACAAATGAGGATTAATATTTATTGCTTGTGTTCAAGCTTGTAACTACATTCTTCATGCTTTCTGAATTTAACAAAAAAAAATATTCAAAAAACCTTTTTCCCCTAAATATAAAGATTAGATGAAACGGTAGATTATTTAACAAAAAGTAATCAATGCATTGAGAAAGTTGAGTTTTCAAAAATTATCATATCTGATTGAATATAAAATTTTTTCTACTAAAATAATAAAATGGCTGATAACAGTAATTGTCTAGTAATAGTTGAATTAAAATAAATATTAATAATAATCAGTAACAATGGTAATGAATTTATTTGTATTATAATTTCAACAGTAATAGTTCTTATAAAACAATGTGAATAATAAAGAAAAAAATTGTTGGATTGAAAACAGTAAAAGAATTGAATTCACAACATAACAATAGCTTTCTTATGTCTAACATTATTTTTTTTTCTCTCTCTCTCTGTACAATTATCATTAATTTATAACAATGAAGTCTCTACTTTTATTATACAAATTTTTAGTCACAATTATGAGTAATTTTACTGAGGGAAATCAATAAAAAAGATAAATTGATCTGTCGAGCTATCAGTTCAATTACTCTTCGTTTTATCAAGTCAATAGATATCGATTATTCATATTAAACAAAATTGATATAAAATCGAAAGTATTTTTAGAAAAAAATATTTAGTTTTTTTTTAGATAACAAATTAATGGAACATTATCGTTAGTCATAAAAATAATTAATTTTAACTAGAATTTACTTTGACAACTTATGGCTTAAAAGTAATTAGGCTATTAATGTTGAGATGTGCGGATTTTGACCTTAAAGTATTTACTTATCATTAAACGATTTAACTGAGGTTAATAAAATTACAGGAGTTATATTTATTCAGTCATTTAAATCGCTAATTTATTTTTGATAAAATAAATGAAATGTATTTTACATGAGAAAAAAAGGATTATAAACGATAGAAAAATTAAATCGTTACGCATCATTGAACTTGATAACATTCGAAAGACTGTTGAAGGACGTAATACGACATTGATGACGACAGTGCGAACCTCAACCAACGCTGTCAAACGGTTGAGAATAGACTTTGATGTGCTTCTTCGTTAATCGTTTGAATCCTTACATATTTCACTGAAATATTGGGAAAAATTGACGTTTTTAAGCCAAAACAAACTTTACTTCAAAATAACTAACTTGATTATTATTCCTAACCATTTTTATGTCAATTTAATATGGAGCTAGCAGTATTTAAGTAAATAAACATTATATTTAAACAGTAGAATTTCATAAATGTTATGAAACTCACGGAATATCTTCTGAATGGATTATTCGAGGTCGTGTAGTAAAAGATATCACTATATTTTATCTAGTATCATCAGTATTTAATTATTAATAGTTATTTATTTATGAATAATATAAACTCCAGACATTTTGACATTAATAACAATAATCTGTTGTAAGTGGAAACTGAGAATTAATAATAAAATTTAAATTAGCATCAATTGTCAACTGCAGATTAAATAAATGTGATATACAACTAAGTATCCGAATGATAAAAACAAACAAGAAAGTTGACACAAAATATAAGATCACTTATACACTTGATTTGTGCGCTGGCGCACTAGGTCTTATCTGTTCAACATTATCTTCTTACGTTGACTACCTAAATATAGCGCGGAACATTCAACGAGTAACGTGAAAGTGAGCATTACCACGTTATCGTAGTATTTTAAGGATATATTTTGTAGTATTTATAAATTATTATTTTTTTTATATTTTTATATTTTTTTATAATTTATCAATAGTATAAATTATTTTCTAAATGTGAAATAATCAATTAGTTAGTGATAGAAAAAGTGTGAATAGTATATGTATCGTTAATTACCGTGCTAATATGATCATAGGTATCAGTTGCTATTGCTAATACATTCTTTCACAACGATCGATAAAATTATAATAAAAGCATGTGTATTTGTTGTCTTTGTATGAAAACGATAAAGTGAAGAAGTTTTATAATTTTCCATTTTTTTTTCTTTTTTGGAATTAAATGAAAATTTGATAAAAGTGTGATTCTTAGTATTGCTGTTATTAAGAATGACCTCAGTTACTGTTGTGAGTTGGTCAGAGCCATGTCAAAATTGGAGATATCCAAAATTTAATAATTTGAAAACTAAATCTATTATAAAATCAAAGGGTATTGGAAATAATGACAATAAAGTAAAAATCAATAAAGCACAAGAAGAAAATAAAAAAATGTCTATTCGCACTTACAAAAGAATTCACAATCTATTTGTGAAATTAACCTCGATTAAATGTGAGTAATTTATATTCTATATTAAAATCTAGTAATTAAAAATTGTACTTGAAAATATTCGATTTAAAGTTAATATAGAATCTAAATTTATAATTATAAAATATTAAATAAAAGAACAGAATATTGGTGTATTGTATTTGAAAATGATAAATTTTTCTCTTTTTCAAATTTATCTGATAAATAATAAGTATAGTGAAATATATAGTATATTTATTCATAGGAAATGGAAATGGAATGTTTAGTAATGAAATACTTTTTTCCTATTCAAGTTCCATGTATTTATTTATCGATGCACAGTCGATTAAAAGTAATTTATTTCTAATTAACAAGTTTATATGTGATCGTATATTGGACTGTATATAAGTTTAACTAACGTCAGACTGTTAATCATGATTTTACTTACGCTAGACAAATAGGTTTTGATTCACTAAAATTCCCTTGTTAGGTCTTTTTGTTCTTTAAAACAAAGCTTTATAATTTCTAATAGATAAACTGATATATTTTTATTATTTTTGTTTCTCCAATCAGTATTTTTAGAATTTATATTCCCACGGCAATTTAACCAACAAATACCTCATAAAACTATTTTTATCAATCCTTTATCTGTATGAATATTCACTCTTCTTTTCTAACATCATCTTTCTACAAGTTTCTTATTATATAACAGTGTTTTTTTTTGATAAAGTTAACTATATTTTTTGGTATTTTATTTTTCATTTTTATGGATAACAAAATGTACTCCACAGGCAAGGATGGCAGTAAAGTGACAACTGTGGTGGCAACCTTAGGTGCCGGACCAGATGTTCCCTTGGAAGTATCATATACTGATACAAAGGTTATTGGAAATGGAAGCTTTGGAGTTGTGTATCAAGCTACACTATGTAACAGTGGAGAGATGGTAGCAATCAAGAAAGTACTTCAGGATAAAAGGTTCAAGGTGAATATGATAAAACATACTCAATAGTAGCATTTTCATTATCAACTAAGCATACAAAACTTATAGTACAAGCTCATAAACTTGTACCTATAATTAAGATTGCTAATTTAATTTATTATCTATTGTTTATGTGACATTTATCATAAGATATTAAAATTTTTCTTCTATTTATTATATTTCAGAATAGAGAACTTCAAATTATGCGACGACTTGAACATTGTAATATTGTTAAGCTTAAATATTTCTTCTACTCCTGTGGTGAAAAGGTTAGTAATTTTTATATTAATATTTCTTTCTATAAGCTGTTAATTATATTTATAGCAATAATAATATTCACTAATTATAAGAATTTTTATTTTTTATTTTTTTTTTAATTTATGAAAAAATAATTAATATAAGGTCATTAATATAAAATACTTTAATAGTTATTTTATTTTATGAAATATGTTCAATAAAATAAATAAAAACGTATGCCGATACTAAAACAAATTTTTTCATTGTAAATTATCATAAAATTTAAAGAAACTTGTACATGAATCTCATTTAATATTAATTTTAATAAGTTGAAGCTTAATAAAAATGATTTCATGAATAAATTGATTTAAAAAAATAAATGAGAAAAATTTTGTTCAGTATTTAGAGCAATGCATGAACAATTGTTATTCCTTTATTATTTTGTAGAACGTCTTAAATGCGACTAATCCAGTTTTTCATGTGTCCGTAAGTTAACAGCGTATCCAGTAGTAGTTTTTCAGTAATTTCTCTTACGATTTTTAGGCTAAACACGCTTAACTTATGTGATTAAGCTTGAATGCATATTTAAAAAAGAATAAAAAAATATAACTATTAACTTCAGTTGAAATTTAATGTAAAGACTAATTATCACTAGAATTACTATTATTATAAATAACAAAAAATCGTAACGAATTATTATTAAATTAAAAATTGAGTAGTAGAAGCAGCTTCATTAGTTTACCGAAATAGTGATAGTTGATTGTGCGAGTTGTTAATAAGAATATTAAAAAATATTTCATGTAATCGAGAAAAAAAAAATTATTCTAAGAGTCACATTATGAGTGTTTTTAATGCCAATCAATCACTTTTTGCCATTTGTAATAAAACAATAAATGGTAAAAAATTACTTAATGACATAAAGTAGAACTAAATGTTTGCTTATGATTATTATGAAATTTTTCGTTGGTTATTTATTTCATTGGTTTATTTTTTATTATTTACTTTTTCAAAAATATTATATTGATTGAAAGATTTATTTCCTTCAGAGGGATGAAGTTTATCTCAATTTAGTCCTGGAATATATACCAGAGACGGTGTACAAAGTAGCGCGGCATTACAGCAAAAATAAACAAACCATACCTATGAACTTTATTAGGGTAAGTTTTATAATAAAATTTATTTCTTATGAATATTTATTTTCAATATATAAAATTGATTTAATACATAATAAATATATTTTCAGCTGTATATGTATCAACTGTTTCGTTCCTTGGCATATATTCATTCATTAGGAATCTGTCACAGGGATATTAAACCACAAAACTTACTTCTCAATCCAGATACTGGTGTATTGAAATTGTGTGACTTTGGTTCGGCTAAACACCTTATGCAGGGAGAACCGAATGTGTCTTACATCTGTAGTCGTTATTATCGAGCACCTGAACTCATTTTCGGCGCCATTGATTACAGTACAAAAATTGGTAAGTTTAATTACACATATTATTGTTTATTTATCGTTATCATAATTTTTTATTTATAATTCAACGAAATTTATGACACCAAATAACTGTAAATAAGTTTCATCCATATAATTACTTTAATTTTATTACAGTTTATAAAAATATTAAAGATTTATCGATATATATTTTAGACTTTCATTAATGACGATTCCTTTAGCTTCTTCAAAGAAAGTTGGAAGTGTCATTTTCATACAAAATGATTAAGTTATTCAACTCGAGGAAAAAAATTAAAAATAACTATTCGTCATCAGACAGAAGAAAGAGTAAATATGCAAAGTGAAAATGTGATTTAGTTGTTTTTAAAATAATTTGACTGATTCATCAGACAAATAACTATCAAATATCAAATTTAATTCATCACTTTTTAATATAAAATGCAATTATAAATAACATTGTGTGAATATGCATATTATTCATTTTTTTTTTTATTCGAAAAAAAAGAGGTACGTCTTTAAAAGAATTCATCATCGTTACTGACCTATCGTACTTTTATTCTTTGTTTCATTTGCCAAAACCTGTTTTTACGACATATTTTACAACATTGGAGTAAATCCATGTATAAAGTTCACAGTCTAACTCAAAATTTATTCTTTAATTTTCTAAAAATAATTAAGAATAATTAATAATTTTTTTCTTTTTTTTTTCATGAAAAAAATTCAACTTTTTTATATGACTTTATTCGACTCAATCATTCGATTTAATAAGATAATTATAAAAAAAAAGCTACATTATATCAAAATTTTTATTGTAAATAATTATCAGTTGAATAATTTTTCTATGGTATACATAAAAAATGATGCTAATTTTGGCTGCTAATTCCATTATTTAAGTGATAATCAAATAGGAATAAATTAATGAATAATTTCTGTTATCAGATGTATGGAGTGCTGGCTGCGTATTAGCAGAACTGTTACTTGGTCAACCAATTTTCCCAGGTGATAGTGGTGTAGATCAGCTTGTGGAAATTATCAAAGTTCTTGGAACGCCCACTCGTGATCAAATTCGCGAGATGAATCCCAATTATACAGAGTTTAAATTCCCACAGATCAAATCACACCCCTGGCAAAAGGTATAGTTACTTGATCGATCAAATATTCCTTATAAATTATGTTTACCATGATGATTGTTGTTCTAATTATTTCAATTCACATCATGCTCTTACCCCATGTCAATACCTACAGGATTATTAATCATTAAAGTGCTTGTGAAGTCTGTATATTATGCCTCATTATCGCGAACCAGCATTGAAGATGAAATTGATAGGAAAATTTATTGTAATTGAGTTATTATTACTATTTTTCTGCGTTTTATTATACGTGTTATTCAATATTAAAATTAATTTTTTTCTGTTACTCGTGTAATATTATTCAACATCTAGATATATTCTCGTCATTACAGTTCATGCTCCAACGAATGAGCGCTCCAAAGTGTACGACAAATCATCAGAAAATTAGAGTAAGTGGTGTTTCTCTTCAAGCAATGCTGCAAGTTGTCACGGATTTTTCTCTTTTTTTCTCCATTTACCAATTCAAACTAACATTAAACGGCTGATATTATGACATGATAAAAACATCAAATCTGTAAAACCAATCAAGATTTTATCTCATATTAATTGGTTATGTAAATATTCCTCTTAAAATTTTTTTATATATTATGGTTTTCACTCCTTTTTTTTTCTTTTTTTTTTTTAATTAAAAAAATTTAATTTTTAATTAAGAAAAATATTAAATTACAATGATAATTTTTGTGTCGTGTGATTACCAAATATCTATCGAGTTGAATCCAAAATTTTCATTCGCTGAATCATCGAAAATTAACACTACTAATGACAAAACCATTGTATTGCAAATGATGACATTGGAGCTGTGCAGAGAGAAATCACTTACTCTATAATGATGTTTTACAACAAATTGAAATGATATCAAAAATTCATCTTTATAGAATTAAATAGCTAATTTTAGTTAATAAATCATTTAAGCTTAAGTCTTCAGACAAACTCACAAATTAAAACTTCTATTGAGGTAAAAAATCTAGTGCTTTAATAAAGCTAAAGTTCATTTATCATTATTAACTATTTCTCCGCTAAATATATTAATATTTTATATAATTTATAAAAATTTTATAAAATAAATTATTTTAATAGTACTGATTGAAGTAAACAATCAATAACTTTATTTCATTATTATAAGAGCTGTACTTGACAAAAGATATATGTTGATTTTTTGAAATGAATTGAAATTTTTAGATAAACTTGTAGTAAATATCAATATTTTTGTTACAAATGAAAAAAATATATGTACGATTGTAAATGGAAATTGCAAGGTTCAAGTATATTTATAACAATAAATGAGTCATTCAATATTTAATATTCAATCAGTTAAATCAATTTACAAACATGTTGTGAAATTTATTCATGTTATATTTTTTATTAAGTGTTGAAATGTTTTTGAATGAAAAACACATTATTAAGTATTGCATCGAAAAAATCAATAACAGTCACTGTTAAAATTTTATCTTACAATAGACATAGAAACGACTGCCAATTTTGTTCGAGTAAATATTGAATTACTATTTTATTCAATAAAAATCTGAATAGTTTTAATTGATCAAATTCGTTTGTAGTATTATCACATATTTAATTTTAATGAATTTCTAATTAAATTATAATATATAAAGAATAATGAAGTTTTAATAATTGTCTCATTATCGATTATTAAGACTTTTATTTTATGATTATCAATACTTGCTTATTTTCTCATTTATTTATGCCCTAATAATTGGCCGATTGCGCTTACAATACCAACCGAACCTTAGTTAATAAATATAATTGATTGTAAATAAAGAAGTAATAATACAATTTGTTTTAGGTATTTCGGGCACGTACTCCACCGGAAGCTATGGAATTAGTTGCCCGACTATTAGAATATACACCACGTTTACGAATAACACCTCTAGGCGCCTGTGCTCATCCATTCTTCAATGAGCTTCGAGAACGAGGAACTGTTCTACCGAACGGTCGAGAATTGCCACCATTATTTGACTTTACAGAGCACGAATTGCAGATATCACCAAATCTCAATTCAATATTAATACCTAAACATATGCAAATGTTCGAATCAACAACTGAAGACCAACAACCGGCAGAAACTACGAGTAATACCGCGGGTGCCAGTGGCAATTCAACTGAGAGTAATGTTAACACGTCTTCACCATCAGAAACACAAAATACTGATCCTAATCAATCGACCATGGCTTAAATAAGCCAGATTACTATTATTAATATTATTACCATTATTAATATTATTTTTATTTTAATCGTTAAAACTCGAAGATTTATCATTTTAGAAAGCACATCCTACAAAATAAAAAAAAATAATGATAAATAAATAAATATATCTTTAGACACTGTAAGAAAGATGTTCCGTTTGTAAATTAAACTTGATTCAAAAATTGACTATGCTGGTATAAAGTTACTTTGTAAAGAGGAAAATGAAAAAATTATAATAATAAAATGCTTAAGAAAAACTTAATTATTATTCGTAAAATAATACATCCTCATTGCAATCAAGTCAAAGTAAAAATTTATATCGGCTTTGTCATAGATTGAATTCAGTGTATATAATAATAAGAAGAACTGGTGTGAGGCCTCTAAAAAAGGTTTATGCTAATTATACTTGGTTAAAGAGATGTATAACGTAATAATGTGGTAGTACGTTAAGTTGTTTGCGTCGTCTTTTTATCGAGTTTAGCTTGAAAGAGTGCAGGTCAATATTGAAAAATAAACATAGACCGCATTATCACATATTTAAAAAAAATAACAACAAAAAAAGAATAAAGTTAATATGCAAACATAAAATACGCTGTTGCATTTGCGTGATTGGAGAAAGAGCTATTCTTGATGTTCGGTTATTGTTATAAACGAGTGTTTTAATTATTATAATTATTTTTATTACTTATAATTGAATTTATTATTAATCTAATTATTATTATTTTTTTTAATTATTATCATCATTAATAGCGTTATATTTTTTGTATTCAACGTGGGATTTGATTTTAAATTAACTGTAACGTCACAATTTCGTGAATTATAGTATGAATATAAAGTATAAGAAATCTTCCGAATTCAATTTTAATGAGTTATAATTAATTAATTATTCATTTAAAAAAATATTCAAAAAATTATCGACTGATTTAATATATGTATAGTGAGCCTCGCACTTCTGACGAGTTATTGTCAAAATTTTTTTATGTTTTCATTTTTTTGACGAATGCTGTAGCGTTGTGTGATATATACTGCGCCTATTAGCTCGATTCAGACTTAATCGTAAACATTATTATTAATTATTAATTGTGTAATTAAACATTATAGATAAAATGTCACGACCAAATAATACTCTTTGCACTATATAATTGTTCGTTTGTGTCTAACAATTACTGTTGGCAGTGTATTTAACGAAGAAAAAATTTAATCGATCAATTTTTTATTGGTTTACTAATGTTTCTTATTGTGTCAACTTTCTAACCCTTTGAGAACTATGATAAGAAATAATCCGTTTATTTCGCTTATGTTCATTTATATATTTTCTTTCGTCAATTACACTAAATCATATTATTATCATACTAAAATTAGTAATCGTTATAATTCATTCGCTATCAGTGAAAATCTGAACTACTTTTTTTTTCCTTCAATTCTTACAGGGTGTTTGTAATGAAAGTGCGCAAGCTTCGACAACAGATTGCAGAGCATAGTTCAAAAAATATAAATCTGAAAATGTGAGCTTACTTATTCTCAATTTTTAAAATATGGCAGCTTTAATTTCTATTTTTAGATTATAACTAATAAATTGCTTATCAAAGAATGATAAAACTTTTTCTTCAAACAAATGAAAATTTCCTTATTTTTTAAACAGATAATTTATTTTGATCACTTTATCACCCTAAAATTGTTCTCTATTCGAATATATTAAATCATTTGTTTGTGAAAAAAATGATCATTTTTGATAAATAATTTATGAGTTATAAGCCAAAAGTGCGTGATATTTTAATAAATTGAGCCAAGTAGTTTTACATTTGACAGTATTATCGTAGATTGATGCAATTACATTCCAAACACTTTGTACAATACGAGTAATGAATGTTTGAGTTTGATTAGTTTCTAAAGAAAAAGTTATATATTATTACATAAAAATTCATCGCACATCATTCACAAACATATCATTGTAATAATACACAGCAAAAAAAGTGAAAAGGATTTTTTTATCTCTAACAATATATTAATAATTAATAATAAGTAAGTACAGAATACTAGATGCAATAAAAGAAAGAGCAAATAAAATTATATAATTCAATTTGAATTGTTATAATATATATAATATGATTTTTTTTCTACAATAATTTTGTGAATGAAATAATTCAATGTAAAGAAAATTAAGAATCATTAATTTTATTTTTATCAAATGATTTGACCATTTTTCTTATTTTTGGTCAGCCGAGTTATTTATATATATATATACCAATACATGCATGTTCAGCGCCTACCAAATTATTAAACTACATAATATATAATAATAATTTAATTTCTACTAAATATTGTTCATTTTCAAAATGAATAAAGCATTTCAATGATGAAATAAAATTCAGAAAATATAAATATAAATATAAATAAAATGAGCGGTCGATGATGATAATAGTAATAAAAATGAAATAATGATAAAATTGAAACAATAAAAAATTGTAAATGATTGATCGTTTAGCACTAGACACAAAGTGACTTATTTAATTTAAAAATTAATTGGGGTTATAAAATATAGTATGTTGCTCGATGATTAATACGTCAATATTTATCTGACCTGCGATATTCTGAGCGTATCTTACAATGCAGCTAGTTGAATTAACTGTAATAATTGTTTATAAGAAAAAAGAACGCGCATAGATCTTTATATGTATGAAAATGCATATACATTTATTTAGATTGCTTGATGTTATTAATAAAAAATAAGAGTGTATAATATATGAATATATCTATGTGTGTGCAAAAACATGTATATAATGCAGGTACTTGAAACTATAGATATAAATAATTATATATACATTATTTGCCTTTTAGGAAAGTAGAGAAGAAAGTCAAAGATTATGTGATAAAATTCACACTCTTAACTTCCTTCACTCTTGCCTTTATTATTATTGACTATTAATTCATTCATTTTTAATTTAAAAAATAAACCAATAAATCATCTATTAACGACAAATGATGAAGTGAATCTAAATAATTCGGGTGAACTAATCAGAATATGGATACTCCAAGTTGTACCACTTGTAATTGTTTACAAGTTTCGATTTTCATTTAACGGTGATATAAATTAATAATATTCTTTAACAATAATTAATAATACACCCCATTTTTAAATTAATCGATGTTAACTGAAAAAATGGATTTAGCGACATTTATATAATAAAATACACTTGATTATAATTTTTTGTTTTAACAGAATGATTATAAAAATATTACAGTTAATAATGTAGAATTAATAATCATATTACAATCTGTGCTAAATAGAGTTTATTTTCAGAGGAAACAAATATTAGTTGATGCAATTTCAATTAGTTTATATTCTCATCAATAAAAACTTTATTAACTCAATATTTAGTATTCATGATTTGGCAAGTTTACCCTTATCTATTAACTTAATAGTATTGAATTTAATAATTAACATTTATATTAATATATATTATTTAATTCACTTCTTTGATAATGTATATTATAAATAAATGCCATCTCAGAGTTACGTCCGAATTTAATTTTATTATTTTATTATTATTATTATTATTATTATTATTATTATTATTATTATTATTATTATTATTATTATATTATATAGCTGTATATGTAATTTTCAACAAAAAATATGTATTCTCAGATAAAAGGACGATGCAACGGAAATCATGAATCAGTTATACAGTTAAATATTAATCTATGAACAAAAAATAAATAAACTCTGTACAAAAAAACTACAAACTACTGCTACCACTTACTTTGAGCGTTATATTCACTTTTTTTTTAATAAAAAAAAATTATAATAAATTAATTATTAATAATAGTAATTATTATTAATTAATTGAGTAATTAATAATAATAATGTACCCATGTTGGAGAAAATGAATATACGAGTGTAAGAATCTTATTGAGCGTAATTTACGTCTATTACCCTGGCACGTATTAGTGATAGTTATTGTTTTCCTATATGAGTAGAATTTACAAATTCAATGACAAAAAAAATACAAGAAATACATGACAAGTACCCAGATAACACTATGTTGATAGCGATTTTAGGCCAATTTTTAACGATGATTATCTTTTAGATCAATAAATTGATTGAAAACTCATTTTAAAAAATTTGTGAAGTATTAAAGCTATTTGGAAGATTTATTTGTTGTGTGAAATAAGTGTGTATAGATAACATGTCAATTTATGACAAAAAAAAAAAAATATTGATCAAATTCATGATTTAAATTTAACAATGATTGATAATTTTTCTTCCTCCTTTCTACCATTGTCTTATAAAATAATACCACGAGGACACGCTTCAAATAAAATACAAAATAAATTGGTAAAGAATAACTAAATAAATAAAGATAAAATAAACAAACAAATAAAATGAATGCTTTTGATTCATAAAAAAATTATTGGAGTAAGTTTTTACACCTTAGAAAGCAATGTATTGTGCGAACTGCACGCTTTCCTAGTTTCCACTTTTTCATATAAAAAATGTATTAATATAAAAAACTAATTGTTTATATGATGCATTATACTCTTGTATATGCGGCAATCACCGATATTTCAGAGCTACTTTGTGTAGTATAAAGTGAACTAAAAAAATAGATTATTATATAATAAAAAAAAGAATTAATAATAAAGTTGATGAAACTTAAATAAAAGGGAAATCAACTAAAAATATTCGCAATTGATACAGTCGTATAATCATACAGAAGAAAAAACTAAAGAAAAAATTATGTAACTGCTCATTTCATATTTTACTTATACACATTACAATCATTTATTTGAACAAAAACCAAAATAAATAACAAAATCGTTATGAGCGATTGCTTATCTTAGATATAAAATAAAAATACAGCGGCTTTTCTTTCTAATAGAAAATATATTAATATATTGACATGAGATAAATAAATCTCATGATGTAATTAACATCATTAATTGATTCGATTTCAAATATATAGTGTAATTATAAATTTCCTTTAATAAGGAATATAAAAAGAATTAAATAAGTTTATGAGGAGTGATTTAAGTAAAATAATACATTAAAGAATGGAATACTGGATATTATGGTGAGATTAAGAAATAAATAAGAATCATCAGTGTGAATCTTGTAATATTTGATGATTTTTCAGTGTATGATATTAGGAAATAATTGTTTAATGCGTTTCACAGCACTATCATTATAATGAAAATTAACAGTGACCAGAAATAAATAATGAATAAGTAAATAAATATATAAATAATTAAATAAATTTAATTAATTATTAAATAAATAAAGAAAATATAAAAATGTCAAACACCGTAGACGTGCATGCTACTCATACAAAAATTAATGAAAAGTAAGAGTACCATAAATTTTATTCGCTGGTGCATAAAACAAGAGAATAAGAATAATATAAGAGGACGAAAATGAAAAAAAATAACTGGAAATTTGAGTGTACGAGAGAGAGAAAGAGAGAAAAAGAGAGAACGCGAAAAATGAGAAGTGAATTGTGGGCGTGTGTGAATTTAAAATATATGAGAGCTAGCAAGACATAAAAATGGGAAGAACGTTTATTAGTGCAAGTTGAAAAAATCATACGAAAAATTACAGTGTATACATACATATATGTATGTAACATATGTATACAGGAAAATACATGTATATGAAGTATGTATATGTATGTATAATTACATTATAATTACCTTACACGATAACCATAGCCAATTATTGTTATTAACATTGTCATTCAAATGATCATCATCGTTATTATATTTTATTATTATTATTATTATTATTATTATTATTATCGAAATTATTTACAAGAATAATTTTTATCAAAAATAATAATAATTATTATTATTTTTTGTTTTTTAATATAAATCTTTTTTTAGTATAATTTTATTTTTATTGAACTATTTAATCGGTCTTTGAAGTTTTTTTTTCATTTATATCATGCATATTTAAGCAGTTAATTATAGCATACCAATTAATGTATTCATACAGAATTTGGTTTCATAAGCCAATCCCAGTCAACTATATGAATGTACATTTCGTGGTTTATTTAAAAATAAAAGATTATCTGTCACGTCAGTCAATTTATTTCTAAAGGAGTGTTCAAATATAAAATTGATAATTAAACTCGTGACGACAATATTGATTGAAATTTAATTTAGAAATCAGCCCTAACGCCATCTGTCTACGTAGGTCGGTAATGTCACTGGAGGTTTTTTCGAACGTTGTATCAGGAATCCGGTGACAAGAATGATGTGATTTTCGCAAATTCACGCGATTACAAAGCATCAATACTTGTGGAATTGCGTGTTGTTTGAATAGTCAGTTAAATAGTTGAATCAAATTGTGTTCAAAATGAGTTCTATTGGAACTGGGGTAATTAAAAATATACATTTCTAAAATTTAATCCATATTCTATCAAAAATATATCAAGTCATTTACAACTAACCTAACAATTTTACAGTATGACTTGTCTGCATCACAATTTTCACCTGATGGACGAGTTTTTCAAGTTGAATATGCACAGAAAGCTGTTGAGAACAGTGGGTAAGTATTGTTTATTCATTAAAACCACTTAATCATGATGTATAAACAATCTTTACTAGTAATGAATTTTTTATTATGTTTAGAACTGTGATTGGTTTACGAGGAAAGGACGGAATTGTATTTGCAGTAGAAAAGTTAATTACATCAAAGCTTTATGAACCAGGAGCAAATAAACGAATATTTAATATTGATCATCATATTGGTATGGCAGTGTCTGGATTAATATCAGATGCACGACAAATAGTAGAGACTGCTAGATCAGAAGCAGCAAGTTATCGTTCTCAATACGGAATTGGGATTCCAGTAAAATATTTAAATGATCGTGTGGCCATGTATATGCATGCATACACTTTGTATTCTGCTGTAAGACCCTACGGATGCTCAGTTATTCTTAGTGCTTACGAGAAAGATAATCCTGCTATGTATATGATTGATCCTTCTGGTGTTTCTTACGGATACTTTGGTTGTGCTGTAGGTCAGTAACACTGCCAGGTTTGCAGATGAATGTTTAAATATTTATTGTAGTTCTCTACGATAGTAAACTGAAGCTTTTAAAAATTTCAGGGAAAGCAAAACAGTCAGCAAAGACTGAAATTGAGAAACTGAAGTTAGCAGACATGTCGTGTAAGGATTTGGTGAAAGAAGCTGCACGAATTATTTATCTTGTTCATGATGAACTTAAAGACAAACAATTTGAGTTAGAAATGAGCTGGGTTGGAGCACATACAAAAGGTAGACACGAACGAATTCCACATGAAATCAAATCTGAAGCTGAAGCAAAAGCTCGTCAAGCAATGGCAGAAGATTCTGATAGTGACACTGAAGATATGTAAATGTAAACAATATTAAAAAATTTATCAATATTAATCTTAAGGATAAAAAATGTTTTTTAACGTACTACTTTTTCAAACATCGTTATTTTCATCACCAATAAATTTAACTCTTCAAATAGATAAATTCCTTTTTTCGATACCATCATAAATTGATATTTTTATCAATATAATTGGTTTGACTTCAACATCTTTAATTAATACATATCAAGGACATCATGGGACAATTGTTGGTTATTTTTTTTCGTACAGATGAACAACACTTTAAAAAACGAGATGTATAGAACAATTGTCAATGTTTAACTATTATTCTCTTCACGTTTAAAAGTATTTGAAATACTAAATCCCAATTATTCTTATAATGGAATAGCATTTTATAATAAAAGATAAAAGTATAAATATCCTTTTTGTTTAAAAATTTAATAATTTTATTGATTATTCACAGTAAAGAAATTAATTTTCTAACTATAGCACGTTTTAACTTTTCTAAAAAAGTAATAGGTTTTGCAGAATAAGTCATTATTTTTTAGCTTTTGATCTCACGAATTCGTGGTGCGCAGTATCATCCTTCGACATTAATATATAAACGATGTGAAATTCGAATCCTACTCGCAGTTGTGATCGAAACACCCGCGAGTTGTTCAAAGTATCTAACAATGTCTAATGATTCTTTGACATTAGAAGAAAAAAATCATGCTGGCTATTTAGCAGTCACAGTTATACTCAGTTTTATTGGATTATTTGGAGTTGTTTTTAATTTAACTGTTATTGTTGTCATTTCTGTGGATTCTAAAATGCGTCGAACACCGATTAATGTTATTTTAGTTAATCTTGCGGTGAGTTATTTCATCTTTTATTTGTTGCTAAATCCAAAAGTAAAATTATTATGCTTAATCATTTTTTTTTAATGAAGATTGGGGACTTTTTAGTAGCACTTTTGGGTGATCCACTTGCTTTAATATCAGCTTATCACGGAGGATGGTATTGGAATCATGAAGCTTGTGTTTGGTAATTTATTAAATAAAATATCAAAACAGAATATCATTTTTAAATTCGTAAAATATTATTTTACATTTTTTCTTTAAACGTAGTAATTTTGTGTAAATTTATGTTTAATAAATAATTTTTATTTATACTTTATGGAAAAGTAGAATTTTTATTTTAACTACTATAGTTATTTAAAGAAGAAAAAAATGTCAGTAATGCATCTATAAGTATTATATTTCATTGACAATTATAGAATATAATAATTGGTTCATGAGTATAACAATTTCGTTATCATAGAATATAATTTTATTCAAATGGAGTTATGTTACAAGTATCTCATAAAGTTGACAATTTATAATATATTCTGAATTGAAGGTATGCATGGCTCATGTGCACCTTAGGACTTGTAAGCATTGGACATTTAACAGTCATGGCAATTGAACGATGGTTCTTGGTAGTAAAGCCAATGTACACACTAACTTTTAAGTGAGTTTACATTAAAAATTATTTCCATGCATGAATTAAGTAAATAAAAATTCTTAATTTCTCAATTCTTATCACTTAATCAGCCATAGATAAATAATCATTTACAATTTTTTTAGATTTATACAAAATAATAAAATGATCAATTATTGTTTAATTTAATTATGTGAATTAATATCATTTTTTTAAGGGTGTTTTTAAGAAATATTATTCTAATTATTAGATCTACGATGATACTAGTATGTTGTATATGGGTCTATGCTCTGTCTTTAAGTCTACCACCTCTAATTGGTTGGGGTAGTTATGGTCCCGAAGCTGCTAATGTATCATGCAGTGTCCGATGGGAAGTTCGCGATACTAATCATACAGATACCTACATTGCATTTTTATTCTTTTTCGGATTAATTATGCCAGTTATTATCATAACGTCTGCTTATGCTGACATCATTTGCACTCTGAAGAAAGTCAAAAAACGAATAGGTATGCTATATTATTAATATTCATAAATGATTTGATTAACTAACCTTGATCAACTTTTAAGAAACCTAAAAACCTAGATTTATCCAAATATTTTAATAATAAATTTTTATTTTTTTTTATTTTATTGAAATAGAATTGCAAAAATAATTACCATAAATGAGTCAGCAAGTCTTTTACTAAAATAAGAGTGGAATGGTTTGCCAATAATTTTCAAAAAATTTAATTACCATAAAAATATTATTTTTTAATGGAATATCGTATTATTGTTTATGAGCTTCAATTACTTTCAATTCAATTTTTTTTTAATATCCACAGAGTAAAACAAGGCCGTGACTTGGAAAAATTTTCTTTCTTAAACTAATCTATTTTCCAATAATTAATGATCAAAAGAAAGTCTTTGAATTTTTCTTTCAATAAGTCTAGTATCATACATCGAATTTTTCTTTAATTTTTCATTAATTATTAATTATTTTTAAATAATAATGATCAATAGGGACCAGCAGAAGACGAGAAAGAAGAGTAACCATCATGGTAGCATTAATGATTATTGCATTTTTAATTGCTTGGACACCTTATGCTATATTTGCTATCGCAGTGCAATATTTTTATGTAAGATATGACATATTTTCAAGATTATTCAAATGTTTTATCTCACGAAGTAATTTTATGTTTTGAATGAAAATATTATTTTCAGTATCATCCAACTGGTTTAATTACCATCATTCCTAGTCTCCTAGCTAAAACTTCAATTTGTTACAATCCTATTATTTATGCTGGATTGAATACACAGTTTCCTCGTTCATTAAAAAAAATTCTCGGAGTCAAAGATTCGACTTTTTCGACAACAACCAAATGTCCAGATACCAATGCTGTAGCACTCAGATCAATTAATACAGATGATAAAGAGTAATAAATACTTTAAAACTTGTAAGTTCTATATTTAAATTTCCTTTAATTTATCAGTATTATTTCTTAATAAAACTAATTAAAAGAATTACATTAAATAACTTATCTTGTAATTAATTACTAAATGAACTTGTAAGATAGAGCACTTTTTTGATTTACTCCTTTATTCCATTGTTACCATTGTGTTAAATATCACACGGATAAAACTTTTATTTAGAAAATATTCTAAAGACTTTATCGTCTTCAACTTAGTATCTAAAGTAGTGATGTGATAACAATGTGACTGGATCGAAGAATGTGAAAAGTTAATTCATTTATTACGTTTTAAGATGAAAATAAATGTAATTGTTATTTTCAAGTTAAAAAATTATCTTCAGTTTGAAAATTTGTCATCATATTTAAAAATAAAGAATCAAATTTCTAGAAATTTCGTTCAATCATTTGTATAAAAATTCTAATTAAAGTAAATAAATGATATTTTTATTACTTAAATTATTTTGTAATTGAATAGAAATTATTTTATTTATTTAATCTAGGATATACATTGTTCGTTAATGAGTGTAATCTAAGATATAATGTTATGATCCAGTTTAAATATCTGTATTATTTAAAATAAAGTACAATGTAAAGTTGATTTAATATTAATATTAGCTATTGCATAAAATAATCAATCAACAGTTATTATTTCATACCTGTATTGTGAAACCATTTTCATGTAAACTACTAATTGTGTAGATTTTCCATTTACATAAACATTAAAGGCTTGTCAGCTGCATTATAAGATTTCATATAAATTCAAGCACAGTACGGAGGTAAGCAGGGGTTTGGAATTCAAAAGTTGATTGAACATGATCATTTCATCAAACTTTAAACGGTGATACCATAAATAAAAATTTCGTAAACGCTATCCTCAATTTATAATCTTGTTTTTAATTAATTGTCCATATCTAGTTTGCAGTTTATTTTTGTATATATTATGCTATAATTTACTGAGTCTTTATTTAAATCACGCAAGCGTGTCTCCAATCGCTACCAACTAAAGGGAAAGTGGAATTGCATCAATTGCATTAATTCTTGAGTCACTCAATTAATTAACTGACAGGATTTTGACACTTGTAGTTATGAAGTTTTTAAGTCATGTTGATATTGGAAAAAAAATTTTTTCATTGTTTTTAAAAATTATGTTTAAGTTGAATCTTTAATAATATTTCTTTTAACTTGCAATCTAAGTTGAGATGAAGTTTTCAGAATATGAAAAATTTTTTATAAAAGTTGGAAAATTATTTCACCATCATGAAATATTGATGTAATGTAACTATGAAAATAAGGTTCATTTGTAAATAAAACACCAACAAATACGTGTGGCATTTTGTATGTTTTTATTAGACTTAAATCAGGTTTGATTTCATGTATAGAAGAATTATGTCAGCATAACTTTTTCTCTCCAAGTTTATTTTACTACCTACTTGAGTTAACTTTAATTATCTAAGTGGTAATCATAAAACCGATCACGAGACATCCATAAATGATCATAAAACAATTGATATTATGGTGAAATATGTAAATAGAATAATATTTATAGTTACTAAGTCAAATTTGGAACTGAGCCAAAAAAAAACTATAAGAAATTTGCAAGTTAAATTTTTTAGTCAAATCATTTATGAGAAGAGTTAAGAGATGAATTAGTCAATAACTTAGAAATTTATGAGTGATTTATTACCATAAGCATTATATTTTATGGTCTAACTAAATATTCAATTAATACCTCATTTTATTTTAGTGGCCACAATAATTGATTTTTTTTTTTATGATCATAACATATTAACTTGAAGATAAAATTACCCACTTTGTCCTAATTATTTTCTATTCATTTCTAGTCCTTCAGCAACCAACAATTATTTACCAATTCGAGTTTTTTCTTGACAAACTGATATATTGTAATCATATTTTTTACAAACACACACTAAAAACGCACTAACTGTCAAAATAAATTGTTTAGTATAGAAATAGAAATTATTTTATTTATATAACAGAAAGAGTGATTAGGAAAGCAATCAAAGTTTAAAATTAGACGATTGCTCCAATTGATTTTGAACAAAAAAACAAAGGTTTGTTGACCTCTACATGAGTGTTTTCCTTTGGGATGTCCGCAATTTCACTTAATTCTTTAGCTATAACCAAACAACTTACATACCACCAAGTCTTGCGAATAAATTATTTATCACATGTATGCACTGAAACATTGATATTTTAATGTTTCACTTAGTATTTCTACAAGTAAACGAATGATTGCATATGTCGTGCCAACTATTATGTGCACTCTACGCAATATAATAAGAGTCAAGTCATGAAGCTGAAATACAATTTACGAGATAATGCTAGTCGATAATTATTAGCAAACGTCAGAAAAGGAGTAAGTTGATCGAAGAAGATATTTGATCACGAAACTTACTCTCTCTCTGCATTGATATCCCTTTCTCTTACAATTTCTTCTTTCACTCTAAACACTCCCCACCTACTTTTAAATATATACTTCCTTCACTCTCTCGGCATATTTGTATCATTCCTTGAAACTTTTTGTTCTGTTATATTCCCGTTTAATTCTATAAAAATACGCAATATCCAGTTATCAATTGTTAATTAATTCATTAAGAAAATATTTAACTGATTTATTTTTATCCGAATGGGTAAAGAATGTACAATATTCGCTTGCGATAAAAGAGTGAATGAAGTTTAGACGTTTAAATGAGAAGCTATTGGTGGGAGAAAACTCGCTGTATCTCTTTTAAGTAAAGCCTTCGCCAATGATTAAACCTGGCGGTAGACCCTGGTCAGTCAAACTTTCACACTCCGTGTGAATATTTCAAAGCTGCTTCCGTACCGCGATTTCTCATTGCTCTACTAATAAAATCAACCGTGTAAAAGAGTCCTAGTTTAATATAACAGTGTCCAATTTATATCGATAAATCTGTCGCCTTTCTAAAAATGTCTCATAATAAAAGTCTATCCATTATTTATTTTACCATCATTTTCATTGATTAAGTGTACAAAAATGATTATATTAATCATTTGAAGTCAATTTGTATTAAAATTGTGAATAATAATTTTTATTTTATTATAATTATAGATAAATTTTAATTATATATAAGTGAAAAGATCAACAGAATTAATTGTCTGTTAAAATTCATTAGTGTTTAATTTTTTTCATTGAAATAATTATGAAGCACTAATAATCATAATTGTTATGGTCTCCAAAAATTATTTTCACTGGTGTCATACTGCAAAGGTCTTTCATCTAATAGCAATTATTTTCATGAGTTAAAACTATGAATAACTTTGTAGTATTACAAAGATTACATTAATTAAAAAAGCAGAAGGGAAGAAAGTATTGTTTGGTAACATTGTTTACCGTGTTGATAGAGAAGAAAGAAATTTCAATTAGCGGGGGGAAAAAAATATTATTCTTACTTTAATAAAACGTTAGAATGAAGAGAAAGACGATTTTCTTAATCTTTGTACTGTTTTGTAATTATTCGGATGGTTATAATGTTCTTTTGGCGACAATGGGTGGTACGAAATCCCACACAATTCCGTTTGTGGCTCTTGGAACAGCTTTAAGATTAAGAGGACATAATGTTACCCTAGTGAGTGCATTTTCTGGTCCTGCCGCTAATAATGGACTACGAGAGCTGGTTCCCTCTATTTTCGAGGTATTTTTCAACTATTTATTTTTGTATCTCCAATAAAAATAATAGAAAAATCTCGAGTTTTCATTTCATATATAATAATTCAATTGCAAAGCAATGTAATTGTTGATTTTTTTATTTTCAATTTTTCAACATTAACGTTTGAAAAACATAAACAAAGAGAATTTTTTTCAATAGAAATAATGATTACTTTCTGTTATTATTTGCAATGTATTATTTGCTTTGATTTCTCCATTTTTTCAAAATACTTAATAGGCTTATGTCGGTAATTACACTTCCGATTGGGACCTAGTGGGATCACGATTCCGAAACGAGCTTCCTCTTAGTCCATGGGATGCCATGCGATACGGATGGGAATCCTGTGAAGCAGTTTTACGTGACAAAAGCTCTGTTGCTAGAATCCGTCGACCGGACGCAAATGAAAATTATCAGGCAGATACGAGTTGGGACGTTGCGATTCTTGACGGTGCTTTTCCTGAATGTCTTCTGGGAATCCTACATGGAGAAAATGTGCCTACAATGATGCTAAATACGGTTAGAAATACTTTCCGATTGAAATCTCATCGGAAATAATTTATTTGTAATTAGCATTCATAAAAAATTGTTCAATGTGAAGGAAAATTTTTTTAAGAGTGTAATTTAATATAATTCTTGATAACATAAAAATATTCTTCCTGTTAAATTTATTTTTTTGAGTGAAGTAAAAACTAATAACAAAATACTGTTATTATTTATTTTTAAAATAAAATTTATTCATCATAAAATAATAAGTAATTCTATGAGAAATTTTTTAGGAGAAACATTACTTAAATAAATTTATTTAAAAGTATATAAAATAAAATTTATGATGACGCAAGTAAAAATATTTTTGATCGTGCTTGCAATTCCGGATGTTCTGCAAGCCTTTTTCATGCGTGTACATTTGTACTCAGAGATCCTATCATCATACCAAACAAACGAAAACTAATTAGAAAATAAACTAGAGAACAGTTTTTCCAAATAGACATAAAAGTAATGACGTATTTTTTTTTTCTTTCATCAATCATTCATGCAAATAAATATTTTATTATCTGAGAAATTTTATTATTTTCAACTTTTTGTACAAGTTTCAAATAAAACTCTTAATATCTTCCTAGAGAGAGAGTTAATTTAAAATAAAAATGAGTAGTATTGTCTTAAATTATTCTAACCATTAATATTCACAACTTTCTTTGAATTAATTCGAGCAAAAATAAATTAGAGATCAGCTAAAGAGTGTATTACTCAAATGCAAAATATTATTAATTAATTTATAAAAATTAGTTATATATTCACTCTATTTTTTACAAAAATATTTAATCTGAATAAATATTTAATGAAATGTTAATAAAATAAATTGAATTATTTAAATATATTTTCCAGGTTGCTCTTTATAGTGGATCCATAGCTCGTCAAGGCAATCCATCACCATGGTCAATAGTTCCATATTTCGGCAAGGGTTATACTCAAGACATGAACTTTTTCGAAAGGATAACCAATGTCGCCTGTTTGGCTATCCTACAAATCATGCATTGGGTGATGACAACAGGATTTCTTCAACCAACATTGAGAAAATATCTAGGTAAGAATTCTAATAAAAACTAGAGACATCCATAAATTAAAAGTTTTACGATTTAATTACGCAAAATTTGGCATGCTGAAATTTTTCAAGTATCTTCTAAAATCAATAAAACTAATAGACAGAAAGTTAAACTCTCTAAATAATAAAAATAATCATATCTTAACATACTAAAAATTTTATTTTTATTTGAAGATGTCCATTTTAAATTTCTTAGATGATTGACATCTAAGAATTCACGAATATAAACAAACGTGTTTATTCAAGGCTAAACTTATTGGAAACAACTACTGTATATTTACTTATGCAATCTTTAATTCTATAACAAAATTTATTGCTTCACATAAAATTACTTAACATGGCTACTTCAAGTGCATAATAACATCCTTGATTAACATATCTGTTTACTCTTTAATTATATTTTTCAATTTTTTTTAGACGACTAATTTATTTTTTCATTTTTTTTCCTGTCATTCTTCAATATTTATCAATACTTAAACTGCTAATCATTTTTTTTTTTTTCTTATAAATAAACATTCATCTACACATTGAAAATGACATGTATGAACTTTTCTTTCTAACAAAGTTAGTTAAATATTTTCTTTTCTAATTTTTTAATTAAACATTTAACATTTTTTTTTCTACAGGAGATCAAGTTCCTGATGTGAGAGAATTAATTACTGAAGTATCAGTGACACTTCAGAATAGTCATTACTCTGTAGGAGAATCTATGCCTTATCTACCGAACGTAGTAAATGTTGCTTGCCTTCACTGCCGTCCTGCAATGGACCTCAGTCCAGATTTAGAATCATTTCTTCGAAAAGGTATTTTATTTATACATTCACCTTTCGTAACTATTCTTTTTTTATCCTTTCCTTTTCAATTAATTTTTACACTGTTTCGTATTTTGTGAATTATTCAGCTAATGAGTTGTCTACCATCAATCATGATACTTGCATCAGCCAAACACATTAGACAATGAATACACGATTCTTCTTATTGAATTTTTCAAGAAAATATTATTTATGTAAATTGGCAGTCATTTAAAGTTATATTTTAGTTTTCTTAGTGATCAGTATCAGCGATTGTGGTATTAATCAAGTTTTAAAATAGTTAAAATTCAAGGTTTTCGAATTCTTTAAAAAATGGACTTGGATTAATTTTATTAATGATGAGCAGGTAGTACAGTAAAAGTCAGTTAAGTTGATTTTCTAATTCTCTCAAGCGAATGAGATATAATTTGAAAGAAGTGAATTGATAATGTGAATAAAAGAACTTCAAAGCTTTGTAATAACTAAAATATTTCTGATAAGTATCTTGATTAATGATGAATTTTATTTATAACATGAATTTATAAAAAAATGTTTCATTATTTTGCTTATAAGAAATGTAATTAAAGAATATTTTTAAAAAATGAAGAATATTTTTTCACACATAAATATTTACTTTACTTCACTTGCTGACCCTTTATACGTCATTCCCACTGGAAAACAAGCAAAAAGCTTTTGATTTTAAGCTTCTTTTATCAGCACTTGATTTTTGTTTGCATACAAATTGTTAATAGAACTAAAGTAAATGCCAATTTTTTAACAAAAGCAAGAGCATTTAATACGATCAAAAGAAAATTAATTGAACAAAAAAGAGCTAATACATTGTTATTTTTTTTTATGTAAAACATTAATTTCAACTAATAGTTGAAAAAATATTTTGAAATAAAAGTTATAGCTTTTATAATTGTATTTAAATAATTCATTTTATTATGAGCATTCGTGTGAAATGACTACTGCTTAAATCTTAATTCTCTTGACGAAAAGAACCCCTATATTTTTTCCAAGCTTACAAAAAAAAAAAGTAGAAAAATGATCGTTAATGTGAAATTCTTTTGATCAAAGAAAGAATAATAAAAACTTAGACCTTTGTAAGAAAGGACATAAAATGCGTCACAAGCAGATAAGTAGTTGTAAATGATAAATATAATTATAAAGATATTTCAATTTATATTTACAGGTTTTATATTTGTGTCAATGGGCTCATCTGTACGAGCGTCAGGAATGCCTGATGCTCTAAGGGAAACATTTATTGCTGCTTTCTCTACACTACCTTTTAATGTAATATGGAAATGGGAAGGAAGTAAAATAAAAAATCTGGCAAGCAATATTAGAACTGGTGCTTGGTGGCCTCAGCAAGAACTTCTTGGTCATCCACATTTAAGAGCATTCGTATCTCATGGTGGACTATTGTCTCTTCATGAAGCAGCTTATCATGCAGCTCCTACTTTAGTACTACCAGTTTTCTGTGATCACGATGGCAATGCTGCTCAAGCTGGTAAATTATTAACTTCTATATCAATATAAATAGGCCAAATTTATACCTTTATTATTATTATTATTATTAATAATAATATTAAAAGTATCAATGCTACTGATCAATAAGTCCTGACCATCTTACTCGTAGAGATCATATCTCTCTAAATAGAGATGTAAATTATCCCTTAAATTGCATTCCTAGGAATCATCTTTATAATATCAAATACCACATTATTGAATTATTTATTATCCAGCTTTATACAAGCCACTTCTAGGAAACTTTTAATATGCGAATTTCAGAAAAGCTTGGCTATGCTCTGGTGATGAATTTAGCAAGTATATCAGTAAATGATTTACGTGAAGCTATCCTCAAAGTAGCTGCACAGCGAAATAATCCTTATAAAGAAGCGGCAAGAAGAAGAAGTGCGTTATTAAAGGATCAGCCACTAGGGTCTAGAGAATTAGCTACTTGGTGGGTTGAACACGTAGCAAAGTATCAAGGTGCTGAACATCTCAAGAGTTCTACAAGGTTTATATTTATAATTCATTATTTACTTTAATAACTAGTATCTTTAATTAGTTAATTATATTTATTGACTTATGTTTTTTATGACTTATTTATTCATTCTTGAAGGTATATGGGTGTCCTTCGATACTACTCAATCGATGTTTTTGTCTTCTATATGGCTGTGCTTTTCTTATTGGTAAAAACTCTTCGAACATTACTTCGACGGTATTCTTCAAAGCATATGATTGTTAAAGGCAAAATTGAATAATTTGTTTACCTTTAAAATGATTATATCAACGCTAATGAATGGACTTTCTTTATCGACAGATTTTCTAGTTACTTTACGGATTTATAGCTGTGTGAGGTAATTAATATCTAATAGAATTAACTAGAAAATCTGTAGGTCATTGACATTCAAGTATTAGCATTCATGTGTATTTGTTTGAATAATACTATTTAGAATTCTTTATTTATATTTATTCAAAATTATTATTTTATTGTTATAAATCTTCAAATAATGTATTAAATATGATAGACAATAAGCTGTAAAGTTATGATAATTAACATTGTAAGTTTAGTGAATAATGATACGTCTTTACTTTTTTTCTTTTATGAAAATGATGCAATATTAATGTTGTGAGAAAATTGTGAAATTTTTATTATGATTTTGAGGAGAATGTATGTTTTGCATGTTCGAGTTGTTACTTTGTAAATTCCACCTGACGTTATAATTGAGGAATTTTCATGATGACCATATGTTGTAAGTCTGACAAATTAGTTTATAAGTTTCCTACTGATTATGCACGTATACAGATGTGATTCGAAATGAATGAATTATTTGTATATACGTACATGGGCTAAGAAATAATTTATTGTTAATGAAAAATATCATTAGTGATAGTGAAAAATGTAAAATTTTTTGAATTAAATTTTAAGTATTAATGTTATTACAATTGTTTAAGATTTTTATATTCCCAGGAAGTATTGAATGTATAATATAATGTTAATAGAAACTTGTATGAAAATTGTATTAAAAAAATTAATAAAAATTTTATAATTTATTCTATTTATTAATTTCAATATTTTATATAACTTTTGTTCTAACTATTAAGTGAAAAAAATATTGTACAATATGATAATAAATTTTTGATCAATACAACTCCAAAATGAATATTAATTTTTTATGCCCTTATGATTGTAAATATTTTAAACAGAACAAGTAAACACATTGTCTTTAGTATCCTTGGCCACTATTGAATCATCGATTCAACAAAGTTAAAAGTTTGTTGTGAGATGTAAAGTCAACAAGAATATCCATTAGAATGGGGAAAAAATTAATTTTTGAAAATAGATTTTTAATATATTCATAAGTAAATATTTTTTATCGATCGTAAGCACTTATGAAAAAAGTAAAATTAAAAATATGGAGAAAGAAAAAGAAACTCAGTATGTTTACACAAAAAATCGAGGACAATTTGGGAGATGGTGTAATTTTACGGAACAAGATAAAGTGGAAGTTGATATAAAACCTGATAAAAGTCTAATGAATAATTTTATTCGACTTGATCCAGTAACTGCAGGTACTCAATGCAGTAAGACATTTGCAGCCCATGAGGTATATCACTAACAATAGCTCCAATGGAAATTATATTTTTTTTCATTTTTATTTGCAATCTGTTATTGAGTATTTTACTGAATATATTTCCAGATAAATACAACAACTGCGACTTTCAAGGAGTCGGGAATGCATCATGTTGAAGGTGGATGGCCAAAGGATATAAATATGCATGATTTAGAACAAACAGTTCGATACAGGCGTAAAGTAGAAAAAGATGAGCTGTACATTCATACTATGCTTCAATTATTACCAGTAATAAGCAATGTATTTGTATAATTTATTTCCATTATCATATTTTCTTTCAAGTCAACATATCTGCATTCAAATAGAACTAGGGTTTTGACCTTCTCGATAATGAAATATAATTTACCCTATGTATATTTATTTCGACAGAACAAAGAATGTGAAAAAATTATTTGAAAATTATTATTACTGTTTTTTTTTTTTAACTTTCTTTGAAATTAAAACACTTTTTTTTATTTGATACACAAAAAGTATGCCAAAAAATTTCAATGATTGATAACTTTCTAAACGAACGAAAGTTAAAAACTTTATTGAATACAAATGTGTCATATCGTGAATTCTCTTTAGTCTAAATATTTTATTTGATGTTAAGAATATTTAAAAAATGCATTGAATAGTGTATGTTAATCAATTTTTAATAATAATGAATTGTCGATGAATGATTCATACTTTTTCAGGGCATGGAGCATTGTATTCTTCAAAATAATGCATGCAATATTTATGAACAATATTTTGATGATACAGAAGCAGTTCCTTTAATACGTAGGGCATTTTCTAGAACCGTTAACGTTTATCGTGACCCGATTCCTCTAAAACGTCCTATTACTCATCTTTCATGGTCTCCAGATCAAGGAACACGAATGGCAGTCAGCTATTGCAATATAGACTTCAAGAAATCTTCAATCCACAGTAATTTTTCATACATTTGGGATATAGGTAATTGGAATATATATAAATATAGACAAAAATAGTTACTCCAATTTTTATTTAATTTTAAAACTCTGATAACAATCTTTATACCTTGGAGGTGTTTTGAAAATTAGAAAAAAGAATTCTTTTAAAAAAAAGATATTCTATTTGAATTTTCCGTAGGCAAAATATGGATCTCTGTTGATAAAATGTTTCTAAAATACATATACAATTGTAGAAAATGACTAAACTTTTATTTGAAACTTTTTTGTGTAAAATGACTAGTGAAAATGAACAAACTTCTTTCTAAAAATTTGAAAAGTGAATTTTGAAATATACTTTTTCAAGCTTTTAAAGTAATAGCGAAAAAATTGAGAGTAAATGGTTTTAAAATGTACCTCATAAATTTCCAGAAAATCCCAACAATCCTTTTGTGACATTCAAGCCTTTTTGTCCTATTGCTTCAATGGAATACAATCCTAAAGACAGCAATACCTTGGTAAGTGGATTGACGACAGGTCAAGTAGCTTGTTGGGATATCAGACGAGGCTGTGAACCCGTAGAAACTAGTATGATTGAAAACAGTCATCTAGACGTTTGCAGTAAAGTCCTTTGGATCAATTCCAAAACTGGTACAGAATTTTTCAGCTCATCAAAAGATGGACAAATAAAATGGTGGGATACAAGGAAACTCCAAGTACCTATGGATACTTTGGTAGTTGATCTATCAAAACCAGAAGAACAGGACATAGATCGAGCAACCGGAGTCACGGCCTTACAATTTGAACCATCTATTGGAACGAGGTTTATGTGTGGTTTAAAAAATGGTACTGTTATTTCTGGTAATCGTAAAGGAAAGACACCTGGAGAAAAAATGGCTATTAGATTTAGGGCTCAGTACGGACCAGTGATCAGTGTCGAAAGGAATCCAACTTTTGTGAAAAATTTTTTGACTGTTGGTGATTGGACTGCACGACTCTGGTCAGAAGACTGTAGAGAATCTTGTATATGTTGGACTCCGTAAGTGTTTACTTGATAATTTTGACATTTTGTTTCACATTCAAAAGTGTTTATATGCTATTTAAACTTCAGAGGTCATCGTGAGCTTCTGACTGGAGGTACTTGGAGTACCACAAGATTTTCAGTTTTTTTTTTAACCAAGCTAGATGGTACTTTAGATGTTTGGGATTTACTTGTTCAACAAAATGCTCCAGCTTTGAGTATAAAAGTAAGGAATAATTATATAATAATTATACTCATTTTATGTTATATTGAATGAAATTTAATTGTGAATAATTTTTTGTTGATGTAAAAAATGCTTCAAAATTTCCTTTGAAGTGAAAATGAATTAACCCTTAGCATTTTTATTTTAGGTTTGCGATGAAGCTTTAACTTGTGTTAAACCTCACGAGCAAGGCCAACTAGCAGCGGTTGCGGGGAAAAATGGAACAACTTACTTATTAGAATTTTCTGAGACTCTTACTGTCAATCAAAAAAATGACAAACTATTATTCACTGCTGTAAGTATTCACTTAAATAAATTGTGTTTTTTTTTCCTTTTACTTTGTTGTCTTTAATTATTTCTATTATTTATCTATGAAGGTAAAGTTATTAAAAAAAGCATATAAAAACTTATTTTAGCTTTTAGAACGAGAGACACGAAGAGAAAAAGTGATAGAAGCAAGGAACCGTGAAACGCGTTTGAAAATGAGATCAGTGAAAGTCGAAATTGATCCCGAGCTTCAAGGAGTCAGTTCAAAATCTAAAAAAAAGGTATCATTACCACCCGACCCTCAAAACCCTGCAATTCTTCAAAGTGAAAACGAATATGAAGTTGCACTAGAAGCGGTAAATACCTACTTTTTAGATCATTCAGACATATTTACCTAAATTCAACATAGATTATGTTACCGATTATGACTAATGATGGCCTTGGATGTAAAAAATTTCATGTTTTTAAACAAATAATTTGATGTAAATATGGACTCTGCTAACAAACATAAAATATTCGTAACTTTCTAGGAAATAGCAAGGTACGCATCAATGGAGGAAAATGAAGTAAATAATAATCATCTGCCTAATGAAGTAAATGGAGTGACACCGGTAATATGAACTTTAAGAATGAAATAAATAGCAATTATTTAATTCATGAAATAGATAAAATAATTTTTGTGATACAAAGTTTTGCCGTATTTAATAATAAATTATATATTACATAAAAATGCAAGAATGTCAAGATTTCTTCATACAAATTTTTTCTCAAGACTCGACAGAAATAAAAACTTTCTTTTTCTTTTCAATTTTCTTATGATTGTTTACAATATTTATATCAGATATTCAGAGCCTTGGCTCGACTGGGTTACTTTTTCACCAAAAGAAAAAAAATTAAAAATTTCGGTTCAATGACAGATATTTGCAATTTTTTCATTCATTACTAAATTACTATTCACCAAAAATTCAATCTAATAATAATTGATTTGTTATAAATGGTATAAAAATAATAACTCACTTTGTTGTGGTAAAAAATATCGATTGACGTTGCATGGATACGAGTCTCGTGCAGAGACTCTAGCAGCTGGTAGTGACATACACCTGGTAGATTTACTGACACATCTATGAATCTCTCCCATGGTTTTTTACATATAATTATTGACCATGTTAAAAGAATCTAAAAGTAACACAAGTAATGATAAGCCAGTAGGACGTGGCAGTAGTTTGACAACAAAGTTTCCTGGACTTGGTAGCAAGATGCAGAAAATTTTTCGTGTGTTCCGCAAAGACAATCTTAGCCAGTCTACACAAGATTTGATGATGGAAGAAGGTATGCAAAATACTTCTCAATTGAATAAAATAAAAACACAAGACAGTGATGATAATGGAGACGAAATTGTGAAAATTATCCATGAGAAACAATTTAATAAACAAAAAATAGTTAAAGAGAAACGAAAGATGATGGTAAGAGCACAAGCTTTAAGTAATTCTGATTGGTCTTCTGAAAATGATTTCGGATCAAAAACAAATTTGGTACTTGAGAAGGGTGAAATTGATGAAGGGATACAAGAAATTAAAGATATAGATAATAATAAAGGGGTAGTGGAGGTATTGAATTCACGGAAAATAAATAAGTTAAAAAGAAGTGAACAAATTCGCTCGAATGGTCTAGAATCAAAGTCTATGGATGTTGTTGTAGATATTCATCAAGAAAATATTAATAAATTACAGCAAGAAAAAAATGAAATAGAAAACATTGAAGAAATATTATCAGAAACTAATGAAGAAGAAAATAACAATCAATTTTCTCCAAGTATTCATCAAAAGTTATTTGAAGAGCGAAATAAAAACTCATTCAGTTCTGGAAAAAAACAACGAAAAAGATGGTCTACACCTATAGATACTCATATTATTAGTGTTCCCAGGAAAGGATCGTCTTCGAGTACATCTGAGAAAGGTAATTCATGGTTTAAACCTGTCAAGCCAATTCCTGCTCCTAGAAAGAATAAACTCGTTAATGTTGATAATAATGATCAAATTGACGATCTTGGGTTGGATAATCATGGTTTTGAATCAGACCAAGATAGTGTTGAACAAATTCTAAGAATTGAAACAGAATATGGGTCAGTTAAAACGATGAAGATGGAAATGGGATCAGTGAGAGGTGATTCTGAGGAAATGCGAAGTAATTTAGAGGATATTTCTGAAATTGAAAGATTGTCAGTGCATTCAAACAAAGATTTAAATGTTTTAGATGTTAAAGACAGCGATAAAATAGAAAGACATCCAAAACCTCTGATGAACATTGATTCTATTGATAATGAAGTTCAAGATAATGTGAGTTTAGCAAAGAGTTCATCGAATAGTACATCATCACGACGACAAAAGAAAAAAAATACAAGAAGAATTCCTCAAGAGGTTGTAATGACAGATGAATCTACCAGTTCAGTGGCTTGGAATAAACAATCAAAATACAATACTGCTAGAGTGGAAGAAGATGAAGCAGTAGCGCGAGAAATAATTAGAACCAGAAAAGAAAAAGTAGAAAAGTCATTGTCCTCATCAAGTCATAGTCAGACAACATCACCATCAGACATTTCACATTCAAATAAAATTAAAAGTGCTACTAAATCACGAAAGGTCAGAAAAAAAACGAAACACCTTCGCAAAAAAAAATATATTTCAATAACAGTTTTTAAAGCTGATATGCTAGAAATTGATATTATGGCAAGACATCCTATGGTAATTGTTCATATTGTAGAAGAGAGTACAGGAAATTATTTGCAAATTCCTAGTGAATCAAGTTCTAAAAATGTGTCCTTGCAACCTTTGATAACTGGAACATTTGATTTTCAACAACATAAAACTATGGTACCTCATTGGGAAGAAGAATTGATATTTGAATATGACTTTGAAGCAATTGTGAATACCAGTGAAAGTAATAAAATCCTGATTTTATTTGAAATAGTTGATCTTCCAAGCTTCGCTGATGCCAGAAACAATTACGATCATTTAGGTAATAAAAATGAATCGCAATTAATGTAATTAGCGAAAAATAATTATGCAAGCAAATATCTACAAAAAATATCTTTTTAGTAATTACTGTGATTAATTGGAATTTAAAATATTAATATAATAACAATAATAGTTGTAATTGCAGTAATAATCATGAAGCATTATTATAAATAAATGCTTTATGAAAGTCTATAAAAACCTCAAACCTCAATCCTTTTGTTGGAAGTTTTTAAAATATCTTTATCAAAATTAAAGTGTTTTTTTTTCTTAAAGAAAGTAAGTTTTACGAAAAATTATTAATATAAATATTTTAAAACTTTTAGGTGGTGGAAACTGTTGGTACAAAATAGCCTGGGCATTCTTAAAACCAGTAAGTGACAGAGGTGTGTCACACATCGATAAATCATTAAGACTGCAATTATATAAGCCCAAACGGAACACGAAGAAATCGATCAAAGAAAAATGTGAGCCATACACCTGGTGGAAATTAGGGTATCGAGATAAGTATCCAAGTACTTTATACGTCATGGTTACGTCAGTGGATCAACCTCACTTAGAACCAGTTTATTATGGGCAATTATTACTGAATGACTTATCAGATGAACAATCTAAATCCAACAAAGATTTAAGTCCGTCATCTTCAGACGCAAAAAAGCATACACAATGGAGTCGTTTATCATCTCAATCGTGCAAAATTCCGAATGAAGTCTATTTTAATACTGAATCAAGTGAAAACGGATGTTTTTTCGTGGCTTTCAGTAATAATGGAAAGTATTTAGCTTGTGCGAATTGTGAAGAATATGACTATCCAATAACTGTATATAGAATTGATGAAGAGAAAGTTTTCATTAAATTTTCTGGTCATAAGAGTTTTATTTACAGTTTAGACTGGTCCAGTAATGACCACTTTTTACTTTCGGTTTCTTCCGATCAAACAGCCAGAATTTGGGATGTCAAAAATAAACACTTCCATGAAATAAACATGCTTCCGCATTCTTCGTATATTTATTGCGGCAAATTCAACCCAAAAGATTATCAAATCGTCGTAACAGGATGTTATGATCATATAGCAAGAATGTGGACCCATAACAGTAATCGTCAAAACTATGAACTCATCCAGGAACTTGAGGGACATAAAGGTTTTATTAATTGTATATGTTTTTCAAAAGAAGGTGATTTTCTCACGGGCGATAGTTTAGGTATTATAATTCAATGGAATGAAAAAAAGAGAAAGGGAAGATCTTCCACAGAATGGGTCATTACAAGAAAGATTAAATTAAAAGAAACAAACAACGTCGTGATTAATACTATTATTTTATATTCTACAAGTTCACAATTAATTCTTCATACTCGAGATAATCAATTGAGGATGATCGATTTGACAACAGGAACTGTCGTTCAAAGATATAATGGATTGAAAAATTCAAGGTAAACTTCTAATTTAATGCTAATTTATAGACAGAATTAAATTAATCGATTGAAGTGTCTATTTTTATTAAAAATTTTAACTGATATATTTTTTATATTTAAGAATAATTTAAATTACTTTGACCTAAATTGACAAAATTTTTTTAAATTTTTTTAATAAAAATAATTTACGAAGGTCTTTTTTCCAAAAAAAAAAAAAAAAGAATAATAATAATAATAATAATAATAGTTAGATACTTGCAGAGAAAAAGTAAAAAAAAAAATTAAAGGTTTTAAAAAATAATCACATTACTTTATTAATGTAAAAAGTCTTGTTATTATGTTAGTAATAAAATACTTGTTATCATTTTAATAGAATTATTACTTTTTTTATTATTTTAACTTTAAATAATATTTTATTAAAATTAGATAAAAATTTTTCATTTTTTATTTAATACAAAAATTATTAGTAAACTAATTATTTTGTATTTTTGACTTAATTAAAGCTAAACTCATTTATTTCCCTCAGGATTCAAATAACAGCAAGAATATCTCCATGCGGCAAACTACTTCTCTGCGGGGGTGAAGATGCAATCTTGAATGTGTGGAATATTGAAACTGGAAAGTGTATTGCAATGTATCAACAGAATGAATCAGACGTAGCTATTACTTGTGTTGATTATCATCCTCATGAGCATGTGCTAGCGTTTTGCATTTTTGGATGCACATCAGAAGTGAAAATATTACGATTTAATCGACTATTGTCTGGAGAATCAGTGGGATTAAAAATGCTTGATCCAACTGGAAGTAAAAGAATCCCAAGTGGTATACAATCTTATGATTCGAGTTCACCATCCAATTCAATTTTGACAAGAAGAGAATCTGATGATTCTGATTTATTAAAAAATAAAGAAAATAAAAACCTGGATGAGAATCTCAATGATAGTCGTGAAGATTTACGATTACGATTGAAAATGTATCATGAGCATGAACAAGAATTAAAATCTAAAAGTACAAACAAGTTATCTGGTATCATTGCTAAAATTGACAGAATGTTATCACACAGTCCCTCTATACCTCGATCATCATATGACATCGAAGTAAACAAACTTGAAGATACTTTAGATTCAGTGCAATCACCAAAACTGAAAAGTTTAAAAAAATCTAAAAATATTTCTTCACTATCATCAACCTTTAAAGATAAACTAACACCATCTTTAGAAACAGAAACAATAGAAATGGAAAACTTAAGTAAAAGACATTCCAAAATGCGAAAAAGGTCGAAATCTAGACATAAAAGGAATTCTTTCTCATCGAAAAATCAAACTGATAATTTAAAGAATGTTTTACCAGATAATACTAAAAGAGATTATCACAGAAAATCACGGAAGCGAACAACTAAGAGTTCTTGTCGAGCACGTGATCAAATGAAAGAGATTCAAGAAAGAGAGAACAGAATGCATGAAAGTAGTGAAGGGAGTGGTGGAACGTACACAGTTGATATTGATAAGACTCCTAAAAGTGATAGAAGTGATGATGCCAGGGGTGAAAGTGGTAGTTCTGTTAGAAGTAATGTTACTTTCATTATCGAAAAAGAAAAACCAGTAGCGAAACCGAGAAAGAAAAGTACTAAAACTTCTGATAACAGTATCAATCATAAATCAAGCCTCCATGATCTAGTATAAATGAAAAAAATATTGATAATAAAAAACAAAAATAAATAGATCTACAACATGAAATAATAAATAATTATTGAGCAAGAACTGTCTCCAAGAATATCATGTTTATTGAACAATTATAATTCATCGTTCAATTAAATAGCAATGCTGAGAATGAATTAGACAACATTTTTTATTTTATCGTGAGATATTTATTGAAAAGGAATTTCTAAATGTATATATTAAAACAGAGTATGTAGAATAAAGCTAGGAAAAAAGCTAAATAGAAACCATGAAAAATAGAAAAAAGAATGTTAAATATTCTTTCTTTGTCAAATATTTTCTTTCAATGTCGAATTATTATGCAATGTCTATTACACAATAGTTTCAGATTTTTTATTAAAATTTAAACAATGGTACCGTTAATACTGAATTATGTTTTTTTGTTAAACTCCAATCCTCAATCGGATGTATTATCTAGAATAATTAAACACAGTTGATAAAATATTCATTTCTAATTACCGGAATATTATCCTATTTATTTTTAAAGCAATTAAATTATTTATTTATCTATCAATTAATAATTATTTACTCACTGGAAGTTTGTTTTTTTAAAATCTATTTTTATGATTCTAGCAAAATATGATCTTAATGCATAATAAATATTCAAGACTCTTATACTCAAATTTCAAGTATTTATTATTAATTATATCAATTGTTATGTAAATATCTGTAAATAAATATTGAAAAAAGATGTAGATAAAAAGTGCATATTTTCTGTTGATTGTAAATATATTTGAAGTTAATAAATGTTTCTAAAAATTATTTCATGCTGTGAACAAATTATTTCGTTACATTAAAAGAGATACAATAAAATGCTTACGTGAAAAAAGAAATAGGGGCGTATATTCAGTATGATAAGGGTGAGATTTTTAATGTTTTTGACGAAGAAGAATCTTTGAAACATCTGCTCTACGCATAATCCACTATGGCGTCAGCAGTACTAGTCACGATGTGTCGAATGTGCAACGTATAGTATCGAGTTGTATTTCTTAAGTATTTTAAAGTGTATAAATTAATAATAATGAAATGAAACTGAATGTATATATTTTAATATAATATCAAAGCATTGAGCTGCTATACTATTTTATAATTTCATACTCAAACTTTTGATATTTAATCATCAACATACACAAATCATCATGAAATCACTTTTCACAGTTTGTTTGTCTACTATTATTTTTTGTGGTAAGTACAAAAAATTATTTCTAATTATTTTTAATACAATTTAATAATTAAACCATGAAAAATACTTTCATACTTGGTTTTTATAAAAATACAGTTAATAACCTCAATTTAATGGATCAATAATCTGAGTTGATAATCTGTAAATTAAATTTCTCATTTCACGATTACAGCAATAACAACAAATTAAATAAATTTAAATTATTTTCTTAGATAATAATAAATCATTTACTTTTTTATTTACAGTTTTTATTGTGAACTCAGCTGGATCTCGAGTTATTGAATTAAGTGACAGGTTTCTTGACATTTATCAAGATGGACATTGGCTAGTAATGGTATGTTAAAAATTAAATATCAACTACTTGTAGTTATTTAATAAAATATTCAATGAAGTCTTTTATAAAAATGTTAATATTATATTGATTATATACACTGTAATTCAAAGGATAATTTTATATAACTTAATTAAATTGATTAATTGTTTTCTTCAGATGTATGCACCATGGTGTGCACATTGTAAAAGACTGGAACCTATATGGGCTCATGTAGCTCAACACTTATATGCGAGTCCCATCAAAGTCGGCAAAATCGACTGTACGAGATTTAGTAGTGTAGCTCATAGTTTTAAAATCAAAGGATTTCCTACTATTTTATTGTAAGATTACATTTGTTTATGAATTGGATTAGTTATTTGATTACTTTGATTATTCGTGTAAAGTAAATCTCTACCTTCAAATGTACTTTACAGCTTGAAAGGAGAGCAACAATTTACATATAATGGAGACAGATCAAGAGAAGAAATAGTCAAATTTGCGCTAAGATTAAGTGGCCCTCCTGTTCAAGAAATAACTAGAACTCAAAGTTTTGAAACACTTAAGAATGAACGTGATATATACTTTTTATATGTGGGAGAACAAATTGGACCACTATGGGTAATTATTTTATTACTTCGTTTATTCAATAAGAATAAAATTTTACATTTCTTTTTACTTCTTTCAGGAAATCTATCACAAAGCAGCTCATACATTTCAACCCCATGCATTTTTTTATCAATCACATCCAGTTGTTGTTGATAAACATGCGCCTGTCGAAAATACACCAGTGATTTTCGTTTATAAAGAAAATTCACATTATAATTTTACTGGTAAAGTTTATAATTGCTTTAACTTTATTTTACTTCAATCATTTTCTTATCTTTAAATATTTTCTCAGCACATAATTACAGTGATGTGGATACTCTGAATAAAACATTACACAGTTGGGTTAATGCAGAACGTTTTCCAACATTTCCTAAAGTCACTCATGGTAATATACATCAGTTATTTAAAACGAATAAAAATTTAGTACTTGCAGTTGTTGAAGAAAATGCAGTAGAAGATGTATCACCAGATATGCTGGAATTTCGTGACATGGTAGAGTCAGTAATAAAACGAAAAAGAGATAAATATCATGAGTAAGTAATTTTTATGTATGAGATTTTTTTCTTAACTTTGTATAATGAGTAATTCTGATGAATATTATCTTCTATTAAGACATTTTCAGTTTGGCTGGGTAGCTAATAGCAACCTTGTAAATAGCATAGCTATGACAGAAATGCCTTTACCAAGTTTAATAGTCATAAATACAACTTCACATCATCATCATATTCCAGAAGATGAACCAACCAAACTCACAGTTCAAGCAATTGAAATGTTTTTGGAGCATATTCGTAATGAAAGTGCACCGGTAAGAAATCATATAGATATCTTATAATGCAGTATTCAAACTATTAGAATGAAATGAATATGATTTGTTATATAAGAGAAGAATTTTAAAATTTATCAAAAGCAATTTTTATCATAATAGAGTAGTTATTTTCATTACTTGAGATCTTCAATTTTCATTTAATTTATACATGAAAGTTTGAATTATTCATGATAGAAAAATAGAAATGAATGACTTAATATTTTCATCTAATTCACAGAGATACGGAGGAAATAGTATTCCAATACAAATGTACCGAACATGGTATGATGTTAAATCATCTCTCCTTTCTATGTGGAGAGGGAACCCCGTCTTAACAATAGTTATATTTGGATTACCAACATTATTTTTGATGCTAATTTGTTACGGTAGTTGTTGTCCAGATATTTTTGATGCAGCAGAGGACGAAGAAGAAGGTGAGAATTATAAGTTTTTTCATTTTAAAATTCATATGAATTCGTAAAGTTTTTTATGATTAATATGATAATTTTTCATTTTAATATTAAAACATTGTAACATTGTAATTTTTGTTACAGAAGATTCGAGCCAAAAGCACATGAAAAAGGATTAAACAAGATTGTGTAAAATCTTTAAATTGAATGAAATTGCTTCCATTTACTCTGAGTATTTCACAAAAATTCTAGATAGGTGAATTATTTATCTAATTTGCAATATATTACATTGTATAGATGTTATTTAATTTATACATAGAATGAATGTGACAGTGCCATAGTGTCTTAATAACTATCATCGTATTTAATGCAAGAATGCATTATTAATGAATGGAATTTTTATCAGACAATACTAAATAATATTGATAAATATGTTGGTTTTAGTCGCGTGAATGTGTTCCTATAAATCTGTACAAGAATGGTTTGCTTTTTAATTGTTTTATGGTCACTACGTAAAAGTGAAATTCTATTGAATTTTATTTATTTATTTATTTTATGAGCATCGAAACAATGTAGTTCCAAAATGGTTGGAAATGGAGAATAATTTATTAGAATATAATGAGACAAATATTAACATCAAAGATTAAAATTTGTAAAGTTTATTGATAATAAAATGTGAATGGAGTAAATTAAACTTAAATACTATATCTCAGATAATAATTTAAAAAAAAATCGCAAGTCTTTTTAGTTGTACAACAAAAAATTAGCTTAGCATTGTAATTTACGAAAAATGATTTTAACGGTGCTAAAAATCATCATCATCGGAATCTAGTGCTGCTCGTCTTCTATCGAACTAACTTTCAATCAAATTGGAAAATCGGAGTTAAGTGATATAACTTTAAATATTCACTTAAAAACTATAGTAAATTTAAAAAATACCTTAACAGTAGTAGTTTTTTGCGTTTGTTGATTAACACTTTCCAATATATTAATCAATTCTTTTTCGCCTAATTTACCAGGTAGCTGACCCCTTTGAGCCATGCTTACAAGCATTTCTTCAACCATTCTAGCTTTTTCTGGTTTTCCGAGAGACAAAGTGTTTACTACAAAATTAATAATAGTTTATCAATCAATTGCTTGGTCATAAAACTGTTAACAAATTTATGAAAATAAAAATGTAATTTCTTTACATCTTGCTCGAGCTGATTGATCCAGTACTTGTGTTAATATTGAATGTTTCATATCTTCCATTTGCTGTCTCCTCTCTTCTGCAGCTTTTTGATTAGCATCATTGCCTCCCTAAATAATTTAATCATCAATTTTTTTGTTTTTAATGAAATAATAAAGAACATACTCTATTGTTATAAGAAATAACCTCTAATAACACTTATAGGTTAATGATTACTTTATTTCCATACCTTAAACTGAGATTGCAATTCAGCCATACGCTGTTGCCGAAGCATTTCTAATTCAGGATCAGCCATTTTTTTTAAAAAATTGTATTGTTTAACTTCTTTCTTCTTAAGAATAATAAATCACAGATTTACTTAAATACACATTTTTTATGGCATTTGACGGCACCAACACAGCACTGGTTTTACTTGTATATATCAAGAACTACCATATTCGGTTATTTTCGATTTATTTCGGGATTCATCGCCATTACATTGCAGTTGGATGAATCCCACGCAATGAAAAAATTATTTTCAAACACCGAATTAAAGATAATTTGAAAGAATGGTAAATTTCGGGTTGAAATTCTTTTATATTAGTTTAATTTATAATGAACGTTATAAAGATAGTAAAAAGTAATCACATAGAAGTAACAAAAATTATTTTTAGATTGAACATGTAAATACGTTTGAATTGGAGCATCATAAAAGCGCATTCGGTAAAATAGGAATCAAAAATTTGTTTTATCTTCATTGGATAAAATAGAAATAGCATGCAAGGCTTACCGGTCGATAAATTTCTGCGAAACAGTCGACGCTCTCTCTCTCCGGCTTTTCTTCGAAAAACTCCTGTCTGGTTTATGCATTGAAAATTGATTAATATTTCTCTTCTCTGGCATTAATTATAGCTATTTCTCAACAAAAACATAGAATCTACTTTTTTCAATTAATTCACCAATTCTACCATCAAGAAAGACAATATCTTAGAAAATTATAATTATATGCACGTAAATGGTAAAATTGATGAATTTTTTAAACTAAAAATCCAACTACACTGTCCACAATTTAAACATGATATCATTTTGATTATATTTTTTTACTTGACTCAAACTAACAACAAATATACAATCACGATTATTTTGATTCCATACATACACGTCAAAAACACTTTTATTAAATCTCCACTTTGTTTTCACTGTTATTCACATAAATAACCGCACAAAATGCCGGTTGTCAATATTATTTTTCATAAGATTTAACATTTTATTGTTATAGTTTGTAAAACACTTCAATAGCAATTTTTTATCACATTATTCTGGAAATCGAACCTGTGTTGTTGTCTAATGGACTAAATCTGAAGGCTTTGTAGTCCGTTGCCGCCAACAACAAACAACGATGGTGGGGGCGTCACTTACATTGGGTATTGGCACTGAACATCACTCTAGCTCCTTCTTCTATTAGCCTTCCACCAATAATAAAATTAAAATCAGTCACATTAGTCTGTGCCGTATAATCAACAAGTGTGTATCGAAACGTGAGCTTTATATTTTATTAAATTATTATAAGAATTATCTGGATTCTTTTTATAACAAATAGAAACATATAAAGCAAAAGAATCATTTACTTTTTATCAAATTATTATCTTCGTAATTGTAATTTTAGTTCTAATTAGACGTCAAAGTAAAATAATTTTACGTTAAAAAATTATGAAAGAGTGAACACAGTGTGGTAAAAAATGAATACATAAAAAAAGGATTTTTTTGTCTTTTCAATAGTTATTTTTTTATGAAAAAGTAGTTTATTGTGAGATTATTATTGTAAAAAATGGATATTGTATTTTCTTAAACCATTTTACAAAAATCATTTCCGAGAAAAGTCGTTGTGGCTAAGTTCATTCAATTGATGGTAAAATCGGTCACAGACTTATAATACCGTTGATAAATAAGCAATTTTTATCATCAACATAAAATCACAGTTGATTGAAAATTTCGATTTGAATTGTTTCTAATTAGGAATGAAAATATTTTTTGCTCAAATAATTAACATTGTCTTTTGAAATATTTAAGTAATTATCACTATATACGAAGCTCAAAATAATTCTCTATTTATTTTTTTTTTATCTGTATATATACAATCATTTAAAATAATTACATTTTTCAAATATAAACAATTCTCAATAAAGCAATTCAAAATAAAAACAAACACAATAATTAGTATTAATCTCAAATGGGCTTTCGGCAGTGAATTTTTTGAATAAACATCAAATTAATCGTTCATCTAAAACACTTCATTTTATTAAAATTAAATTGTACTCGTGTTATCATACCAGGGAGGCATCCAATTAGGTGGAGTTTTATTTCTGTATCTTATTTTTGGATCTCTCGACATTTCATTGTTAGAATTATTATTAAAACGTGTTCGACGTGTCTCTGACGTAGCTTGATTATTCATTGAATCATCTAAGACAACAAAAGCACGGTTTCCATTGTTATTTGGTTTTGGCTGTTTTCCAAAGCTAGGAGAATATGGTCTTATATTGTCTTCATCAGCAGTCGCATCAGCCATAGGACTTGATTGATGCATGGATGCTAATTGTCGACGACGATTAAAACCTCGAGTTTCATCATCTACGTTACAAACATGTAATCGGTAAGTTGGGCTTGGAGATCGATTCTTTACTGCTGATGGGCTCATAATGTCTAGATGTGTGGGTCGAACAGCTTGAGATAGAATAGAACTCCTAAAAAGCAAATAATTTTAAAATTAGAATTTTTTTAATAATTATTCTTAGATTTTTAATATTAAAAATCATGCTGTTATATTTAAAAAAAAATTTTTTTTGATTTCAGATAATACCTTCTACTTCCTGCTGGTGGTTTTCCAGCTAAATTATCATGCTCAGCTTTCGAATGGAGTATTTGAAATGCATTTTGTCCGGAATCAATCATTTCAGTTTGATCAATAGTATGATCATTAAGGTTATTATTATTATTATCATTATTATAATTCATCCAGTTACTACTTCTTCTTCTGGAGCCACTATAACTACGATCACGATTCCTATACCTTGATTCAACCACCGGATGATCTTTTTTCCTACAATAAGCATCTCGATACTCTGGTTGGAGATTCATACTTCCTTCAGGACGTAAACTAATTGGTCTTCTGAATGTTTCTACTCGTGGTACATGTCCATATGGTACGTATTGAGATCTAACTTCACTTGTAGGCACATAATGTCTCATATCAGGAACTAAACGTTTACCAAAATTTGAACCTCCAGAAGGCCTTCGTGACATTGGAGGTTTCCTGTACACTGGACGATCTCTATCAAGATACTTGGACTTATATTCCGGATCTTGGTCTATTTTTGTTGAAAACTTTCCTGAACTTGATGACAAATGAACTTTCGAACCATCTGCACGACCAATTTCGTCCTCAGGTTTCAAGAGTTTTGGCCTTTCTCTTGGAAAATCCTGTTAAAAGTTTTAAGAACTTTAGAATAAGGTAAGCTAAGTTGATTATAGAATAAAAATTTAATTAATATTTATCAGTAATCGTTATCAGTTTAAAATTGGTGTTTTCTTTTACTTTGTAAGCATCTTTGTATTCAGGTACTTCGAGAGGTGGTCCTTTAAGGTGTTCTAACTTTGACACAATCATCTTCATGTCTTCTTCTGTTCTTTGATTATCATTCTGATGTTTGATTTGATTTTCTGTATCTTCAGTATCAGAATCCTTATGTCTGTCATCAATAGGAACTGCGCCTCTAGGATCGACAAAGTTTTGAAAATTTTCAGTATGTCCACTGAAATCTCCGCCAGTTTTTAAATGAGATTCTGGAAACATTGGATATCTTTTCTCTACAAAAAAATTATCATTAGAAATATTGATCATCTACAGAGTTTTAGATTATTTCATACCATGTCTAACATGTGGTCTGAATACATCAGTATACTCCGGAATAAAGTTCGATTCTCCTTCAAGTTTTAGATGAGCATTCTGACGAAGTATTTCCGGTCTTCTAGCTCCAATAAATGGCACATATTGGTCGTGACTTTCTGTAGAGGTTTCCAGTCGACCCTCCATTTTCAAGTGTGTAGGAATTCGTGCCAACTCTGGTCTACCGACGTTCATCCACCCAGTAAACTTCTCACACTGCTCGGTGACAGTTTGCATGTCTCCCTCCATTTTCAAAGACGTTGGTCGACGAGCTAGTTCTGCACGATGAATACCTTCGTATGTTTTGTAGTTGGTAGAAGACTCTGTGTCTGAATAAAATTCACCACCACGTCTTAAACTGGTACCTCTACAAGTAAAATCAATAGAGAAGATTTATAATTTATTATGATGTCGATATTTATGATATTCATCTATAATATATTTTATATTATTCATATTTTGAAGTAAGAACTAACTTTTTGCTGATTTTAATTAAAACATTGACCTGATTTTTATCAACTTATATGCATAATACCTAAGAAAACACTGATTTACGTATAACACTGTTTCCAGTATCACAACTGTGCGTTTCAGAATGACTGAATATCTTTTTTATAGTGCACTTTGATCTATACATTGTTCATTTTTTCATTACCGTCTGATTGGCTGTGGTCTGGAGGCATGACCAGTAATACTCAAGAGTCCAGTATTGGACTCCATCGACTTATCATCTGGCTTATTCACTTCAGTACTAGTACTCAGCTCTGCTGAAGTTTTAGTTTGTAAATTTCGTTCGAAATTTCTTAAGTAATTATCCCGAAGAAGTAATGAATCTTCACTAAATGCTCTGAAAGCTCTTCTATACTCGGTAATAAGATTTTCAACAGCACTGTCACTTTCTCCATGGTAATATGGATCCAAAGTATCTTTCAGGATATCTTGAACTCGTCTTCGGCGATGAAGGGCGAGTTCGTCGACCGTAAGAGTTTCGATAGCCTTTGGCCATGGTAGTAAATCCCTCTTAGACTTACGGTCTTTGAACTTTGATTGGGCTACCTCAGAGTCCGAACAGGACTTCTGGGTACCCCGAAATACAGCTCTACGTCTGTAAACAAATTCATTTATTAATTATTAGTTTACGAGTTTGCTACCTATAAGGTCTTGAAGTTTGTTGATATTAATTACAGTTAATGAACCGACTGAAAGTGGAGTTGAGGAAAATGAATATTTCACAAGCAGTAAAATATGTTGACTAGAAACTATTTCAATTTTGAGGTCAATTATTTGAATTCATTTATGAAAAATTATGATTAACATAAATTCCATTTTAAACTTCTTTCTCTCAAGAGAAATTAGGTAAATTGGAATAATTATTTTTTGAATATTAAAATGAAAGTAATTGTGATAATAACATTTTTTATCTAATAAATTGCTTCAGTTTTGCTATTATTTTACCATCATTCAGTTGTATAAATTACTCCAATATTTTACATCTTATTAGGAGATTCATGTAAAGATACGTTTTGATTCATATACATACTTCTAATCTTGCTAAAAATCTCACCACAAATGAAGATTAATTACGAATGAGTCTGACTCGAAATGAGTAGCAAAAAAAATATTATGCGTGCGACTATAAAAAACTTTCTGATAACATTAATGATGTTTTTAGTATAACTTTTTTACTAATATAAAGGTCAGTTGGTATAAAAATAAACATTTGATACAATTTGTGACCTAATTATTTCACTAAATACTGCTCGAGCAATAATCTCATGATGATCAGTGTGTGATAATCAACACCTAAAATTAATTACGTCAGGTGTCAAAATTTTTATTTCAATTAATAGACAAATGAATGCAAAAACAATATTTTTTTATTAATTAAGTAAACTAGGAATTTTTTAATAATTAAAAGAATATTTTAATCAAATTTTTTTTTATCTTTGGTCTTCCTTTTTTGAAAAATAACTTTAATTAAAGTCTTTAAAACACGGATAATTTATTCCATACAATATTTTTAGCCACATCAGGATATACATATTTTCCATTTTTTAATCTCTATTAAATGCTATAAAATGTTCTGTTCTCTGTGCATGAATAAACAAGATGGTAATAGGTACCTTATTTAAATGATTTTCTGCATAAAAGCAATATTTTGAATACAAAAAAAAAGTTTAAGCCATGAAAATACAACAACTTTAGTAATAAAGGTAATATTCTTTATAAAAATAGCTCCAGAGACTGTAAAAAACTTCTGGACTATCTGGTTGTTTAGAGAAAACTGAGATATCTCGAGGTATAGCTGAAACTATGAACAATTTACAAGGTGGGGTTGAGGATCCAAGCTAGAGAACAGGAAGAGGGTGGTACGTACAGGCTCGGCATGCCTCAACTTGGAGAAGGTGAAAGAGAGAGAAACAAAGTGTGTGTTAGAGACTTCCTGACGAGACGAATCGATCTGTTACTGTGGAAAAAGCTCTTACTTTCTCTCTCTTCTTAGAATACATTTTGAATTTAACGATTAACGAGCACGAACGAATTCTATTGGCGTACTATCTTCCAGTGATATTCACCTAGGACTAAAATGAGCGTACCATGTCAGCATGTCGCTCAGTGTCAAAAATAAACATATGTACTCCACGATCACGAATCAATCGTCATCCGGAGTCTATCCCCCAGGGGTAGCGTGGCCGAGCGGTCTAAGGCGCTGGTTTAAGGCACCAGTCTCTTCGGAGGCGTGGGTTCGAATCCCACCGCTGCCAATTATTTTGCCTATTTTTTACTAATTTTATAAAATAATTCTTTTGAAATCTTGTTAGATCAACATCTCAATTATTTACAACTGATTTTATTTTATTATCTACACAAATTTTTTTCTAATAGTTTTGAGATAATTAATAGATTCTCCAGAAAAAGTTGGCAAACCATAAGGATGATCTATGTGAACATTTAGAAACCACATTAATTATTAATAGTTTATTATTCTAAGGCAGACTAGCATTAATAGCAAGATTTTATTGGTTACAGTGAGAATTTTCTAGATTAAATATCGAAAGAGGAAATTTTTCAATAAGAAAAGATGATTTAGAAAACATTGATTGAACTTGACATTTTTTGAAATCTTGTCTGGCTTACTCATCATTGCATTACTATAAATAAATCGATACTTTGTATTTTTTCATTGATAAAAATGTTACAAAGTTATCCATTTGATATAGAAAGATATTAAATATCATTTTTACTTAAAATAGAGAATTTTAATAATTAAAAATAATAAAAAGGGATCAAATAAGAGAAGTAAAAATATTAATCAACGTTGGAATGAAAAGTTAAAACCAGAATTAACTGCAAATAACATGTTGGAAAGCATCTAAATATTTAGTGATAATTATAACGACTATCATGTCAATGTAAAGTCCAACATGCTGACATAGATTGAGGAAATGAATGTTAAAAGGAAGGAGAATGGAAATGGCCTAGAATCTTTTGAAAATGTTAGGAATTGAGTTGCAGAAGTCAGAAATGACTTCCTGCCTTAAGTGAACTGGAAATCGTTTCAGCAATAATAGGTGAAAAATTTCTCTTGACAAGTATTTTATATTTAAATTATATAACAAAAAAAAATACTGATAATATAAAAGAATCCAATAACTAAGCTGATAATCTGTACAAAAAAATACTGACAAAGTATAAAAGTAAGCAAAAATTTAAACTACTGACTGTTCTGTCAAGTAATCAAAGTCTTTTAAAAGAATGGCAGATACTTGGAAATAAAAAGACATTTTCGAGAAGTTTAAATAGCACCTTAAGTGTAGCTTATGTACTTGATATGAGAACTTTCGTTAAAGGACAAAGGAATTGAAGAGCAGTGTATAAGGAAATGTATGCACTGGAGAAACAAAAGTGGAAAAAATACTTTGAAGTTTAATAGAGAACTGGGAGTGAAGGCTATCAGAGAAATAGTAAAGGTATATGCTGGAGTTAAAGTTGGAGTAGTGACCTGAAACAAAGTATTTATGTTGATACATGAAACATCTATTTGAAAAGATTGATTGAAAAAGTTTCTTCTTCGACATGTTTTACACAATTCCACGAATAACTGATGCAAAAAGAACTATATAACATAAAAATACATTGGGTTATCAATAAAATAATCTATGAATTAAAAAAAATTTTTCAAGCAACTGAAGGAAGAACTTGGAACCCATTACAATCGTCACAGTTACATCGTCTCATTAGATATGTATTTATACAGACGTGCAAATGAATTGTCTGACTGTAAATCGATCGTCGTCGTGCAAGATGCTCCGTTTTTCATGTCTACATATTATCGACCAATGTGGTGTCCGAGCTCAAGAAACTTAATTCTCATTCATCAGCAAAGACGCTTTATAAGTTCCCTTAACCACAAGAGGTCGGAGTCCGACCTGTTGACCTCAATTTTGGTGCTAACAGATTTGCATACATAGGGTGGCAAACAAAACATTCGTGTGGTGATTTTCTACGCGTGAGGATATCATACAATTTTATTTCTTTACACATAGTACCACTACGCCCCAAGACACACGAATAGTATATTAGGTAATATACCGTATGATTGAAATTTCTTAGTGGGTTTATAGAAGTATAAAATGTAGCAAGAGGTAAGTAAAGCACGCGAGATCGTTTATCTTTTATTTTTATTTTCGTTTATACGTTTCTTTTTTTTTACAGAATATCTAAAATGCATTAGTAAGTTCACTTTAAGTATTTTTAAAAGTAATAAATATTTATTATTTTGTTGTTTCTTTACAGAGTCACTTAAAGAAAGTGGATGGAAATTCGTTTTAAAGATTATGAAATCAACGCGATTATGGATAAAACATTTTATTACGTTCCACAATTATTATGTTGAAATTTATTAACCAGCACCTTTTATCATTCATGACATTACTCTACAAAGGTGTATTTCAGGTCACAAGCTAATCTTTAGATTCAAAATTAAGACAACTTTTCGTCCGCATTGAATCGATACTTTCAGTTTATTTTAATCGGAACCTAATGTTTATAAATCACGTCAATTCAATGGCCCAGATTTACTTTAAGTAATCACTAATAATGGGTGCAGTCAATTTCAATTTTTACTAGTGTAAGCTTGTTATTTACTACTAGGTGTGTACCCACGTGGATGAATATAATAGTATCGTTGAAGGAAAGTGATTTGCTGATGTTCGAAATTTTTTGCAATTCAACTCTTTCATTTTTTTTTAAGCATGTTAAATATGTTTTCATAATAATCTGATTTCATATGTAATCATTTGATTAAATATCAATCAAGGTTATTGATTATAAATGTTAAAAAAAGCTCAAGAACATTACTTGTTGAACAACTGATCAATGATTAATATTTCTTGAATCTTGCTATTAATTAGAAATATAATTATTCTTGTGTAATAATGCATTCACTTGTTTACTCGAATAAATGATAAATTAATTTACAAAGATTTAAGATTGTTTAAATAGAAATGTCAAGATAAAAATCACCAACAAATATTTCTTAATAAACGCTCAAAAAATCAATTGAAATTTATAAAAAAAAATTATTATTATTAATGATTAATTGTATAATGAAAAATATTTATTTCTTTTATCAGAAGAATATATAAAAAAATAATAAATACTTTGACAGCTGTAAATTTTAATCCTTTATCAAACTGGGGATGTAGCTCAGTGGTAGAGCGTTCGCTTTGCATGTGAAAGGCCCCGGGTTCGATCCCCGGCATCTCCAAATTTTTTTATTTTTTTAATCTACTTTTTTCTAAGTGTAATAAATATATCTTAATTGAATAATTTTTTTCTTATAACAATCACCTTTTTGCAATACGTTTGCGTTTTCCCTCGCCCATAGCATCGTCGCTATTGTAACCAGACTCACTGAAGAAAGAAAGAAGAGAATGATAAAAATTGAATGAAGTAGGAGTGAAGGATTAAAAAAATCAGTTACACTGTCTCCTCACAATGGTCAGTCACACTGCAGCTTATTTGTTACCAAAGCCCACCTCTCGAGTCCTTGTTAGCGTGACTGGACTTAACAAATTGTGATAAGGAGTCTAAATGTATAATAGAGAGGATGAAAGGGGGAATAAAGCACCTGCGCAGCTGCAAAGGAAAATAAAAAATTGCGGGCAATCCGGTAAGAATTACTTGAATTAATAGATCTTGAGCTTGATGTTGGAGATGGTATTTTGGAGTGACATAAGCTATCAAGATTATCTAGGCCTGCTGATGTTTTACATGAGAGATAATTTCAACCACAATGAAACAATTTCCAGCAAGAATAAATAGAGAATAATAATAATAATCATCATCATCATTAGTTTTTTTTCTAGAATAATAAATAATTGATCAATTTTATTCTTTTAAAAGAATTATTATTAGTCATTTTCCTGATTCTATGAATGTAAAGTATTGCACACTATTATTTTACTCATTATTTTTTTTATAGACTGAAAATGGTTCAATAACAAAATTACTCATAGAACTTTGTATATTTTTCAATTGCATAATATTTTATAACAATTCTTCAATTGGTTTCATCACGAAAAATCATGAATTGAAAGATTGATTATTCAAGAATTATAAATAGCTTTCACGGTAAGTAATATACATGAAGAATGTAAAAAAATTAGTTATCAATAATTGAGAAAAATAACGCATTTGATAACAACGTAATATTAAATTGATTTATTAATATAGATAAAAACTATTTATTATTAGTATCCCTTTAATTTTTCTCTGTAACGCTTAACTATTTTCATTATTTTTGACGTTCTGAGCATTCAAATTATCTCTAATAAAATTGGCGGGAATAATCATATATTTGATTGACCCCCACTTGTTTTCTTTTGTTTATCTTCTACGTAGATATTCGTCTTAGTTTATACGAAGTCAGATCAGTTTTCATTCGAGCGTAGTTGGTTGTCGAAAGGAATTCAATTCCACGATTTGTTCATCCAACGGTTGCGTGATTTTTATTTAGACGCATTATTTTCATCAGCAGTTTGATTATTATGAATCTTTGAAACCAATTTTTTCTATTTCTGTGTTTTTCTTTTTTAATTTGAAAACGATCGTTTTTTCTAACGGTAAGTAAAAATATATATATTTAATTTATTATGCCAAATATTTCTTCCCAGACAGCGAATACAAAAATTGTGAAATAAATTCAGCTGATAAATAATGAAAAAAATTATTAAAAAACAATTGATAAAGTAATGCAAAACATGAAAATAATGATAAGGAAAGTTGCACTAAATAGATGTACGTTGAGCAAATAAGAAATTGATATAAAAATTCTATCGAACAAATTTGATGACAAGTGATAAGCTAGACTAAATAAAATAAGAGACAACTAAAAGGTTGAAATAATTATAAGAATAAAAGTGTTTGTAAATAATCAATGAACTTTGTCCTCAGTCTGATATCTTAGAATTTTCAAAGACTTTGATGAACCAAAAGTTTTGATTATATTGTATTATATTGAAATATACACAGATTAAAATTGAACGAGGCAGACAAAGTTCTTATGTCGTAGATTGATAGGAAAAAAAGAGCACAAAAAAATTGAGAGGTCGTCAACGACTTTGATATTATACTATCACTTATATGTTTCTTTTGTTTATTTATAACTTTCCCTTCCTTTGCTTAAATTTTCCATGACTTATTTATTATTTTATTGTCATATTACAGAATCCTCCTCATAATCAGCCTGATGTCCTCATCATTAAACGTAAGTTATCACTATTATTTTAATATTTTATTCTTTAGATTTATAATTTATTCAAATAATCGAAATCAAGATAATTATTAAAGAAAATACTTAGCAATGAGTCAAAAAAAAAAATTGCTTCAAATTTTTATTAACTGGGAAATTATATTTGCAGATGTTTGAAAGAATAATTGAAAGCATAGGCAGCATTTCCATCACTTCGCTCGAAGCAATCTCACACCTACATGTTGGACAAATATTACTCAAAGGTTTTGATCGATGCTTGGGAGTCATTGAAAATACAACCCAGTGGAGTCTTCCTTACCATGAAATATCTCCAGAAGAAAATGGGAAATCCTTCAATGAGATCAAACTTGTGAGACCTCTTCCGTGGATATTTTTCCTTCCAAGTCTACTCATCCTTCGAGGCTTCAGACTTGTATGGAACATTGGTGCATGCATCCTTGGTTATCCTGAAATCCAACCGAGTGATATCGTAAGTTTCATTTTTTTACAAAAGAAAAATCTCAATACTCACTGTCTTAAAATTTTAGGTAAGATGTTTACAAAGAGTTCGACAACGTTTACGAGCAATTCGACTGAATGCAGGAAAGAAAATAAGGAAGACTAGACCTGCAGTAAGGGTGAGTTTTTTTTTATTGAGTCAAGATTATTGATATCAGAGCTATTTTTCTAGAAAGTTTTGAAAAGTAGATTTAAATTAAAAGTTGCATGATGTGCTCGTATATCAAACGTCTATCTATAGACTTTGAATGATCCTTTGAGGTATCCTGAACGTAATAAAAACATGGTGGTGGGTGTAGGACACAAATTTAAGGATAAATGATGCTAAGAGAAGCCTGATGAAGTCAATTCAACTCACTCTGTCCAGTTTATCCTGTTTTGATGCATCGAAGGTAAAATCATCACCATCCCCAACCAGAGTTCGTGTGTATACTAATAATATCGTGAGTGCTGCTTTTTACCGTCTATATTTTATTTTCCAAATTCCTTAGTTCAATCTTTTCTATGTTGTTGAATGTTTTTATTGGTAATTTTATTAATTTAATAATAGACTTTTTAATTTTCTAAAGTCAATCACTCCTGATGAAAAATCAGCAACAGAATCAACTGCTGGAGCTCAACAATTCGATATGAAACGCAAACATACTATCATTAGCTCCGATGAATCTGATGAATCTGATCGAGAACCTTTCTACACCAAAATGGAACGGTATGCTGTTTTGAATAGCTCTGAGGATGAAGATTTTAACGTAAGTATCAAGCATAAATGCCTTATGATTTGAAATATAATATTTATATTAATTATATATAATTAAGTTAAAACTTGATGTATTAATAAATCAATTATCATTGCCAGCCAGCAGAATACAGCTCAAGCTCCACCGAATCAGAAGATGAAAAAGTAAACACTAATGAACTCATTGCTGAATTAAAAGAGTTAGCAGAAACTGATGATAATTATGAAATTCTAAAATCGTTCGGTGCAAAATTTATCCGAGCTACAGAGGTTGAAAAACAAAAGGTATTCGCAGAACTTCAATCTCTTTTTTTGAGTAAAACTGCCAATTTACAAGTAAGATAATTTTATTTCCCCAGTAATTATTTATTAATGGATAAGAACAATTAATTGATAAATATAAAAAATCATATTGGATCGTTTATTTTATAGAGTGACGCTGATGTAAATGGTGAAGCGCCATTACAACTACCAGACTCTTTTGAGTTCTTTTCTCCAAGAAATGATGTAAGTGTAGGAGTTGATAATGCTTTCTATTCACCATTGAGTAGTTCAAGTCCTGAACCAGAAGATAATGACGTTGTAGGACCAGTTATTGAAGATCGTAAGTTAATATATTTAACTATGAATACTATTACGTCATTTAAAATAATTTTTAACAAATTAAAAATAATTATTATACAGAAAAAAATGAATCAAATAATGTAACTGACGAAAAAAAGTCTACACCACGAAAGCTATTGTCAGAGAATGGCCATAAAGAGGAGAATGTGAACAATCCTGAGGGTAAGGTACATCGTCACCAACTACTTTTCATTCTATATCATTTATTTAATAGATATTAATTAATCCATTTTGCAAATTTCAAGCATACTGCTTATTTTATTTTCATTATTTTAATTTTTTTTTCTCTATAGTGAATTTAGAAGTTGGAGAAAAGAATGCTAATTCTTTGGACGTAGTTACTGAGAATTCGAATGTAATGTCTGCTGGAAAGAACAAACAGAATTATTATAGAGGAAAACGCCACTGGAACCGTAAAAAGAAATAAGACAACTTTTTTAATTATTTCATTTCCTTCATAACTTTTTTTTTTGTTAAAAACTTATTTTCACTCATACAATCTACAATGATTATTCATTCATTATATTATTTAATCCAATTATCATTTATTTAAATTATAACTTCCTAGAAAATAAGTGAGATATTATCGTTAATTACTGCACGTAGTCGCATATGATGACTTTATAATTATAAATTATTTAATTATGCATCTTCAATGATATAAAAATATAAATTTTAATTTTTTAAACAAAAGCATTGAAATATTTTGTACCATCAGATGTTATTATCGACATAACTAGCGTTGAAGAAGTTAAAAAAATCCGTGGTAGATGACGGGGTAATGCAATTTGATCAATTTATCTATATTTTGTCTTTCCCGCGACAACATGTAGATAAACGTGTACATACGAATAGGTGTACGGAATATACTAACGTAGTAATGCAAGCACATATACATTAGCACACGATAAATAGCGGTAGAGACATGCATGAGATTGTCAAAGTGAAATGAGAGATGCTAGTCGGGTTCCGTAAAGCGTCGCAGTAGATTATTGTCAGAAAAGTCTCAAGTAAAAAAAAAATTAGCTAGATGTTTTCATTGCTGTTTTTTTCGTACAGTCACTGAGAAATCGACGTGAGTGTGCGCGCCAGTAAAATAGTATTTTCTCCTCTGATATGGCACCGGGATACCGTTGTGGGATCGTCACCGTTCATACAACAAGCATTACCGTTCTCTTTCTCATTACGCTGTGAATAAGTAAAATACATAAATAATCTATATTTCCTGGAGCTTCACTCAGAGTTTAATACAATGCTTTTGTGATATTGAATGGAATTAAAACGAAGAAAAAAGAAGATTTAAAAAATAGCGAGTGTTGAAAACATCAAAGCGTCTAAAACAATAAAAGAGACGTCTGTAGGTGAGTGTTGCACAATTGTAAACAGAAGAGATGCTGGAGAGATTTAAGAATATGTCCTTAAAGTACCTTCTTGTGAACTATTTTGATTCTTTTTTACTGTGTTTCAAATTCAATTTACTCTATAATCAATGTAACTCACAAATTTTACAGGTACAATATTTGTGTCTACTCAAAATTTAAAATTTATTTTCGAGTAAATAATTTTTTTTGAGCAGTAAAATCCTTTCAATGATTTTGATTTAGTAACTTTGTATCTCCTAGAGTAAATATATAACCTCAAAAAATACTTTATCCTTCAATATTTGTCAAGTTTTTTTTCATATAATTTTTTCTTATAATATATAGCAAGGTATACATTGTTTAACTACAATGGATATTTTTTTCATAAAATTTAGAATACAATTTTATCTGATAAAAATATCTAATTAAAGAAATATAACATATTTAATGTCACGCAGAGTATGAGAAGGATTAAAATAACTTCATACTTTAATTGAGTATCAAAAAACTTCGGTAATATTATGTATTCTAATGAGTTCCGAAAGTTGTTTTTTACTCAAAAACTACATTGTCTAATAAAATTTAAATAATAATTTTATGATAGTTCTGATTAACCATAAACAATTTTAACGTACATAATGAAAATACTTTACGTAATTATTGTTTAAATAATCTCTAGACTTTTTATTCATGCAATATTTATCTATCTTACGTAAGAATTTAATTGGATTTGATCTTATGTTGATTCTCATGAAACCTTAACTGTTTAAAACAAATATCACTTTCTTTATTCCAAAGACTTACAAGTAAATAATTGAAAATTTTGATTATGTGTCTCAGTAAAGTAGAAAGAAATGTCGTACAATTAAATAAATGTGGTGTAATATTTTCGCTTGAAAAAAAACCGATTTTTAATTGATTTTAATTCAATTAAATTGTCAAGACAATTACACACATTATAAGAGCAATTGAGCCATAGTAGAAAAAAGATCTGTCTCAGAATGAATAAAGCTTGTTATATATCAAATGTTTCAATTTTATTACTATACATAAATGTTTCTTATTGCAGTGTTGATTTACTATGAGGTTTATCAGTGTGTATTTTATGTTTATATATAGATGATAATATTGTCGTTTTAAAACACATAAAAAATATTCATAAAACTATTTAAACTTCTGCCAACGACATCCTGCTAAAGAAAACGATCGTTTGCGCCCACATAACAGTGTAGGACGATTGTGATAATTGCTGGACTTTGTGAATGATAATTATTAACGGTAATTTGTTCATATTTTGTTTGTGACTAAGTATTAAATAATTACTATCTTATTCAAATTGAGCTCGAAGGGGTTTATTTATAAGATGACCGGCTATTCAGGGCAATGAATGTCTGACCTGAGCGAAACTTGGCTGGATTTGAAGATTTATTTCAAATTTCCATGAATATTATTCTATTTATTATATATTTATTACTATTGCATAATATTATTTTTATCAAAAATAATTATTTCATTTATCAAAAATCAAAAGTAATAATTTTTAAATTATTTTTATCATAAAGTTGTTAACTTTCTTTTATGTAATGATTGGTATTTCGATAGCTGATTATTTTAATATATTTACGTAAGCTTGGTATAATTGAAAAATCAAAAATTGACAGAATAATGTGTGATAAAAATTTGATTGATTAACAGGCAATCGATATGTTATACCAAGTTCGAGGTTAATTTTGCAAACTAAATAGTGTTTGTCTCTCTATTAAACAAAACTATTATATAGATCCATGTATTATTCATACTTATGACAACACCCGTGTATACATTTGCGTTCGATAAGAGGGTATTTATACGATTATGTCAGAAACAGTTACATATGTATAAATGAATGGATTGGAAGAATTGCTTTGATCGATCATTCATCATCAATAAAAAATTGTAAGCTTCGTTCTAGCCAAATCAAATATATTGACTTTAAAATAAATGATTTCATTTATAAGTATTGAAAAATTGATAATAAATTATTATATATATATATATATATATATGAAATATTCTATGAGAATAACTATTTACATTATCTATACATACATAGTAGAAATATCTAATGAAGAATATAAATTATAATCTTAAAATTTTTTGATATTGTATAAACTAGCTAAATGTTTTATTAGCTAGTTCATTATCTATTAACAGTAAACGAATGCTATCTATGATAATATTTAACAATAGAATGAGTACTTGTTAAAAACACTTGTGTTATTTTACGATACAAAAGAATATTTTTACTGCAAATTACATTGAAGAAAATAAATAAGAAAAAAATGGAGTAATAATTGGCAAAAATTAAGTATCATAATTAGATAATTGAAGAAAAATTTTAAACTTAACTACTATTTACAAAAGTATATTGTAAGTAACTTTAACAGAAGGTTTGTATTTTTTGCAAATATCAAACCTAATCAATTTAACAACTATCTCTTTATATCATTATTATCCTAATAATTAACCTGAGTATTACTATGAACTTGATCGTAGCATTTGATTTATTAAGTTAAACATATCCATCAGCAGCCAGTTTAATGGCTGCTTCATAAGGTGGTAATCCATCATCTATTCCCTCATCTTTTTTCTCTAGTTTTTCTAATGAGCAAATAGTGTTCTCATTAATTGTTGATTCTTCTTTTTGACTTGGTGATGGTAGACTTGGTGGCACGAATATTAAACTCTCGTAAGCTGGTGGTGGGCCAGGTGTTCCTGGACACGTTCGTAGTGATACTGGTGTTGTATCTTCATTTGAACGATCTAACCAGTCATCATAGCGATGCTCTTCAAATTCTCGATCCTTAAAAAGTTGTTAGCCAATTATTAACATGATTTTCGATTATTTTATTTATCCATTTCTATTCTACTTTGTATTCTTAATTTGGTGTAAAATAATTGAGAAATAAATTTTGTTTATTGTGAAAATTATTTTATAAACATGTTTATATAACTTTATTTTAATAAAAAAAAAGTGTATTTACTGTGTACGAGTTCGTTGTAAATACTTGAAGACTTTGAACGTCAGGTTCTGCTATAGTGTACTCAGAACATTGTTGCTGACGATTTTTTGAAGAGTTTCGTAAACAACAATAACATACTAACACTGCGGTGATTATAGCTCCCATTAATACTGCTCTAAAAATTATAAAAGAAATTTTGTTTCAATTTTGATCATCAAATTGTAAAACTTGAATAGAAGCTTACAGTAGGTTTTCAATTTTGTGAATTAATTCAAGTAAAGAATTTATTTCATTGATACACCAAGAAAATCTACTGTATTTAATTAAATCAATACTAGTGATGTAAAAATATTTAATTGAAAATAACAAATTACCATCATTAGATTTTGTGTATTATATTTTAGAAAGTTTAATTTTTAAAATAAAATCAATAAATGGTTGTAATAATAATAATAATAAAAAATCATTGTGGTTTGTGCTGAAGAGAAATTCTCTGTTAATGGTTGAAGTTTATCTACATCACACTGCAGACTACAGCAATAACTCTTTGGAAAATACAAGCTTTATTTTTTCGTGGCATACTACATAAGTTGATTGAAATAAAATAGTAAGAAAAAGCTTGTTTTCCATCAACTTCATCTGTTACTTGATAATAATTATTTTAATAATTAATCATCTTAATTTATTTAATTTTACTTTATATATATTTATTTATAAAGGAGAATTCTCTGTTTAGAATTAATGCAATATTTGGTTAACCTTGTTGAAGTCGACATTTTGCAGAATAAAAAGTATAGATACTTATTTAAAAATAACTTCTTGTTTTTTAATAGAAGTCATTAAATTGGATAGAATTTTCATAGGAATCAATGTGATGGAAATACTCAGTTTTGTAAATTTCTAAGTCTAAAAATGGAAACGTACCCTTGAATTAAAACGTTGCTATGAATACTAGCTCCAAAAATGCCTACGTTTCCGTTATAGTTACTGGACATATTATATCCAGAGGGGCAAGGATCACTTTCTTCAGAAACAGTTCCATTAGATTGTAATGATTTTATAGCGGACAATATAGCAAGTCTTCTTATCATTGACATTGTTCAATAAAAATCCAATTTTTGATACTCTTTCAAGTTTCCCTATAACTGCTTCTACTGTACTTAAAAAAATATAGTTATCAATGTGATAATTCATTGGTTAAAACTATTAAAATTTATTGAATATGCATGAATTTATTTCTGTTGCAGATTAGAGTGAGTTCAAAATTGTGGATGATTTCGTTGCCCAGGGAAGATTGACAGGTGAGGTTTAATTTTGATATATAATATGTTGATGAAAATATGGTGCGTAAAGAACTAGTAGAATATTTGAACGAACCCTAGTTCCCATCGATCATCTATATTCTTTCTGTCTTTTCATTTATGCACGACTAACAACACAAATCCGTCATTAAAGTATACTGTAGCTTTACTTGAAGCTTGTTTATCACTGAGAGTCAATGTTATCAATCAGCAGTAAAAATTTGCGATTATTACGATGTCTTCAAAGATACTCAAAAAGGTAATTCACTAAATTAATTTTAAATCATCAACTTTAGCATGGTAATGGCTTTTGACACTATTGAAATCAGGGTATTGCACTTTTTCATTTAATTTCCACTCAACTTCTTTACCTTGAGTATTAAATATCATTTTTTTTCACTTTTTTAAAAAAATAATTTACACTAAAATGTACTAACTTTTTTTTGCACACTCTTCAAACATTAAAAGCACTCAGGAAACACGAAATGCACCCTGGGAGTCGAGATATCCTTCGAGAATTTATTGAATGTATTTTCCGATTAAATGTCTTTGGAATTCTGTTTTCTTATTGACACAGTCTCTCTGGGATACATATCAAATGAACGCACATCTTCAGGGCAAGTGTTAACGATGACAATGATGATAACGAGGACACAGGAAGAGGTCAAGTTCGCCCGATGTTGATAATGCTTTATGCTCGACTGTGGTCATTGCGCGTTGCTTGGCTACAATACACTACTTATAAGAAAGCGTGTGTGAAAATATAATCCACCAACCAAACTTCTACTTTTACTTACGTCATACTTTTTTATAATAATTGCAAACACTTGTCTTTTTATTAATTTTTGTCGTCTAATCCTACAACTCAATATTTTCATTCTTTTTCATTATATTGAATTAACATATTTTCATTATTGACGTTTAATGCTGTTTCATTGCAGATTTTTTTCTATCAATGAAATTTATTTTTAATTTTGAAGATATTGGTATCTCAATTGTAAGTCATCGCGTGAAAAAATAACATAGCTATTATTTGAACTGTTTATCATGAACTTATTAATAATAAAAATGAAAATTGCGTGCATTAGAAAAATTTTTTTTTATTATAATAACAAAGCTAATAAAAAATCAATTGATAAAAGAGAAAAATGGTCGATTAACTGTAAAGATTATAGATAACCTTTATCTAATGATATTAAAGTCAACAAGATTGTTTTACATATTGCGTTGATATTAATTTGGTTATTTAACGATTAATCATCAAAAACTAAGATAATTTATAACATTTGATATTACTAGTTTTCGAAAAAAAATCATTCTTAAGTGGTATAGATATTAAAATGGTCAGACATCAGTGATAAACAAACAAAGATTTTGAAAAATGGAAAAATAATGCTTGTATATACGTATTATTAATAATAATTTCTCTAGTATTGTAATGTTGAAGGTAAGTCGATAACAAATCGACCTGAATTCATAAATGAAATAGTCACGCAAATATACAACTATTTAATTTAGCATTTATTCAAGTTTAAATAAATGCTATGTTGGCTACAATATTTATTTTAATAAAATATCCGTTGTTTGTATTCCTCACAGGTTGAGAAGAATGATAGGAGGAGGACTTCCTAGTGGTTGGATGAGGAGGTTTCTCCTTTTCCTTGTTCTAATTACTGGGATTTTCCTGATTGCTATGTACACCCATGCACCACCACTTGTTTCTCTGAAACCATTTACTCCAAAAAGGTATGAATATCATTTTATCAAATAATAACATATACAAATATTTGAACATTTATTTAGATTGTTGGTTAATTGATGATTATTTAAAAAAATTAATGCATGCTCACGATTTTATCAACACCAAATTTAAGTTTCAAGCAGTTGCACATGCTGTCGATTATTAATAACATTACGATTGATAGTTGGGAGATTAAACTACAACTTTACATAGATAATTACAGGTAAAAGTTGAAATTGATAAAACAACCACATAACAGCAGACAAACCATGGCGTTGATTAATTTATTGAGTGCATAACATTTTAGATGTTATATGTTAAAAGAGAAAAATATGTTTTTCAAAGATTAAAATTTATTTATGAATATTTAGAAATATATTTTTCTCTTTATAGAATTCATGAATCTTTAGAATAAAAAATTCATTAGATGCTTTGGTTATTGTAATATTATTTATTCATGAATTAATGATTAACGATGGTTTATTTATGTTGATTATAAAGAACTTTCCATTCGCCATGGTCATGGGTTTGCGTGGCAAATAGATGTGAAAGAAAAGCTGTGAAAACACCACAAAAGTCTCTAGCAGCTTGTATGGCTATGTGCGGCGGAAACGATCGATTACTTTGGCCAAAACCAACAGGCAACGTAATTCTTGGTGATGGAAGTGTCATGTTGACTATCCAACAGATTAAATTTATTACGACTACTGCCAGTAACCAGGAAGTTGTAAGTCTGTTGGAGCATGCTAAGGACGTATTCATTGGTAAGTGTTATCATAGAAATTCAGAACTAATTTTTTTTATTAATAACTCGAAATAAAGTAGTCTTATTATTTAATATATTTTCTCAACCAAGCAACTTAATCTAATTGATTGGTACTATAAGTTCATTCACTTTAATTATGAACTTCAATTAATTGATCAATTCTTTGTTATTTCAGGAAATATCCGAAATTTGGAAAGATCTTCAAACATAAAAGAACAATCGACCATTGATAAGTTTGAGATACATCTAAATACTGGAGGAGGTCAAAGTACTAGACTTCTCTTAGACACTGATGAGTCCTATAAGCTCGAGGTGAATTTAAAAGAAAGAGTTCTTTACGGCAGAATCACAGCTAATAGTTATCATGGAGTACGACATGGTCTAGAAACGCTCAGTCAATTGTTCTGGTGGGATGAATCGACAGAAAAACAAGGTCTTGCTGTGTTATCAAATGTCCTTGTAGTAGACAAGCCCACGTTTCATTATCGAGGTTTAATGATCGATACTGGAAGGCAATTTTTCCCCGTGTCCGAATTAAAGCGAGTGTTGGATGGAATGGCAGCTTCTAAATTAAACACTTTTCATTGGCACATTTCTGATAGTCAAAGTTTTCCTTTTGACTCTAGTGTCTTTCCACAGATGGCTCGATGGGGTGCTTATAGTTCTGAAGAAACCTATTCTCCTGAAGATATTCGAGATATAGTAGAGTATGCGAAGATAAGAGGGATCAGAATACTCATGGAAATTGATTCACCAGCACATGCTGGAGCTGGGTGGCAGTGGGGTCCGGAGTTTGGATTTGGAGATCTTGCATTGTGTGTTGATCAAGAGCCTTGGTCTTCTTATTGTGGGGAGCCTAATTGTGGACAATTGAATCCGATCAACAAACACACATACAAAATTCTCGAAACGCTTTACAAGGAGCTCTTAGACTTAACAGAAGTACGTGATATTGTACATTTAGGGGGAGATGAAGTCAATTTAGAGTGTTGGGCTCAGTACAGTAACATAACAGCAGCAATGCAAATGCAAAACTTGACTGATCTCCATTCAATGTGGGCTGACTTTGAAGGAAAAGTTCTTCAACGAATAATTCGTGCTAATCACGATGAAATTCCTAAGGCTGCCATTCTCTGGAGCTCTCCATTAACCAAACGCCCTTGGATTACATTACATTTTGATCCAAAACTTCATGTTATTCAAACATGGGGTGGCAGTGCGTGGCCAGAAACGGGAGATCTTTTAGAGGACGGATTTAGAGTTATTTTATCTCATGTTGATGCTTGGTATTTAGACTGTGGATTCGGGAAGTGGAGGGAAACAGGAGAAGCTGCGTGCGGTGAATATCGCACTTGGCAAACTGTTTACAATCATAGACCTTGGAGAGATTACCAAGCAACTATTAATCTTATTCTTGGGGGAGAGGTGGCTCTTTGGAGTGAGCAAATTGGACAAGCTTCATTGGGACCTCGACTATGGCCCCGAGCTTCGGCTTTCGCGGAAAGAGTATGGTAAATTTCAATAATTTGATTATTTAATGAATTTTAAATAGATGTTTTCTATTTTTTCACATTACGTTATTAACTATTTCGATTAATTTCATAGAAAAATCTATTTTTTGATTATGAAATGATCGAATGAAAATATTTCCTCTTCTCTCCAAATTAAATTTTCAACAAATATTCTAATAAAAAAATTGGATTACAATCTTATACAAATTTTAGTCTTATAATCAATAGTTTGGATTTTTTATTAAAATCATAAATTGTATGAGCTACGTAGAAAAATGATTTATTTAAATACTAATTAATTTATTTAATAAAAATTTTTACAGGAGTGATCCTTTAAGCTCAAGTTACTTAACGGAAGAATCAGTATACACAAGATTAGCTTCTCATATGGATCTCTTACAAAATCGTGGATTAAAAACGGAAGCAATGTGGCCTCAGTGGTGCTCTCAGAATCCAGGTAAATGCCTCTGACCGCTTTCTAAATAGAATCAAACAGGCTTAGAGTTACTACGGATTGGCGATGCAAAAGACATAAAAAGTCATTATTAATATTGTAATTATTATAGAAAAAATATTGGTTTTTTTTTTCACTGTGATTGTACATACAAACAAAATTTCTTCGATAAATCAATGTCGACGCGATGATAATAGTAATGATTACAATCAATTCTAGAAGGACATTTGATCTAAACAATAATAATTTGTACTATAAAGCCTGAGAAAGTGGAGCTTATAGATGAAAAATAGTTTGTATTGTGAGAAACAAAAGACAATGATACGTGATCACGTAAAGTTCTTTATCTCAATTTTTATTTTTATCACAATAGAATTTTTGATAAAGCAGAACTCTACATGATTACGTCAGAGAGAACATATATAAATTTTTGATGGTATTATTTAAAAAAAATAATGACTGAGAACCAAATTATGAATAAATTTTTTTTTAATCCTGTCGTAAGTTGGGTTAACAATATTTTATAATTTATTGATTATTTCTATGAACGATGACAACATAACAAAAATTAAAAAAAAAACCATCATGTAATTTATTTAATGATCTACTGACATTAGCGAAGAATAACAATTGCATAAAATCACATTTATTAATTAACATAAATCTAAAGTCCAACTTTTGCTCATTATATTTCGTGTTCATAGAAATTTGTTGGATTTACTTAAGGAAGTGATAAGAATATTTTACCTTACCTTTGCTTCTAGATGAGTGCATTTTTTCTCAGTATCTATGAATAAATGTATAGTAGTTATCGGTCGCGCAAGAGTTCAATTGTACATTAGTCAATCATGCGATAAGATGATTCGTACTTGTTTTCTAAATAGATTTATAAAAAAATATTAGAAAGTGTTTAAAATCTCGTTATTCATTTAATTATTATTAGTGTTGAATATAAACTGATTGTGAGATTAAATAATTGGTACTTGACAATGGTCTTTGAAATATTGTCGGAATCAAGCTTAATGTTATTTGGGAAAATTCGTTTAGCGCGACCGTTGACAAGTTTGAAAAGAGACTAGTATAAATTCATTACTAATAAAATAATAGTAAAAGGTATTTCATAAGATGAATTAAACAAAAAAATTAATATTGTTGGCATTTCATTCTTTAAAAGTGCCTTTATAAGACTCAGTTTTATAATTTTAATCACGTACTGTGAAGCTATATCAACGAGAAAAACAAAGATTTTTAAAAATATTATCTAGAAAAAGTTCATGACAACTAAACAACAAAAACTATAACAAAAATTTTTTAATGAAGATATAAAAAAAAGTAAAAACAAAAATTAATAATAGAATTAAATTATGTCATCAAGAATAAAATTTAATGAAATTATGTGAGCTATTTTATAATGTAAAATACTGACATTTTGTTAACATACTTTATACGATTGTTATGCTTAAAAAAGCAGAAACGATGAAGATAATAAGACCCAAGTACTATAAAACCGTGGTTTGTTCATTACCTGAACAATACAAATGACAATGTTCTCAATGACCCAGAATTCTTTAATTACGTTCACTTTTGAACTTTACAATTAGCAATTTTTTACTGTAATACCTTAATGATCAACTTAAAAATTGTAACATAGTGTATAATAGTGATAAATGATCTTAATCATATATATATATATATTTAGAGGTGTCGATATTTGTATTAAATTATTATTATTTCTACAAGCATAATTAATTTTAATGGCGATCACAACTTAATTAGCCAATAGCGGTATTTTTATAATCCTTAACCCCTAGTATTTTTTATAAATCGTATAAGATGAATAAATGTGCTAAACCATCTTAATAAAGTTTTATTTTTATTTAAATAATACAATGTTTTATTGTCATAAACACTATGACAATCCTACTGTTCCTTTTATTGTTATGTTTGAAATCGAAGTGTTGTTCAATTTGTTACAGATACAGAGTAAATTGAAATTTTCGAAAAGCGTCATATTGAATTAATAAAAACAAATTATTTTATTTTTTTTGTTATCTTTATATTAGTGGTTAAGGATAGGTTGGAATTTTTCAATTATTAAGAAGTTTAAAGAATAAATACTTTCGATATGTCAGATTATTTTTTCGCACTAGAATGCATTACTAATGCTTTGAAATGTTGTTGATACATCGAATGAATGCATCAAAGCATCAGTAATACAATCTTCTCTCTACGGATTTGTTCTATAGAAATTGTATAATTCTCTATCATAGAAAAATATTATGTTGATATATTTGAACGAAACATCGTTCTCATCATTATCGAAAATGTTTGAAAATATTGAGTTATTTTATTTGTGAATAAAAAAAATAAAAAATTAGGGTTACATATATGGAAAAATTTTTTAATTGAAAGTACTAGAGTTTTAAACAAAAAATTAGTCAGATAATGAACTAAAAAAATGATATATAGACTATGTAAATGTTAATTTTTAGAATTTATTATTTATTATCAATTATTAGGCACATGAATCATGATTTTTATCAATGTCTACTATTTTTGTATTGTTATAGTAGTTGATTAATCTAACCGCCGCATAAATTATTGGTTGAAATATGTATCGCTGGGCAAAAAAAAAGTACTAAAAATATTATAGTTGCATTGATAATGAAAGTTTTAGACATTTAAACTAATGTTCATTCAGAGATTATATTATTGTCCTAAATGTTTGAAAAACGATTTAAGATCAGTTTAATTGGGATTAATCAAGAGATACTATAAACATAGACTTATACTTGTTTTTATGATATCTTTTATGACTAGATTATCATTTTTATAATGACAATGGCCTATGACTATGAATAAGATTAATGTAAATAATTTGCAAAAAAAATTGTACATAAATGAACTTCAAATATAATTGATGTGTATACGTACTTATGAGTTTGCTGATAAAAGCTCATGAATAGTAGAAAAAATGAAATACTATTCGTTAGACATTGTAGCGATAAAAATAAATCGCTTTTTAATGCTATTGATTAATCTTTCAGCAGAAAATAAAAATCATAAAATAACACTATTCTGCCAAAATCAATATACTATTGAAAAAGACATAAAATAATTTATACAAATTTATTTCATTTTTTTTTCATGTTATAACGCATTGATTCAATATGTAGCTTATTAAGTAAAAAAAACAATAAAAAAAATTCTGTACTGGAAGAGAAATAAAATCAGAATTTCCACAAAAAAGTTAACTTGTTATGTGTGCTTAGAGTTATACATTTTTTACATGTATTGTTCACAATTCGTGTGACTGTGATTTCTATCCACTGGAAATTCATTCATAGAATAATTCTATTAATCTTCTCAAATCCTCTTCTTGAATATTATTGTGACTAAATTTTTATAAAAAGATGAAGATTAATTATAATAATAGTTTTTAATTAGAAAAAAAAAAATTCGCTAGCATTACAATCTTTTTGAATGAAAACATTTAAGTAAATCAATTCTCTTCAATAAGCTTTAAAAGTGTAAAAATAATAATTAATAAATCGAATTTCTCATTCTATTTAAAAACGTTTTTAATTATTAAGAAAATTAAAAGTCAACCACTTTATTAAATGCCATTAGTTGTCAATCTTGTTGAGCTCATATTTACATTCTACATACTCTTTAGAATTGATTAGATAATGGATTCGAAACATTGGCTGTACTTGATTATACCGGAACTTTCATAATATTATTGTTTATTATGGCATGTAGCCAATAATTATTTTACTGTAAAAATACTAGTATATCCAAAAGAAATATTTGTTATACAAGTATTTAATAATAAAAATGTTTTCGAAATGCTGATATTCTACGTCTCATGTATCATCCATCATATACAAGAACAATTGAAACTGACAGTAGACCGACGCTTGCGCGATTTTTTCACGTGGAAAAAAAATGCTCAAGCATCGAGATTTATACCCGGGCGCGCATTCAGACGCATCACAGTTGTCACTTGAAGAGGATCAAACTGTTAATGAAATTTTTTCATTTATCAATTTACTATGGAATGTTTCGCGTTTCATTTGAATTCCAATAAAATTTAATATATCATTTTATCCTAAATGATAAAGAAATTCGGTAAATATAATTTAATTTAAAAGTTTGACTATCCATTAATTTATAATTCAACTATAAATGTTTTGCTTTTGTCAAGTTATTAAAGGAAGTGCTACTAGAAGATAATTGGAACGAAAATTAAATTTTTTTTAAAGCAAATTGAATTATTCATCAAACAGATAATATAATTGTTTTAAATAATGGAAATTTTATATTGAAAACAATGGAATACCAAAAAATCAACAAGTTTTTAGAAAATCAACGACAATGGTGTCATCAACTCTACGAAGATTGTAAGTATTTTTGTTCATTTCATTAAACAACAGCTGCTCTGTAACTGTTTTTTTCAATTCTTTTTTAACATCTAATGAATGAAAGTTAATGCATAAATATTACAGTAAATTTTTTTTTTTTTTTGGTGTATTTTATTATCATACTGTGGCCAATTCTATAAAAAAATTTCTAAGAATATAATAAAGAACAATATTTAACACAACAATATTGTCACCGCGGTCATTTATACGACCTTTTTCACACTGAAAAAATGTTTTATTCATCAAAAATGCATAAATAATACAGAAAAAGGAAATAAATAAGTGATTTTAAAAAATATATATAACTTACATTTAAAACCATTTTTTCTTTTTATTTAATCTATTACCAATGAAATTTGTAAATATGTTTTCATTAATATTAATATCACTATTAATTATAATATTAACAACTAATTACACTTATTTCAATAGACATAAAAACTAATTCGTCAATCAATTGTCCTCCATTCTTTGACGGACTTCTTTGTTGGCCACAAACCAATTCAAATGACACCAAACATCTTCCTTGTCCACCACACTTTGTTCTTGGTTACAATAATTTACCAGAGAATGCGAAAGCTACGAAATACTGCAAACCGAACGGAGAATGGTATAAAAATAACGAAGGAATCTTCTGGAGTAATTATACTTTATGCACTTCTCCACCTGGACACTTTGCTACTGCAGTGGCTGATTTAGAAATTTCATACTCTGATTACGGAAAGTTTTGTAATTCATCTGCATTAAATGTATGTTTAATAGATATTTGAAAATTACCTCTTTTCAATGATTGGCTATTTATAGAATTATGAAATAATATGTCTTTTTCGTTTTCTAAACTGTTTTGACCCATTGATATTATCAATTGGACTATATATCAATATCACTAATAACTCTGAATTCATTCATTAAATTTTATATTGTTATCAGTATTTTAATTAATGTTTATCCTGATCAGAGTTTTGTGAACTTCATCTGCATAAGTCATTTAAATTTTAAATAAATGATTTGTTCAATAAGTCATCAACATATTGATAATAATAACTAATAATTCATTTTAATTATTTTATTTTTTAGAAATGGTTACCAATAATAAAAACAATCTCAAAAATTGGATATACCTCTTCATTGACAACTTTAATTCTAGCCATGATCATTTTTTCATTATTAAAGAAGTTGAGAAATCCGAGAAATCGTCTACATATGCATCTGTTTGCATCGTTTATCATGAGAGCTTTTATGGCATTGTTGAAGGATTGGCTTTTCGTCGACGGTTTAGGACTCTCTTGGGATGTTGTTTTAGTTGATGGAAAAAGTATTTTTATCAAAGAAAACAATGTAAGACTCTATGTATTAATTTATTGCATGATAATGATTATTAATGGTTAATAGCATCTTTAAGAAGTTACAAAACTTGATTTTCTTTATCTTTGTTGATTAATGATTATATTTATTTATTTATTTGTTTACGTGCAGAATTGGATATGCAAAGCTATAACAAGCCTTTGGCAATACTTTATTGTGGCGAATTATACTTGGATATTTATGGAGGGATTGTATCTTCATAATCTAATATTTATCGCCTTTTGCACCGATTCAACAACTACCACAGTCTATACGATCCTAGGTTGGAGTTTGCCCGGTTTTGTTGTTATTGTGTGGATTATAGTTCGGCTAATCATGGAGGATACATTATGTTGGACCACGCACAGTAATCCATCATTGTTTCTCATCATTCGAATCCCCATCATGGTTTCTATTTTGGTATGATTTATCACTATTCTTCAGCTATCCTAACATTGACCTCTTCTTTTAATCATTAGTCAATGATTCGAAGGATGAATGAATAAGCAAAATTATTTATTTAATATCATGATTAATTTTTATTTTATTATCTCTGTTTTCTTTTTGTCCAACAGCTTAACTTCATTCTTTTCATTAATATTGTACGGGTCCTACTGATTAAAATGAAAACTTCAGTATACTTGCAACGCAAAAAAATGCATTATGGACGCTGGGCTAAATCAACTTCAGTTTTAGTTCTCCTTTTTGGAGCACACTATACCATCTTTTTAGGCCTTTCGTACCATAAAGATTATCATTTAGAGTTAATTTGGTTGTTTTGGGATCAATTTTTTGCATCATTTCAGGTAAATAAATACTTGTGTCTGAAATTGAGCAGCACTTATTTTGTTGATATTCCACCGTGAAATTTTGATTTGCTTCTTGTAGGGATGCTTTGTGGCACTACTTTACTGCCTACTCAATGGTGAAGTTCGAGCGGAAATGAAGAGAACATGGAAAACTCGGAGATCACGACGTGGTATGGATTCTTTAAGTCTAACTCATCGATATTTTATTAAATCTCCTGAATCACGAACACACACCAGTCGTGCTATTTTAAGTAACAATATACTTTAGTTAGTGGTATGTAAACATTTATTACATTCATATGTCATTGAAATTTAATATTGAATATAAAAAAACTTTTTAAATCAGCTTATGAATTTATTAATCTTATTATTTCGGAGCTTTTATTTAATCAGTTAAATTTATAATATTTCACGGATGATTTTTTGTAATCTCTTTCAATTTTAGTCATGGAATGAAAATTGAATGTTGTTCTTTTATTCAATAATTATCATAATGAATACGTAAAAAGATACTTTATTGTACAAGTATAAAAAAATTACAAATAGCAGTGACCCTGGTTTTGAAGACACCACTCTGGTTCTAAACTATCTGCAAATATTCCTCGCTGAACTAATCTCTCTCGATGTCTTAGCATTCGATATTCTACCTGCTCCCAAGAGCATTCAGGTTCTCCCCATAATCTTTCTGCCATTGCCGCTGACCTAGGCCACAAACGTGAGTCCACTGACGCACTGTCAACTTGTTCAGACCACAAAGCTGCTTCTCCACCTAAAAAGTTTCCCCATGAATTATTCATCAACGGTAGATTCCATTTTTGTAGATAAATTGGAAAATATTTCATATATGATAAAATCTAAATAAAGTCACAAAAAATTCGAAATTTTGAAAAACATTTCTCACCTAAAATCAAATGACTCTTTGATGCCAAGTTTTTTTGTTTAAGTATTTTTGATGGAGAATTCATAAAAACTTTCTGCCATCCTTTATAAGGTGCGCACCAATTAACTCCTTCTCCTACCCATGCTCCAAAACTAGAAAAAAAAACGAGAGGTTAATTAGAAGTATAAGTTTAAAAAAAAATTTTTTTAATATATTCTTACCCACAATCTAAGTACAAAGCATCATAATTCGAGAAAATAACTTTGAAATTATTTTCAACCAATCTGTCAATAGTATTATCAGCTCCTGTTGTCCAAATCTGAATAATATATTTTGTTGGATCCAAGTGTTTCAAATTTTCTTCATCAGTAAGCTTACTTGTCCATAAGATAACCGGTATATCTTTCCCACCATTTGCTAATTTTAGTTTCTCGTAAGCTCGCTCTTGGAAAACATCCCACAGTTGAATAAAACTTGACTCTGACAAATTCCATCCCATCTTCTGCTGCATCCAGTTACGAATTACATCGGAAGAGTTCCAACAATTTACATTTACTTCATCACCACCCATATGGAAAATATCTGGTTGGAAGTCTTGAATCATGTCTCTATAAATTCCCTCCAGTATTTCATAAACCCTCTCGCTAGTAGGATTAAGCTGACCACAAGGTGGTTCAACACAATATTTTTGCCAAGGTTCTGCTTTAAAACATACAGTAGCATCATCTCCAACCCATTGCCATCCTTCTCCTACATGAGCGGGAGCATCAAACTCTGGCAAAACTCGGACTCCATTAAGTAAACCAAAATCTACAATTTCTTTGACGTCTTCTTGTGTATAAATTTTGGAAGGCGTGTATGCTCCATACTTGGTCATTTTGGGCCAAGTTTTACTGGAGTATGGAAAACTATGAGAGTCAGTGATATGCCAATGGAACGTGTTTAACTTTGACATTGACATAGCTTCGATGGTACGTTTAATAGATGCTTTGTCCATAAAATTACGACTAGTATCTAACAAAATACCACGATATGGATATACTGGTGCATCATCAATATAAACATCTCGTGCTATTTGAATTTCATTATTTAAGTCATTAAAAACAATTAATTGCGACAAAGTTTCAAGGCCATGGCGTAATCCAAAATAGGTTTCTGCCGTAATTGTCGCATTTATTGAGTCACTAAGAGGTTGATTAATTTCTAAACGATAACTTTCTTTAGTGTCTAAAGTCAATTGAACGTCATCAGGCTTTTTAAGACCTTTAATAGAAATACCAAGTGATAAACCGCCTTTCTTAGCATTATTTCCGCCGAGTTTCTTGGTATTTTCTTTGAAAATATCAAGATTACGGTACATAAGAGTTCCTACAGCTGATTTCGGTATAGTGCCACATAAATCAATTTTATCTGGATCTAAATGAGCTACAAAGTTGCCAAAAGAGAAATGACCAGTGGGCTTTGGCCATAGTGATCCGAGACCACAGAATAATTGACAAACTTCTGAGGATAAGGGTGAAACAACATCCGGAGTAATCTCAAACTTTTTACATTTTTGCTCTATGCATTTGTAGTGCCATGGTGAGCTGGAATAAGATTTTTTTATAAATTAATATTAGCTAGTCTTGAAAAAAAATAAATAAAAAGAAATAGAATTATAGTAAAATAAAATATATTGAAATAATTTAAAATAGGATTGTATTTATTGATATCTATAAGTATAAACTATAACTGATTGTAATTTAAATAATGTAGGAGTAGTCTAAGAATCTACATTGTATTTATAAAATGATTAAAATGAATGCTAATGAAATTATTTTAGTAATCAAATAAAACAACAAAAATGATAAAACTTTCCAAGTGAAAGTAGAACAAAAGCAGAAAAGTTTTGAATATGATCATCTATAATTTCTAGACCACAGTCTACTTATTATAATACTTGTTAAGACTTCAAAAAAAATGTTTACGATTTTTACTTTCTATTTTCATGCTTAAATAAATGTATCCTGTTCAATCTAAAGTGATAGTAATAAAAGACTTATTGACTTATCGATAAATAGATGATTTGGTAAAGTCTTTACCTGAAATCCTCAGCTCTAGCTGACCAAGTCTGAAAAACGAGTACTGTTATAAGTAAACTAATCATACCGATAGAAACTATGACTATTGAGATCAACGGACGTAGTCCAAGTCTTGGTCGCCAGAATGATTTTATGCTGTTGCTCATGTTGTAGTCATCAGAGGAAGGGGAACTCAAAAGGAAGAGGGGATTGGCACATTCAATACAAACTTGAAATTCACTGTCAAACACAACTGGTTCACTTTGTTTAATAAATTAAATAGAAACCAGTTTAGCAAATATAAATCGATGATTCCATCTAAATTGTTTCGAGTGTTAAGTATTACCTTAAGATTATCATAACTGATACTATCTTCTTCAGAGATAAAAGGAATTATCATATATATTGTCATGAAAATCCATAAGCTATTGTTTTCATGATAAAGGACTTTGAGTATTGAAGAAAAAGTCTTTAATTTTAAACTAAATATAATTTATTGTGCTATTCATTTTGTATTAGTAAAACTTAAACACAAGTTTACCAATAAAAGTATTCAATATATACATATACTTATATAAACTAATTTATATCATAATTAAATATTCATTTTATCTATTACCTAATTACGAATATATTCGAGTAATTTATAAAATACGTCTCACATTAAATAAATAGTAAATTTCTTGCTAATGGATAAGCAAACATACTGAGTTACAAGATCACTCAGCTGAATATTATTAAATCGATCATTTAATATAATTACAAAAATTTTTAAATTCTCTGAGTAAATTTGGACATTGTGTAATTGTACAGATATTTGAATGATGATTGGGTTAATGTTAAGAAATTGATATTGTTTTAATCTGATTATTTAAATTATTTAATGGCTTGTAAAAAATTGCAAGGTACTGATATAATTTTTTTGGCCATTTCAGTCATTTACTCATCACCGCGTACAGCGCGATATTTTGCAAGTTCATTAGGAAATACTCGATTTAATTCAACTAGCAAGTTGGCTTTGAATTTTCTATAGGCATCAATCTTTCCCTTGACCTGTTCATTTTTCGTCAAAGCCTTTTCCATGCAATCTTTTGTGTAAAGTTGAGGATTCCTTCCCTGATCAATGTAGCTGTAAAAAAAGTATTCATTATTATAAACTGTCACAGGCTTAAATTTAAAATTGTATAGCCGGTTTATCGAAAATAATACTATAAAAACTACTTAAATGCAATAAAAAAAGATATACAGACATGAAAATAAATGGTGTGGTCTGCAAACTAAAACAGACCTTTCGATTCGAGATTAAAACCGGTTTTATTAAACTTACTCGAAGACCTCCAAAGGAACGTGAACATCTTGAACTTGCGATTTTAATTTGTCGATTTCTTGAAGCCCATTAACAAGTCCTTGTCTGAAAAATTCAAATTTCCCGCATTAAAAACAAATGTTGATACGACCTCTTGCAGGGTGTTGTGGAATTACCGATGTAAACGATTGAAGCAACAAAGTAGCAAATGAAATAGTTACTTAATAACTTTAATAGATACTAAAAAATATTAATTTAATACTCACATTTTCTGGTTTAATACATTCTGTCCCTGAGGTTGAAAATCACTCACTATAATACGTATTTGTCGAACATTTTCAATGAAAAGCTCGAGCTGGGTTTCTAAGCTTTCTAAGGGAGTCGACGACATCTTTACTATTGACATGAATCCTTCACCCCCTCTATTACGTACGTAGGTTGATACTACTGCCACATGTAGTCAGTGTATGTATTGAGCACTAATTATAATATACAATTACCGGATTTAGGCTCTACATCAGTTAACATAATCTTTTGTAAACAAATATAATGCAATTATGCTCATCTAAATCAAGTAAATGTAAAGAATAATTGCAATTCTTATGATTATAAATTTATTATGAAATATTAAAAATAATAATCATAGCAATGATGAGACACGTAATTATAGGTAAGCAATCTATGTTTCAATTAGTAAATAACAAATGCTCATAAATTGAAATGTTTTTTTTTTTTAATTATTTAAAGTAAATCATCACCAAATATTACATAATAATTATATTTATAGCCGGAGGGACTGGATTTATTGGATCAGCTCTTGTACATGTTTTAAAAACAGAAGGGTTTTCAGTAACAGTTTTAACTCGAAAACAAAAAAAAAATCCACAAGAAATGTCATGGGTATATACAATTTTATAAATAATATTTCATTATTTTTTATAAAAAAGAGATAAATAAAAAATACTTCTTTAATCTTTTGATGATTTAGCTTATGTAATCTGCATTTATAAATCTGCATAATTCCTTTTGATAGACTGAAGTTAATGTAAAAGGACTTCCAAAAACTGCAACAGATATAATAAATGTAGCTGGTCAAAATGTACTAGATTTACGTTCACGCTGGACTCCAAAATTTAGAGAAGCCGTTTGGCAGAGTAGAGTTAATACAAATCGAATACTTGCAGAGGCAATTCCTAATTCAAATGTAAAATGTTTCATTTCAATTTCTGGAGTAGCATATTACCCACCAAGTGATACAAGGGAGTATACTGAATATGATAAATGTGAAAAATATGACTTTTTCTCAGGTAAAAATAACTATTGATGAAATATTAACACATTGATTTGAACAATACATTCATAAAAATAATACTCCAAAGACTTGGTACACAATTGGGAAGCGGCGTCAGAACTTCCATCCACTAGTAACTGCAGAAAAGTAATTATTAGATCTGGAGTAGTTCTCGGAAGGAAAGGAGGAATAATTCAACAAACGTACTGGCCTTTTTTCTTTGGATTAGGCGGTCCTCTAGGAGATGGTAGCCAGTATATGCCTTGGATTCACATAGATGATTTGGCAGAATTATTTCTTTTTGCTTTAAATGAGGAGAAGGTCGATGGTATATTAAATGGCGTTTCAACTCAGGTATATAATAATAAACAAACATTCATTTTCTTCAGATCCAATAAATATCATTTTTCTAGATGATCACCAATAAACAATTTGCCACTGCCTTTGCAAAATCATTGCATAGACCGGCAATTATTCCACAACCAAAATTTCTTTTGGATCTTCTTTTCGGAAAAGAACGAGCTACGGTATTGATACTCATAGAACTTATTTTTGATTTATTATATTTCAAATAATTATCAATCGAAATGTGATGATTTTTTTTCTGATTTCTAGATTGTTACGGGAAGTCAAAAGATATTTCCTAAACGACCATTAGAATATGGTTTCAAGTACGGTTACTCAGATATCAATGATGCATGTCGACAGTTTGCCAGTTTAATGTATACAGATCCTTACTGAAGGGATTATTATTTAGTAAAATAATAAATACATTGCTGTATTTATTTAAAAATTAGAAACTTTATTATTTTTAATTGTATTTTTTTGTATGATAATAATAAGAATTATACGGCTTGTTATAAACGAATTATTTATTAAAATTTATCTAATTATCAAAAGTAGAACAGTTGTAATATAGATACCGCAGTCGATAAATTGAAACAGTATATTGAGTAGTATTCGTTGCATCAACTAGTGCAGTGCTTGTCAATATTTTCACAGTAGTACTGTGTTTATAAGCTGTAATATTTATTATAAAAAATTTATAATTTTTATTACCAAAATAATTATTATTGAAAAAACTTAATAGTTAGAGCTTAAATATGCTCTTTATAAGAATAGTTAATAAACATACATGACAGATGACTTCCTAACCTCAACTATTATAATCTTCCCATAAATTTTAATTTTTCGAATCAATTCAAAAATATTTCACATTTGATTAAAATATTTTTTCAAATCATGATTAAGGCAATTTTAGTATTTAATAATCATGGAAAGCCACGTTTATCGAAATTTTATCATTATTTCGTGAGTATAATTTATCAGTATCACCACTTAATCCCATAATGATCTAAGAGTATGTATTACTTCAAGCTATTTTATTAATTTTTTAGAATGAAGATATGCAACAACAAATAATAAAAGAAACATTTCAACTGGTATCTAAAAGAGATGATAACGTGTGCAATTTCTTAGAAGGTGGAAGTTTGATTGGTGGATCAGATTATAAATTGATTTATAGGCACTATGCCACACTTTACTTCGTATTTTGTGTTGATAGTTCAGAGTCTGAACTGGGAATATTAGATTTAATCCAAGTTTTTGTAGAAACGCTAGATAAATGTTTTGAGAATGTTTGTGAACTAGATCTCATCTTCCACGTAGACAAAGTGCATTACATTCTCAATGAATTAGTGATGGGTGGAATGGTTCTAGAAACTAATATGACTGAGATACTTACAAGGATCGAGGACCAAAATAAATTAGAAAAACAAGAGGTAAGATATTTTATTAAATTGTATTTACATTTATTGCATTTCTATTATCATTTTGTATTTCTTTCAAAATTTCTTGAAATAAATTTTTCACTATATATTTACTTATTAATTTATTATACTTGTTAAAGGTCCTAGACCTAATACAAAGAGAAATTTTTTACTAGAATCATTATTTATTATTTTCATTATATATAGCATTAACTTCATTTTATTCCAATATTAAATTCAATATAAATGTGTATATAACAATTGATTCTAAACTACTTAGATTTTTAATACTATTCTCATGCCTTCTAGGAATTAAACAAATCTAGAATTCCTAATCTTCCTCAATCAGTTGTAGTTCCAGGCTCTTCTCTTTAAATTTAATCACTGCTGGAACAAAGATCTGATATTCTATTGAAAATTCTATTTGTTGTGTCAGATTGATTGAAAAATATTTAAAGCATTTCTAATTTTTTCGAACTGTATATAAAGTTTAGTCATCAATATATTTTTTGCATTTATATTTCTTTAAAGTTTCATATGACTTTTTTTATATCGATTAAAAACTTTTTTGAAGCTCAATATTATATTTTTATACGTCGAGAAACAATGTATCATTCAACAAATAGTCTCTAATAAAATTGGAATATTCTTCTAAATTTTTGTATATTCTAAATTTGCTCTTCTCTCCTTACCTTCTTTTCCTTTAATCTTTGAATCTTTATATTACAAAAAAAATCTTCATACTGTTTTTGTAATTTTTAAAATAATTAGAGAACAATTATTACTTATAATATTGTTATTCAGGCGGGAATTACAGCAGCCCCAGCAAGAGCTGTCTCTGCAGTGAAAAACATGAACATTCCACAGCAAATTAAGGATATGAAGTTACCCGATTTACCACAAGCTATAAAAGACTTGAAATTCTGACCAGCAATATCATCTTTAGAACCTCGCTGACGGAATATTTCTAGAGAATGTGCAATCAATTTAAAATATGAAATCTATTTACCTACAATACCATTATTTATATTTTGATAAATGTAATCAAATCATACGTTTTCTTTATCAAATGATTTAACAAGACGATCGACTTCACATTTATAATTAATATAATATTATTAGACAACATTTATAAATAATAATATTAATCCATTCAGTACAACCTCTGATTATTATGATTGTAAATAAATATACATATATAAAACAGAATTATAAAAGAATTAAAGAGAATAATAAATAAATAAATTATGAAGAAAAAGTAAAGTTAAGTAAAGAAACTATAATTGTAATTATTATGATTAATCAAATAATTATAAGTCGAAAATTATTTCATATTTTATTAAAGATAGATCAGTCAAGGGTAAATAATGAATGAAATAAATATAAATAGTTAATTTTAATTGAATGATTGGAATGATTACTCCTACATGAAATAAAAAAATAATTCACTCTTTGTAATAAGTACGCCTACGGATTATTAAGAAAATCTATAATATTTTTTATGAGAAAGATTTCTAATGATTTATTTATCAAAATAAACTAAAAAATAAAAACATTGTTCTTAATATAAGTCTTTGTTATTTACAACAAAAATTATTCATTTTTAAGTGATGTCCAAATATAACCGGTTCCTGTTTCTGTAAGTACAGGTGGATAAGGAGTATTTTTGAGCTTAAAATAATCAGATGGAGCGTGCATTACAAATTCCATACATTCTAGTTTGCGTGGTAAATCTTCTTCAGGGCCAATTATGTAGGTTTCTGGGCTAAACTCTTCATCTGGAGGAGGACTGGAAATTAAATTTGTTCCATTGAATTCACAATTAGGTGACTGATACTCTACTCAAGTTTAGAATACCAATGGAATCCGTGACAAACCTTTCAGTCGTGGGCAAAAGCCATGTTAAAGCAGCACTTTTTTCACAGTACTGATCAGTTAGAAGACCTCTGATTTGAGCATAATAAATTCCTCCATCAACATCTCTTACAGAAACGATGTCACCAACTTGAAAATATGATCCTTTATAAAATACAAAATTACTCGTGACGGGGGTCGCAACTGCTGAAGGTGCTTTAATCGGTTGCTAAACACAATGATTTTTATAATTTGTTTGTAGACAATTTATTTTTATATAAACGTAGGTAATTTCATCTTACTTGTTTCTTAAAAATATGTCTTCGACCTTTCCCTTTGGGAACAACTTTCATAGAAATATTTGTTTTAGATGGCTTACAGTATCGAGTAATTCTAGTACTTTTACGCGCTGGTTTAGACAACCCATTCCTATCCTCCTCATCATTTTTTTTTGAAGAATCACTGGCATTTCTTTCATCCTCTAAACAGTTATTACACAAATTTCCCAAATCTGTTGCGTGCCATAAAAGACTTTCAAGAACTCCACATTTCACACATTCAGGTTTCACTCCTAAAGGCATTATGTTTTGTAATGTCCGCACAAATTATTAATTTATATCGTATGACAACACTTGTAAACGTACAGAATTGGCATCTTTTGTATCATCATATTAAAACTTCATTCAAAAAAAATACAATTTCATTTATTTTTCCAGAATGTAAACATGACTTGATATGGAAATCGAGTGATAAAGTAAAGTAAGGTTAGATGGAAACTGGAACATGTTTCATTTGTCATATTGGCAAGTAATAAAATTGGCAGTCCTGAAGAACGAAGTTAGATTGGAAAGTTTAAAATTGTAAACAACATGAAATTGTTGATCAAATAATGGTGTAGTAATGTAAAATGATTGACTTATAAGCTTTGAATATTCTATAATTAATAACATGCTTTTACATGCATTAGTATCGTCTGGATATTTAGTATTTGGGTCAGGTTATAATATTTATCGTCTCATTAATTATTCAGTCATCAAATATTCCAGAATTTTACCTCAATTTGTTTATGCTTCATTAGGCATTGCATCAATTAGTGCTAGATCACTTCAAAACTTAGTCTACAATTTATTATGGAAACGTTATCGTAAGTAAAATAAAAATATTTGTTTACTTTTAAAAATATAAAAACGTACAATAAGCTTTATGTACTTTTCTCCAGCTATAGATCCTATTTTAGCTGAAGAAGAACAATATAATAAAAATAATAATAATTTTATCAACTGGGGGTTAAGGACTCTTGGTTTTAGTTTGATTTTTCATGCATTATTAGTAAATTATAAAATTAGCATTACTGGTTCAATTGTTCTTATTTTATTAGTGACGTCAGAAGTGATAAATTTTCTTAAAAAAAAGTTGCCCATACAACTTTTACTTGAAAGATTAATTTCAACGACTAACAATCGAAGATTGGCGTCATTTGTAAAAATTGATTTCGTTCCTTATTTTTGGATTATATCTACTGAATTATTTGGGTAATCCATTTAATTTATCTCTACTCCTTTATTACATGTATTATCATTGAAAGATAAATTATATATTTATAGGTTAATTGTAAGTAACAATTACATACGCGCAGCAAATTTTCCATTCAGCTTAGCAGCTTTAACTTATCGTCCACCTGAAGGATTTAATCACGAATGGTCTGTTAGGTGTGCAATGAACGATTATATGATGTTAGCTTATACTATTCTCGTTACTGAAGCATTTTGTCAATCTCAAATTGATTAAAACATTTATAAGGATTTAATGAACTTATGATTAAAATAAGTACAACCTTTAATTTTTAAAATGATGTATTAATTAACTATTTAAGACATTATGACAAAGAAGTTATTCATAGATTCATTAAAATGAAAATTTCCCGAGTCTTTTTCGTTGTTGATTCGAACACTTCTTTTTCTATAAATATTAGTTCTTATGAATTAATCATGATTATAATTTGATATAAAATTGATTAGTTATGTAATGGAATCGCAGCACCAAATTTTTTTATCTTAAGGCTACGATTAATATTTTATAACTCAATTGTCATTACAAAGTATCATCAACCATACACTGTACAATATAGATTCACTCACTTAAATTATAATTTCATTAATTATCATATCACATAATTAATTAATCTAAATATTGCATATGAGTAGAAGGTAGTACAAGTTGATTATTTATGACTTTTTTCATTACAATTAATTCAGTAAAACATCTCATTCTCATTGGACTCTCCAATTAAATACAATAATATAATTAGCTAATTATATAAAATGAAATAATTTTCATTAAATTACAAAATTTACTAATATTTTTGAAAGTTTAATTCTGTCTTTATGGTTGTTGGAAAATAAGGAAACTTATTTTCACAAAATCTCTTACATTTGAGAGTTTGATTCACGCCACGTATTTCCACCCATGGGCTGCATTCGTAAACTGTTTCGTGGACTTTCTTCGCTATCATAGCCTACATTTACATGTCCAGTATCAGCAAAAACATCTTTGACTGATATTTGACTACTTCGCGTGGGTCGTGGCTGGATTCCTAATGGGTTTCCAGCAACACCATAAATATTGTTGGCTCCTAAAGTTTGCATTTGAGATTTTCTTCGTAAAGCCATGATACTATTTCGACGGCCTTCAAATGCTTTAAATGCTTTTGTTGATCGACGCATTGATATATTTCTTGGCAACCCTAAATAGATATGAAATATTACTCGATAAGTTACCTAATAAATTCATAAACATGAAATTAATCTCATTGAATAAATTCATACCATTTCCTTCAGCCATACTGAAGAAACGCTGCCGGAATGCAACATCGAGTGTATTGATGGCTTGTGTTTTTCTTCTGCTTTTTTCTAAATTTCTGATTGTTTTTCTTCGTCCAGGTCCGCTTCCACTGCCTTCTTCATAATCTCCTTCCATTCCATCCAGACGCTGCAAATCTCGGACTATTTCTACAGCATGTTTTGATAGCAAAGCTTCTTCCGAAAGCTCCTTAGTCTGTAAAAAATATAGAAAATGAATAATCGTCATTATCATTCCATTTATGCTTGTTAAAAAAGCTATTTTATTGACCTTTTTACAACAGTACCAATCCAAAACAGTACTGGCAAGAATATGTGCAAATGTTCCAAATCGATGGAACAACATAGCAGTAAACTGGATGACCAAAATAAGAGCGAAGAAGAAAACGAAAACTAAACCTATCGGCTCCAACTGTAGATATTCTTTTGTAATGAGTACCTAGAATCATCATCATATAAATATTTAACATTGATTTTAAAAAACATAGGTAAAAAAGTAGTAACACTGAGATAAAAATATATTTATTACCAATCATTAAACTTTAATAGAATATATTAGAATTAAAACATTAATAGAAAGTTAGATTTTTAATAGATTAAGTTAAAAATTATAATTATCAATTTTTATCTCAATGTTGAACACATAAATGATATATTATTTACAAAGAATGATAATGCATATTTATAAAGCATTATGTTATTTTTTAAATCACATACACACATATATGCTTCAATTTCGTATTTTTACCGCTGAATTGAGTTCTTTTTATCAATAATTCATAATCACATCACCATTAGACACAAAATAGGGAACCCAGGAGTAAGATTCCTCATTCTTCTTCGTGCCCAAATTAAAAAGTCAATGCAGTTTTGTGAGACTGCAACCATGTGAGATTAGTTCATTCACATATCAGTGAAAAAAAAAATTGATTCATATTATGAGAAAGTGTGGAATGTTAGATGCATTCCAATAAGTTGCTTCATATGCATTCGAGTTGTTTACAGATTGGAAATATTATAGTTATCGTGATTTCATTATATAGGATGTATTTATAGGGGGAATTCCGAATATAAGTTAGAATTTGATGTTTTATGATGTTTCATCGTTAAATTGAAGAACTTCGTGCCAATTTTCACCTCACTTAGTTAGTTATTTAAACTGTAAGTGTGTTGGTGTCTAATTAGAAGAAAAAGATATATAAGAGAAGGAATTAAACTTAACCAATTGTTTTAATTTAAGAAAAAAAAATAGTTAAAATTGAAATTTCACTGAGAGGCCGGGTTGCCGGTACCTCTGAAGTTTCCTTAATGAAGGTGATGTTCGTCTTGACTCCCAGCGGCCACACAACGTGTAATTGATCTTTGTTCAATTGAAGTAAAAATACGATCAGCACAAACAGCGCATTGAACATTAAAAATGCAAACACACTTTTGTTCCGTAGCTCAATTAAGTCCGCGGCGATCCTGGCCTATTTTATTTCGTTGATAAAAAAAAGCAACAGACAAACAAAAACAAAATACGAATTAGTTAAATAATAGAAAAGCCCCGCTAGTGTCTTCGTACTTTTCCATCGTTGGTTTGACCTAATAGTTCAGTAAAAGTAGACGTTTTGATAGGATTCATACTAGGTAAATATATATCAAGAGATGTTAAAGTATTTGACAATAGCGGAGCGGTATTTACCTCTTGTGAATTAGCATTATAGGTGATATTGGTCTTCACACCAAAGGGCCATTTGACATGGAGTAAGTCTTTGTTTAATTGAAGGAGGAAGACGATGAGGACGAAGAGTGCATTCATCATAAAGAATGCGAACACACTCTGGTCTCGCAAATCCTTTAGGTCTTTTGCTATTCTTGCCTGATATCAGCATTAAATTGTTAAAAAAATTTGGCAAAGCTTTTTAATCCTTAATTTTATAGTTAACTATATAAATTACTAGTTGGATAATTTTTCAAAAATTTTTAACAAAGAATGGAATTTTTTTGCATCTATTTAAATTCTACACGCTATAAATTAAGGATTAAACATTGAGTTTTATTCAAACTCAAATAGCTTTATAATAAAAAAAATATTAAAAAAACATTTTAACCACTCATATGACATTTTACCTTCTCAGCTTTATCTTCATCGATAGGATAAAGATATTTCTCCAATAAATCTTTCCAGAACATTTCTTCTTGCATTGACAGTACATCAATTTCACCTTTCTTGAGACCTTCATCATTCAACCAATACGGACGATCATTGAAATTATCTCGAGGCGGTTCATTAGGTTGACTAGCTTCTGTTTCAGCTTCACTTTCAGATCCAGATGCATGACGACCTTCTTCTTCGATAGGTCCAAGGTGATCTACTCGAGAACTTGTAGATGATGCTCGTCTTCTGCCTGATGAGTGGCCATGAGGATCCACAGTTCTAAAAAAAAATTATTTTCAACTTCAGACTTCTTGAATACTTCTTCTTTATCAGATTATGGCCTTCAATTACCTCTCGATATTTTCCAAACGTTTTCCCAGTTGTTCAAGAGATTCAGCGATGGCAACAAGCTGTTGTTTTTCGTCAGAAGGTTTACCATGTGTACATAGAATGCACTTGAACAATCCTGCTAGTGATATTTCAATAGAACCTTGATCATCATCATTATTTCCAGCACCATTTTGAAGGAATCCAAGAAGTGATTTTTGTTTCGCTTTTCTTTTTGCCTCTTCAGCTTCTTTTTTCTCTTGTTCAAGCTCCTATTATTTTCCATTTAATTTAATTAATTATAAATTAATCATTCAACTGATAAGTTAATAAAGTATTAATCGTGAAAATGATATATTACATAATAATCAGCTCAAGCAATAAATTGAATAAATCTTTATTTACCCTAATACTTTTTTTAGTTTTCACTTCCCTCGTGCCCCAAGTAATGTTATTCAAATTGATAAGAGAATACATAATTAAGATTGCATACATTGAAGGAACTGAAATGTAATAAATTAAGCCATATAATAGGCATCCAATTTCTCTAGGATGTAATAATCCACTGATGACTATTTGAGCTGTTACTAATAGTAAAAATATAGTTGTAGGAGCTAACCATCCATCTTCAACGATGTTTATTGATATTGCTGTTATCACTGCTACCATGACTAGTGCATAAAATATACTAACAAAACCCGCAACTATAACCTGTTGAGATCGTGAATTGAATTCATGCATTAATTACTGTGAAAGATATTTTTTATTTCACCATAACCACTACAGACACCATTAAAGCTTAAGCAATGAATTGAAAACTTGTCTTGACTTTGTTCCCAAATGTTAAGGGTTAATTTATTATTTATTTCCATTCCATGATTATTTTTACGGACCTTCTTTGTTTTCTTGACTTGGACTTCTCGTGTTCCCCATGATACAACATTTAAATTAATGATGGAATAAAGAATAAGAAGCAAGTACATCGAAGGAATGGATAACAAATAAATGATTCCAGGTACGATACACCAAAATTCTTGAGGATGAAGACAAGCTGCTATGAAGAATGAACTAGACAATGATATCAAAAATATTGCTGAAGGAGAACCTATTCCGTCCTCGCCAAGTTGAAGAGCTGTACCAACTATTACAGCCATCATCACCATAGCATATATTGTCGACAATATTTGAGCACATAAAAGCTAAAAAGAAACAGGAAACAAATCGTCACTGTCATTATTGAACATCACTTGACATTTAAATTTGATGATTACAAAAAGCAATAGACGTCACTCAAAAAATTATTTGAATTTAACTTACCTGTATATTTGCTTTACATGTGAAACAAACTATCATGAAAATTAAAATAGGAATAATATTGTAATAAAAACTGGTCCAATTATCAATTTTAAAGGCAGCCACAAAAGCTCCCACCAACATAAGAAAAATCGTTCCAGGTCCAAGAATCGTACCACCTATTTTATTTAGTATTTGGTTATTAGCATTTGAAGAAAAACATATATTCAAAATTATTAATAACTTACCCATAAGCAAAATCTGATAGGAAATATAAGGAAGAGAAATATTATCATTGATTCTAATAGTCTTCTTTGCATCCATTAGTAGATCCATAATATTGGCAATGGTTGAAGGTACCCAACGTCTTCGTTGATTATAAAATTCATTAAATCCTTCAGGGGCATGAGTATAAGCATCACTAGCAGCAGAATATTCGACTCGATAACCTCTTTGTAGTAAAAGAGTACAAAGCCATCGATCTTCTCCCTGATCATATTGCACATAATGTCTGGCATCCTCAGATTTTGTTGTATATTTTTTCATAACATTGTCATCCATTAAAGCTTTACCACGGAAAAGAGAAAAACATCCAGGACTACAAAGTACACAACCGATCATGTGTTCAGTGGCTTTTTGAAGCCAATGACCAATAGCATACTCAAACATTTGATACCAAACCATAGGGCCTGAGCCTACCGGATGAATACGACCACAGGCAGCTCCAAGATTTTTATTTTTCTTCATCAAATCTACAAGAAGTTTTACTGCAGCTGGTTGGAAATCAATGTCACCATCTAGAGTAAGGAGGAAAGTATTTTCGGCAATTATTTCTTTACGATCCACACTGATAGGAAGTTCCATTAAACGATGTCCAAGTAAATAATACATGTACATGACTTGGCTCCATCGTTTTCGATGACGGATCTTGTTTTTGTCTTTCAAATGAGCAATCATTTTAGTTTTTCCTGGCAAAGTCCAAACCAAACGTCCTCCATATGGTGTTGGATACTTTTTCGGAGCTCGGACATGCATTCGCGTTTGATGAACATCTGATGCAGCTTCATCAAGAGTTCCTACTAACAGTTTAACGAATCTATTGACTTGAGTCTCGTTTTCATCGTGATCTGCCAGTTCAAAAGCGTCGTCAAAGAAAATATGAGTTTCGAATTCATAATAATCAGGGTCAACGACTTTTAAATATTTCTGAGCGACACGTCGAGCACATTGATCTTCGTCCAAACGAAGAATACTCTTCAAGAATTCAATCATTTCTTCTTTGTTCTCATGCCACATCGTAGCACATGCGTAAATCCTGGTAACATGGTCACTACTTTTTACTGCCGATGGTGGTGTTGTTGATCCATCTGTTTGTTCATAAATTGTTTCATAATCACCATCGCCCTTTTCACGTTCAATTTCTGCTAAATCTTCAACTTTTACTTCTGGCTGATCATCTCTTTTTCTATTCAATCCCATTGATTGGTCAATAAGTAAAGAATCATACATCGGAACAACGAAGAGTTTCTCTGTTGCTGCAAGTCTCTCACATTTTGGTGTCCAAATGTGAAGAGTGATCCAAGTTTGTGAGAGTAGCCATAGAAGCCAAACCCAACCATATTTTTTCGATATAAAGTCATTAAGGAAAGAAACCGGAGGCGATTCGAAAAACAGGTAGTTTGGAATTGTGCCATCAAAGAAACATGGATCACCATTGCGCAAACCACAAGCAGTTATCAATAGTGAAATCAGTACTGGAATAGTCAGATTTACTGGAAATGCGTAACTGAAGCCTTGGATTAAAATTTTGCAGGCAAATTTACCTAAAAAATACATTTATTTAATAGTCACGTTCATAAATAACGGTCATGGTAAAAATTCAATCAGAATATAATATCTAACCGAAAATATATGCAAAATACGATCCAAATATTTGCAGTAATAATACATAAACTGCTGCATTCATATCAGTAAATACTTGCTCAGTATCTCCATTGGAAATAATTTCTGATAAATCGGGAACAGCTCCACCAGTAACGGTTGGATTTTCTCTGATTGATGCATTGATCGTAATTTCCCGTCTGCTAAATGCTGTTCCAAACATAGTAAAAATATGTCCAACATTTTCACCTTTCACATACAAAACTACTAATGAACTGATTATAAAAATAATTATTTTACAGACTGAGATAAACATGTACGTGAAGTATCTCGTCAGTCTTAGTTCTTTTTTCACTCTTCCAAGTGTCCGTACAAATCCTGAAATTTAAATTTAAATCAAGTTGTGATCATTAAAGTAATTAACAATAATTATAGTAATTAAAGTCAATCAATTAAATACAATAATCGATGAATTACCAATTGGACTTTGTAGTGACACATAATTTTCCCACCAGCCGCAGGAAGTAAGAATTAATGCTGCAGGCATCAGCCAAATGCTGGGTTTAGAACTGTCAAGTAATGCCCAGACGACAAATCCACTTGCTTGGGCAGCTAAAGCTGCGAGATCAACAAGTACAAGAACAAATCTTCTTGATTCATCTTTGCTCTTATATCTGGATAATAAACCGAGTAATCCTGGTACAAAGCACACGCAGTTGGTAATCATGGCGCCTTGGATGACGTCTAGCTCTGGCAAAACCGCAAAGAAAAGCAAAGCCAAACCCACAACATGGAAAGTCTCCATAATAAATACTAGAAGAAAATGTGACGACCAGGGTTTCTTGCATGACTTGAAGACACACATTCGAATACTTCGAAAAAGTGTTCCAAATTCAGGAACAACGTAAGCAATAATTATACACCAGATCCATAAAATTCGTTCTTCTTCAGGAGGTGTGAACCAATAACGCTTATCACGTTGAAATCTTCGATTACAATACTCTACATGTCGATTTTGTTTAAGTTGGGAAGTCATGAACAGTACTGATCCTTTAGCAATCACACCGCTACCAAGTACTATTATAAATACTACCAAATATACGATTACTTTGGTTATTTGGACTGTTGCATCGAGGCATTTTTGATTTGCCATCGATCCTGAATCAATTTTTGGAGGTGGATCTCTGAACACATCCCATGCTTTTGTCTCCGGAACTGTTCTTTGACTGGAAAAAAAATCAGTTTATAAGACTAATCTTTGTTATAATTAATTTGTTGATTCGTTGAAGATTTATTTTACCTTCCTGCATAGTCTTGGTTTAATGGTGTGGTATCATCATCAGAAAAGTCTCCAGGATCAGCGCCCGCACCTGGCATCATTCCATTTTGATGATTTTTAGCCATTTCGTATAACTTTTCTGAAAAATTTTAATTATTTGTATTCTAGAGAGTCCACTATTTCAATCACTAATCCTTTAATATTAGCAAAATTATTTTATATCTAGAAAAAGGAGTGATTGATAACTGAAACTATTATGATTCATTTATAGAAAAGAATGATTTATTGCAATATTGTTATTTAATTGAAGTAATTTATGAAGAAATTGTTTGCTGCATTTCATTACCAATTATTGACAAGATGATTACTACACCAAGTGAGATAAAACTAGAATTTTTAGATTAGAAATCATTGAAAGGTTGATTGATAGCATGAGGACAGTAAGTGGAAATGATTAAGTGATAATAGGAATGGATTAAACTCTCAATCCACATATGAAAAATTCAAAGAGCAGCATATCTTTGTTCTGCTGGCGGATATAAGATAGGGTGGGGAAAGAGTGAGAGATTTTTAACTGGTTCTTTGGTTCTTGAAAGTGAAAGGCTCTGAAACACGGCAGAAATAACATATAATAGCAGCAAGGACGTCCACTGCAACTTCGTGGTGTGTCAGTAAGCCCCCTCAAGGCTCGTCATGATATCTATTCTCTCTCTACTTTTATCACCCGCATAATTTCATTTTTCACTTGAATTCACTAACCAAATATGATTCAATCTGCATCAAATTAATTAATAATTATCTTATTATATAAAAGTGTCCTTTTAAGGATATAGAATTTATCAATGAAAGAAAAGTTAGAATTTTTGTAATTAATGGAAACTTGATGATGTGAATTAACTTTTGATGAACCAAAGATGACTTATGAAGTGAATACTCTGAGGGTCGAGTCATACTTTAGTATATCTGTCATTTCTCGTGGGAAACAAATTTCTTATTAGTTATTTGATGAATAGAAAATAACATTTATAATAGATTACATATACGTATGGACATAAATATCAGGGCTTGAAATTCCTTTGTTATTATAACGGTAACGCAAAGAAGAAAGCGAAAGTATATCAGTGAGTTTTAAGTTTCATTCTTTTTCTCCCTCTTTATGTCTTACTTTTTTATCTTGCTTATTTCTCAATAAATTTTTTCAAAGAAATTTTTAAACAATGTTTCTAGATCACGAATTGAATTCAATTTAGAGTGACCAATATTGCAAGAATAATATTCAATAATTGTGAAATTTTTCTTGAAACATTTTATATAAATTATTTATTTAACTTGATCTTATAAAATCATTGAGTTAATCAATATTAAAAATGCAAATATATTTTTTTCAAAACTGGTTTTCATTTGTATACTTTCATTTTAAGTAGTGACAAATATTTTTTTAAACCCAATGACAGAACTTGATACAAATAACATTCACGCAAAGATTAACTTACAAAACTAAAGAGTAGATAGAGTGTTGAGTGATTCAATAATAGATGAATAACGTGATAAAGAATTCAATAGTTGCGAAAATTTTTACAAGCATTTGGACTATTTTAAGTGATATCATCAATAGTATTACTCAATCACGTTCTCCAACCGGATATTAAAAATAGCCGATTGAAAAAATTTTATTATGAAACTTTTTAACAAAACAGAGAAATATGACAAATCTAAAATGAATACATAATATAGGAATTAATTTGTGATAAACATTATATTTCAATTAATGAATCTCAAACCCCTGGTATAGTTCGAGGTAAGGAAATGTTTAATTTTCCATTGACCTTCTAGATACATGGACAATTAAACTGATAATATTTTACGGAAGTATCATACAGAAGATAAAAGTTTTTTTACTCAGGCATAGAAAACTACATGTATAGTGCTGATAATGCATTGATGATTTGATATGATAAGAACAGTAATGGTGCTTTTTTTTGCTACAATGATGATAATAATTATTATCTTACATGATCAGCATTAATGAAAAGTGATACACTATTGCACACAATTATTGAAGCTTTCATTAAATATCAATAACAAATAGTTGCAAAATTTTCACAAAAATGATCGTTGACGTCGTTAAAATCAATCAAATGAAATTAGAAGGCATAATTCCTAATGACATTCAGTTTTTAATTGAAATATTCGAAATACATTAATCATATTTAATTATACTAATCATAGTTAATTTTTTAAAATATTATTCAGGAATTTCACTAGTTAATAATAAGCATTATAATTCAATTATGTCAACAATGTATTTTAATGAAGAAGAAAATTGATTTGAAAATCTAAGTTAATGTAATTAAATAAATTTACCGTATGTTTATTATCATTTAAATGACAATTTTGGAGTTTATAAGAAATATCACGTGTCTTCCGGTAACGAGTGAAAGGTGTAGCTCTGAGAAAAGAAGCGCAATGTAGGAAAAAATTGTGTTATGGTCTATTTTAATTTAAAAAGCTGTATTCAAATTAATGTGTATACTTATATCGAAACGAGAAAGCGGTAAGTTACAGCCTGAATCTAGTTTAATGATTTAATACGTTACTATATAATAATTGAGCCGTATTAAATAGTTTATAACAACATGTATTAAATATAAAAATTTTTTTATTATTTATTATTTCTACACATACTCATCTATAAAATTAGTTTACATTTATGCAATTTTTCATTTCTATTCTATTATATTCAATTAAATTCATTCATACTACATAAAAGTTCTCAAGACATACAATTTTATATTAAAAACATCAATGATTTCATTTTCTCTCTATTAATTAAACTATGTCATGAATATATTGAAAAATAATACCGAAATTCAAAGCCATATACAATAGTTTTAATACATTTAACCATTTAAAAATATATAAATTTATATATAGCAATGGAATTTTTATTTCTCTTCCTTGAGAAATCATTAAACTATCATACTGACAGAACTGACATGTGCATTATACCTAACGGTAAAGTAAAAGTTTAGATTTGTCCTCGATTAGTATATATTATTGAAGTTTCATTGAACCCGAAAAATATTTAATTAATTACTTACTTCAATCTTTCTCCAACGAAAAATCGTTCTTTGTCCTTAGAGTAATTTCCACACTCCTTTCTAAGGATTACACAATTATTTTAGCTAAACCATTTGTGCTTTGACTTTTCCACTCGTTTATTCCAAACTGATCTCAACGACGTCTTATCCTCGTCTTGATGACAAGACAAGTGAAAAAAAAATTATTTAAACATTTTTAAAATCAATTTTTCATTATTGAACTTATGGATTGATAGACAAGGACCAATCTTCACATATAGACAAATATTACTGTGGTATGTATCTTGAACTAGCAGTCACCAGCGCGCGGAGGTGAAAGCCGAGTAGAAGGAGAAGAACGTTACCACGCGACTGGCCGATCCAACACCAGTAGAAAAAGAATAAATGGTTTCGTCCCTTCCCGGTGTGCTTGACTTGTACCACGTTACTTTCACAAGAGTCTTTCAGGTCGTGGTGAGGCTTACGTTTACAGTTGGACTTAAGAATCTTTCTTGAGGCTATATTATGTGTTGTAGGGTCCAACTTCAACCTACTCAAACCACGTTTCTCGTGGTCTGGGTGCGGTGACGTCAAAAGAAAAATCTGTTTCACTACGTGGGTGCATAGAGATAAAAAGGAAGGGAGACCAGTATCCTATCGTCGCATATCCTCTTTGAGGGTCGACGATCTCTTGTAATGCGATTCTTCAAGGTCCTTTAAAATCCTTGAGTGTGAATCCTCAACCAGGACCTTAGTATTCGCTGATGCATTCTTGAGTTTTTTTGAAATTTATTTTATTTCCTTTTTATGACATTCTTGCCATACTCAAGCAGCAGAATCATATCAGAATTCGATATTAATTATTGAGTTACTAAACTTAAAAAATTATTCTAAAAAAATTTAATTGTTATTAATTTCATAACAATTTCAAGAATACCTCTTTTTATTTTATCTTAAAAGTTTATTTAAAATATTCTAATTCATAGAATTTCTGATAATAATATAATATTTGCAAAGCAATCAGTAAAAATTTACTGGAGATCATTCTCAATCTTACACATTTTAAATCAATTTTGATTAATAATATTACTAATAGACACTAATGAACATATTGTATATAATTTGCATCTATTAGATGTATTAAGTTTATAGACATAATTCATGTATCTATAAATCAGTCGAAATCATAACATTAAAATTCGCACATTTATTTCACACATTCCAATATTCAGTTGAATTATTGAGTATTATTTTAATAATTTCAATTTTCACGTAATTACGATCGATCTTTCGAAAGATTTAATGATTCATTCGATTCATTCAAGGTTACCGGTTGTTGCAATTTTCGGTACATCATGGGTAAATCAAGTTTTGTAGTAATATCCGGCCTAAGAATACTGGACAATGAATCATCAGGAGCAGCAAAATAACCCGCAGATCGAGCAGATTTGGCAATTTCATTAGCAGTATCTAAATTTTTTTTACGATCCATCAAATCATCTTGTCTACAAGAATCCATTCCAAATGTAGGCTTAATTATATCACTAGCCATAAAATCAGTTTTTCTCTCCATTCCCAAATCTTTTGGAGGTGTTAAAGGATTAACTTTACTCAGAGGATTAAATAAGTTAGCAATATCGCGAGCATATGCAGTCGATGACGCTTTAGTTAATTCACTTAAAGGAAAACCTGACAATTTAGCAAGATCAGCTGGAGAAAAATTAGCAAATTTACTTACATCTGATAGCGGATTCATTTTTAAAGATACACCAGGTAACATTGAGTCTGATGCTAAACTAGATCGTAATTCACTAAAAGGATCATAATCCATTTTCACATTTTTTATAGATACTGTGAGTTCACCAGATCTGAATGTTGGAGAAATATCTGGTTTATCTGTTTTATGATGAGATCTTCCATCTTTTTGAGAATCTTCAGAGCCTTCTTTTTTATCGGAATCTTTAGAAGATGTTGATGGTTGAGTATTAAATGATTTAGGTAAAGATGACATAATATTATTATCTGGTTTGAAAGACATTGGCGTCAAAAAAAGGTTGTTGGCTCCCAATCCAGAGGTAGTTTGTGCTAATGATTCAGATAAACTGAGTGGGGGAAACTGTACAGTAATAAAACCATCTGTCGATCCAGTTTCGTCTTTAGAGCCTGGAAGAATCATTGCTTTGATCACTTCCCAGTAACCAGCATCATTTCCTCGATTACGACCAGGTAATTTTGATGCCAGAGAATTTCGTAAGCGTTCCAAGTACGTTGTTGTATTATTAAAACTGGCTCTAAAATCAATCCCACCTTCACTTCTATAATATTCAATACATTTTTTTATTTCATCAAGTGCGTCTTGTGGTAGAAATAATTCTTGAGATATTGTGTAGCTTAGAAGCATTGGTCTAGGATATTCATGCGGTCGATTTTCAGGCGGTGGCATTGACCAAAAGACGTTGAAATTGGATTCGTAACAATTACCGTCAGCATTATATGGAGCTTTAGAATGGAAAATGAAACCGATTTTTAAGTATAATTTTGTTTCATAAATTTTTAAAAATATCAAAAAAGTTTATCTATTAAACATGCTAAATTAATTGAAAATAGTGAATTATTGAATTCAATAAAGAAATAATAAATTTCAAAATAAAATTAAAAATAATAAAAATACTTACAACAAATTATTCCTACGCAAGGAGTATAACCATTATCACTAGGGCCTTTCATTTTTATTTGATAATCTAATTGATAATCAACATCTCTTAATGATGGAGATGCATGAGATCGAGGATGAGAATGATACCATCCTACTAAAGTAACCCTTTGCCATTCCATAGCTTTTGCTATCTCAGCTTCCACCATACCAGCAGCTGTTTTATCTTTTCCAGCATATCGACAAGGGAAAGCGCTAGTAATTGCTAAATCTTTAATAATAATTATAAAAAATGAATTCATTTATCCTCACTGAAATTTTTTGAATTATTTCATGTTATTTAATGCCTTACTGTGAGAATTTATATCCCAGTGTCCTCCTAAATATCCACAAACTTCTTTATCAGTTAGGTGACAGTGAAGATCAACAATTAGGGCAGCAGTAGTAGAAATTGTCACTAAGAATGGTTGAATTTTTCCAAGAGTACTAAATGATGTTAACTCCACCATAGTACTCATATCCCTATAAGAATAAATATATATATAATATTACAAAACGTTAATTTAAGTAAATATGAGTAATTGATGAGTTTAATATTACATTGCATGACTCCTTATTCCTAAATTTGCATGTTTCACTGGTACTCTAACGATTGTTGTTGGATTGAAAATTTGTTTCTCTATCTTATCATTTTTTTCATCAGCTCCTTCATTAGTAAGTTCCATTTTGTCCATTTTTTAGCTCTAAAATAAAAACAATTTTTAAGAATACATGTTTTTGGTTTTTTTAAATTTTTAACAGAGAGGCTTATAATAGAATTTTGTGTGAAATAAATGATCAATTTCTTATTATCTAATAAAGTAAAACTTACTGAGAAAACTTAGAGGATTTTTATATTTGTTTATAATAAAATACTATAATATTTTTTTCATAAACAATTCATTCGGATTTCTTTAGAATAAACACAACAAAATCAGAGAATACACATTTATATAGAAGTTCCAATTCTTATAAATGCACGAAATTTTATTGAATAATCAGAAAAGAATCGCCAGGTGGTGCAGTTGTGATTGTCAGCTAACTTCAAGTCAGTACACCAACTGGTGGTGGTGATCAGTGATGATAGAGTGAAATAGCAATGTTGCGAATACTATCACTATATAAGTGCAGTTAAAAACATTCTAAATTAACAACAGTTTAAATAATTAATTAAATAATTGGTTAATTTTAAAGTAAGAGAAACTTTTCTCACTTGTTTACCATAAAAATGGCGGAAAAAACTAAAACAATGAACCATGTGAAACATGTTCCAAAAGATGCTCAGGTTATCATGTCAATAATGAAAGACATGGGTATTGTTGATTATGAACCAAAAGTTATTAATCAATTGTTAGAATTCACTTATCGTAAGTATAACTGATAAATTTGATACCTTTATGTTATCAATTATTTAAAATATGTCTACAACTAAAATGATATCAAAAACATTTATGAACATTTTAGGTTATATTACTTGTCTTCTCGACGATAGTAAAGTATTCGCCAACCATGCTAAGAAAAAGCTTATAGACTTAGAGGATGTTAGATTAGCAGTCAAAATGCAATTAGAAAAGACTTTCACCAATCCTCCACCAAGAGATGTTCTTCTAGAGGTAGCAAGAGCTAAAAATAACATACCTCTACCATTTGTAAAGCCAAATAATGGACTCAGATTGCCACCAGATCGTTATTGCTTAAACTCTGCCAACTATAGATTGAAACCTTCAATGAAAAAACCTATTGGAAAGCAAATGCATTCATTAGTTGGGAATAGTTTTATGGGACAATCAAAAGCTAAAATTGACAACACTAAAGGTGGATTGTCAATTGTTAAAAGGCCAGGAACTCTAACAACAGTCGCAAGAACACAAACTATTTCAGTTCCTAAGCCAGTTTTTAAGTTTTCGACGGGTAATTATTTTTTTCTATTTTATTTAAAATTCCTAATGAACTTTTTTTTACCTCTGTTCTCCAGTTCCTTACTCGATTCCCGTCATAATCCCTCGTCGTCCCAACATTTCGAAAATTTTAATCTGTAAGAATTATAATTTTTTTTCTGATGAAAAGTATGTTTATTACAATAAAGATGTATTTTACTGTTTTATTTAGCTGGTACAAGCAGTCCGAGTACACTATTGAATCCAACTGCCAAACCGAAAATACAAATTACAAATAGCCAATCGGCATCAGTTATCAAGATGGAAACTGATGAGAGTTCCAAAAGAAAAAGAGAAGAAGACGACTATGATGTACCGTAAATAGGAACGATATTTTTAATATTTATTATTTTTTATTTATTTTTGTTAATCAAAAATTTCATCACAATATCAATAATACTAAATTTTATCAAAAGCTCGATAAATTATTTAATATGATTCTACGTATTTCTTAATATTATTTTGTTCGTCGGAGTTATTGAAATAATTTTCTTCACGTTGTTCGATACTCAATGATTCCTCTTCATTATCTACGGATTTTTGTTCATCACCAATATCAAATCCTTCATCATCCACGGATTGTTTATCTTCGATTGATGTCACTTCATTAAGTTCATCTATTTTCTCTTCATCTTTTGTAAAACTTTCTTCGAATTCAGAATCATGTTCTATTTCTCTATCAGTTTCTTCTCCATAATCTGCACTGGGAACATGTATATCTAATTTAGGCTGTTCTTCAGCAGTTTTTATGGCTGACGTAGAAGATAAAGGAAGAACTTCAACTGATGTACGTTGAGAAGTTAGTAATGGAGGTTGTGACCCATTAGATAATTGATCTTTTAAATTTTTCGATGTTCTATCTTTACTTCTTTTATCTCCTGCTCGAACACATTTTGGTAAAGGCAAAACTAATTTAAATTCTTCCGGCAATTCATCCATACTATATAATCTGTCAAATCGAATATATTTTTAATAAATGTATAAAATAGAATAATAGCTTTTTACCTGTCAGCAAAGTAAATGCGGCGAATTCGACAGTTGGCATTAATTTGTATTCTTGTCGTTTCTACATAATTAGATTTATATGCTCTTTTTACACAATCTGGAAGATTAAATTGTAGTTGGGCCCATCCACCTCTTAAGCATAAAGGTAGTGTTGTACTGAAGGGTCTGATTGTAACTAATTTTTGAAAATTACTTAGACGAAATCTTCTATGCATACGTTTATCATCTAAGACCTAAATTTTTTTATTACTATTTATATGTAAATACATGTATTTACTATGTAAAAGTAATTTTAATTATAAATTTAGACTTATAGTGATGGATTTAATTACTGTAATTTCAAAAGTAAAGTATCTTCTCATATTTTTTACAATCATGATGCAAAAAGGAAGCTCAATTCCTAATGATGTCTTTGGATCTTTAGGGGTATAAATATAAGTTGTTGAAACATTTGTCCCAGCTATTTCTAACGCTAATGAATTTATTTCTTGATCAGTAACTCTTCTTATAAATCCGTTCTGAACCTAATGGTCAATTATTATTTTTTTTTTTTACAAGTTATTAGTGCTATTATTTTCATTTTATAAAATTCGTTATTTATAATCAATAGAATTATGAGTAAACTAACATGTGTAGACCAGAGTTCAAGAGGTGCTCCTCCACAGCTGTATAAGATCGATAAATATCCTTTTTGGAATTTATTACGAAACATATTCAACAATATGTCAGAATAAATTAAGGAATCTATGACATAAATATATTTACTTAATGAATGCCATGAAGTTAATCGAAAAATACTTGTATAATTTTTCTATTGTTTTATTAATATGATACAATTTTTTCCATGAAAATTTATGATCATTTATGGTTGAATTAATAATAACGATTAGAAAGTTGTATTTAGTAGATGTAAATTTATGATTGTACAAGGAAATGATAATACATTAATAATTATTTTTATCTTAAACAATCTGTAATGAATAATTTGTTGTCTTAGGATTAAGAAAAAGTATCTTTAGTTATAATAAAAAACCTTTAACTTTTTTAATAAGTAATTATTTGTAATATAATAAATTTTTATATAATATTTCAACAAAGTTTTTGATATATTTTTTTATTAATCCTTGATAATTATCTTTCATTTAAAAGTTGTCTTATCCGACGTCTTTCTTTATCCGTAGCAAAATCTGGTACATGTAATGCTTCTTGAGGGAAACCGACATTGAAAAGTCTATCAATCCTGACACTTGCTAATGCGTGAGATTGCATCATTGCCATGTGCATAATTTCTTGATTCATTCGTCGATTAATCTGTTTCTTTAATTTTTGGATTCGTCTTCGACAAACTACATAACTCAATAATTAATAAAAATAAATTTAACATTAATTTATGAAAAAAATCATTATTTCAACTTATTTCCACAGAGAAAATTGAATTTTTTTTTATAATTTTATTCAACTTACTAGGGTAAATTTAGTAGACCAGTATAACTTGGATGAATAGAAACATCACTTCTAAATAATTCTGGATATTGTTTCATTAAATTATTTTTGTATTTTCTTGGCCTCGAATTTTTTTCATTTTCTTCATTGGCTTCTGATTGCGCCAATTTCTCTTTTTTTGAAGCCATTTTTTGTACCTTCTCTTGATGAATCCATTTTTCATTGGAATTTATATGTGTCATAGCAACTTATAGAAAATTGTGATCAAGAAAATTGTCACGAAGAACTGTATTGAATTTAAAAAAAAAAACTAGAAATTTAATATCATCAACAAACAGATATTAAAATTTATCAAGCAACCTAATTATTCAACAGATTTGATTGTAATATATTATAAAAAATAAAATTGTCATTGAATTAATTAATTTTTATGAGAGCAGTTAAAAGTGCGCTCTTGAACTGTGAAAGCGCAAAACTGGGAGCGGTGAATTTGAAATATAGCTCGTGACTCGCGCTCATGGATAGGAAGCATGGTACCGTCTGTTTGTCGATGTCTATTCAGTTAAAAAAAAAGTTAACGAGTATATAAAACGAAGTAAGCTGTTGTGTCACGTACGATTATCGATTTTATTTTTTGTTTGACCTACAATTCAACTTTATTTTGACAAGTTACCCCAAAACTTATTTATAGTTTAATTAATCATCATCACAGCTGCAATTTTGACCAATGAACTAATATAAATAGCATCTAATTCATCATAAAGCCTGTTTATCATTTTGTTAATTCTAAACAATTATTTACGGTCATCGACCAAACGTTTTCTTTGCGTGCAGAGACTAAATAATGCTCAACAGCTGTCTTTCCATTGATTTCAAGCATTTCAACCTTTTTAAGTCCGTGACATTCCCTCGAATACATGTTTATGTTCTCATAGATGAACATGCAAAGACTGGACAGCAATCGAGAGCTTAAATTCATTTTGCGCAAGCTCAGTTTCTGTTTATTTCAATGCGCACACCCTGTTATTACCAAACTACCCTCTATACTTGTTCATATATATGTATATATATTAACGAACTGAAATTGGTCTTATACCCATGCTCCAATTTATTGACATTCTCCAGAGCCAAAGAAATTGAGGCAACAAAAAACTAGTGAAGGTGCGCGGGATCAAGAATAAGCTGAAAAGATCGATGTGAGGAAAAATATCAAGGGGATTTAAAAATTGAGTTGTTGATGAGAATGTTGCGATGTTGAGCATCAGATCCGTTCAGAAGCCTCGCATAGTTCTCCGGACGAAGTTACTTATAGTAAGAACACTCAATTTTTGACAATGAAGAAGTGAAGATTTACTAGAATTTTAAGATTTTATTGCTGATAAAAGGAATTAAATAATATTGAAAATGTATTTAATATTACAACGGTGATAAAATTATTTAAGTCATAGTTTTTTAGTTGTTTTTTTTTCAATATATTGGAAAACATGAAGTGGTGAGGAAATAGAATTTAGTGGATGTTGATGGTTGGGATAAAAATTATACGGTGGTTGACAGTGATCTGGAAAGCAGATATTGGAAAGTTTCAAGTTGAGAGAATTGATGAAGGTGGTTTTTCTTGCACACTTCAAGTAGTAATTGATTGCAATAACATATACATCAAACAATGGCTAAAGAACATATGTACAGGTTGGTCGTAGTTGGATTATTAAGTTTTTAGCTGCTGTAAAAAGTAATTTATTTATTAGTTTTATTTTGGAATTGTTATTTTTAATTAATAAAAGAAGTATATTATTCATCATACGCAAACTTATATTATTATTTATTTGATTTTATGAATGCAAATGCATAATAGTTTTTGTATTGCTGGCATCAAGAAAAAGTTGAAGAAAAAGCTTATAAGAAGAAATGTAACATAGTTACAAAGCATATGCATGAATAAAATAAGTCTTGTTGTGAAAATTGAATTTGTCACGACCGTGGCAAACACCAGCTTATAGATCGGGGCCACATTTTCTCTTACGCAATTCGTTTGCACACGTAGGTTGTTGCAAATCACTAGGTACTTTTTTATTTTTTAATTCAACTTTAATATTATACGGAAACGTAATTGTAATGTCAACTGAAGAACTACGCTGCCCGTACGTGGACACACGGAGGTGAATCTTTGCTCAGTTATATCACTGGGCAAGGATCTCAGCAAGATCGCAATGCCTGTTAACTTCAATGAGCCTCTGTCCTTCCTCCAACGTGTTGCTGAGTACATGGAATATGCTAAGCTTCTTAAACTAGCTGCTGCTGAAGAGTCACCGGTTAAGAGGATTGAGGTAATGACTCACTTTGTTTCTTTTAAATTGATATTGACAAATTATTAAATATTAATGAAAATGAGATGCATACAATATTATTTAATATAATTTAAAATAATCCTTTCTTAAATATATCCTTTTTATGAATGAATTTTGATTATAAAAGTTGATGCATTTATACTATTTTCTATTTTATTAAATATTCCGATATTATTATCATCATTATTATTTGTAGTATGTGGAACAATCTCGACATTTTGACAGAGCTTTTTAGTAGAATACATTGAAAGGAAATCACTAAAAACAATTAATTTAAAAAATAATAAATAAAATCAATTTTAGAGTAAAATGGCATTGTCCAAAATTACTCGGACATTTTTCAATTAATCTTTTAAACTGAATTCTATCCAAAACTTTAATTACTTTTAGTACGTGGCTGCTTTTGCTGTAAGTGCACTTGCATCTAATTGGGAGAGACTTGGAAAACCATTCAATCCTTTATTGGGTGAGACTTACGAGTTGGAGCGTGAAGACTTCCGGTATTTAATTAAATATATTTTTTTTTTATTTTTCAATTAACTCAGATCTAATCTTATCTTCATTTTCATTCTAGGATCCTATGTGAACAAGTATCCCATCATCCTCCTGTATCAGCATTTCATTCAGACAGTGAAGACTTTATCTTTCATGGAAGTATTCATCCAAAGTTGAAGTTTTGGGGGAAAAATATTGAAATACATCCCAAGGGCGTCGTAACTGTTGAATTACCTAAATGGAAAGAAGCTTACACTTGGCAAAATGTCAATTGCATTTTACATAATGTTCTTGTTGGACAATTGTGGATGGAACAATTGGGTGCCTTGGAAATCAAGCAATACGGAGGTGCAAATCTCAAAGCAACATTGGCATTTAAAAGTGCTGGGTCTAATGGAAAAGATTTACATCGGGTTGAAGGCTTTATTACTGATGCTGAGTAATATTTATTTAACATTTTTAATTAGTTTTAAAAAATATAGAATATTAATGATTAATAATACGTAAAAATTTTTAGTAAAAAACGATTGGTTTTCTTATATGGAAAATGGACTGAACGACTTCGTTCATGTGAACCACATCTATACGATGAAACTCTAGAGAGGATAAAACGTGAAGCAAAAAGCCCTATCGGTAGTCCAAGTCACAAAAAAGTTTTAGCTAGACTTCATAGTTTGAAAGTTGGAGCTTTCAAACCATCTCATCAAGATACAGTAGATGAAACGTCTACTGATGGTGAAGATTGTCTTCCAGTGGATGAAATTCCGGGCTCCACAACATTGTGGGAGGTGACTCCACGTCCTAGTAATAGTGCAGATGTAAGGAAATAGCTAATAATAATTTTTATTATAAATTATAATCATTTATCATTACTGTCGATGTTATTAAAAACAAATATTCTTTTCCTTTTAGTATTATCAATTTACACAATTTGCCATGTCTCTGAATGAGTTAACAGATGACTTGGCTCAAAGAATATGTCCAACAGACTCGAGGTTGAGGCCAGACATTAGAAAATTAGAAATGGGAGATCCTGATGGAGCAGCATCGGAAAAAATAAGACTTGAAGAGAAACAGAGGGATAGCCGGAAACTTAAAAAGCACAAAAAAATATCAGAAGGTCCAAGATGGTTTCAATCAGGAATTAATTCTTTTACGGGTCTAGAAGATTGGTTGTATCGTGGAGGTTATTGGGAACGTAATTATGCTGACATCGAAGATATTTTTTAGGTCATCAGTTATTCAAAGTTCGATAAAAACAATCGGTTTGTGATGAATGATTCAATGAAGATGCTTTTGTTTGTGTTTTATGATTGAGAAAACATATTGTAGCATAACTTTATTTATCAAACATGAATCTAGGTCTAACTGAATTATTTAAATATGATATATTGTATAAAGTGTGACGAGTGAGAATTATGTAAAACAATTCGAATTTAAAGCCTGGTAAAAAATATTGAAAAGTATTTTAATAATACGAGTGTTGATTCACAGAAAAGAATTTATTTAATACTATCAAAAAAATATGATGAATTTTACGACAAATCAGAAAGTCATTAACAATTATTGCGTGACTGATCTTAAGTTTTCGTCCACACGCAATATAGTTGTGATGCCTATACCTGACACTTGAATAAGCTAGTTTTCTTGAATACTTATAGTAAAAAATCCTTATATTTAGATACAAATATCTATCTAAAAAAATATACATATATCTATCTTGAAAAATATTTGAAAACAGTTGATAAATCTATTTGGAGGATAAGAGTTTTCTTCACATGTAGTTGAAAATAATAATTGAAAATGAAGAAGACATATTTATTTGAAGAATATATAATAAATAAATCATGAAAATAATGATTCTAAATAAAAATATTAATATAAGTGATAGCTACAAATTTTACTACGCGATGTTTAGTTGAAAGAATCAATTTGAAAAAAAAAATAGTCTGCATTTATTGTAACATAAGATGTTAGTTTGGAATTTCAATTTGATGCTTGATGTGCCAATAGAAGACTGCTTTTCACAGTCATTGTAACGCAATAGCTCATGTAAAACATCTAAAAAAATTTTAAGTTTACGCAATAGTCATGTATCAATTTTTGTTGCTAACATTGAGAAACGTAGCATTAGGAAAAATTATAAATCTTAGAGACAAATTATTAGCCATTGTGTGTTCTACTGGACTTCATCGTCATTCAGAAAAATTGGAATCTAGTAAAAATGATAATAAAATTTTATTGTAATAAACTATAAAGAAATCTTACCAGCTATTTACACTTGGCTTGTGTGATATACTATTGATATACTGATATTAACATCATCAGTAAAAAATAATAATGTCAATGAATCATCTACACAAAACAAAATGCTTTTTAACAAATATCAGTGTATAATAAACTGAAAAGAAATAAATTATAATGGAAAATGCAATCAATATTTTTTTTCTCCATAACAACTTTTAGATTTTAACTCATTATATTAAACGAAACATATAAAATCCCTATTTAATTTTAACTAAAAAAATACCTTAATTATTTATTTTGAATGTTTTTATGTTTTTACATCCATGACAGATCTTTAACAAAATAAAGATGGCAACCCTTGCCATTCTACGCTGTATTTCACAAGTTGAAAAAATGAGTTCCGGATTAATTTTGAAACAATGCCTCTCAAAATTGCCCAGTACTCAAGGGTATGTAAAAAATTCATCAGTTAATACTTTTGTGAAGTCAATTTTATCAGAAAATCGAATAATTGGTTAGAACATATATCAAAATAAGTATAACCTCACTAATTTACGTAAGTCTAGTTTACATGATGATTATTTACCTTATTTCATATTTTTAGGTACAAAATTTTTACTTTAGGAGGAATAAAAAACTTTAGTGATGAAAAAAAACCAACAGTAGTTCCTACTGATTTGCATAATTTAATGCATGGTCCAATTAGTGAAGAACAACGTCGTGAAGAAAGGAAAAAACTTATTACTATTGAAACTGTTGAGGACATAGCTGTTACTTCAGGAGTACCTGAAGAGCATATCAAAACAAGAACTGTTCGAATTTTTCAACCAGCTAAAAATGCAATGCAGTCTGGAACAGATAATATTAACCACTGGCGAATTGACTTTGATACTCGAGAAAGATGGGAAAATCCACTCATGGGCTGGTGTTCCACGTATGTATCTTTATATAATAATAAATTATTTTCAATAATGAATGAATTTATATTATTCAAATTAATTTTCAGCGGTGATCCTTTATCGAATGTGAACGTTCAATTTACTTCGGTGGAGGAAGCAATTGCTCATTGTGAAAAAATGCGCTGGAAGTATTATATACAAAAGCCAAATGCTCATGAGCCTAAACCAAGATCATATGGTACCAATTTCTCATGGGATAAAAGAACTAGAGTCACTACAAAATGAAGAGTATCAAAGTGCTGTTTAGATTAGTAAATTTTAAGATGAATATTATCTATTGATTATTAATAAATTCATAAATATAGTGTATGTGTGAAAATTTTATCAATTAATCAATGATACTTGACCAAATGTTCAAAATAACAACAGTATGAACACAATAGAACAAGTGTACATATTATATTAAAAGTAATTACACAAATAAAAATGCAATCTCCATTTTATTCGATAAACATTCAAATTTATGAAAATAATGGATTTTAAAATTGCCGCGTTCACTAGGTAGCGCCACATTAATCACAAAATGGCGTCTTTAACAATATGGCGTCAGAATAAAAAGAGACGATCAGTGATAAAGTAGTGTAAAGGTGTATAAAAAACGTATATGTATATAAATGTGACTTTATGTATGTAGATAATTAATCACCACAAACTTGCGAGGAATTACAGAAGTCTAAGCATCGATTTCGGTAGTAGAGTCACTAAAGTACACGTCGTTTATCGGTCCGTGGTTTCTGTACAACGCAAATAAAGTGAGCAATATAAGTAAACAAATTCAGACCTGTCTGAATTCAGATTATCATTAAAAGTGAATAAATTTGTGCAGACGTATTAAAGAATAACAAGTTGGAGCAAAATGAGTACAGTGCCAACAGGTGAGAATGATTATTATATATTTTTCCTCTAAAGTATTTTCATTTTCACATAATTTTAAGCCTATAATTCAATTATTGATTAGACTAATAGCTACTAAGAATTTGACATTATTTCTTTAGAATGTTCTCCGAAAAAGTCAAAAAATCATTACGGTTGATAAACGTATGCTGGTCTAGATAGCTAACCTGAGATAATCAATTTATGTAAATTAAATTTTAGAATTATAATTAATTAACACGCACCTTTTTAATTTTTTAAATACAAAGTAGGTAGTTTAATTTATAACAATATAATTGAAAAGTTAGATGGTACTGTAATAGACATATTTTTATTATAATCTCATTTATTTTTCCTTATCTGTTTTATATTGAAAGTGATATCAAACATGTCATAAAAACATTATAGACTATATAAGTAATTTTTTCATCATTAATCACACTTGACATCCGGTATCAATGTTTTTTTCATCGATCTACTTTAGATATTAATGCAAAATACCTACGAAAGCTACTTTTATTGATGGAAATATATAAAAACAAGTAGAGAAATCATAAATTATTTCCCAACAAACTTCAAACTGAATCATTTATAACCACAAATCAATTTTTTGCATATTGTCTTTCACGCCTTTCACTTTTATGCTATTTTTATGTTTTTCGCTTACTTTTGTTGATGGTTCTGGTGCTTAACTTAGTTACAATGGAACGAAACTGACGCCATCATGATTCAAGATCGGAAACTAGCCACGATCGTCAGTTCTCCAAGAGAAATCAACAATTGTGACCAGCTGTTGAGTGTTGTCAGGTGTTTAGTAGTGTTGATTGTACACGCGACCGCGACTTATTTAATTTAGCGGCTTTTATTCCAGATGGAAATTGACGAACATGTTGATCGATCATAATTGTGATTTATGACGACCGATTTATATACAAAACATTATGAAAAAGTATATTTCAAACAAGTATTTCAACTGAAAGATTGATATCTTGACGACTCATACCTACCTGTTAGAAATAAAAACAAAATGAAAGACGATACTGTGGAAGATTCTGAAAAGCGAAAGTCATTGAATAATCATAAGACAACGACGATTAACCCAACCGATCGTGGTAAAAAAATATGTCAAGAACATGGTGAAGATTGTCCAAGCGAAAACGAACGAGAATTTGATTCCTTGGAGTATGAGGAAGATGTTTATTATTCTAACCTTGCAGAAACACCGAGTTTTGATGATACTGATGAACTTTTTGCCGATGACAATGAAGAAATCATCGTTCATTGTTGGAAAGATGCTAATACTGATTTAGATGAAATTCTTGTAAATGATATTGATCTTTCAAATGACCCTAACTTTCAAGGAACTTCTCAAAAAAAGCGAAAGTTAAAATCTGTTCGAGTTATATTTCAAGAAATTTCCAAGTCTTATCGAGATAAAATCAACGGCAAACCAAAGTTCCTTGAACTTTTAAAAGGTGCAAGAGGTGTTTCAGTGAATTAGACCGTTAGAAACATTTTATAATAATCATTACTCTAATAGCTCAAATTGCTCTCTATACATTGTTGTACACGTTAAATTGATACCATTATTTTTTTATTGAGTTATTAAAATAATTCAGACTATTTTATTAAGTTTCTATTCGAGATACTTATTTTACAAAAAAAAATTGTTTCTTTTTCAGGTGAAGATGCCCTACATTCCGGTTCTCTTTCTCCATCAGCAGACAATGCGGCGAATGAGTTAGCTGGACTCACGCTTGAGGAACAAGAACACCAAAAAGAAGAATGGAGGAGGGAATTAGCTAAGGTAAAAAATAGCTCCAATTATCATACTAAAGTTAATGTCTTTATCTATGTACTACCAACTATGTTTTAAAATAATTTATAGGTTGAGGAAGAAATCCAAACTCTAAGACACGTACTAGCAAGCAAAGTACGCGTATCTCAAGAGTTGAAACGTAAACTGGGAATTAGTGTTTGGAAAGATATAACTGAAGATGTAAATCAAGGCCTTCGCAACGTCAAAGAGAGTCATGTGTATGTAGTTCACCATTATATCCAATATCAGATTTCATTAGACCCGTAATCACGTTCAATGAAGGTTTTACTGTATCACTGTTCTTTTATTACTTTTATTGTCGGTTATTTATTGCTTTTTTCCGTTAAATATCCATCACTTTTACCGTTATTTTGGTCATTCACATATTATTTAGCTATTTTTTTTTCTTTCACTTTTGGTACGATGTCATGTAGTTATCAGAACATTGGTGAGAAACTTGGTCAGATCTCCAGGGCTGTATCAGAGAACAGTTTGTAAGTATTAGATACGGAACTTGATTTTTCAACACGTGCTCTTCATCGTTAGATATTTTTTTCTTTTTGTTTAATGCATTTTTTTCTTTTTGCTACATACAGCCTACAAAAATATCTATAAAAAAAATGTTAACGGAATATTTTTCTATTTATTAGGTTCCAGAAAACAGAATCGGTATGTAAACAAGCTGCTGGTTTAACATCTAGTATTCTCGGAGGATTTGGTAGCGGAATTTCTATGAAAATTGGTCAAATGCGAAATTCTGACAGCTTTCGTTCATTAGAAGAGCGAGTGGGATCTGCTTATGAGAACGTAAAGGTATATCTATGAGTTTTTTTAAAAATAATTATCAATTTACATACAATATTTTATCATATTCACTAACAAATAAATTTTAATTTTTTCTCTAGACCAAAATCGGACCGTCGCGGTCAAACTCAACTCAAAGCTTTGATGAAGCACTCCGAGAGTCTGAGGCGACACGACGGGCTTCAGGAATTCCATCAGTCGCAACAAGCCCGACTATTCCTGAGGAAAAAATGTTCTTATAGAGCTTACCATTTCGTCGACCTTTAATCCAACAGTGTGACATAAATAATAATTACCCTTATAGATGGCGAGCTTTGCTCAGTTGTTTACTTAGTCACCAACATCCTCAATGTCACGCTGTTCAGGGATGTAATTATAATTATCAATATAAGGTCGTACGAATGAAATATTTTGCAGAAAAATCGTTGACACTGAGATGCAGTTAGTAATGTGTATGTAGGAGTTGAATGAGTAATATTCCAAGGTAAGCTACATTAATTAATATACACATTAATAAATAAAAATAAATATAAAAAAAAAACAGAAAAAAAAATAGGGGAACAAAAAAATAAATAATTTCGTGCATTTATAAGTACGAGCAAAAATAAAATAAACTCGTCCTCTGACAATATTCTTCATACACGAGACTTATATTCTATTAACACAATTATACTTAATATTTAAAAATATCAATTATGCCTATAATCAGGCAAGGTTTGTGTATTACACATCTTGCACTGTTGAGCCTTTTAAATACAACATATTGATATATAATATATGTATATGTTTTGAAAATTGTTATGTGAATTATCAAAATAATTTTCAATTGCATATATTCCACGGTTGAATTTTACACCATGAATGTTTTTTTAATGCCTACTTGAATAGAAATAAACTATTATAACAAAGAAGGTGTTTTATTATGTATGTTTGAATGTGCTTAAAATTGTGCACTTGGGATTTATATCAAGATATCCTTATAAAGGTTTTTCGCTTTTACACTGTAAAATGATTTTGGTATTATTGGTAAATAAATAAGTTGATTGATATTAATATCACTTTTTTTTTTTTTTAAAAAAAGCATACAAATTTTTATTAGAACTAAGTACAAAAATAGTAGGTACATTTTCTTTGCTTCACCTAAATTATTTCTCTACTTCAGCTGGTTCGTCACGTCGAAAGACATTGACGTGTTTTATTAATATTATTATTGTCATGATGTATTCTTTTTTAGAGGAATATCACATTTTCTAACTAATAGATATGCGATTCAAAATCTATGATAGTATTTAGATAGAGCGAGAGGAAGAGAGAATGAGAAATATAAAGAAAAAATACGAGTAAGAAATATTTTAAAAAAGAGAGTACAGAATAAAAATGATGATAAGGAGGGATATGAAAATTTTTATTAAAAAAATTGCAATGAAAATTGTAATTATTACACTTATGTCATTAAAAATAGAAAAAAAAACAAACTCTCACCAATGGCGTCACGATTATTTGATAACATTTCTTACGAATCACAATACGATAAACTTTCGACGTGCTCACCATAACGAATTTACAGATATAAATATTTAGCTATCTACATTAAAAAATAATCATAATAATGATAATAAAGTAAATTGCAAAATAAAAAAAGTTTAAAAATGAATTTTTTTCGACAGTAAATTATTACAAAACAAAAATGTCTACATCGTTAGTAAATAAAGCGATGGCTTTAATAAATCAAATAACAAATGTGCACATTTTGTGCTACAGACAATTATAAAAATTGTAAACACTGTACACCCGAGCTATTGTTAGTAAGAAAACTACGTTCCTACTATCTATTTTTCAATGTATCTTGTCTTGATGTATCAAAAAGAAAACAAATTCTAAGGAATTGACATTTAATTTTATGAAATAAGAATGAATAATTTTTGATGAAAAATTCTATAGTATACCTATTCTATTCTATTTATATATTTATATATATAATATCTATAAATTTATGATAAATATTACGACCTCGGCAACAGTATAAAATTGCAGTAATATTCACAACATTATTATATTTTTTTTTTTTAGAAATTCTTCTATAACGATCTTGTTATTTTTTTTTTGTACTGTAATAGGCCAACGTAATACAGTGAAAAAATATTTAACAACTCTAGTTTTATTCATTCATGCATTCAGGCCTTTGAGTATTATCGTCAAGTAAATGAAGAAATATATATTTTTTTATTAACCCTTTAACAGTTTATATTTTAAAATATTTAATATTATTAATAAGAATATAAATAATTATTTTTCTTTTATTGTAAAAGACATTTTTTATTCGTTGAAGGGTTAATAAGTAAAAATAAAAACAAAAAAAAAACATTAGGACATCTTTATGAATGTATTTCATTGTCATGGTAACTTGTATAAATTTTCCTATCAGAAAAATGTACATGCTTCGATAGTTCATATCACTTTTTTTTACTGTATCATTATTTCCACCATTTAATTGTTTAAAAGGAAATTTTAATGTACGAGAAGTTTGATATAAAAGTAAAAAAGAGTCGTTGTTATGAGTATTAACTTTAACAAAATAGTTTGGAAATAGAATCCTTAATTAACAATATTAAATTCTCTTAAATGCTTATGATTGAATTTAAATCAAATAAAATTAAAAAACACAATTACACAAATAAATAAAACAATTTCGAGATCCGATTAAATATTGGTCTTCTATATAGCCCAAGTGGATGGTAATAACACACGTTCTCAAACACATATTTGCAATTGAAGATAAATATACTACATTCTTACAGAAAAATTGTAGAAAGCAGGAAATTGCGCGTAAATGTGAGGGCAAATATTACTCTAGATATTCTTTTTCACGGTCATGAAAATTTTCTTGCTGTGGAATGTTATTAGTTTATATATATGAGTATTATATGAAGATCCAAGGACTTTTTTGCGTTAAAGATTGGATTTAATCTCCTTTGGAATGAGAAATTTAATCCTAATTTCGAATGAAAGCCTAGACTTTTTTATAGCAAACTATTTTTATACGAAACTTACTATAGTATATATAGACAGACAAGGTTTTTAATATCAATCAATATTTAGAAAAATAATTATCATCCACATAATTGCCATTGATGCACTTTTAGTATTTTATGATTTTTTGTTTAATATTCTAATGAAAATTTAATATTATGAAGAAGAAAGTATAAACTCTGATAATCAATTCACTTATCTGCATTTTCTATGATATAAATAAAATAATAAAAATGACAGAATTAATTGATTAATGAAAATTAATCAATTATTACATTAATTAGGACGATGTTATCCCATGAATATTGTGCTCTACTACACACACTTTATGTCAAATGTTTCTCAAGTATGAATCTAAATCACAGATCATGCTATTAATTACTTACAGATAACAGTAAAAATAATATGAAAAAAGACTACATTTTTTCTATATATATATATAAACATGATCTTATTTATCTCTTTAGTATTATTCAAAAATATTTTTCTTATTTATAAAATAGAGTTTTATGATATAATTATTATTTATTTAATTTTCATCATCAATATTAATTTTCTCCTGATGCTATAAAATTATGATTGCTTATTTATATAAATAGTATTTCTTTGAATAACAATGATACATGTTTTATATTTTCATCAACATCAAAATGTTGTGAAAAATCTTTCTAATTATTAACAAAAATTTTTCGATCAATGTTCGAATTGTTAATTAAAAAATAAATTAAATGAGACCACTCGTGTGTTTGAGTAACGTGTGCAATACATCTATGTTTGTATACATTCTTTTGCGAAAAAAGTGTTATTACTGATCTTGATATAAATATTATAAAATATTTCGAGATTTCATCACAATCTTATAATGAGCGACTCGTTGAACGCGTCTGGACGGCTTTGATAACAAAAAAAAAAAGAAAAAATTTAGCAACAAATTTTTATCTAGAAAATATCCTAGTTGCTATATAATTATTAGCTCTAGCTTGAAGGACTACACACTGCTGTTTCTGCAGTGTGACTTCCTCTTGATGAATTAGCTGTTGGACTTGGAGTACTGGTTGTTGTTGAGCTTCCACAACTGGTCCCGTTGCCAACATTAGGTTTCTGAGTTACATGAGTTTGATAGTGCTTCGCAAGATGGGCTTTCTGGCGAAAACTTTTACCACATAATGAACATGCGAAAGGTTTCTCACCAGTATGAGTTCTGATGTGAACGTTCACACTGTATTTATCTTTGAAACCTTTATGACAAATGTTACAATAGTGTAACGATCGTTCTTTTCGTTGAACTGTAGCACTAGGAGAACTTCCTGATCCATTACCTTGATGTTGTCCTCCATCATTTCCATTAGCAGAACCAGTTGTTGAAGATCCATTAGCATTACTATTCGAATTATTACGACTATTTTTCCTAGAATATTTTTTAGGAGCCTTTGTTCCTGTAGTGTTTGTTGCTCTGGCACTCACTACTTGAATTTGACTTGTTGTTGATGGATTTTCTTCGGCTCTGGGAGTCGTTTGTTCTATTAAATCTTGTTGTGTTGCTGTAACAACTGTCACTGTTCCTACTTGGCCAAGATCAGCAGGCAATGTAATGGTTCCTAAACTACCACTGGTTGGATCCAAGGTATACATCACTGTTGTTGTTGCTGAAACGTTGCAAACTGGTTCCAAATTACAATAGGATTCGACAACTTCGTTTGCAATACTCTTGAGTTTTTCATAATCACCAGGCCGATAGGTCGTTGTTTCTAGTTGAGACAATAACAGATCTTCTTCAGTACAACCATGCATAGATTCATCTTGTTGTTCTTGCTGTTGCTGATGTTGAGTCTGTTGTTGGTGATCAGTTATCATTTGAGATCCACCAGAACAACTGGTAGATAGAGATACTGATATCGGTGAAGACTTTGTAGATGGTAGAGTTATTTGCGTGGGCCCCGAGTATAATTTACCTTGAAGAGCATTCCTCAAGAGGCTCTCAGCAGAATCTCCACTTACTTCTTGAAGATGATTCTGATCTGAAAGCTTCCAATCATTATTATTGTCTCCTGTTGGGTTGCTTTGTCCTCGACATAGTTCTTTACTCTCCACGAAACCACTATCATCAGTGGCATATTGCGAAGAAGGTGTGGTTGAAATTATGTGGTACCTCTCAGTACTTCGCGACACTTCTGCTGAGGTTTGAACGTCATGGGAGTCTTGATCATTATGACTAGACTCTAAATTAAGTATTGCGTCTAGATCAATGTTGGGTCTCAAAGACCAGGAGTCATTGGAAGGAGCGACTGGACTCTTACAACAATCAAGTCCATCCATAGAATTAGCTTCATTATTCAGCACGGTGAGCGTGTAAATGGCGCCGTCCGTGTTTTGTCGATCATTAGCACTACTTACTCGATGATTCTCACTGTCTGGAGTATCGCCTCGACATGTAGGATTAGCATGAGCTGACCAGCAGTATTTGTTGAGGTCTTCTAGGAGTATATTACACGTCTGTTGTTCTTTACCATCATCAGTTCCCCAGTAATCACAGTCTGACTGGTCCATTGGTATTTGCTCACTACTCTGGATACAATGGCTACGTACACTGTGGTGATTTAATGATCCAGTAATGGTTGAGACAGGAGGTAAAGCTGGTAGAGTATTGTTGTTAGTTTCCTTGATAAATGAAGTCGAAGATGTAATCCCACCGGAAGTACAGTGCGAGGGTGTAGCTGAGAGTGAAGGCGAGACGACAAAGTCGAAGAAATCGGTTTTACCGAGATCCTCAGTCTCGTTGCCGGGCGCAAACGCCTCTGTAAGGTCCATGGCCTCTTCGGTTGTTCCACGATTACAGGTGTTACATCGGCATCTTCGGCTTCTCAAGGCTGGTCTGTAAACAAATGAAATTTTCTTTGAATCATCGTGGTTATTTTTTTAAAGAAAAAAATTTTTTTTAATTAATTTTTTTTTGTATCAAAAATGCATTTATCTTTAATTATCTGAAAGTAGTACGAATTTTTTGAAAATAATTCTCGATATTTGAAAAATAATAAAATTATCATAAAAAATGAATAATTTATCAAGAAGACGAGAAAATGATTGATTTATTACATTTTTTCTGTCTTCTTTAATAAAAAAAAGTTAATTTTTATGGAAAATTATTACTAAAGCTCAATGATTAAACATTGTTTTAAATAAAGAATAAAATTTTTATAAAGTTATTGTATACGTAGGTCAGATAATTTTTTTGATGAAAAAGAAAAAAAATAAACCGAATGCTAATGAATTTTTAATTATAAAAAATTATGATAAATATAACCTTAAAGTGTAGGATATACTTTTTATATAATTAATTATTGAATAAGTGCTTTATTTATTGTTACAACAACAATCATTTTTAACTGTCAAAAATTTTACTGACAATTTTTTAACGAAATAACCTCGCTTAAGAAATTAAAGTTCTTTTTGAAAATGATTTTTACACAGACTAAATATAATGAGAGAGAAAAAAAATGTTATAAAAAGAAGAGGAAATGGTATATATAGAGACGTGTATTGTTCACTTTAAGTAAAGAATTGTATACTAAAAGATTGCTACAATAGCTTCGGGCTTTGAAATGAGAAAACTTTGATCCGTCATGTCAGAAAGATTTATAGAACAAAATTGTAGGAGCCAATAGTGGGTTATAACATTGTGAAATGCTTCGGCATTTCTTCTCGACATCAAGAGTATAAGAAAAAAAAAACCGGTTTGGAATATAACCTCATGAAACCGTTATTGGTCCACTGCTGTCTGATATGCAGACGCTCGTACTAAGCTTTTCGACTATTATTTATAATTATAATTCCGGCATTTCATTTTATTTTTTATGCCTCGTCACTGTCAGTAATATCTTATACATTATTTATACAGCATAGATGCTTCCAGCAATGTAGAAAGCACGTGTACATAAGATGGAACGCAGTGAGCTCTTGTTCCATATCTTATACTTGCTTCTTGTCTACCTATGTATATAAATGTTAAGTATACAGCCAATGTAATACTGTTGTATGCTGCACAAATAACAGATATACCAAATGGAGGCCTTTTCTCGAGGACCAGATTCGCATACGTTGCTCTGTTACTGACGCAGTGTCGGTCGTGGGAACGCACTGTATCCGCATATAAATTCGCCACACTAACCTATGCCGTTGTAAGATGCATTCTGAATAATTTAACTATCATGCATAGTTAACTATAAATGCTTTCAATTTCTATTATTTTCCTAGTTCAACTCGAGAGACAATGCAAACGGAAATATTGATTCTTTTTTGCAACCATTATTGTACGTGACTTGTGTTGAAATTTATTTTTAATCGTAAAATGAATTATAATATCAGATGAATATTTCAGGTGATTAATCAGTGATAAAATAAAGTTTTTAGATGTCTGGAGTTGGAATAATGAATTAAATTAAATTATGATTGATTGATGTATGTAGTAAACTTTCCTGACTTTGAGTTTTATAGTAATGAATCAAAAAATTTTCATTTATTCCATCAAATGAAAATATTCAATAATATTAAAATAACTGAACATCTTTTAATATTTATTTATTTTAATTATTACATTTTAACTCTAAAAATTTTCAATTTATTTATTTAGTTTTGATTGATTGGTTTGATGGATTATTTAACATAAATTCTTAATGTCAAAAATAAATCATCTTTTTTAAGTTATTTAAAATAATAAATAATTACAATATCTAAAATATAATTTAAAAAAAATCATAATTGAGAAAAAAATTAAATGTATACATTATTTATAATAATTATGATCTTTTTAACCGTTAATTGTTGAGAAAACATAACTAATTGTTGAAAAAACAAGCTATGGAACAATAGAATATTTGTTAAGAATGAATAAATTAAATTTAATGTCTCACAGAGGCAATCTTTTTAAACAAACAAAATAAATAGAAATATAATTTTTTCATTTGAAGTTGCGAGTGTGTTTGTTGTTTTTAAAAGGTTGAACTATTATTACATGAATATATCATTTCGAAACAAAGATAAATTTCATGTTAAACATAATGATAAAGAATCAATCAACATTACAGATAGAAACTTTAATCACAACTCAACGATTTCAATAGACTAATTTTTCTCATATAGAAAACGGAGTTGTTACAAAAAAAAATTCCATTAATTTTTTATCATTTATTTAACAACAATAAAAATAACTTGTAGGTTTATCAAGCCTATTCAATAATAATAATAGAATACCATGCGCGAGTATTTTCATAACGGATATGTATACAATAAAAAGTATTTATTACTTAAAATAGGACACCCTATGTATTGGCTTGCACTGCGGTCCGGACGATATATACCTATAGATCTTTCGATCTTTCAGTGCTGCAGCAGTGCTTGCGCAACTAGAGTTTCCTACAACCGATTCTCTATAACGCACTGTACCATATTAATACCTTTGTAACGTAGGTATTTATATATACATGTAAATGATTGCACATATACATGTACATTAGGCAAGCTTAATGCAAGGAAAAGAGAGAAAGGTATATAGATAGAGGACGATGGTAATATAAATGCCATAGCCTTGCTTGTATACTTTACCTGCGGACTGAGGAGATCTCTCGAGGCCCCGCGCGCGCAAACACCCGGATGTCCGAGCGCGGTTTCTTAAGACTTGCTTGGTTATATGTTATTTCACTTCTTTTAAAAACGAAAGAGGTGACGAAGGATGATGCAGAAATTAACGGGACTCTTATTATACCGTGGCTCGCGTCATTCATGACAGTTTGGACATTTCTATAGAAAATTTCCTTGACTGATGAAATTTTTTGATAGCAATGAAAAAAAAAAAGTTGTCGAGATGAACATTAATGAGCTTTGGTCAATTACTTCTATGGTGTCTTGAATGGCTTGATATTAACACAAGAACATTAGTGTGTGCGTGATGGCATTGTTAATAATAAGACTACCGGTTAAAAGCTGAGTAAGTTTCAGAGAGAATGCAGAGAAAAGAAATGGTCTTGTCGAAAATAATCATCTGAGATGGTTACTTACTCACTCGACTCACAGCCACCGCAGTTGCCTGGGGTATCATTTAATGAACGTCCGTATACTCACAAAAAACCACGTCCAAGAATACCCACGTCCGGTTACGGTCAGTCGAAATTTAATGAGAAGCTTGTATAGATGAGGCAGTGGAAAAGAGATGGCGAAAAACAAGACAAACAAATATTTTTCACGGCAACAGATGATTATATATTTATGGAAACTCCAATGGTTATTGCCGACAAATTGAAGGAGGATCAAAGAGAATAAAAAATAACGTCATCATGGGATATATGGGAAAAAATATGTAGGTATGTCGGATAAGGAAAAGGTCACGCACGTGCGCCTCTTAGGTGGAGTTTAAACCTTTGAAAAATTTCCAAAATGCTCCTCGCTGAGATGATGAAAATATTTTTTTTTTTGTCGAGAACAAATCATTGCTTTTCGACTATAGGATTTCTTTTTTTTTTTTATGCAAATAAGTGTTCTTTATGTTTAAATTTAGTTTTTTTTTGTAGAGTTTTATCAATTTAAATGATATGTTTTTTTTTTTTTGAAACCTTGAATTAACACGAGTTAAAAATATTTTTTAGTTAATTGAATAAATAATTTTAATATTCAGTAGTTTCGGAGAATAATTTTAACCGTAATTATTTTAGCTTGCATGGGATATATTGTTAATTAACCAATTGTATTTATTATCAATTTTTTGTTGATTTATAAACAATGAAATGATTTTTTGTAAAGAAAATAATACTCCAAAAAGAGTAAAGTTACTCCAAAATTTTGTTTTTATGGAATTTTTTCTTTTTAAATGATCGATTAAATTAAAACAAATAATATTTATGTGATTAAAATGATTAAATGCCAAATAAAGCATCAGCAATTGGATATAATTAAGAATTTCCTTCAGAAACTGCAAATCAATGATGTAATATGAGTAATATTTTTATCAGCATATGATTAATTTATCGGATGAATTTAACCATTAAATAATGACAATTGCATACGCTTGAACACATATGAATAATGCATCAAGGAAGTAACGAAGTCTTAATGCGGTTTACTTTCTTGAGAAAAAAGAAAAACGGTATTAACATTGATCTCAAACAAAATTGGTAAACTTTTACGATCGTCTTTATAAGCCTTAATGATGAGTTGCTGTTCAGTATTATCGCTTCATTTGCACGAATAATTTCAACCTCATTCTTTTTATTTTTCTTTATACTTCTTATTATAACATCTTCTTTCTTTCTCTATTTTAAGACCATTTTTTTTTTTAACTTTTGTTTCGGTAAAGATTCCTACTCCTTGAACCCTCGAGCTACCGCGCACGCGATGTCTCTTTTGAATGCTCGTTGGCAGCTTGTACACATTGAGAATAAAAAAAGAAAAAAGTGAGTAACATGAAAAATTTTCGAAATATATGTCTAAAGATAAAATGTTGAGGAGGTAAAAGCTGACCTTAATTTCTTGAACCGGTAATATAAATAATAAAATTAAACAGGGTTTTATTATCTTGATAGATAGATTTATTATCGATAGTAGAATATCGATGGGAAACAATTGGTCGTGCAAAGTACGACCTTGCCTTGACCCATTGCAAGATTCAATGTACCACGTTATACTTTCTCCATAGAGACATTGCACGCGAGACGGTCGATTGGTTTATCTCAATCAAAGTTCGCCAACGATCATGGGGTTATTATTATTATATATTTACGTGACTCATTGCCAGTAGGAAGAAGAAAGGCAATCTATACTCTGCTTCTCTTGATGCGGTTCTATATAGATTTTTTTACTCCAAAAAAATGATATTGCTCTGGTACG